CACTAGGTACTTATAGTACTCCATATAAAGACCATAGATATTACCATCCTCATAGATGGCATGGGTAAGCTAAGCCATAGTTATAGTAGCTAGAAGGGTTAGCTATAAAGGTTAACACTCATAATATAGAAAGACACGTAGTTAGAACTTACTAGCTAATAACCACTACTAGCATGCTTTAGTACCTTTTCTAGGCACTAGGCGCATAGAGGATCCCCCCCATGGATAAGGGAATATTCAACGCCCTAGTAGGAGTATTAGTAGCAGGCGTGGCTAAACTAAGGAGGGGGAGGAGGCGTAGACAGCCACTTATAAGGATGACTAGGACGACGTTTCACCTCTAAAGAGGTAGTAGCGGGCGTAGTAGAAGACTTAGGAGGTATCTATCTATATTAAATAAGGCGCGTCGAAGTAATTTAAGTATTAATAAAGTAGACGCGATTATAAGAGAATACTAAAATAACTAACCCACGACCTAGAGAGGTGCTAAAGGTTAAAAACAAGATAATATAATACGTAGAACATGATAGAATTAACTAGAGATAAGGAAGAAGTAAGGAACATAAGATATATACTATAGTAATATATTAAAGAAGTCTAAAGAGGAGAGGAAGAAGGAAGAGACTATAGGCGCAAGTATAATATTTTAATATTACCCACCTTAGTCACCTTTTAAAAATGCGCTTATAATAAACTACTTTAGGAATAAATAACACCACACCTTAATTACCCCACTATCAAGATACGAGACTGCGACTAAGAGAACGCTATAGTTAACTAAAGCAGCAGGAACCTAGAACCTATAGAGTAGAACCACGTTAACGCACTATAATAATACTAAAAGTTAAAGCTATCCCTAACAGCCGCCTAATAAAACTAAATCCATAAACTATAGCATAACTACGTGTAGTGGCGAGTCAAAACCCTATAGGATAGATTAAACTACGGCTATAATAACCCTATCTAGATTTAAAGCGAGATCGCGAGGGCGCGATCACTATGAAGGGGGGAGATAGTGTTAGACCCTATATATAGCACACCTATAGTGCAGTGCCTCAGGCACCGCACCTGCGCGCCGCAGCTCCCGCTTACCAGGAACACGTGACGCAAGAACCACATATTGCGGCCGCTAGCCTCACAGAGTGAAGACCAGCGATTAGTTCAGCTACAATCAATACACGCGTTCTGAACCCTCATATTCCGCTTCATATACATATTACCCGCAGTTACATTAGCTGCGGTCCACACTATAATAGTATATCTCTATATTACTCCCTCTCTTAATTACCCTATATACTAACCCTCCTAGGCTTAAACTACTACTAATACCTTAATAGCTATAACTATAATAACCCTAATACTAGCAGCCTTAGTAGTAGTGGCTATATAACCTTATACTAGAATAGTAATTATAGCTTCTATACTAGTAGCCTAATATATAATATTAACTTTAAGTCCCCTAACTAGCCTACTAGTGGAGTAACCTACTAACTCCTAGGTTAAGCTACTATAACTATCTATTCCTAGTAGACTATTATCTTCTAGGGCTTCCTCTTTACTAGGGCCCCTAGCTAGTATATTATATACTCCCTAATAAGTACTAAGTCGCGCCTCTAGTAGGATAACTTAGGGTTCTAGTAGGGTAGCCCTAAGGCGTACTTATAATATACTAATAGGAATATAGATAGGGGTACTAGAAGTAGTACTATACTAGGCATACTAAATTTAGTTACCTATAGCCTTGTTATAGGGCAGTTTTTACCTATAATATTTATTTATTTAAATAGGCAAGGCCTGGCTCATAAATTAGATTAATATTACTATACTAGATAGGAGGAGGTATCTAGATAATTTAAGTTTATTTATTCTACTATATATAGATAGTGCGTTTATACCTTAATATAGAGGAGATAGCCTTGGCTTCTTTAAAGATATAAACTAGCAGTTATACTACTAAGTTAGTTTCTGCGTGGATAGGTAATTATAGGGCTTGTTAGAAATCTAAAGTATATATATAGACCCTAGTGGTATATTTACATAGTGTAAAGGGTTAAAATAAACAGTCTATCAACATCTTAAAATCACAAAGAAAGGCATAAATATCACAAACTCGCTTGAACGCAGATGGTAGGCCAGGCGGCAGACAACACTAATAGTAATAGCAACAAGGCCCGTCCTGGCTAAGGTGTAAGCGGCGAGGTCGGATCGAAGGCGGCTGCCAGTCGGTCTTCACCCGCGGCGAGGTCCCAGCAAGCAACGAGACGTCAGGCTACGTAGGATGTACGAATGAGGAAGGAGAAGCTGTAAGCTAATTGATTCAGAAACGAATCGCTGGGGATCAGGAAGACCAGTGATTGCAGAAGTCTTTTATGTACAGCGATGCCAAGAGAGTCATTCGGGATTTCGCCCAAAGGGGTTAGGCCTAATCGGGTCGGATCCCGAGCAGCGGTCGCGCGGCCTCCCGTCGGAGCTGCCTAAGGCACCCGCTGTGACATAAGGGTAATAGAAATAAACTATATATCCACTTCTCACTTCACGTTCATGTCCACTCTTCTCATCCTCCTAATACTGCAGACATAGACAGACTCGTTAGATTAATCCTAATAAAAAGTCACTTTAAACAGACAATTAAACATACCCTGGGCGGCCCATAATAAGGTGGCAGCGCCTTAAAGCTCCCCCTCCGATCCGCACTGACCTCATCTCGGGGGACTGGATCTGCTCGCGAGACTGTCTCGACTCCCTCCGCTACGAAGAACGCTGGATTCTGTGAACAGCTCTTCAAACTCATCATATAGGAATACTATCATATCATCCACTTACAACTGAGGTTTCTCAAGTAAGTGATCGCAAAGGACTTGAATCATCAGCGGTGTAAGCTTTCGTGGCCTTCCACCTTTATTTGGAGGTGCCGTTACGCTGCCGAACAGTCGCATATTCGACCGATGTCTTTTGATAGTCCGCGGGTGACAGCCAGCTGCTTCTGCCATTTGCGAGGCATTAAGATCATTGCTTACTATCATATCGTAAGTCATTTGTCTGATGGAGGGGGCCAGAGGCGGACTTGGGCACAACCATTAGCCAAACCTGTACCTGGAAGTAGCTTAGCAGCAAAAGAATGTGCTCGAAACCTGATTCTTGGACACAATACGAAACCCTTGTGGTTTTTCCTCTCACAAATACATACTCTCCACAAGCAATGTAGGGTTCGTGAGCAGAGTGACGGGGAAAATGCTACACTCTTTCGATTCTGGTGGCTGTAGCGATTAATCAGACCGAGGGCAAGATTCCGGACAGCGACAAATAGGGCAATTGGAGAGAACTAAGTTGTATATTGTGTCCGGGTCCCCGATGAAGCGTAGATCAGCTGCATGAATACTACGCCACAATCTTCCACCATCTTCTGCAGATCGAATCGAGCTGACCCTGGCTCTTCATCCCTATCATCTACCTGTGGGAGCCACTGCATGGTGAAACTGGAGGAACATCCGTCCGTGATTGGCCTGGTAGGGGTGTCGACTCTACTTAGACGCCCCAGCATTGACCTTACTAAACATGCAGGCAAAACGAGCTCTATCTGCGCGGTGGTGAAAGAGTGGCTCATTATGCTGATTACCATATCGGCGCGATGATTTGAAATCGTTCCATTTCCAAGCCATTGGATTTGACTGAGGCTCGCAATGTATGAATGACCATATTGTTTAACTCCCGCACGCATGGTGCAAGGAAGAATTATCCCGCGAGTTTCCACAACATTCTATTTCTCCATGCTGCCGTGGTAATCCCGCTATGATGCTACGCAATTGTAAATGGGGTTAATCATGCATTTATTCTCGTTGTTTATTCCGCCAGGTAGCACTCCTGCGTTATAAACACGCACCTTCATCCTGCCGATGGCTGGTAAACGCTTTGCATAAATGTTGGCCTGCAATGCTGTACTTACTACTAAATAGATGCTCTTGTTAATATTAGCTATATTCAGCTCTAAACTCTTCTATCCTGTTTGAAGCACGCATGTCCTGAGTGAACAAGACTCTGGCCCTGCTATGTAGGTTTAGGTGCAAAGCAGAAGCCGCCTTGTTATTACCTAGTGCAGGTGCTACTACATATGCCATTTTATTAGCGCACGCTTCACGCACCCAGCAACCTACGGAAGCCCATAACTTGAATGGCTGGACTCGTATTGAAATGGAGGCCTTGCCTGAAGCCAAACAACAACTCTGTTCCCATGTGGAAGGGTAGTAGCGATCCACAGGACACTTGGAATGGCCGAAACTTGTCTCCATGCACCTTTAGCGCTCACCGGCGACACTCCGCTGCGGCTTGTACTGTGGCTCCGCAGTCGCGTTCTTCACGTCTGAAGTATGGCTGCTTCATTTTAGGCCGAGTAGCGGGCTAGAGAGGGCTTTCATGCCCCGACCGTTTCCTCTTCTAAGAGATCCTCACCGGCTGCAGAGTCAACATCGCGCAAATGACAGTAAGCTCTGTACAGCACCGCCACAAGGCCAATCGTGTGTTAGACAGTGGCTGCAGATCAGTGTTGTCGTACCTAGAGTGGGAAGGATATATTTACATCATCGCACAAAATGCTACCTGAGGTAGTCAAGACATAAAGACCGAACTGTGCCCAGGCTTATAGACTAGCTAATAGATTAGCCTCATTCACTTTGGAACCGCGGGGATATCTGGATTGAAGAGAACTGAAGTCTCCAGGCCATCAGGCACGGACGCCCTGAATGCCCATGACCACAATCAGCGTTGGCTGTGCCGAGAAGTCCCGGGCCGTCATCCTGTAATTGATTCGCGATTGGTGTGTCGTATTGAGCTGCAGGAATTCGGGCGCCATGGCCCAATCCGAGCCGCGAGATGCTCGCCAAAAACTACTGGATGAGCTGGGCAATTCGTATTCGTGATCCGCCGGGCATGAGGCTCAACCGTCCGTTAAAGCTCGAATAGGGCCCCGCCCATTCTGTTTCGCATGCTGCGTCCAAGTTCATAAGATGAGTTACCCAAACCAGTATCAACCTCCTCCTCCTCCTCCTCCTCCTCCGCCATCGAATATCCTCGATGACCCTGATGTTGGTGGTTCCCAACGTATTATGGGTAGCGCCTCCCCGATGCTAACCAAGGCCAGGTCATCACCCACTGTCCGGGCGAGGATACTCTCCTCTGCACCGCATACTGGTATACCGCCCCAGATGCCCCTCGCTACGAGATTTGTTCCCACTGCTTCGCCTCGCATATCCGCAACACACCGTGGGCGTCTTGCTTCCAGCGCCAGCTCAAGCCCTCCGACCCAGACCGCCACTGCCGCTTCGATACCCCGCGCATGCTATCCCTATGGCCGCAGGTCCTCCGCAACAACGACTGGACCTACATAAGCCAGTTCATGGCGCGCCGCGCCGCGATTCCGGATTGTAAGAAGCTGACGCCCATGCCCGCTGATATTGATCTCGCTGGGAATATACGGCGGTGTTATAGCCTTCGGAACAGGGAGATTGACAACTGGACCATCTGCGCTGCTTGCTATGAGGATGTGGTGCTTGCGACTTCGTTCGCGGGCTTCTTTGGTCCGCATCGCCCGAGTCCGCCGCCGCCAGCTGGCCAGACGTTGACGTGGACGTGCGATATGACAAAACATGCGCGTCGCGCGATCGGAAAGTACGCGGTGACGAACAACTGGACCAGTTTCGTGCGCTCTGTCGCACACGCGGCGAGCCTACCCCCCTGCGCAAAGGCAGCGGGTGTCGCTGCCGCAAGCCGGAAATGGTTCCGGCCCCGGCCGCCTATCCCCAAAATGGTAGTTTGCAACGCGTGCTACTATGCGCACATCGCAGAGTCCTTTATGGAGAACCACTTTGAGCCAGTGCCTGTGAATACTTCGACTTCTAGACTTGAGACCTGGGTATGCGACATGGTTCTCGTGCCCATGCGTGTCGCGCAGATGAAGGCGGAGCAGGATAAGGACTATCAGATCTTTTGGAATGCTGCGAGGGCAATCATGGCGAATCCGCCTTGTCCTTCTGGGGAAGGGGAAGGCAGCTATGGCGGGATCTTGTATTCTCTCCAGGGGACCTCGGGCAAAGTGTGCGTCTGTTCGCAGTGCTACGCGGGGATACTCTCCCCATATGGATTCGGCGGCTCGTTTGACGCTACTCAGCCCCCCTCCCGAGCAGGAGCAGGAGCAGGAGCAGGAGCAGGAGCAGGAGCAAGCAAACTCTGCATTTTCAACGAGAAATCTCCGCGCCGCGCGCAATACATGGACAAACTCGACGAAGCCGTCAATCTCCGAACCTTGACCCCCTTCCAAACCTTCGCATCCCGCCTCGGCGTCCTCCCCACGTGCCCCACAACAACCGCAGTCCCGAACCGGAAGTGGTACGGCAACGACGACTGCCTAATCTGCGAGAGCTGCTGGGAGGATTTCGTCAAAGAGACCAGCCTCGCGGCGCAGCTACCGTACCAGGGGAGGGTGCTCCCGGGTGGGTATTGCGACCTGTACTCGGCGCGCATGCGCGGGTTGTGGGCCGAGGCTTGTGCCAAGGGGAACATGGACGAGTTCATGGCCTTTGCGAGGCACCGTGCGGCGGTGTACCAGCAGACGGTTCCGCGGATGCAGGAGATTCTGGCGGTTATGAGGATGCGCCTGCAGCAGAGTCAGGCGGCCCTTTTGACTGGGGTCAGGTTGATGGGGTCGGATCTCGTTGTGGCGGCGTCGCAGGCGTCGGGCTATTCTTATTGGAGGTATGGCAATGCGAGTGTCGGGTATGGGTGGGCGACCAGGGCAGGGGCTCATGGGCAGCAGATTTTTAATGAGGGAATGGGCATGAATGTTGCCGGTGGCGGCGAGATGACGGAGATTGCGCGGCTTGAGAAGATGTGGATGGCAGTTGAGTAGATGAGAGAAGGGGAAGAAAGTTGGCTTTAGGGAAAAGAAAGGGTCTGCCCTCACAACGATTGGGCTATCGACCAGCACACAATGCCCACATAGTGTCATTGCCATCCAGTATCCATAGCGGACGTCCTTTGTCGTCCTCTTGGCACTAGAATGGTTTGTTAAGGTCTATGATCAGATACCAAGATAATCTTGTTTTTCTTACAGAGATATTTGGCTGGTGCTTATCAGGAGCCCTGAATATCTCTAGACCGTTAGACGGATCATTCAATTGCTGACGCTGATGTCCGACAGCGAGGATGAAAAGGGAGACTGATATGCGCGTACGGAGGACGTTTCTTATTTCGAAATGCAGGATTCATGCGGGAACTTCTCGAGTATAGGCACAGCTTCGGCCGTCGGGGCTGTGTTACTGGCCTCTCAGTCCTACCTTGTTCTAGTAGAAGCAATGTCTAGTTATTCAATAAGTGCAGACATAGGACAAGGCCGAAGACATAAACAGGATATTACAATCTTTCCAGGTCACGGGGTATTGTTGGTGATTGGCAAACCTACTTCCACATCCTATTCTACATCGAATCATGTTGCTGTTGTTGCGCCGCTTCCGTAAGGGTACCTCCGGCTTTTCGATGCTGCGCAGCAGCCATCTCAGCACGATCTCGCCGCATAATATCTTCCACAAACCCCTTGGCAGCGTTTTCAAGTCCAGTAGTGTATTCCTGTGCAATACCAGGCGGGTATTAAGTAGGCGAGCCATAGTCGGGCATTAGACGTTCGGCCATATCCTGCCTTCGTTGTAGTAACCTTTGTTTATAAAGCTGGGTGTACCGCTGGGGGACACTGACCGATCTGTCCATGCTTGTTACAGTGCTGTGACCGTCTGGACCATAATAGGCAGCGGCAGCAGCGTTCAGGGCTCTTTGCAAGGAAGCAAGACTAGCTTGACGGGCCGATCCACTTGGGGTGTGAGGGTGCTTCGAGCTTGAGACACTTGTTGCGGTTTGTTTCTTGTTGGCAGGCTTTGGTGACGATGGTTCGGAAGTCGTGACAATTCTTCTTGGCTGTGGGCCTAACATGCTTTGCCAATGCTGCATATATTCTGGGCTGTGGTCACTAATTTCTTGGGTCGGGGATACTGGCACCTGCTGCTGACGCTTATCGTTTGTTGAAAAGTGTTTTTGACGAAGTTGAGCCTGACCAAGGTGTTGCTGCTGCTGGGAGTTTTGCCCGTGTGCAAGTTGAGCTCGCATCAGTTCAGCCTGGTACGCCTCGAAGGTTCGGTATATCAGTTGCTGATCTTTAAGGCCTAGCTGCTGCGAGTTCTGCTGCTGTTTGGATAGCTGTTTTTAGTTTCCCAGCTCTTGCTGGTCTTGCATGGCTTGCTGCAGTTGGACAAACCGTTGAGGAGTAAGTTTGGTGGAATTCAGATGCCCTTCCCGAGCGAGCAACTCCTTCCTCCCTTTGGCTCAAGTACCGTTGTTGCTATTCCAGCGTAGGCCTACTATCCACACTCATACGTGGTGTGTCCATCATCGTCTCGTTTATCATTGCTGGTGATATGCCCGAAAAGCTTGCGTAGGTAGGACGTGGAGCAGGAGAACTACCACGCGTAACCGAAACTGCATGAGGTATTGTATGAACCCGCGTTTGGCGGCTGCTCAACGTCATACTGACTCTCCATTTTAGCAAGAGGTGAGTCATTGCCTAGCGTGGTTGATATTCTTGGTGGTATTGATTCCACATTACCTTTCAACGATACACCTGGTGCGCAAACAGAGGTCTCTCTTGCCCTTGTTTCCTCGGCCTTGAGGATCAAAGACCTGGTGACATTGTTAGTGGTGACGGAATCAGTATCCATATTACCAAAGTCATCTCTTGGCAGATATGCTAATGAGATTTCTTCTAGATATTGGCCCATATGGGTTATATATGCCTCTTTTAAGCTTAAACTGCTTTGTAAATATAGTTCATAGTAGCTTTCACTATCTGTAATAGGAATGGTCTCTTTTACTTCTAAAAGAACCGCTCTTAAGCGATGTTCACTCTAGGTAATATCATGGCTAGTGGTCAAATGTTCCATAAAAAGATCTTCAGTATCTCTTGTCGCGTTACACGTAAAACAGTGATACTGGATGCGGGAGTCTTCGGCACGCTGGAAGGGATTCTCAAGGCCGCGGGGTTCACCGGCACTTTTACCCTGGAAGGCAGCATCGAAGGCAAGGGCGTAGAAACCTTCATTGGCCAGGTACTTTGCATAGAAGGTAGCAACCTGCTCCTTAACGCCGGTGTAGGGGTGACCAATCACAACGGCAGCGCCATTACGGTTAGGGGCTCCTTGTGCAGGAGCATAGAGGTGTCCAACGACTTCAATGTCGTCGGATGGGAAGGTAACTCTGGTGAAACTCATTGTTTTGGTATCGGACTGAACTGCGGGAGCTTTGGTCTGGAAGAATCTGCAACGACACTTGGAGAAGATATTCATGTGAGGATGAGAGCCCGTTGAAGGTCTGATACTATCTCACATCCCTTCGTGTCTCCGTCGAATGCAACCCAGGTGCCCTCACACCACATGCGGTCCTAAAATAGTACTTTTCATTTACCTTACTGGCATAAACAAGAGATGAAACAAAATCTTTCTTTAGGAAAAGGTGCACGAATAGAATATTGAGGGTGAATAAAAGAAGAAGGGGCGCATCATTTTTTTATGTCATGTTTGTTTAATGGCGCTCCAGGTTTCAAGATGGCTTTGTTACATCCACATTTAGCATCTGTTTGTTCTGGCCAGGACTCGGGGATAGAATCACCTGAATTTCGACGACTCGGTGCTCCTGTCTGATAAATACAGCTGCCGTCTCCAACCAACTCCACCAGTATATTCGATTCCCTCTTCTTTGCCAATCATCCTGGTGATCAGACTTCCAACAACATAACGCTATCACAATGATCCCCCTCAAGCGAAAGCTCCATGCGGGCCATGGAATCATCCAATATCTCACCAAGCGCATCAAAGGGCACCGGCCAGAAGAACATCCTGGCATCTCCCACGCCGGGCTCTTTGAAAAGCTGCCACCTGAGCTGATCGAGCTCATCGCCAACTCTTCGGACGCTCGCGGTGTTTGCGCTCTCCGACTGACCTGCACCTATATCAACAACTCCACTCTGCACACCTTTGAGAGCAACTACTCGGTCCAAACTATCCGGACCGACTTCTCAAAGGACTCTTTCAAGCGTCTCACCGACTTATGCAAGATGAGACACCTGGCTGTGAAGGTCGAAACGGTGCATGTTACAGGGCGCGTCAATTTTAGCTATCTCGGAAAAGGATTCAAGTGGAAGCACACGGATGGGGACGAGATGACCCTGATAGATGATCAGAGTGCCGTCACCGAGTGGTGTGCACTTTTTCTGCAGCTGGTCAACTGCGGGAACTTTATCATATCGGGGTTCGGTCAAAATGCGGCGAACATAGACCTATTGAGCAAAGGAGACGCCCTGATGCTCCTCTTTTATATCATCGGTGCGGTCGACATACCCGTCAAGTCATTCCGGGTCGAGGGGACTGATTCGCGAGACCTTCAGCGGACTGGATACTTCGAAAAGCCGCGATTTCGCAACGCATGGGCAACCGTCGAATCCTTAGAGTTTCACAGGGTGGATCCATCGCGTCCGGTATATGCATTTTTTGCGCCCTTGGTCGCCTACGCAACCTCTCTGAAGAGGCTGAAGATTGACGACTACCTCGATGTGCACACAATGAACTTCATTGGGCGCGCTACCCTCACTTTGCAGGAGCTTCATCTTACACAGCGCTGGAATATCGCAGGGCGACTTCCAGCACAATGTTGGACGGCCTGGGATCTTGAGGGTCGCGCTGGGTATCTGCGAAAACTCCATATCCTCCGCCTAGCAATGGAGGGAGGGGCAAGTTGGATTCCCTTCCTTAGCAGCTTGAGGCAACACCACACAAGTCTGGAGGAGATCACAATCAGCGGATTTTACACAGGGGGTACGGTAAAACGCTGGCTTCACTTTCCAGCTATAGCCGTTGATCCCGTTGTTGATCCGGCGACGGGATCAGAGTTTCAGTATCGGTGTTGGAGTGAGGGCTGGGGTCCTGGTCGTCCGCTCTGCATGTATGTCAAGTATGCCGGCCCCAGGATGGGTATTGCGCTTCAGAGGCTTGAGGCGACTGCGCAGGAGGGTTAGTGCCGTGGAAGGCCTCGCGGCTTTTGCGAGTCGAGTTGATCTCTTCGGTGGAGTATGTGGTTTGGTCTTGTATTATATCTCTGCTTGTTGGTTTTATTTTGTCGTCATGTGCGTAGAATTGAGATAGACATTTTGCGAGCAGGCCTAAACACACATTACATCGAGGTCTTTCATAGATAATGGATCTTGTTTCTGTATTTGTGACAGTGTCATATGATGATACGGGAACACGGATGAATAGATTAGTGGTTTCTTTGTTCCTGTTCAATGACGCCCATTACAATGCATAATAAACGGCCGAGTTCCATAACAGGTTTATAGAGAAAGAAAAAGTCCACCATGTGAAAGCCAGATGCTGTCCGAGGTGCCAAAGCAGAACTAAGACAACCAAAGCAAATCATTTCCCGAGACAACAGCAAGATCCCGGCCTTCTTCCATACCATGTAGACCTCGCTGTATTGGTCTCAGAATTACTGCCCTCAGGTAAGCCGCGTCCTCGCTTCTCACGAATTCAGGAGCCCCCCATACTACCAAATTTATCTGCGGCTCCCACCAACAAACAATCATTAGAAACCAGATCACATCCACTGCAACAATTTTTTTTGTCGGACGCCAGATCCTACACTATCTCAAAGCCTGACTTGGGCTCCTCACTTCATCGGCGGGGTCGTTCGAGAAGCCGGCGATACAACAATTACTCCTGAAATGGGGTCAACGGACTCGGGGAAAGTCTACACTGGGCTTAGTTGTTCGGGTCCACATGTCTTAGCTTAGTGCGAATGGTGACTGGTGAGATGATTCTTTATCCTAATATAGTTCCAGAACGGCTGTATGTGCTACAAAAAGTTTAAATATAATGCCCATGATAAGCACTTGCTACTTTTAACAACTTTACTGGTCGATTCCTCCAAGCTTGATCTTCATTTGACGTAGTCATTCTCACCACATGGCAGGACTTTGTTATACTTGAATGGATACGCAGCTAAATAAATCAAATCCTATAATCATGTATTCACGGGATTGAAATATGACGTTGCACCACATCTACCTAACATTACTAAACATGATTCCCTAGACATCGCACCTCGCAAGAGGAGAGCCCTACTTTTGGCCTCAAGTCGTGCCAGTATCCCCAAACAACAACAGACCGCCATCCTGCCTCCGAGATGCACACTGTGGCCTCAAGGGCGGCGCTCTGCGCGATGACACTCATCCTTGCGATACACTGTGCCAGCACGATGTGATACTTTTACCTATTGTCTTGATTGCTAGGAAAGCTTAGAAGTCTATGGGGTACCAGAAGACCAGACATGAGCCACTGGCGTCCAGCCCTCATAGCCTTATAGGGCCATCGCAGCCCCCGTCATACGTGTAATCACTCGAGGTGGGGTTATTATATTGTCAGTGGTATTTGCAGAGATCATTTGAGCTTTGGGCTCGACGGGGGATCGACAACGGGCTTTCATCGCATGATGTTATAGTTGCCAACTCGTGCTTGTATAGTATCCTGATGTTTGAGGTACGCCCACCCCCAGCTGGGTTAGTTATGCTTGTGGGTGCAATTGCGGTACGCTTTAAGCCATCTATAACTCGACGGCGCGAGAGGCTGTGTCACTTGGCCGGGCAAGGGAGGAAGGCGCAAAGGGCCGCAGGTGACCTCTGAATACGATTGGCCCGTTCTTGCATGCCCAACCCCAAACTCAGCTGTTCTGCCTGCTCACTTCTTCCACCCAACCCTCAACTCTTCTCCCTTACTCATGAAATCTCTACGCAAACTCTGGTTCGAAATCGCGGATTGATCAACTCAGTCGACTATGCACGAAAACGATGTCGCATAAAAGGCCGCTATGCCACGACGATTACACGGTGGGATGGATTAGCGCCTTACCGATCGAGCTCGCAGCAGCCCAGGCCCTCCTCGACGAAACACACCCAACTCTCCCTGTACCGCAAAACGACAACAACACATACACACTCGGGAGAATCGGCGAGCATAATATCGTGATAGCATGTTTGCCGAGCGGGATTTACGGCACGTCGTCCGCTACAGCTGTCGCCACGCAGTTGCTATCCAGCTTTACGTCGATCCGGTTCGGTCTTATGGTCGGGATTGGTGGCGGGGTACCCAACGAGGATGCAGATATCAGGCTCGGGGATGTCGTGGTCAGCAAACCAACGGAGACTCATGGTGGAGTCGTGCAATATGATTTTGGCAAAGCGACGAGGAGATTTCGCGGGGGGTTTCTCAGGACTGGCATGCTCAATTCACCGCCGCAGGTGCTGTTAACGGCGCTTGCGAAGCTACAGGCAAATCATCTGACGGAAGACATCCGCTTCGTGGATTTCCTGCGGGAACTCGAGCAAAAGCGACCGGTCGGCCAGGAATCTCCATTCGCTCGACCGAAAGAGGATGATCGCCTATACGCCGCAAAGTACGAGCACGCTGACCCCAGTTCCAAGGCATGCAGTGCCTGCGACGCACGGAATATCGTCGCGCGATCTCCTCGAACCAATCCGGCCGCACCGGCCGTGCACTACGGACTCATTGCGTCTGGAAACCAAGTGGTGAAGGATGCGAGAGTCCGGGAGAAACTGAGCCGGCAGCTGGGGATATACTGTGTGGAGATGGAGGCTGCAGGACTGATGAATAACTACCCCTGCCTGGTAGTGCGCGGAATATGCGACTATGCCGACTCACACAAGAACAAAGCATGGCAAGGATATGCGGCAGCAACAGCGGCAGCCTTTGCGAAAGAGCTTCTCTCGCTGGTGCCCGCGGGATTTGCGAAGAAGGGGGCCGTTGCAGAGGACATTTCAACAAATTCCAGGTTTCGCGTTCAACTTGACCTACGAAATGCACCGGCCATTCAAGAATTTATCGGTCGAGAAGAGGAGCTGGAGACGCTATGGGATAGCCTTCGACCAGACTCTTCCCCCATGCGGAAGGTTGGCGTGCTGCACGGGATGGGGGGAATGGGTAAGACTCAGCTCGCTATCCGCTTTGCTCGAATCCACAAAGAGAATTTTAGTGCAATCTTCTGGCTCAATGCAAAAGATCGAAGCACCTTGCGCCAGTCTCTATCATCCGCCTGGTCACAAATTCCCGAGAGCGAAGATGTCGCACGTACGCCAGCCCCAGTCCACGAAGGTCAGGCCCGCATCACGAATGACGATGACGTTAAGCAAAGAGCAAAGAATATGCTGCACTGGCTTGCGACAGAAGGTAACACACAATGGCTACTGATTTTCGATAACGTGGATCAGTCCCATGCGGCCGGGGGTGAAGCTCCAGTGCAAAATATATACGACTTCTCCCCAACTACAGATCATGGCTCAGTTCTCGTAACCACGAGGCTCATTCAGCTGGCTGAGCTTGGCATTAGCCACCCCATTCGAAAGCTGAATACGGAGCATGCCTGTCAGCTTCTTCTCCAAACTGCTGGTCACAACGATCATGGACGGAAACAGCAGGTTGATTCAGGTATGTACCACCCATCTAATGCCTTCACACGTCCTAGCTAATCGCTCCAGATGTATACACACTGGTCAGTCAATTGGACGGCCTACCGTTGGCACTTACAGTGGCAGGCTCCTATATTCGACAGTCAGGGATCACCATATCTCAATATTTGCGTTATTATACGGAGTCATGGCACGAGCTTATGGAGCAAACCCCACAGCCACAATGTTATTTGCAGGGAAACCTTCTGACGACCTGGTCAGTGACCTTTACGCAGATACATAGGACGCATCCAAGCTCCGCCGAGCTGTTGCTCCTACTCGCGGTCTTCGATAATCGTGACATCTGGTTTGAGTTAGTCCGAAACTGTCGCCACGTCCCAGACACACCAAGCTGGTTCGTCGAAAGTTTTTCGAATGGGCTGGCCTTTTTGGCTACATTGAAGCCCCTAATTGCGTTTTCGCTCGTAGAGACAAAGCAGGGGGGTGGGGCTTATTCCATCCACCCTGTCATTCGGGAATGGTGCCTTCACGCCCTCAGTGACAATGACAATGATAACACCAAGAAAGCCGATGTTTACAAGGCAATGGCCCTAACTGCAATCAGCTATACCCCAGAAACTTCAGACGAAATGGAGCATTCCAACTTACAACAGCGACTGCTTCCACACGCTGATCAGATGGCCCAGCACCTACAGACGTGGAGGGTTCCCAGGGTGCTCGAAATTTACATGGCCATTCATGACCTGGCATGTCTCTACCTCAGTCAAGGGATATTGAGACAGGCCCAGCAGCTTTATGAACGAGCACTTGCGGGCAAAGAAGAGATACTTGGGCCGGACCACATATCCACCCTCGAGACAGTGAGCAACCTCGGCATTGTACACACAAATCGCCGAAATATGGAGGCTGCTGGAAAGATGTGCCAACGTGCCCTCCAGGGCCGGGAGATCGCTTTGGGTCAATGCCATCCCTCTACACTACACTCGGTAAACGCCCTTGCATTTTTCTATATGAAGCAGGGCAATTTGTCCCGCGCAGAGGCCCTGTACAAGCGGGCATTGACCGGCTTTGAAAAAGCCCTAGGTGTTGATCACCCATCGGCTTGGGACACCATCAACAATCTGGGGCTCCTTTATACGAAGAAAAGGAAGCTAAAGCAGGCAGAAACTATGTATCGACAAGCCATGTCCGGTTTTGAGAAAGCCTTTGGCCCTGACCATACGTCAACACTGATTCTTGTCTACAACCTTGGAAGGCTCTACCAAACGCAAGGGAGGCTAGCAAGCGCCCGTGAAATGTACCAGCGGGCACTGGCCGGATACGAAAAGGTCTTCGGGAAGCGGCACACGTCGACTACCATGATCGCCCATTCTCTCTGCGAGCTCGCCGAAGCCCAAAAAGCTGTACCTAAGCATAATTGCAAACAACCTCGCATGGGCAGCTCCAAAACAAAGATAGAGAAGGCTGTGCCTAAGGCCACGCATTCCCACGCGTTGGGAAAGCTATCTTATGCCAGTCGAAGTAGTACAAGACATTGTATGGCTGGCTGGTGGTACTGTTGCCACTGTCAAAGCATGATCAACCCCAGTCTTAGTCCTGAAAGCTGTTCATCATGTGGTCATTTTCAATGTAGCCACTGCCGATATATTGCTTAGCTCTTCAGGATTTCGTCACCTACTTGCATGTCCCTGCCTTCCAACGACTATTGTTGGCCAACAGGTGATTGCGGTACCAACCCGTACTCAGCTGGCCCAGGACAACTAGATTGCTATATTACGCTAGACTGCTTCTTTCGTCTCACCCGATGGAGTCTTCGAAGGGTGTCGATTATTGTCCTCGAGTACCGTGATTCATTTATCTTGCAACAAGCCCATTTCGCCCGTTTGAACTCGGGCAAAGCAACTTTGCTTGAGCATTTCTTCTAGGGTGAGCGTACGCTACCATGCCTTTCAAGAATTTGATTCTTCCAGTATAATGGCAAGAAACCCCGGTGAAGGACCCACCGGATCTGTCCACGGCAGAAGTGTAAACCACATTGGATGGCATGCTGAGAAGATACAATACGCGACTGCCACACACTCGGCTCATGCTATAAGACAGCGTGTGCCTCTCAAGCTCAACCGACTGCGCCTCCAACGGCTCATTTGCGCTGATTAGTCTCAACGAGTGAGAAGTTGATGAGAGGGATAGGCGTAGCCACGAAAACCATCTCACCGGCCAGATTATCAATAGCTCCACGGTATCCGGATGCTGCTGTTGGCATCTTGTTGTAGGTCAGCGAGCATGTTGTCATTATGTTTCCCTGGGAGTAGTAATGTTTCAGAAGGAGCACTTCCTGGCAGGTTTTCATGTGCCAGGCGGAGGGAGATCAGTCCAGGGCACAAAGATTTGATTTTCCCCTTGAAGGTCTTACGGAAGAGATGTTGATTCTAGATTCTAATCTGGTGCACAATATTTTGCGCGGTGGCCCTAGCAGGGCATCCAAGTTGGAAATGGAAAGCTCCAATCTGGAACCGGGATCCTTGGTGTATGAACTCTGTTTTGCAATAGGGCTCTTGCATTGATTGGCACTCCACCATATCGGCCAACCAAGCGTTCATTTTTCGGGCAATAGAGAGGTATACCGCACTGGGTGCCTAGAGATTATACCCAGCATGTGTATCCGATTATGCAGGCTATACACCTTGACGAAATATGTAATGGGCAATGCTGCGGTGATATAACCTCTAGTCGAATCTATTCTTGTAACAGTGGGTGCCCCTTGCATTTTCAACGAACCGCTACAGATTCCCACCCCCCCGGCTCGCCAACCTCGGAAACAACCTCATCGCATTCCCAAAATTAATCCGATCCCGCAGCTCCTCACCCATCTCATACCCCTCCAACTCCTCCAAGAACGCCGGATACGCAGTGACAGGCGCATACGGAAAATCACTCCCAAACAAGATATGCTCATGCGGAACAAGCTTCAGCAACATATCCAGCACCTGCGGCGCCGCACTCAGCGCGAGATCAAAGTGGAAGCTGCGGAACGACTCCATCGCCTTCTCATGCGTCGTGCCCATCCGGTGCGAGACTGCGAAATCTGGCGCTTTGCGCATGGGTGTCGTTACGCGGGAGATCAAGTATGGAAGGGCGCCGCCGGCGTGTGAGAGGATTACTTTGCAGCCTGGGTACTTGAGGCGCGTCCCGTTGACGATCATGTCCATTGCCGTCCGGGTAGTTTCGTGCGGGTAGTCGATGGCTGGTTGCGGGAGTTTGGCGTTTACGGGGTTCGTGTCGACGGGGTGCGTTGGGTGGATGAAGACGACACACCCCCGCCTGTTCAGTTCCGCCCAGATGGGTTCGACGTCCGGATGGCCGAGGTACGTGTTCCCAGACCCGTAGCGCGTGAAGAGCGTGACGCCGTCGGCGTGCAGTGTGTCCAGTCCGTACGCGATCTCCGCGAGGGCATCCTCTGTATCGAGGATGTTGGGGAGGGAGACGAAGAAGGCGAATTTCTCGGGCTCCTTGTCGCGGAGGTCCGCGGCGTATTCGTTGAGTTGGCGGGCGAGGTGGGCGCGGCGCTGCCGGTCGGGGAGGATACAGGCGCCTGGGGCTGTGACGGAGAGGATGGCGGTTTGGATGCCCATGCGCTTCATGAGCAGCTTGGATGCCAGTGGGTTCCAGTGCGGTGTTGGCCAGCCGCTGGGGTCGCCGCCTTGTTCTTCGACCGCTGTGCGCTGGTTAGAGGTGTGCTCAGTCCTTTGAGGCGGGGAATCAACGTACCCTTTGCATAGAACGGAGGAACACAGTGATGGTGTGTGTCAATCTTGTTGACCGGGGGCGAGTGGCTCCAGCCAATGGTCTTTTCGCGCAGCCAGTCATAGGTGTGCTCGGACATTGTGGTAAAGAGGCTTGGTCTGCATAGGTAGGTCACGAGAAGAAGCGCAACAGGAACCGAAAGAAGAGCGAGCATTGTGGCCTCCCTTCAAGATGGTAGCTTCTTCGCCACTACTTTAAGAATGAAGAAGTGGTGGCCGGAACGATCCCGGTGGCGAGGCTCCGCAGTCCAAAAACGACGTCAGCTTGCCGTTTTACCCGAAGAGGGGAAACGACTCGATTTGCATTTTCTATTACGTAGGGTTGGGAGTGAGTAGTTGTGGAGCATTGTCTTTGATCGGGTGCCAGCCGGTTAAGTCAACAAAGGTTATAGATATATATGTACATGGTGCCCGCATCATGGGAGCCACGTAAGATGCCTATATGGAGGTACACAGGCAGCAACTAGCCACCATGAGCAGCTCAATACACGCACAACTATTTGAAACGGCCAAAGCGCGTCCAGTCGCGGCGACTCTCATATCGATAACGGCGGGTCTGATCACCCTCTTCCTCATCATCCGCGAAATATTCACCCCAGTTGGAAAACGCCGCCCACCGCCAGGCAAGAAATGGCATCTCCCGCCTGGGCCTCGTGGAATCCCAATATTCGGCAACCTGCTGCTCCTGCGCGACGGCCGAGATGACCCAGACCACCAAATAGTACGTGGCAATCCCTGTCGTGGTCGGAAGACTGAAAACTGATTGACGGATATAGAACAATGACCTGGCCAAGTACGGCGAAATGACTACCCTTCACCTCGGCTCCAAGACCTGGATCTTCCTCAACAGCAAGCGCGTCGTCGCAGAAATCATCGCGAAGCGCGGGAATCTCACCAACGGCCGGAGCCCCATGCCCATCGCCAGCGGAATCGTCAGCCGGAACAGCCGCTCGCTCCTGCTCCCTCCCTCGGGGTGGACGGAGAAGCGCCGGGTCATGCACTCGCTCCTCAGCGGGACCGCGCTGAAGCAGTATGGCTCGTGGCAGGAGCTTGAAAGCACGCAGATGCTGGCGGAGTATCTGTTCCAGCCGGAGCGGTGGTACCGGCATCATTATCGGTACGCGAACTCGGTCGTGCATCGCATTGCCCTCGGGGAGCGGCTGGTGAAGAGCGGGGAGGAGCTTGCCGATTTACAGGATGTGGTTACCAAGTTTGTGGGGAGCATTGGGAGTAGTCTGGTCGACTGGTTTCCGGAACTGGATCGGCTCCCGCGCGTTCTACAGCCCTGGCGAAAGCACTGGGAGAGGCTGGGTGATTGGAACGAGGAGGTGTACAAGTCGTGGTGGATTCCCGTGAGGGAGAAGGTCGAGCAGGGGACTGCGCCGCCCTCGTGGGTCCGTGATGTGCTTCTGCATCCGGACACCAAGTTTACGGGCGACGACCGCGAGGCCATGTATGTTGCCATGCAGCTGCTCGAGGCGGGGTCCGATACGACACGAGAGGTGTTGAACATCTTCGCAATGGCCGCCCTGCGCCACCCGGACAAGTTCACAAAAGCGAGGGAAGAGGTGGACCGCATCTGTGGGGGGACAGACACCGCGCGTCTTCCAGGGATCGACGACCTCGAGCAGATGCCCTACATTTGCGCGATGATCAAGGAACTTCTCCGCTGGAGGCCGATCTTCCCCTTTACGCCGGACCACGTGCTGACCTCGGACATGGAGTTCGAAGGCTACCACTTCCCGGCGGGCGTTGGCTTTGTGATCAATGAGGTCCCCGTGTGCAACGAGTGCGAGGATCCGGAAGAGTTCAAGCCCGAACGATGGCTTGATGGCCATGAAACGGACCCGGCGCATGGGCTGTGGCAGTTTGGTGGCGGGCGTCGGATATGCGTAGGGTACAGACTGGCATTCAGGGGGCTGTTCATCAACGTGGCACGTTTAGTGTTTTGCTACGACTACGCACCGGTGAGTAATCCCAGCGCAGGAATTATGGATGGCTCTGTGCTGACACTGTGCCTTGCAAGGCTGGGCCATACAACTCGAGGCGGTTGAATCACCACAAGACCGACGAACCCTTCCCAGTCAAAGTGACCCCGAGAAGTGAGCAGCACATCAGGATGATCCTAGATGAAGGCGCTCGATTCGAGGTGTTGGAGGATGCGAAACGACGAGTGTAGGGAACGGCAGGATCATAGCTAGTGCAAAGTGTAGAGTAGTCTACTGCTTGAAACAGTCTATCACAAAGTCGGTAATCACATCTGTCGTCTCACTCGCAGGCCTTCCAGCCGCAAAGTCCATCAATGGTCCATCGTGGGCCTCATTGGCCATATGCAGAGCGACGTTTCCTGTGCTCTTCCTCTTCAACATGGCACCTAATTGTTGAACATGGTCGCTAAAGACCTCTTCATAGCCACCAGTGACGAGGATATTATCTACCGCCTTGAACCCATCCCACCAACTGTCTGGAACGTCCAGGGCCATGCCCCAGGCATGTCCTGCTTTGATGTCCTGGTGCCAGGGAGAATTCTGTATCAGCCAGTGCCCGCACTTGTCCACAACCTTGCGACCGAGAACATCAGCACTAAACCACCTGCGGTAGGACGAAGCAGTCGAGTCGAACGAGGCGAGCGGCGATACCAGGAAGCACCCTTTTACCGGGCTTTGTAGATCGAGAGAAGTGTCATGTTCAGAGCCAAAGGGCCGGTTGTGGTGCAGGTGAGCCATTACCGATAGGGAGAGGTGACCTCCTGCAGAGTCACCGCCGATGATAATCTAAGGGGAGTTAGACCAGCGTCTAGAGTCAATATGCACTTCTGGTCAACATACATCCGATGGGTGACGACCAGAAGATAGCAGATGCTTCAATGCGAAAATGGCCTGCATCATCTGTCTGGGGTACGGGTTGGTTGGAACCAGTCCTAACCCGATAGTCAGCATGCACGCACATCTTCAAGCAGCTCATCACCGACTGGTTAGGGTATACGAACCGTATTCCAGGATACACACGCTTAGTTGAACGCCTGCATTGGCCGCCTCCTTCCGGATATGCGCGAGCCACTGCAGATGCCCTTCGGAAAGCGGCATCACGTATCCACCGCCTGGCATGTAAAATCAGCTGTGATCGATCAACAGTGCGATAGACAAGTTTATATTTTCATACCGTGGAAGAAAAGAAGAACCTTGCGCGCTTCCCGCGGCCCCATCCAGAGCAGACGAGTGCCATTGTCAACTGCCAGGACATCGACTGTACGCGGTATCCCACGAGCCGCGACCCACGCAGTGTATGCATCGAATGTCGATGGGAGGATTGCCTGCATTTGGTCTGGCGGCGTCTCAGCCATTAGGGTACCGGCGAATCCATTCCAGACCGCCGGGGCTAGAGGCAGTCGTTTGAGCCATGCACGGATAACCGCCCTTGGGATTCGGATGGCTGCGTGTGGGAGGATGTAGAACGCCAAAGTAAAGAGAAACTTGAGTTTGGTGAGCACCAGTGCGTTGCGGGCCATTTTTTCCAGTTGTTTGATTCTGTGTATGGAGATTCATCGCGTGTAGATGCGGACTGGACCGTATTTGCGGGCAAAAGAGCCCAGTCAGGGCCGAGGCTCTTCCAACCATTGACGGGACGCACCCGAGGGCAGCAGCCGGGATGATTCCGGAATGATTCCGCGTGGTTGACCAAGGCGTTTAGCCAGGAAATCTGTCCAATAAGAGTCATTCCAATGTTCCAGGGTCAAGCTGCCCCACACCGGCAGGAGAGGGCTGACGTCTTCAAGGTTGCAACACCGCATCCCTTGGCCCCTTTTGTCAGGCCACCCCAATTCACAAACTGTGGGGAACTAACTGTGTGGGGTATTGAAATATAAGCCTACATAGGCCGCCTTTACACCACCGGATCGCACCCGTTTCGCTTTTCGCAGGATGCCTCCGAAAGCTGCCAACCCGCGAGAGGGGAGACGACGAGCGACCGCACGCCGGAAGGTCGCCCTTGCCTGCGACTCGTGCAGGGAGAAGAAGATCCGATGCGATGGAAAGAAGCCCATCTGTGGGCCGTGCGAGAGACGTGCGCACCGGGTTGACCAGTGCGTCTACAATACGGATACCGTCCGGTCGGCCAGCAGGGACGAGTAAGTCCAACACGCACTGGCGACGACAATGGCGTGTGGATTAACGTTCGAGACAGATACTACCATACCCTTCACCAACGAATCAGGGAACTGGAAAATGCCTGTCTGGAAGCGGGCGTGTCCATCAGGGCTCCATCAAACCGCCAGCCCGAACGCGAGGCTCCTGGCGAGCCACTTGGAGATAATGGAATGCCAGCAGAGACGGCAACCGTTGCCCCGGCTCCTGTATACCCGCTCGTAGAAACTGCAGAGCAGCATCCGAGCGCTACGAGCTTCGCGGATGGAGCGCCACAACGTCACCGGCTACCAGCCACAGGCAGTGCAAGCGGCATCAGCCAGTCCAGGTCAACAGCAGAAGAGGCTACAGATTCCTACGAATCCCCGCTGTTCGGCGATGAGCAAGGCCACATCACCGGCATGGGCCAGGTCACGGCCCCAGACGCGGAGAGTCGGCGTCGCTTCGCCCGGTTCCAGTTTTATGGCAGCTCCTCCACGGCTTCGCTCATGCGCTTTGCCTGGCAGTCGATGCCTCTACGGCCTGCTAATGCTTCCCGTGCTGAGCCTGCACTCAGTACTCTCCAGGATACATCAACCGATTACCGGTTTGATGATTTCGCCCTGCCACCGCGGGAGCTGGCAGACCATCTCGTGGCCTGCTTCTTTGATCATGTGTATATCCTCTATCCATTTTTCCATCGTCCAGCTTTTGAAGCGGCATATCGGAATCTCTGGCGCTCAGAGGATGAGTCGAAGATTCCTCTCACGGACATGCACATTGGACTGGGATCCAGTGCAGAATCGGGACCTAGATCAATTGTGCTCCACTCTGCGCTGAATATGATCTTTGCACTCGGCTGCCAGTTTGCCGATATAGTTCCTGAAGAAGTTGAGCCTGTCGCGAATTCTTTCTTCCTGCGGGGCAAGCGGTTCATCGGCCTCGATTTCCTCGATATCAATACACTCGGTGTGGTCCAGACTTTACTCATCACTGGCCTTTTGCTGCAGAGCTCGTCATATCCCAGCCGGTGTTGGCACTCCGTTGGCGTTGCCTGCAGGGTTGCGTTAGGCTTGGGACTACATGAGTCGGATATCCTTGCGTCTGTGACACCTTTAGAATCCGATATTCGGCGCCGGACATGGCATGGCTGCGTCATGATGGACGTGTAAGTACTATTGTTCATTCCGTGGGGAAATTTGCTCCTGTACTAATGTCAAGCGCAAAGGACCTTGAGCATGACATATGGCCGACCAAGCATGACGACACATATAGCGCCTCTGCCTCCTCTGGTTGGAGACTCAGACACAGCTCGACTGGAGCCGGGCGAGAAACCTTCATTGATGGCATTCTATACGGAGACCATCAAGCTTTACGACATCCTCGATCGGATTCTATCTGACGTCTACTATGTCTGGCGTAGTCGGTCGCGGAAGGACCAAGGGAAGCCCTCGACCATGGGCCTTGGAGGATTAGACACGGTGCTCGAAATAGAGAGACAGCTGACTTTATTTGAAGCGAATCTACCGTCGTTCCTCAAGTGGACCACCGGCCAGCCTGTCCTGCACCAAGCCCCAGAGCTGAGCCAGCCAATTGCACAGCAGCGGAATGTTCTTCATGCCAGGTGTGTTTTTCCCTGGTATTTTTCTTCGCAGACTCTCGCAGTCTGACTCGCCTGTACAGATACATACACCTCCATCTCCTCCTCTATCGACCCATCTTCACCCAACTCTACTCGGAAACAGTCCAAAGACGCGAGTCAGCGAACGGAACTGGCCCACAACCGAACCACACCTTCCAGAGCCTCGCGGAACAAAGCACCCTGTACTCATCCATGGCGAGTAAATGCGCCGCGGCATGTGTAATGGCAGCTGTAGACCTAACACACCTCGTCCACGAGACGTATCAAACGTCAGCCACGGATGCTTGGTGGTACAATGGATTCTGTACGCCATCACTGACTCCTATGCCCGTTCTTTTCTTCCTGTTCTACGAAAACTAATTTCCCATCCAGACGTCTCAACCGCAGCTGTCGTCCTCTTAATATCCTTCTCCGCCCCGTCAATGCTCGACGCACCCACGATCGCAAAAGCGCGCGAAGGCTGGACCGAGGCAACGAGCGTCCTCAAATCCATGGCGACGTTCCGGCAATCGGCCAGCAACACGCTGCAATTCCTGCAGGCGGCGTATCGGCAGGCGGTCCCTGGGGAGATGCCGTATCAGCCAAGTGGCGGCGACAACGACGGCGCGGGGGAACAGGCTCAACCTCTGCATTTTTCAGGTAATCTTCCGCAGGGCTATGATCCGTTTGACCGCACGGATCACGACTTTCTGAACACGCCGCTGTTGAATTGGGAGGAGTATGCGGCGAATCTGGGCCAGGGGCTGGATGATTTGGGGTTTTTGACGCGGCTTGATTTTCCTGATCCTTTGGGATGAGACGACTGGATATAACATTATTTGTGAACTAATCTCTCCCGCTACGTTTACTCAAGTGTATCAATATAATGAGAAATGTCCGCAACACCTCCAGGCACCCACTGCCAAGGAAAAGCCCTGTCTGCGAACATAATTCACCCCGCCGGCCCCGAGGGATCGAGGGCCAAACTTGCAAGGGACCTCCTACTTATATAAGGTTTAATCAACCCCCTTCCTGCCCTTCCCCCCATTCCCCTTCCCCCGATCCCACCCAACAACATCCGTCCCATGCACCCAGTCCATCAACCCAATCGTCCCATAATTGACCCGAAACTTCTCATGGTGCAAATCATGCAGTTCCGCCGGCGGGAGTTTCAGAAAGTCATACCCACTGTGGTCCGCCGCCGCCTCCCAAAGCTCAAAGACGGCAAAGAGTATCATGGACAGATAATGCGCGCCTTTGAGATACAGCGGGAGTGTGATGGGCAGGACGTTGGCGAGGAGATGCTCAACGGGGTGTGCGTACTCGGCGGCAAAGGACACGGGCGCAGTGTACTTGTGGTGCATCTTGTGGATGTGTGCGTAGATGCTGGGGTGGTGCAGGGCGCGGTGCACGTAGTAAAAGGAGATTTCGCGCGCGAGGAGGGCGAAGATGAAGTCGGTTGTGAAGGTTGTCCAGGGCGGGACTGTGGGGTCGAGGTTCACGGTTGCGTGGTCGAGCCCTTTGGAATAGACGAGGAGAGCGTGCAGGGCGACGATCCAGAGGTGGTTGAAGAGGGTGACTTTGGTGCAGTGGATGATTTGTTGGCGGGTGGGTTGGCGGCGCGCGGGCTGGATTTTGTGGCGCTGCGAGAATTTGGGAAAGAGCGCGTCGATGAGCATGTAGAGAGTTGCTGGGATGATGAAGCCGACGATTTGCGTCATGATTGAGCCGGCGAGTTCGATTGTGCCGGGTTTGTAGGTTGTCATGATGCCAGCCCAGGCGTCCTGGAGTTGGGAGTGGAGATCCATGGTTGTTTTTGTCTTTGGCAATGTGCGTGCTCTATGTTTGGCTTTTGAGAATCCTCGGAACCTGGTAGCTCTTGTATAGATATATACGCTTGCCGTAAAGAGATCATGCAGCCTTCACAGGCGCACTCCCAGTTACCTGGTTTACCGGGTGTGTCGGAATCGACCCGAACGACCATGAGACTGGCCGCGGCCTCAGCATATCAGCCGAACTTGTGGGAGCTCCCCCGAGTCAGTGTTCTCAAGCGCACGGAAAGGCCTCTGGTGCACATGTTGAACCTCGCTTCGGTCCATTCGGTTTGCACGGGACAGTTCCGGGGACCCCCCAAGGCTTGATCGATGTATATCCAAACCCCCTTTTGTAATAAAATGATATACTTAAGCCCTAGGCTAATCCCCACCGGAGTATCCAAAAGTTTTGTTCGCAATCTAAACCCCGTAATATCACGGAATGGCTTCGAAACCCGAGAATCTTCCCTCCTACAGCCAGATAGCCTGTGTCGGCGCCGGGCTATCGGCCGTGGCGTTGGGCGCAACACTGAAGCGTTGGTACGGGCTTGAAGACATTCGTTTCTTCGAGCGCCATCCAACAAGCGGGGGAACGTGGTACATCAACACCTATCCAGGTCCGTTTTCTTCCGTCCCCTTGTCCCCGGTTACTAACATCCATGATACAGGATGTGGCTGCGACGTCCCAAGCGCATTATACAGCCTCTCCTTTGCCCTGAACCCCAACTGGACGAAGCTCATGCCCTCCCACAAGGAAATCAAAGAGTACGTAGACGAGGTGGTGGACACGTACAATCTCCGTCCAAAAATGACCTTTGGCACGGAGGTCGTGCGCAGCGTCTGGCGCGAAGAGGCGAATCGCTGGCTCCTCTACCTGCGGGATCGAGCCACTGGCCGCGAATACACACACGAATGCCAGATCCTCTTCGCGGCGACGGGGCAGCTAGTCGAGCCACGGCCGTGCGAGATTCCTGGCGCTGCCGACTTCAAGGGGAGTATCTTCCATTCGGCGCGGTGGGATCACAGTGTTGATTTGCAGGGGAAGAATGTGGTTGTTATTGGTAATGGATGTATGTGTTTTCCGTATCCCATAACAAGAGGTCTGTCCGAGTATTAACTGCCCAGGCACCGCCGCGCAAATCGTCCCCGCCCTAGTTGACCAGGGGCAGATCAAGTCCCTCACGCAGATCGTCCGAACGAAGCACTGGATTTTCCCAGCCCCGAATTTCACCTACCCGCGTGTTCTGCAATGGATATTCCGTTATGTGCCATTTGCCATGAGACTGCATAGATTCCATATCTTCCTCATCGCCGAGAATGACTTTCGCTTGTTCCCAATGACCAAAGGGGCGGCCAGACTGCGGGAGAAGCGGCGCAGGCAGGTGGAAAAGTACATGCGCGAGGCCGGTCCAGAGAAATACCATGACCTGCTGATCCCCGACTTTGACGTGGGATGCAAGGTATGCCCTTCCTCTCTACATTCTTAAACACTATGTAAGGAGCTGATCCTAATCCCGCAACCCAGAGACGCATCTTCGACCCCGGCTACCTCAAATCCCTACACAGCGAACAAGTCCTCCTCACAGACGCCAAAACCGAGCGCATCACCGCAGACGGAATCGAGACAGACAAGGGCTTCATCCCCGCAGACGTGATCGTTCTCGCAACCGGCTTCCAGACAAATAAATTCATCCCCTACATGGATGTTGTCGGGCGCAATGGTGAGAACGTCGCGCAGCACTGGTCGAGATACGACGGGCCAGCGGCTTACAATTGCTCGGTGCTCAGCGGGTTTCCGAATTTCTTCATGCTGCTGGGCCCGAATGCTGCCACGGGGCATACATCTGCCATGATGGCTGCTGAGAAGTAGGCGACGAATCCTCATCCTTGGTCTCTACCTAGTTTGGCTAACAATTCAAGCTCGATTAATTACGCCCTCCGAGTACTGAAGCCAGTTCTCGATGGCGACGCTGCCTCGGTCGAGCTCAAAGATCAGGCCGAGCACGACTACGTTTACTGGGTGCAGGACGCGTTGAATAAGCGCGTTTGGAACGCAGGCTGCGTCTCTGTAAGCGGATCTATTCCCAATTTCCAACAATTCTCTCAACCTAACGCGGCTGGATAGTGGTATCTCAATGATAAAAAGTGGAATTCCATGTCCTACCCCTGGACGCAGGGCCACTACTGGTGGAGGAGTCTCTTCCCCACTTGGTCCGACTGGACAATCAAGGTAAGCTTCCTGAAGCAGGGTATGTTGCTGAGGCCCTCATACTGACTGGTAACAGAAAATCGCCAAGCCAGCGTCGCGGCCATGGGCCCGGATTTTGCTCCTCGCTCTCGTCTGCGTCGGGTTGGTGGGAGTCGCTCAGTCCACGGGCACTGGAAGGACGGCGTTCCTGGTTCTGAAAAACTACATGGACACTGTACGAAACAAGATGCTGAGCAGGTAGAGGGTAGCGTTAGCCGTGTACTACTAATGTCTTTTGCGTTTTGTGAAGCTCTCTATACTATGTCCAGTCCGCCCTTGGAGATCTTGGCCGTGTTTTCTACACCCAAGGCCAGAGCCTTATATATAGCCACCTTATCACGGCCAGATACGGCATCCATGGCAGGCAGTGCCTGGGGCACATATTAAACTATATAACATCATCTGTAGTTGTTGTCTCGAAAGGGCGTCTGTTTATTCCTGAGATTCCTCTGAGAGGCGACAATTGTGACCCGTGGAGAGTATGAGGTCCTTGCCCACGCAGCCAAACTTCATTTCACAGAGGAAACGGTTTTTCATCGCCATTTCATGGTTGGGCGAACTTGGCTTTTTTCATCCTGGATCTAGAATATGTATTGCCTATAATGTCTGGAAACTCTAGCTTTAGATGAGGATTTTATATACGGCCTCTGAAGGTATGGAGTCTAAAGCGCTGTGCATAAACATGAACCCATCGCCGCTGTCATTGATATGTATAAATCACCCGAGCCGACTCAATAGAAGAGCCCTTGGCCACGACAACCCTGCGCGACAGGATCACCTCCTCGCCGAATAGTTCCACAGCCCAGATCTAGGGACCCCATGTGTTAGCATGCAACCTGCTAGAGAGTAAGGTATGCGCACCTGCTCAGCCGTCCATCCGGAGTCAACACTCCTGACAAAATCATGAATAAAAGCCTTCTCTACAGTGTCCGGGACAGCCTCGTCTTGCGACACTATAACCGGCTCGCCAAGTACACTCTCAGCATCTGCTCCAAGATTCATGGTCTGGAATTTGACAAGTGGTCGCACTCGTCCGTCGGACGTCTTCTCCCCGGAAATATACTGGCTTCGAATAAGCACACGGCCGAAAAGGCTATCGTTGTACTCTGCCTCGGTCCATGTCATCGACCGCTTCTCGGGCGCTGGCTTGAGCACGCCAGCGAGGGCAGGCTCGAGGAGCATCCACTCGGGTGGTGAAGAGCTGGAGCCAACGCTGTCCGAGTCTGACCACTGCGTGATTTTCAGAGACGGGGTTGCCGCCGCGATCGCCTTTCTGGTTACCCAGCCGACTCCTTGCTATTTTCGGTGAGCTTTGGAAAAGGATAGTTGTTTGGCGATATATGGCCTGCTTACCAGTTTAAAGACTGCATCGACATTCGTTGATCGGGCCTTGTCCTATTTCCGGGGTGAGCACTCAGGCTGGGGTTAATCACCTGCCATGTGTGGCAGACCTACCATGACCCAATTGCCATTTAGATTGCGGATACTGATTCCATTCGTGGGAGCCATCGTTAATCGGAATCGCTTCGTAATCAGCCTAGTTCACGGCGTAGGAAGAAGAAAACACCAAGACGGGGATCCTCGGCCAGAACCGCAACTTGGGCACCGTCAGCGAACCGGATATTTATGTAACGTGAGATGCATTGGGATTGTTCTTCTCTGTGTTTGCACGCTCATCCTCGGCATACTCCAGGATTCGGCGCGGCTGGGTTCCTTGTCGTCTCCGCGTTACCATCCGGAACCGTTCCGGGCTCCATCCGGCCGGGGGATAATCACGAGCGATGGAGCAAAGCGCGCTGAAAGCTGCAAACCAGAAATGACATCTAGGCTCGGGAGGGATTTATCAACGCTTGTCAAACCAAAAGAAGGGGCTTCATTCCATTTCTGTTCCTGCTTACCCAAGTCAGGGAAAAGTACCTGCCAGCATCTCACACTGCGTCTTCCCCAACAGCCCAAAGCATGTCGACAACAAGCAAACGAGGCTTCCTCCCGCGCGAGGGCCTTTACATCGACCCCATCATAACTGGTCTACGGCGATCCATCCTCCATCCGATCTTCACAGTATCCCTGCTACACTTACTGCGCTACCGCACATTCACCTCCCTCGCTGCATACGAGAGCATCGTGCAATTCACCGCAGCGGCCAGTGTTCTCTTGTGGCTGAATGACTGGTTAAGCACCCAGAGCGCGAACAACTGGGTGACTGATGAGTCCTGGGACTGGAAGAAAGAGCTGGTCGTGGTGACTGGCGGGAGTGGTGGGATTGGCGCCGGCGTCGCACAGCGTCTGGCTGCTCGGGGGGCACGAGTTGTTGTCGTGGATATTATTCCGCTGACATATAAAGCTGGTGTGTATCTCTACTTTTCCTGACAACGAGACTCGTGTAGATGCAGGCTGGGCTTGCTAATGTCGCCTGAAGAGACCAACCGCATCATCTACCACAAATGCGACCTGAGCGACGAGAAGGAAATCGCAGCCGTGTGCGAGAAGATCAGATCAGAAGTCGGGGATCCCACAGTTCTACGTCAGTAAAACACTCCACCACCAACCATGGCTGTAGGTAGCTAACGCTCGCAGTCAACAACGCTGGGCTCTCGCGCGGACGGACCATAGCCGAGGGCACGTACGCCGACAACAGCATCACCCTCAAAACGAACCTGCTCGCCCCGTTTCTCCTGACCAAGGAATTCCTCCCCGCCATGATCCGGCGGAACCACGGACACATTTTCAACGTCGGCTCGATGAGCGCGTATATACCGCCGCCCGGCCTCGCAGATTACGCCGCGTCCAAGGCTGGACTGATTGCGTTCCACGAGGTAAGTAACCCAGAGTCTCTTAGAGAGCATATCGCGTCTGCATATCAAGTTGGTACCATTGCCTATGATGCTGATATCCCTACGCTATACAGTGCCTCGCACAAGAACTCCGAGCCCAGAACGCGCCCAAGGTCCGCACCTCGCTCGCCGTCCTGAGTTTCACAAAGACACCCCTGTTCAAAGGCGAGACGAACCAGTCTCATTTCCTCATGCCGCTTTTGCACGTCGACACCGTCGTCGATGCCATTGTGGATATCCTCGACAGCGGCCTGAGCCAGACGGTTTTCCTCCCCGGGATATTCCGCTACTTGGCTGGATTGGTGAGTTGTCTGATATGGCTTTGGCCTGTGCTTCGGTTCGGTTTATGTGTGGCTAATGACTGACTGTGCAGCGCGGAGCGCCGGGTTGGGTCCAGGATTTGGTACGTGGGGGGACGAAATCTCTCAAGGTGGACTTTAAAGGGCGGCAGAAGATTGACCCCCAGACAGGGAAACTTGTCTAGAGGTTTGAATGGATGGACAGTGAGTGGGCTGGCGGAAATCCTGGCTGGGAAGAAGGGAATCAATGTTTGTATTGCACTTGATAGGGTAGGCACTTTTATTGAAAGCTGAGGGGACAGGGAACAAAAGCAAAAAAAGACAATCACTAGCTCGAGTCAGGCAATAAATCATCCGCCGAGTTGAATCGCCATTATTGTCCTAGTAATGATCGCGGTGTAGATGAATCTCCGTCCGCACAACAATCGCCCCCATCTCGTCCGCGGGCGAACCAGGCATACTCCGCGTTTCCAACTCCAGCGGTTCGCCGTACCATTTGGTCGAATGCCCAATAGATCGTCTTCCACCCGCTTGAGTCCATGCAGAGGGTCCCGGGTGCATGCCCCAGCGGTGAACCGCGGTGCTCGAGTCCTCCGGGTTCGTGCGCGACCGCGAGGAACCAAATACCCCGAGGCGAACGACCAGCGGCTTCAGCGTCACGCCAGCCGTGCAGATGATACTGATCGCGGCTTCAACGATGGACCAGAAGATGATGGGGTGGTTGGCCATGAGCGGGTCCGAGACGGGTTTGCGGGGGAGATAGACGAGTCGGACGATTGTTGCGATGCTTGCTCTATTATGCGCCAACCAAAAGGGGTCTCGGCGTCAGTCAATCCTTCAGGTGCTTATTCCAGGGAGAGGAGGCGGGAGGGCAAGTAATCATTGCATACACTGAACTGATCCCGAGCAGGAAATATACCGACGCTCTCATTTTGCGATGCATCTTCGAGTTCCACAGGAGGAGGATGGGGAGGCCGAGACCGAGGGTCATGTCCGCGATGAGGACCCAAGCGGCGTGGATGGTAATAACAATGCCCTGGCTGGAAACCGACTTGCAGGAGCCTCCACCCTCAATGTCGACGACCTGCTCCCAGAAGTACTGCACAGGCTTGCAGAAGAACAGGACCCAGAACCATGCAAATATCGAGATCGCAGCGCCGGAGATTGTAAGAAGGTACAGGGTGTAACTGTGAGCTTTGCTGATCACGATGCGGAAGAGGGTAAAAATGAAGGACAATTTGGCGAGGTACGTCGTGAGGAAATAGAAGAGCTCTCCGACCAGAATGACCTTGAGCCCATGCTGCGAGGCCTCGCTGGGTATGTCGCGTCCAAGGCCGTACCGTAAAACCCCAAGCACGTAGCTGATTGAAAGCGCAGAATTCGTAACCTGGACGATGGCAACGTAAGCTGGATAAGTCGCACCTTATGGGCAAGAATGGCGAACTCACTGCTGCAATTGTGGCGATATAATCATCGATCGCGGAATTCCGTAGTAGGAAGAATCGAACGTAGACTCGAAGAGTGAGCAAGATACAAGATAGGACGTAGAGAATGATGGCAGTGATAACACAAGCCGTGGTATTATACATTGTGCTGGCTCGAAGACATGGGGGATGCGGTGAGTCGCGTGAGGCCGGACGGGGGCTTCGAGAAACCCTGCACCCTTGGGGAGTCTGGCTACTTAAAAGACTACAGGGTCCAGCTGTCCATGGCTCACGGCACGCTAATGGGTTGGGAAGGATAACGCATTGACCCTTTGGGTGAGACTCTGTCTGGTCTCGCCAGGGGGGTGACTAGGCATTGCGTAGCTATCCTGAATCATTAACTAGGGCGATGGGGTATCTGTTTAGTATCCCCAGTCAATCTACGAGACATTGGATGACAGGCTGGAGCTACATGTGCTGTGTATTAAAGCTCCCCATAAATGAAGCGCGACTAGGCCTGCGCTAGATCAGGCAGGGAACTTCCCCGGATCTCATCCACCTACCTGGGATAACGGCGCAGGCTAGTGTTGAGCTCTGGATCAAAAACGACCTCCCCACAAGCTCGGCGATATGGCCCAATGCGTGGAGAGTCTGGACGTCGCCAAGTGTCCATTGCAGGATCCCATGGAAAGGCTACCCGTCCAGCTGAGGAGACCTTTCTCACTCAGCCAAGCTTATCACTACCTTTTAACTTTCGAGTAAACCTGGACCGCGTCCCTAGCCAAATGCAAACGAATCCTGAACGCCACCCCAGCTTTCCAACTCCGGGATCCATCCGATGCCCAGCTTTGTGACTACGGAAACGAGCCGGCGTCGGTTCCACTAATTCAACCCGGGGATGCTCGAGACTCTCTATAGCTTACTGAAGTCTACTCGAGAGTATTTATGTGAGACTCATAGATGATGTTTCGGGTTCAGCCCACTGGGTATCTTGAGCATGGTTGATGACTTTTCCGCAGCCGAGGCTGCTCCCTTTGGATGTAAGTATCTCCCCAGTTCTCGGCGATGGGTTTCATATATATCTTGTCCAGATATTGTTTCACATGGGTCTCCGGATCCGCACACACCACGGCCAGTAGCGTGGAAAAATGGGATACAGGGGGCCCCGCGTGTGTTCCGGGACGGCAGGTATCCTGCATCCACCCACCACAACGTGACAATGGACACATCCTCCGGTTACTGGTTTTTCTACGGCACTGCGACTGATCACCATTATGAACCGTTTTCGCGCTTCGACTCGGCACAACCGACTACCTGGTCGTGGCCTTGCGCTGGTAGCGAGGGGCGAGCAGAGATCTCGGCTGCTCAGTTAGGTCGGTGCCTTGTTCCCCTCAGACCCTTATCCTCCCGTCCCAAGTCAATACTAACAATGGACTACGCGCGGTTACTATTCGCTTCCTTTTTCTTGAAACTAATTCGGCAACAACAGGGACACCCAGGGACAACATTCCTCTTCACACCAATCATAGCTGGGAGCACCTCGACAGACAATCCATGGTTTCCCACACAACGACCCAATCTCCACTCCAGATCGATACAAAGCCCAAGCCAGACCCGCTGGACTGGGGCTCAGACACCTCGTTCCAAGCAAACAACAGATACAATATCCCCGCGCACCAGCCCAGCGAAAAGGACACGGTGGACAGGCTCCTCGAGAATACAAAGTGGCTCATCTTGCACTACGAGGACGTATCCGGGAGGCTACTAACAAGACCCAGGCAGATCATACGGGGCAGGCCCCGGGGGTCTGTGAACAAGCTGCCGCGGAGGAGGGCTGCTAGGACGGACTACCTGAAGAAGGCTGCGCATATCCGGTCTGAGCAGCAGCGGCGGGATGTGGTGAATAAGGGGTTTGAGGAGCTGAAGGGTCTTGTTCCAGGGCTGAGGGGCCAGAGCTTCTCAAAGAGCGACACGCTTCATGTAGTGTGCGATTGGATTGAGGAGTTTTCGCAGGTGAATGAGGGTTTGAGGGCGGAGTTGGAGGAGCTGGACAGGAATATGCGCCAGCCGGGAATTTGAGCTCTATTACAACATCAGTCACTAGACTGGTGTCATGGCGCCTTTTTAGTCGACTGGTGAAGTGGTTAATATGAGACTCTATGCTGTGCGCTAATCTCTGGCTGTTCTAGTACCTATGTCTCTGTTTGCGGTATACCTGGCCAGCTACATGCGACTCGAATTGTCTCTAGTATACTAAATGGATTCAGCCTCAAGGTCCAACTTTGTGTAGTCCATCATTGGGCGAATGTTGATGGAAACCAGGAGGAAATCAGTCGTGATAGATGGATGCATGGAGGAATAGGAACCAAAGAGTTATCTCGCAGCGATCAGGCTATAGAAAGCCGGGATCCCTCGGTGCTAGCCGCACAATAAAGGGAAAGATAGCACCACACGTTCCAGCGCGTGATGTACGCGCCCGCCATCTAATTTTAGGAACCAGTTCCCGTAATAGGATGTTAATAAACAGGGCTGCGCCTGGGCCACGGCTCAAGCGCCGAGTGAGTTCAACACTCCGTCAACACACGACACCGACACCAGTCCGTCTTCGGGTGCCCTATTTGAGCACAAGAGGTATGCCTGGGTCTGCCTCAGTACCCATGCATGCCACAGCTGTGCTTTTCGCCCAACCAGCCGACTCTAGGAGGCCCTCCTTGAAAGGGCAAAGGGGCATCGGGGAGGACATTGGAGTGAATGAGAGATCTGGGGGTATCGATCGAACGGATTACCCAGTCGAAAGCCAGACTGTGAATGGGAGTATTCACTATAGTCCTGTTCACTACTAGTAAGCAAGGGGGCAGCTTTTAACTTTCTGTCTCATATTCCTAGGAACTGGCTTTACCAACAGCTCGATTCATCTCTCAACATCCCTATTCCGGACTCTCAACTCGGTAAAGCCATGGACGAGGCAATCTCCAAGTCGAATAAAAGGGAACAGAGCGAAAGGCAACTTGATGCGCAGGCTAAAGAGCTCGAAAAAGCTCGCCGTCGGGATGATAAATCTGAGAAATCTGATCACTGCGGCGATAGCTCGGCAGTTGTGACGATCTGATGGCCAAGTATCTCAAGGAGTTTATCGAGAGACTGTTGGGTATCGAGTGCATTTTTACGGACATGATTACCAAGACGAAGAATACCATGGATAACGTCTTGGCCTCGCAGAGGGACATTGAGACGTTCATGGACGGCTCGAGAAGATCCGGGCGGACTCCAGGGACGCAGATAATGTCAGTGGGATCAATGCGACAGCCGATGAAACGGACTGTTCGCCCCCGTCACCTCCATCGGCAGGCCGCAAAGGTCGACTCAGAATAATCATGGTAGGATGGGCCAAATGGTGCATCCACGGACCCGAGCTGGCCTTATGTTCATGCGACTACCAAACCTCTCAAATCCTTGAGGGGAACAGCAGAACTTACATCATCCTTTCCAGATAAGCTTTACGCGGGCCATATATAACTATCGGTAGCCAGCATTCAGGAGGACATTACTAGCCTATCTGCAAACGAATTCACCCGCCCTATTTGACATTTAGACCAAGCCCATAAACTGTCAAAAAGCATGTTGACCAACGGAGACAAAGTCGTAACACCAGTGGAAGAGATGGAGAGTGCGATCAATGCCCCGGGTCCCGGCTTCCTGGGTCTCCTCCAGGCCGCGCCTTCTAATATCCGGCAGTACGCCTACCAAAGCATTGCGCAGTTCCTCGACATCGCCAACGATGAGATCAACAACGTTGACGGGTTGTTTCTACTGACTGGAGCCAGCGACGAGATATTTGAAAGCACCTTTCGTACTCCCGAAGATAACCACGGCCCCTTCTCTAGCTGGTCGTGCTACGACGCCGAACTTGGGCTTGTGCTTTTCAAGATGTCTGAATCACCCAGGCATTCTTTTGCTGGTGAAGGATTTGACCGTCTCCTCGTCGAGGCTCTGCAATCAATCGAGATGGCGCGCCAGATACTTCCAGTCGGTACTATGCTCTGCATGTCTTTGACCGGTGGGAAGAAAGCAGACAAGGCATGGCGGCCCCGAGGCCCCTGGTGCAGAGACCGGACAGAATGGCCCAACCTTGTCCTGGAGGTTGCCGTCCCGGAGACTCGGAAACCGTAGAGCGATGTCAGGTGGTGGGTACAAGAATGCCCTCGCAGAATGAACACTGTGACGGTGTTGGCTATCGCAATCAGCCGTCGTGCCCCGACCATCACTATCGGAAAGTGGGATAACGATGCCAATGGCGATGTGCGCCTCAAGCAGACTATTGTAATCTCAAAGGATCAAGCAACCAACACAATCACCATCCCTGGGGCGCCGCTCGTTATCGAGTTTAGCAAGCTCTTTGAGCGAGAGCCGGCCACACCCACGGAGCGGGACATTGAGATAGGCGATGACAAGCTGGAGTGGTGGGCGGAGGTTATATGGGAGCGGCCAGGCTCTATCATTAGGTGAAACAAGCGGCAGAGGGTAATAAGAAAAAATGCCGGTCGGATGGGATGTGTTATTGAGGAGGTATAATGAGAGGGGTTGTCGCGAAGCCGTGATATCTGCCTGGTCCTGCTTTGCTCGTCGGTTCACCGGGCTCAGGGCATTGTATAATTTACACAGCCTGTACTCCGTTATTCTTGTATTTATTATAGAATGGAATGAACTTCAACCAAGGTCTACCGCGCAAACTGTTGCGCACCAGAATTAGAATCTAGAATCCACATCCCCTACGAAAAACTCTTAAGGAGAAATACAGTCTCTGTGCCCTTCTTCGCCTCCCACATAGGTGTTTGTGACTCTACCCCGGCTCGCCAAATCCGTTTTATTGGAATCTTGTGCCTCGACCAGCATAATATGCGTAATATCCCTACCCATGCCCTTGGCGTATCAGCCGCACCGTCACAGGCAATGCAGCTTACACATGCTTAGACTACCATGCATTAGCTCAATACCGTATTCGGACCTTATTTGACTTTAAACCACCGGAATTAAGCCCCGGCTATAAGGATGGTCTGACTTTCTGGGCGGAGGGTCGCCGTCTAGCGACTTGGCCTTCTGCGCTCGGAGCCCGGAACCCCGGGTGCGTAAGGGACAACCACAACCCTTTTGACCTCTAGGGGGCTATCTTACATCGGCAATATTAGTAAGGTGCATGATTCCAGCTTCAAAATATATGGAGCTCAGCTAAGCCACTTAAGACGGTGCGTGCGACTCGTTCCAGCTCATGCCACTGTCCAATCCTGTCAAGGTCCACAACTTCCCTTTTCGTAGCAGCCTCATAGGGTGTATTATACCGAATGTCGTGGCTTCTATGTCCTCCGAATGCGATGAATATCGGCATGGATAGAAGAAGCATGATTTGAAATCAAGCCAGCTTGGCAAAAGGCCTACCTAGGTGTTTTTAACATATAAATCCTCCTATGTTCCCAGAATCCCCGTCCAAACAAACCCCGGATCGGATCACCGACAGCATCCACCAGCAAACATGGCTCCATTCCCACCCAAAGTCCAGCGCTTCCCCTACGAGGCAATCAACCCGCATCGCCCACCCCTAAGCCAAAAGGGCCGCACAGTCATCGTGACCGGCGGCTCATCCGGCATCGGCTACGCAATCAGCCGCGCCTTTGCGCAAGCCAGCGCAGACCGGGTAATCATCGTGGGCCGCCGGCCGCCGGCCGTTACCAAAGCTGCTGCTTCGCTTTCTGCCGAGCTTCCGTCGTACCAGGGGACATTCGATGGACGAGTCTGTGACATTTCTTCGTTGAGCAGTATCGAGCAGCTATGGAAGGCGCTGGGAGAGGAGGGTATCACGGTGGATGTTGTTGTGCTTAATGCAGCGAGCTTCTCGGTTGAGAGGCCTGTTCTTGAGATTGGGGTGCAGACTCTACTCGAGGATTATACGGTGAATGTTCTAGCTAGTTATCGGTTTGCGCAGCTGTTGGCGAAACAGAAACCGGGAACTAAGAAGGTGAGAAACATGCGAGACCTCTTCTATTGCAGTCAACTCATAGATTGGACCCCCTTGCCTGATGATCTCTACAGTGCCTCATCAACGTCTCCACGATGGCAATCTACAACCCTGACGCGGCATCGACTAACCTCAACTACGGCGCCAGCAAGAACGCAGCCGCCTTGCTCCTCCAGCTCCTCACACGGAATGTCTCGGTCGACGAGATCCAGATTCTGAGCTATCACCCTGGGGCTGTTCTGACGCAGACGGCGAGGGAGCATGGGTATGACGAGAATACTCTTCCTTGGACTGATGGTGAGTGACGGTTTCTTTTATTATTTCAAACCTTTCGTTCAACGGCCCCGGGCAGGAAGCAAAAAGGGAAAAAGAAAGAGAAAATTGCCATGTTCTGTGGCTAATTTGACTCTTCGTTCTGCACAGTCAACGTCCCCGGTCAGTTCGCCGTATGGGCTTCATCCGACGAAGCAAAATTCCTGCACGGCCGCTTCGTGCACTCGAACTGGGATGTGACGGAGTTGCAGGCAGGGGCAGTGAGGGGCTTGATTGACGAGGATCCTGATTTTCTCAAGATTGGGGTGAAGGGGCTGGGATCTAACACTCGTTCCTGGGAGGAGACCACTTGATGGTTGTTCCCAGCAAGCTTTATATAATCTATTTGTATGTGTTACCCAATCGGCGTGTCTGTTGGGGCTACGACATTTGGACTTGGTTAATGAGATCGTACGGTCATCGGCCTAGATATACTAGTTATTCTGAGATTATATTGTTGAATTGTCAACGGCAGTGATAGAAAAGTATGCTCAAGCAATCCTTGTGCAAGTAATAGGTACCGGGTGACAAAGAGACTCGTTTCGTAAGAGTAAACGAAATGACAAAAATCAAGGTAGAACGGACATTCGACTGCCAAGGTCTTGATCCAAGTAGAGTCAATACTCAGGCGTCATGGCAGGGCTTGCTTCAGATGCACTCTCTTGTTTCGGCCTTCCGGCAGGGTTGCTTGGGGGGAAGCTCTGGGTTTGGGCTTCGGCTTGGGATTCTTCTCGGGTTCAGGCTCAGGTTCCTCTCCCGATTCAGACTCAGATCCATATTCTGGCTCCGCTTTTGCCTTGGGCGGAGGCTTAGGCTTCCGCTTCCTCACAGCCATGGTTTGTGGATTGCTTCCATCAGTGCAGACGAGCAGCTTTGAGGCGCCTCTGGCAATCCCGTAGTGCTTTGGATTAAAGCTGTATTGCGCATTGAAGAGCTGTCCCTTCCAAGACGAATTGGCGAAGATAGTGCCCCCGTACGCTTCTGCTGCCTCCTTCCGCCCAACTCCAAGCTTCGCCACAAAGTCCTTCTCGTTGTGGAAACGCTCTGCGTGATAGAGCTCAAAGTCCCAGTCATGGCTAGGGTTCCCGAACGTGAAAACAGGAGCCTTTGTAGGAGCTCTGCATTATCGTTTTGCAGTTCTTGCAACACGGAGTGTAGAAGAAGACACCCCTGCGAGTGTGCGATGACGACAACCTGCTCCCCCGAGGCCGCCTGTAACTTGTCTTTCAACGTATTCTGGGCTCTTCTGCTGCTCTCCGTGCTGTTCACGAGATTTGACCCTTCGCCTGGCCTGCTTTGCTCCCCGGCACACTCGAATATCCCAGAGAATTCCCTCGCTTCGGTTAAGGACCCCAATTACCTCCCGGTGAAATCTTCCGCAATCCGGTTACAAGCTGCCTTGACCCAGAAGGGCTCGCCAGAAATTCCGTTAACGAAGAGCCACTCCTCTTTGCCCGTCTGGAACTCTGCCCCCTCCACATCGCTCTTGATTTGTGTCACCCGCGGTATCAGCTTCCAGCGTTGTATTCATTTCCCGCATCGCAGAATTTGCTTCTTTATTCCGACTGTTAAGAAGGACGACGATCGACTTGCCGAACCACTGAAGCTGGCAAATAACCGCATATCGGTTCATGGGTTTGTGGAGATTCAACTCGTTGTACTTTTTTAGCTTTCTAGCATTTGAGCCACGCCGTGTCCCTGCCGGTGAGGTGCTGACAGCAACCTTCTTGGCCGGTTCAATGAGGTCGATGCAGGAATTCGACAACGATCTGCGAGCGTTCCTTAACGATGTACCGGAGAGCGTCCGAGTTTGGGCCATCCTTGAAGATATCTTCATATAGTGGTGGAATGCTACCAAGGGAGCCACGCAAAGCGCAGAGACAACGTGCCGTCACCCCAAAGATAAAGTCTCGTACAGCTTGGTCAGCTGCGCTTTCGAAAAAATCCCCTGCAGTTTTCAGAGCGACGTTCGGGTCCACTAAGAGCTTAAACACTTCGGCAAGAATCCGATTGACAATATCCTTCCCGAAGAGTCCCAAGGGCAATGCACCAAGAAGCGTGGAGACTGCCCTACATCACTAGCAAGCTTCGCCAAGAGCCCAGCAGCGCTTTCGGCTGCAATGCTGGCGGCTTCCTTCTTAATTTGCTGGATGTCGCCGTCGATCTTGTGGAGGGGCTCTTCAAACTGAGTGTCGACCTCCTCGGCAACTGTGGCGACGCCGTCTTCAAGAACTGTAGTTTTCTCAGAGATCTCAGCGACGACGCGGATGTTGTGGGAACCCTCGTCGCTATCGCCCTGCGTAGGGACATTGGCGGCTTCCTCAGCGACTTTCGCGGCGTCCGTAACAATCCGGTTTGCGTGCTCTGCAGCTGTGCCTTCAGTATTTGAAACGATCCCAGATGCAGACGCTGCTATACTCGCAGCAAGTCAATCAATCCTCACAGCAGCAGCAGTAGCAGCAGAAACTGCTCCAGCAGCTCCCTCCTTTCCCGCTATCCTCGCCGCTTCCCCGGATAGCCTGATCGCAGCACCCTTATTCTCTGCGCCGTCTTTCTTTCTCTTCCGGACATTCTTCTGCAGACATCCAGCAATACTGCCGACTCTCTCTCGCATCTCGCTATCATCGCATTGCTCAACGATTGCAGCATGTCCGCCTTGATGACGCTCGCCCTAGCAGAATCCGGCGCATCGTTATCAGCATTTCCTGTGTGATTTTTGGGACTTCGGAGGTTATATCGGCGGCGGCTTCGGCTAGGCAGCAGGCGGCGTCTAGAGATTTCACTTGCGTGGTGTCATCTTTGGCTTTTGACTTGACTTCTTTCAGGAGATTGGGGATTGTTTGGGCGAGAGAGGGAATTGTTTCGCTGGGTGCTGACATTGTATTGGAAAAGCGGCTGAAGAGGCAAAGGATATCAAGATTGATGGTCTGGGCGATACCTTTAACGAGCCTATTGAATAGTGATCATTAGCTTTATTAGGATCCGTTGACTGGCAGGGTGCATGACACAACGACTCACAACTCTGGGGAGGATCGGGGCCGCAGCCTGGAGGAGAATGAACCCTATATGAAGGCCCATTTCATCGGCTTGCCATGATAAAAACGACATAGCAGAGATATCAGTTCAACGCTGCTAAGGCGCAAGTTCCGGCCTGCCAACTCCGCCAACGTTTCCCTGAGACAATCGGTCTCGCCAAGTAGAAGGTGATCGTTGCGGACTTTGTGTCGTTGGAGACTATCCATAATGAAATCCATGTAGGTTTCATTCCTTCGCTGTTCAGATAACGACTCTTCATGTTTGGTTTTTTTTTTTTTTTTCTTTTTTTTGCATATCCCAAATCCCCGCTCCTTAAAGCCATATTCACAGCACAGCTCACCCACTCCCCACACCATGCAACCCCAGCCTAACCCCCTGATTAATAGCACAACCGGGCCCACAAACCTCATCCTCGGGAACGCGGTTAGCAGGCACCGTATCCACAACCTTCTTGACGATAAACCTAGGCTCAGCGACCAACTTGGCGTCCCGAACCGGCTTTTGCAGCCCTTCAACATCACTCGCAAATCCGTACAGGGGCCGCAGGATGATACAGAGATCTGTCAACCCGTCGAACTTCTCTAGAGCATTGACGATCCGCTCCCATTCCGGGATTGGGTCATGGTGTTGCGAGACTGCGTCAGTATAGACGGGTGACTCGAGATATAGCGTGCGGATTGCGGAGAGGCGGGACTGTGGGATGTAGCGGGGGAGTTCGAGCACGGTGGGTGGGTTTCCAATGTAGAATCTGTTCCGTGCATAAAGGTGTATCGTTTCAATATACCTGAAGGGGTGAACTCGGCCCCTACCAATCAGTATATAGCATGTACCCATCTCGAAACTGAAACTCACACCCTCCGACAAGTGCTCAACATCCCGATAACCTTAACCCCCAGCTTCCTTGCAAGCGCCGGATTTCCCCTCACATTGACCTTATTCCATGGATTCCTCGGTGAGCACTCGGAATGATTACACACCTCCCTACACCGCCAGCATAGCTCGCCCGACTGCGTCTGCTCGAGCTGATCCCGTTCGGGGAGTCTGCACAGAGCACTGCGGAACTTACGGGTTCGGCCGCCGACGTAGGCGATGTGGATTGTTTCGTTGAAGACGAAAACCTCGTTGTAGGTGATGTCCCGGATCTCGCGGGGGAGGTGGAAAAATGGGGATTGGGTTTGCGGGTGCGGGTGGGTTGTTGGTGTGGATGTGTTTCGGGTGGATCTTTTCGCTGGAGGGTCAGGAGCAGGAGTTAGAGGGCGCCGCGTCAAAGAGGGGTTCTTGTGCGTTATCTCGGTCTGTTTGCGTTTTTGAGGCATTTTATGGGGAGAGTTGGAGGTGGGAAGAGGATGCGGGGGGCCAGGGCGCTTATCAGGGCGAGGCTGAGTCGCGGGTTCTGGGCAGTCGAGCCCAATGGGACATGACCGGTCTAGACCACGACAGGGATCTTCATCAGGCTGATTCGCACACGGTGTTCTCCGTTTCTCTGGCTAAGAATAATCCCAACGTCACTCGCTCGCAGCTTGATAGATGGGTTTCATGATGATTGATTCTTCGAATTACCCTTCAACCCATTGGCAAGCCAAGACCACGAACTATACGGGGCATTTCAACTATCGGTAAAACGTCTACTATTTCCTCTGATTATTATACCGGAAATTATATCCCTGAACAGCCGCCATCTTTACGATGGTTAATTCCAAGCTCCTCTGAATACCGCCTTATCGGACATTGGCAAACATCATCGGCGCTGGTCCGGCCGTGGCTCAAATCGTATACTGCCCGCGCGAGCCATCACTACCTATATCAGCAATGCACAGAAGAATATGTCCAGGCGTTCCATCTTACTAGTAACATGGTTGAACTCGATCCATCCCATCTCCAGGTCCCTCTCTTGACTTGCCGACAACACATTTGTGGGTTTCAGCGGCATGCGATCAAGCTGAAGTAAACGCTCGTCGAGGGATCCGGGTCGGTCTAGATGGGAAGCATGGAGGTACAAGTTAATACAAGCACCGCTGATGCGATGAGACGGGCCACCTACCCGATAATCCTCGTCTTCTTCGTCTATAGCACTGGACGATGCCCAATACCGCGAGGATGAATGTCGGAATTGTGACGCACAATGTAATGAGAGATATCACGTCGTCGACAGACCAGCCCATCACTGTCTGACCATAAGCATAACCAGTTCTATGTAGTGTATAACCTCTTTTTGTGATGGCGTCGTCTTCGCTGGCGTAGGATACGGTTCGGTTGATATCTCAGGAGCAGGGCCGTATAGTCTTCGTCAAACGGGAAAAAGTATGAAAGTAACCGAAGAGCTTCCACGTCATTTCAGTTCAGACGATCTGATTTATATATGTGCAGCCCAGATCTCGAAAGTGGACACGCACCCTTTGGCCCCGGAGCGGTCTAAGCGCGCCCCCATCTTGCACCCGCCGTCATCTCGTTTGCTCCATCAAGGTGTGGGAGTTCAGTTGTGCAGTATTAGTGCAGACAATATTGATCCTCTTCCTTCCAAGTTAGGCAGCAATTAAAATTATGCTCTGAAAGGCCATCCAAACAAGCCTCACTGTTGATCAATGCAGGTTGGCGGTCTCGACCAGCCTGGACTTGGGCCAGACTTGGGCTGGAGCCTTTGGCCATCGCCTCTATCTCAGCCTCATGTTGCCCTGAAGCTTCAGAGGATTTGTCGCATAGTTTTCAACTCTTGCGCTGCGGAGTGATAGGATCTGCCCCAGAAAAATCCTGGTACGAGCGTCTTCAAGTCCTGGTAGAAGCAGTCTCTACCCGCGTCGCTGCACTGAAGCCACCGCCAAGTGTATAGTAGAGAGTCTACACGGTTAGTAAGGTGCAGTGTTTCTTGTTTGATCAGATAGATCCTTGACGGCTTTTTGGAGCTGGTGTTCTGCCATCCTCGAATCTCAGCTTTTCGCTGCCCGCAATATTGTGGCAGTGCCACCCTTGTCGGCTGTGCTTGGAGACGGCGGTCGCAGGAGTTTCTGGGATATTCACCAGCCACTCAGTGGAAGATGCATAAACTCCTAACAATGAACGTCAGAGCGCTTTCTACCAGTGACGAAGTTGGTACGGTGAGCTTTGCGCTGTAACAGCTCCCGCTAGTTCAGGAAAGGGCAGCCAATCCAACATTTCAAGACCCCGAATATCGAATCACTCCGCAAGAAATCGAATAAGCAGGTTCCTTGGTGCTGATCTTAGTGAGTGGGCAACTGTGCAGTGTTGGCAAACGATGACAGCTCGAGATGGGTGGGACTCGTGAGTGATAAAGACGGAAGGCACCGACACGGCCCATGCCTTAGTGAAGGAATCTTGAATCAGGTCACAGTGCAGGTTGACCTCTTGCATTTCATTAATGTGCGACAGTGACTAGGCATTTTGCTTTTGCGCCTGTATCTCGCTAGAGCCTAGACACTCATAACTCCCTTCTGTCAGGCTCATGCTAGCCAACGCAATATAGTGCTCGTACAGTGGGGCTTCGAACACTGCCACAGTAAACCAAGATAGTATAACACCTTTAATAAAGCATAGAAGCGACACACCAGTTGGAGCTCGCTCGTCGCAGGAGCCTTGACAAGGGCCTGCAGAGCGATCATCGCAATTTCCTGCTGAGGCCCACTCACCACGTGGGAAAAGTCGAACGAGCTCCAGGCCTCTGTTCTAGATCGAGGTCTCGTCTCGTCTGGTCCGGTCTGGGCCCTGGGCGTTAGGTACTTGGGGTGCTGCCGTCACAGGAACATGTTTTGTTTTGCGAGGCTCTTCTCTTTTGCTCGCTTGGCCGAGAACCCTTCAGAACTGGCGGTGGAGGGCGCCACGGGGAAGGTGAAGCGAAGAGAAAGAAATGCCGAGGGCTGCTTTTGACTCTTCAGTTTCGCTTCTAAGCTCATTTGTGGTTTGCTTTGATATCGCAACACTCTTCTTTCTTCGTGTGCCCGTATGGGTCTCTCCCCAGCTTCGTCAGGGAAGGATGGACCTCAGGCTTCAGAGAACCTTTGGAAGCTTCGGTACAGATGTTACAAGGCGAGTATTTCGCTCCCTGCATTGTCCGAGCACATGAAGCCTCACCAATATCTATCGCTCTCTGTTTCTTGGGGGCAAATGCACTGACAGTCGGGTACCAACCCCGTGGATCAATCTTCAAGTCTGCCGTGTTCGTCTGATTTATTCTTCACGAATCTCGTCCAAGCAGCTCGTCTGACTACAATTTATTCTCGAGCGATTGTAGACGCAGAGTGTGCATGAACAGCAAAGGTGCGCAAGTCGCGGATTTATTCGATCTTCTACAGCGCCAACTGATTGCTCGTATAGTGTCAGAAGATTACTTTGTGAAATACTTTGAATGCACAAAGATAGACCAGTCAATAGCATCTCAGGCGTTTATATGTCTATCTCATCACTACATAATGAATCATCTAGTATCCCTCACGAGGCTTCCCATCCGCAGCCTGGCCACTCGCTACCCCAAGTTCCTGCAGCATACCGGCGCCGAGAACGCCGACGTCTGTGTTGATAGAAACAAGGTCAAAGCCCTGCTGAGCACGTCTCTGGGCATCGACTCCGTTGGAGCCTGGATCGATTGTTAGAATAACCGTACCGAAGAGAGGGCTCCTTGAGAGAACAGGATTCCGGGTCACGTACAGAAAATAGCCGCCTTCTTCCCCGCATCATGCGTGGCCTTGAGCACACGCTGAATGGCAGCCTCGTGCTCTTCTCCGCCGCGCTCAACGCCCATTTGCTTTGAGAGATCGAAGGGTCCTACACGAGCATATCATCATTAGCATCCCACTCTCCCCTTATCCCACCTCAACCCAACCCAGCACATCTCATCTCCTTACGGGCCAACTCACCAATAAGAACCCCATCCAGCCCCTCAACAGCAACAATCTTCTCTACGTTCTCAACGCCGGGCCTCGACTCAATCTGCACAAAGACAACAGTCTCCTTATCCGCATTCGCATCGTACTGCGGGCCCGGAACCTCGGGGAACGAGTGCAATGCGAACATGGGGCCGTACCCGCGTGTTCCGGTTGGTGGGTACTTGCAGTAGGAGACGATCTTGGCGGCGTCCTCCTATACAAGTATTCTTGTGAGTATGACATCCACTGAGAAGTGTATGTGGAGTATGTGAGAGTATGTGAGAGTACGTACAGCCGAATGACACATAGGCGTAACGATTCCATGCGCGCCCGCGTCGAGCGCCCGCTTGATGAGCCACTCCTCTCCCCAGGGGACACGGATAAGCGGGCTGGCGCCCTCGGACGCGACGGCGTTGTTGAGCTGCAAGAAACGGATATAATCATTAGTTCATCGTCCACCCTGTCGGAAATCCAAAATCGGAAAATAAAACAGAATACAAGTGCGAACCTCATAATAATCCTTATCCGAAATCAACCCGTGCTCGCCATCAATGAGGACCCAGCTGAAGCGGTTGGAGTGTTGGGCAGCGGAGCGGAGGACGGTCTTTGCGACGCCGGCACCGGGGAGACTATACAATTTGCAGGTCAGTCAATGGGTTCTTGTTCTTCTGCTGTGGTAAATACGCGAAGGTATGGGATTTTGTGTGACGTACGTGAGCCAGAAGCCATACGCGGTATCCGGCTTCTTGAGGGCTGTCTTGATGGCCGAGTTGAGAGACATTGTGTAGGATTCCCAGGGATTGACTGTCTATAATTATTCGAAGGAGAGATAGTCAGTGAAGGAAAAGACAGTCCGTGATGTGTTGTGTTGTGAGAAAGGGACAATTGCGAGAAGATGGCGGGGGAGATTTGAGTTCCCCGCAGTCGCGCATTAATAACCGGCCTCGGTTTCTCGGGCTTTCTCCGACTCGCTGCTCGGGAAAATCAACACCGAATGGACATCCGTTGCGCTTGCCGTCGGTTCGGAAAAGTATCCGAGCTTCCGAGATTCTTTGCAGTACATAAAGGAACTTGGAGAACCGTAGTCGAAGTCCAGGTTTGTGCCTATCATATTGCTCGATTGGATTTAAAGTGCTTGTGGCTTCTTCCGTTATGCCTTGTTGATGCGGTTTGATGATTAGTTGGTTGATCAGTGTTGGTGCATAACTTCTACCTGGACAGATATATATTCCCGAACACAATATGCAAGTATCAGCTTCATTGTTGAATCGGCCTTCTATTCATTTGATTAAACCTACAAGCTAAATATGTAGTGCATATATTACTCATTCGCGGCTTAACCATAGTAAGAAAGACCATAATACCGGCCAACATCTGCCTACGACTACGGACCATCACCATGTATACGAGCACCGCAATGCAGCCACAATCTTGATTATTCCCACCAAAAGAAGGAAGACGGATAGAGGTCGATAAAATCCCCTCCCAACTACCCATCCTCAACGAAGAGAAGATTACTATGTCCAGCCATACTAAACAGCACGCCCCGTACGTGAGACACCAGCAGCTCTCCCTTACAGGACAGCCCCCATAAACGCCGCAGCGGCCGCACCGCCAAAAACCAAGCCAGCCGCGCCCGTCATTTTAGGCACACCACCTGTCGAAGTCTCCGAGGCAGTATCCTCCTCCTCATCGCCATCCGCGCTGGGAGTTGCGGTGGGAGAGGGTCCGTCCGAGGCAGTGCTGCTGGTCTCAGAAGCAGATGAGGATCCCGTCTCGGTCGCGGTGGCCGTCACGGTGACGGACATGTAGTTTGTGAAGGAGGCAGTGACCCCCTGGTCCTCTCCGCTGATGGTGCGGTGGCAGGCGGCTTCGTCTGTTGCAGAGGCTGTACAGCCCCATGTTGTATCGCTGTGGATCCAATATGGTTAGTACCAATCTGGAAAAATCATGATTCTTTCAAATAGATAACACAGCTAACGCAGGGCAGGCGTATGACAGAATATCTATGTATCGACTGGCATAGGCGGAGAAGGGATCGGATTGCTGATGGACCAAGTGCAGTTGCGCCGTACCTCTCTGATCCGGACTTCCACCACGCATACGTGCTGCTATTGATGACCTCGGCCGTGAAGCCGCCGCGAGCCGGGGCGGTGCAGGCCTGCCCGGAGGTGTAAGTTTCGGGACAGCCCAGACTGTAGCTAGTCGCGGTTTTGTCCTGTTATGTCCAGTGTCAGCCAGTCTGTTTCCTCCCTGCCTGCTGCAAGGATAAAAAGCGAGGTCGAACATACACTCCCAAGAAGCGTCACCTCGAACTCGGGTGCGGAATCGCGGTCGACGCCGTAGAGCAGTAGAGAGACAACGTCGTCAGCAACAGAGAGGCCAGCAAGGGCCGGGATGAGAGCGAGAGCGAGCTTCATGATGAACGAATGAACGAATTAGAATCGATAAACGAGTGTATAGAGTCGATCTTGTGAGTGAAACTGAACGAATGAATGCAATCGGCCGCGTAAGCGATCAGCAAGACGGGAAGAGGAGCGATTAAAAGAGCGAAGCCGTGCAACGTTAAGCACTCTGTTTGAACTGCTGGGTTTGCTGGGCAGGGCTCAAGCCTCGATGAGCTTCTTCAGGGGTTGCCCAGCAGGGCGCAGCCAACGGGGCGAATGGTGAGACGCTTAAATCTGCATCGGCTGAATGGGGGAAGAACTGGCGCATACGATGTTGATTGGGTAGAAATCGGGCGCTTTGTGGGGAGTGTAGCATCGGCTCAGGGCTGGACCTCATGTGGATGTCCTGGGCGGGTCCGGGAGGGCGTCAGGGCGTCAGGGCCTCGTGCCGGCTTCCCGGCTGGCCGGGATTTGGAATGGACGGGGTATGATGGGGCGTTGGGGGCGGAGGGACGGGAAGACTCCGCGGGCCTGTGAAGAGTTCACAATAATTGACGCTTTGTAAAGGAAAGTAAACTGGCAGGGTCCCGCCAGTGCTGGACGCATCCAGAGGACAGACGAAGTCCGAAGTCGGCCAAGTCTCGGACTGACTACATTTGGCCCCATGGGGATAACTGCTCATTGACCTTGGCACCAATGACCGTGGATCCATCGTACGAGTCATGACTTGCCAGGGACGCTCGCGTGATGTTGTGCCCAATGCCGAGGAGACAACGGTCCCAAATAGATGCAAGAGGCGAATGCATAAGCTTGTCGCTTCACCAGCAGAGCGTCACAGTCATCTCAGCTCACTATATGACGAAGGTTATGCTCAAACACTGTTCCGGCCTCGTAGTCATGACAGCCGGATCTAAGAGTTGAGGCGCTCATGCACACGTAGTTGAGGAAAGTAGAAGAATAGTCAATTCGCATTACATAATGGCACAACCTGCTGCACACGATTACTCCAAAACTCATGCGACGGCAATCTTATTCGCCATCTTCACAGCCGCAGTCCGCCCGAGCTTCCGCAAGCTGTCACTGCCAATAATATCAACAACTGTAATGTCCACCCCAGCTGTTCGCCGGCACCAGTCCCGCAGTTTGATAGCCAGCAAGGAGTCCGCGCCCAATGAAGACAAAGGAACGTCGATGTCTAGCTCCGAGTGGTCCCGCAGCATAAAGCTGAATAATGCCTTGCCGATTTCGCGACCAAGAATGTCTGCTGATCCCTGCTCCTGAAGGATCTCCGGTTTCACCTTCACCTGCGTGAGGAAGCGTTGCAGCGTATCGTCGCTATTGGTATTACCTGCGCCGGAAGGGCTCTTTTCGTCGGGCGTGTTAAAATTGTGATACAGTGCCATTCGAGGGTCGCGCCTCCACGAGGTACGATTGGTCGGAGAGGTCAGAGCAGTCGTGCTGCGTAGACCGATGCAGATCTGACCCTGGCTCACATAGGACGGCCAAGGGTCGTCTTTTTCAATGACTGTTGGACTTGGAAGCGAATTATCGATCGCAAGCTGGATTGTGTCTAGAAGATCCTGCTCTTGGAGCATATGTGCTGAAGTCGCGCTAAAGTGCTCAAGAACTTCTGGTTGGTTGCTGACATATCCAACATCTTCCATGACACCAATATTCACAGCAGAGCAAGGAAGTCCTAGAGAATGGCGATATTGCACAAAGGCGTCTAGAAAGCTGTTGCCTGCAGCATAGTTTGCGTGCCCTGTTTGTCCGATCAACCCAGCCAATGAACTGAAGAGGACAAAGTAGTCGACGGGACGGTTATGCTTCCGTAACGAATTATGCAAGTTCCATGTGCCTTGAGCTTTTGGTGCGAAGGACTTCTCCCACTGGTCCAAGGACATGTCGGCGAGGCCCGTCACTTCAAGCGCCATAGCCGCTTGCATTACGCCAGCGACGGCTATGTTGTCGTCCAAACGATGTATGAGGGCATCCACGTCTTCTTCACTGCTGACATCACCGGAGACGAGATCCACACGGCAGCCTTGGGCTCGAAGTTCTAACACATACTCATCTCCTGCTTTGCTGCGAGCAGATGGCGAGAAGAAAACAAAATGACGAGCACCATGAAGGGACATCCAAGAGCTAACCGAGCGTCCCAGCCCACCCAGGCCACCAATGATGATGTGGCAGGCATCGGAGCGGAAGCGCGGTGTTCGATGATTCAAGGTTATGGGCAGGGTTGACGCGTTGTCAGGCATAACAAGGGCGATACTTGCAAGGTGCGTGTTCCCGTGCAAGCACTGGATAGCATCTTGTACCTTGTACGCAGGAAATTCTTCTGTTGGCGGAGGGCTCAATTCACCCAGGGCATAATGGTGCATACATCGACGAAGAAGCCTGAAGACAATTAGGCCTGCTAACAGCGAACGAGAGGGGGGATTTACCCTTGAATAATGCTTGGCTTTCTCTCAATAATCTTCGAAATGTCCAGGGTAGCGAAAGTGCGGTTTGCGTCGAATACATTCATCGGCAGCTGTCCTTTACTGGTGATGTCCCGTTTCCCCAGATCAATCATGGTACCGAAGTCGGCAACACAATTCCAAGAGGCGTGCATCATTTCTCCAGAGAGCGAGTTCAAAACTACGTCGACGCCTTCACCATTTGTGGCAGACAGGACATCTTCGAGGAAGCTTGGGTCGCAGCAGCTGAATATGCGTTCTTTGGCAATGCCTTGCTGGAGCAAATGATCCATCTCGGTGTCGTTTCCGGCGGTGCAGAAAACCTAAATCGTTAGCAATACAGTCGCCAAAGATACATTCTCAGCAGCGTACCTGAGCCCCGATAATGTGGCAGATCTGGATGGCTGCATATCCGATACCGGTGCATGCAGAGTGGATGAGAACCGTCTGGATAGGTTAGACTGTGTTTTAGGTAGATGGAGACAGATCCATACATCACCGTGTGTAAGCCGTGCAATATCAATCAGCGAGTATAGCGCGGTGGCAAACGCATAGGGCATCGTAGCTGCCTCGATCCAAGTAAGATCGCGTGCCATTCGCACGCATAGCTTTTCGTTGGTGATGAAGCGGGTGGCAATGGGCCCGGCTGCAAGAACACCGACTCGATCCCCAACCCGTAGATTTGCTACGCCGGGCCCGACACGACGAATGATGCCGGCAAATTCTCGAGCAGCACCAGTGCCAGCGCGATCACTGGTGCTGAGGCCGACAGCGCGAGTCTCAACCTCAACCCAATCTGTCGACGCGGGTGTGTCGAGGGGGAGAGATCTCCAGCTCACAGTATCATTTTCTTCAAACCCGTTGATGTGCAAATTAACTGCATTTGAAGTGTCAGGTGCCGGTATACCTTTGTCAAGCAGCTCCTCGCTAACAATCGCTGGATAAAACTTTCCGACCATCAAACACCCAGAGTTGTAAGCATATTCAAGCACAGGGTCCATCAACAGATGAGACGAACTCTCAAGCAAGAGGCGCTCGGCAACCGTGACCGTAGCTTCAAAGGCACCGGCATCTAGCGAGTCCAGCTCGAGGGTAGCCACCGTAGCCGCGAGTTCTCTCCTAGCCGTGCGCAGCAGACCTAAGGTGGAGGAATACCGAGGGTCTGCGCATTTCACTTGCGACGGGTTTGTAACCCAGAGCATTGGCGTGGCGTCGAGGGACGCCAGCAGATCTCGAAGATGAAGATATTCGTCTGGATTTTTCGAGTGTAGTTGTGGCGAGTCCAACTCCAATAGCGATATTATCATCTGATCCACCGGTCGCTCATCCCCTGGACGGCGAATATCGGCCTCCAACCCACGATCGTGTAGGCAATATATAAACTGATCAACGGCGCTTGACATATTCTCGCAAAGCACTGTCACCCTCTTGCCGCCTGTGTTGGCAGGTGGACGTACGGACGAGATAATATAGGCGTTCATATGACCATCATGAACACGCGATTCGGCTCCCAAAAATCCCGCGTTTCGCAGTTCCTTATCCCAGCGTTCAGGCGAGATATATGGTTCCCATTCCCGGTTGTCAGCCGTGCCCAGCCACCATCCCGGGAGTGTGCCCATAATAAAGTTGATCCACTTTGTGGTGGGCGCCAACTCCTGTAAAAACAGTTTGCCGTCAGGCTTTAGTAGTGTCTTCACATGGGCAAGTGTTTCCTGTAGGCATGGAGTCGCATGTAGCACGTTCGAGGCAATGATGAGATCGTAGGAAGAAGCCTCAAATCCGCGCTCCAAAGGGTTGCTCGTGATGTCGAGGGGTCGGTAGATGATACCATCGTAGTTGCTGAACCGCTTCTGAGCCGCGTCGAAGAAACCAGATGAGATGTCAGTGTATGTGTAACTTTCATACATCCTCTCACCATTCGGTCCACGCATGGCTGGAAGGATAGTCGCCGTAACACCACCAGTTCCTGCACCGATCTCCAGAATCCGCATCGACGGTCGGTTGTGGGCAAGCACCTGGAAGAAGTCGGCAAAGTCGCACAGTTGCGCAAACCCGTAGATCGCTGTGAGAAGATTGTCTTTCAGTAGCAGGCTCAAGGGATCTACTTGGCATTGGAACAGCCCTGTGGAGTGGCGAAAGATCCGCGTAACGGCGGTAGCCATGTCTCGTGCTTCGGTCTCGAGAGCTTTTTTATATAGGCCATCTATGAGATTCGTCCGCTCAGCTGATGTCATCGAGGCGATTGCCTGGCACCCGGGCACGTGCTGATAATTGCCGTGCTCTGCCTTCTGACGCTGTATGGATAGCCAATCGAAATATTTTGCGGCGTGCAGCAAGGTAGGCGTAATACCCCGAGTTTGATGGTGAGTTTCAACCATACATGCCAATGCTAGTTCCTCAAGCAATAGGATACTGCTCGAGATACCTGGTATCGGGCGGATAAGCCTGGCAACGTCAACCTCGTCAATATCCGGCTTCCAAACCAGTCTAGCGCCCGCATGGGGATCTTCGCGACACGGCTTTTTGTCACGTAAGGGAGCAAGTTGCATCTGGCGCATAGATAGGACAGGCTGCTCCCCACAAAAGCCTGTAACGCTTCCCGTCTTAGAGCCGTATGTGTCTGAGTTTATCCTCGCGCGGGACATTATTGGAGAAGAGAGTGGATGGATGTAGATTTCACCAATATATGTGGGCATGATTTGGTTATTGAAGAGCCGTGCGAGCCCGCGTGATTGGGCCACGCTAAGGAGCTGGAAGGCCGAATCAATGGTAGAAGGATGCACGGTATATGAGCTTTCCCGAGGCTCACGCGACTCTGTAATCATGGCTGTGGCCTCAGAATCGGTGACACTCGCGGAAATGTCCTGCATAAGGTTGAAGCGGGGACCGTAGCTGATTCCAAGCCTTTTGGTCGCGCGCTGCCACACTCTAGTCTGCACCTTGCGAGGTCCCACGCGCGGACGGACAGTTTCAAAGGGTAGGTGCTTTCCCCCCCTAACCTGGCCCGTACAATGTTTCGTCCAAGCGCCATCGAAGAAACTCGTAATGTCGAAGTCATACCATTTCGAATCGCACGTTGCGGTAAATTTTGAGGGTCGAAGCTGGGTTATGAGTTCCGTGGGATGCTTCTCAAACAACTCTAGATCCGCGAGGAAATGCAAGTCTCGCATGGATAGGTCAGGAGACTTGGAGAGCTGGGAGATTGCTTGTGCTGCAATGGAAATGAATCCTCCGCGGGGAAACATAGTTTTACCATCAATGACATGATCCCGAAGCCAGGGTGCGTTGTCAAGGTATATCAGAGAACGCCAGAGTGGTTCTTTGTCATTGCCATCTGGAATTTTGGATCCCAAGAGATCATGGTTGGGATGCTCCCGAAACCGCCAATTGCGAGAAACCCTTGATTCTAACCAAAAACGACCATCATATTGCCATGAGTAAGATGGAAGGTCAGGAAGCGTTGCACCCTTGCATAAGCTGGACAAATCAATGGGTGCACCAGACTGGAATAGTCGACCCGCTGTGCGCAAAATGGATTCGTTCGAGTTGACGTCTCGAACCAAGGTCGGAATATATGGGATGGATGGTAGACGCAGATCTTGTGCAATATCGCTCAGGAATCCTGACAGGGCAGTGTGTGGCCCAATTTCGAGAAAAAGTCGATTGGACAATTGTAGAGAAAGAACTTCCGTAACAGCTGAGCGGAAGAGTACCGGAGACGTCAGGTTTTGACACCAGTATGCGGGCCGGAATTCGGCCGCGCTGTTTAATTGCTTGCCAGTTACCGATGAGACGAAGGGCACTGAAGGTGCTTTCGCCTCTATTGCTAAACTCTCAAGGCGGCTGCGGTAGTCTCCAACCACATCCTCCATTTGTGCTATATAAGTGTTAGTGATGTTCATATTTAGAAGGGGAGAGGCAAATACCCGAATGATAGGCACACTCAACAGGCAAATGTTTGATCATGACGTCTGGGTGAGTGGCGCATATCTCAACAGCCACCACGTCCAACATAGCAATATCGCCACTGAGAGTTACACTCTTTGAGCTGTTCTCACAGGCAATGGTCACCCTGTCAATCAAAAAGCGAGATACCTGTTCGCGACCCAAATTCACCGCTATCATACCTCCTTGCCCAGTTTCCTCCGCACGCCGAGCTATCTGGCCACGATGGTATGCGATATTTATAGCCTCTGTAGCACTTAGGGCATCTGAAGCGTATGCCGCTGCAATCTCTCCAGCTGAATGGCCAACCACCGCGGAAGGGCGCAGGTTTAAAGACTTCAAAATATCTACCAGGGCGATCTGAATTGCCGTGCAACAGGGTTGAGAGTACTCTGCTTTCCAAAGCTGAGAAGACGATTTCGGTCGAAGTAGCTCCTCTGGAAAAAGTCAGTTCGGTGCTCGCCAGTGACAGGAATAACAAGTGATTTACCTCGCAATGTCCAAGACCTTTGACAGTCAACTGTATCTAGCACTTCATCCAACCGCTTGATAGTTTCTTGAGCTACAGTATTGCTCATCAAAAGGTCCTTGCCCATTCCAGGGTATTGGGATCCCTGCCCCGTAAAGGCCCACACCAAGTTCGGTACCTTTCCGCTCTTCTGTACCGGGGAGACATCCCAGTTGTTGGCAGAGCCAATGGCAAATGCTCGATGAGGAAATCTCTTCCGCCGACATCCTAATGTATAGCTAGTGTCGGCGGCGCGAAGCGGGTTACTAGAGACGTACTTCAAAGTACTGGCGATGTTGCGGGTGGCCGTCTCCGAATGTGTTGCAGAAAATACGAGCAGTTGGGGAGTTTTCGCATCTGGAGTAAAATTGGCGGCTGCCTCAATGAAAGACTTTGCGGATTCCAGAAGAGCCTGTAGATATATTAGTATTTGACTCCTCTAATTGGACAATGAACTTACGTGTCCATTTGCGCCACCGATGCCAAACCCGTTCACTCCAACCCGTAGAGCTTTACCTTTCGGCCATGGCTCGCATTCCACAGGAACATGGAGACGAGCGGGGCCAAACGGAACTATAGAAATTCCATGTCAGCTACTGTAGTGTCTGACCGCTGCAAAGACGCGAGTAGGACTTACTCTTTGGATTTGGAGTGGTGAAGTTGATGTTCGGAGGAATCGTCTCGTTTTCTAGCGCCAAGACCATCTTGATAATGCTGCTCAGGCCTGATGCGCCCTCACTGTGCCCGAGATTCGGTTTGACCTGTTATCGAGCGTCAGCCTGACGAACGAGGATGCATAGGTCGCCGACACAAATGGTTCATACCGAGCCAATGACAATTCCTCCTAGCTCGCCAAATACTTTGGCCACCGCTCGGCCTTCCAAAGTATCGCCCACTATTGTGCCAGTCCCATGACATTCGATCATGGCCGTCTGAGAAAGGTCGGCGATGCCGGCTAGTTCGTGGCTACGGCGCATAAGTAGCTCGTGACTCTCTGGGCTTGGCACAAGGAGCGGTGTTCTTTGGCCGTCCGAGTTGAGACAGACGGACCGAATCATGGCGCGGATAGGATCGCCGTCACGTAGGGCGTGAGATAATCGCTTGACATGAATGGCGTTGACAGCCTCTCCTCTAGCGTATCCGTCGGCACTGGCGTCGAAAGATCGACAGTACCCGGTAGGTGATATTACCCGATATTCTGACGCCATAGCAACGGTCATACGTGGCGACAGAATAAGACTGCATCCACCAACAATGGCAGAGGAGCATTCGCCAGAATAAAGTGACTGACATGCGGTATGTAGAGCCATCATTGACGATGAACATGCTGTTCGAATAGTCATGCTGGGTCCGGTAAGGCCTAGCTCTTTGGAAACCCGATTGGCGATGGCGAAATCGCCATAACCGGCCACAGATTGCACGCCTGCGTGATGGGGATCCTTGGTCTGAATCTCCATCCAGTCCTCGCCAAGTACCCCGACATAGCAGCCGATGTCCTTGCCGGTGAAGGCAGCAGTGCCGCTGCTCTCAAGACATTCGTATATGACCTCCATCATCAAACGCTGTTGCGGATCCAGAAGCTCCAGCTCTTTTGGTTTCATGGACCAAAATGAACTGTCCGCGGCAGCGAGGTCGAGATCATCGAGGAAATAGCCAAACTCAGTACAGGTGTGACCTGGCTTTCCTTTCGGGCCCAGGAAAGCGTCCACATTGTAACGATTCGCGGGGACGCGGCAACGTCCGCTGCCTTTCTTTGTCAAAAAGTCCCAGTACTGTTGAGGTGTACGGACAGAGCCTGGGAGACGCAGCCCAATACCAGTGATGGCAATTGGGTCGTCTACCCACGGACTGGCCACACCTTGGCCAGTGAGGGTTGTGTTGTCATTAGCCATCTCTGATTATCAAAAAAAAAGAAGATAGTTTTTGTAAAATAAAGCTGAGCGAAGAAGAGGTGGTGTGGTTCAATAAATACGCAAAACGGGCGTGAAAGCGACTACTGAACGGCTCTTTCAATCCCTGGCAGCCGAGCTTACAGCGCACTGTCTTGAGGATTGCGTGGCAGATACCTCCGTCCCCCTCTTTCATCTCCGTGTCCAGTAGTCGATTTCGCATGACTTAACCATAAAGCGTCGGTTGGCCAAATTGAGATAACATGATGAATTTTCCGCTTGGGCCATCGATAGAGGCCGATCATTGTAGTCTCTCAGCGGACAAATCTCACTCCGAAAAGCATGATGCATTTCTGTCACAAAGGTACTACCGGCAGTGCCCTATCGTCCGAGTTCCGGGTCCTCGAGACGGAAAACATGGCGCAGTTTCAAAGCCATTATCCAGTCGAACACCCAGGTTGTGAGAAAGCGCTCATTCCGCATGTAGAATGTGAATCATGAATATGGCGTTGCCTTGAGAAGTACCCCGCAGCATGTGAAATCAGCACTGTGACTTAGTGTTGAGCTACTTGGAGCTGTGATTGGTGGCAACACTTCTTTTCATATAAATGAAAGCACCCCTTGTCGCTGTAGTTTGCCGGGAGTTCCCGCGAAAAGGCGAGCAGACGGGAAATGAACCGCTTCTGGAGCTCGGCATACCAGGATGGGAATTCACGGTGCGTCCTCGATAGAACCATCAGGCAAACAATTTCCGAGTCTAGGATGATGACAGTCTCTCTTGATCTAAAGATGTCAGGTTGGTACGTACGGGATCGTCCGCTGGAGGATCTTCGCGGGCCGAAATCCTGTGCGTTGCGCCAGCAGCGAGTTCCCCCACGAACTGGTTCGCGGTTCCAACCTTCGGCGATGTTCGGCCCCACGCCGCTGGGTCGCCCTCCTGGTGGTAATCAAACCTTTAGTTCCATCGACGAAAGCATGCAGTAGCTTGGCAATAGATTTTTGAATGGGCCATCGTAGGTTGAAGATCATCCATCTTAAGGCGAAAAATGATTCTTGATGTTGGTTGGGCAGCTGTGATGAGAAGCCAAAACTGTGCAGGTGGGAGAGGCTGAACTCGGATCGGCGGCCGCGACTCGAGATTCACGCATTCACGTGACCATCAACAAAGAGAATAGAGTTGGCAACCAGGGAGCTGGTGGTGACACAGTCACACTTTCAGAGTTTCTGAGCCAACAGCTCTGATCCCAGTTCTCCACGTGTTGCCATCCAGCATTCGGGATACATGATCCGCATTTAGCGCATCCTTCGTGGGGCGATATATATATTTCGTGTACCCAAAGCGAGTCGGATGTGCTCTGTCAAGGTTTGAGAAAATGATGTGAATATTCTTTTAATCACCTTGCATGATAATAATGCTGACACCACTAGCCAGAGAGTAAGATGTTTGACCGTAGGAGACCGTACAAAATCCCAGTTTTTTGTCCTCGAGGATCATCTTCCCCGTAAGACCTAGCCGAAGGCAGATATCGAGATTGACTCTGTAAAACCCCACCGAGGACGATGACTATCGCATCAAGCCGGCCAATGAGTGTCTGGAAGTGAAGTACCCATATTCGAGAGCTTAGCCAGCACGATGAGGTTGTCGGGTTTGGGATTCAATTGGTTGAAGGTAAAATTAGCTTTGCAGCATAAAAAGCAAATAAAACGATAGCAAGAGAACAAGCGGGGTCGTGCGGCTATCGAAGACCCCAAAGACAAAATCGATGACGCGGTGAGGTTGAAAGAGTTCAATGTACGGATACTCCGTATCTACAGCTCTGGAGGCTGGGACATGGCGGCTAATACGGGCCATTAGCACTAGTAGTTACCGTGGAAATTCTCTTCTAGAAGTGGCAAGGACGGTGCCATAAGTGGTGACAGGGTAAGCCTGAAGAGCGATCACCAAGTATTTTTCGATTTGCAACCCTGGAGTATGTCTGGGCTAAGCAGCACCCGGTGCGAGCCCAATCTGAGACTCATTCAAATTTTGCTAGGGCACCCATCCCATGGTCCGCAAAAGCTTAAAGCTAGTTTCCCAGCGCCTCAGGAACCTCTTCCGGTCAGTTGTCTCGTCTCACCTCCATCTTAACCTCATGCTAAATCGGGTAGGCCTTTCCTTCGATCTCGGGAAATGCTATACCGAGCCAATAGGCAAAGTCGGCCTATTAGCTTCGCATTATCTTGCTGTCGTATCACGCCGGGCAAATATCTCAGCCCCCTACCATGGTAATAACTGACCTTGGGACTTCCAGGATGAGATAAATACGTTCCGGGACCAGGTCAGCCGATCAGCAGACCACCATGCGCTCGGCCGACAAAGTGCATGAAAGCTCTCCGCAGATCTACAATGCGTAAACCTTAGACCGAGTGCAGCTCCAGGCTTTCCCGGGTACTTTTTCGTGAGACACCGCGGCGCTGAGTGACCAGCTTGACCTGAACGTAGTTCACCGGGGATGACGTGATCAGGGCGTGATTATTGGGACATGCGTTCTCAAAACCAGGGTTTTTGGGGATGTGACTTCTCACGGGAGATGGCGATGAGATGGTGGATAAAGATGGATTAATTGGTGGTTGATAAAAATGTGTACATAAACAACGAGAAAGACTTTGTGGCGGCGATAACCTCAGGCAGACTGACATCATCGTATCAAATAAGCTTTTACATCGACCCTCCTGATAGCCAGCGTGAGCCGAGAGAAGAAATCGCCATCACAGAGCTGCTATCGACAAGCATTCTCACCACCCTGACTAACAAGTGAACTTTGCCTCTAGCAGCGTCTCAGCGGAAATGACTGCCAACGGCGACGATGCCGCAATTGCAGCCGAAGACATGGAGAGGGCGATCAATGCCCCTATTCCCGGGTTCCTGGGTATTCTCCAGGCCGCGCCTTCAAATTTCCTACTGTCCAGACAAACCGACATGTCGCCGTGATGGGGATCGCACCTTCGTTTGGCCTGCACTCTGCCCATCGTGTCTTCTCTATTTGTCTTCCCCCGGACCTCTCTCCTTTTTTTGTTTAAAAACTTTCAAGTTTACGGTATTAAATATAGGATCCCTTCATGTTGGTTCCCAGGAAAGCTGGCCCTGCTTGTTTCTCTCCATTCAATCTTCGAATAACGAGATATTACTGTAAGCAAATTCATTCATTGCTATCCGGCATTATTTACTAGAAAAACATATCCCCCATTTTATCCCATTATCATACACTAAAACTAGACTAGAGCAGGGCAGCAGCGACACCAACAGCAAGAGCGACAACAGCACTCAAACTGACGCCAACGATGCCAGCCGCGCCCTCATCATCACCAGTCTCCTCAGCAGCACCCTCCTCAGTCGGGCTGGCACTCTCGCTGGCACTCTCGCTGGCCTCGTCGGTTTCACGGGGCCCATCGCAGTGCCAATGGTCGCCGTGGGGCTCGCAGCCAACGGACTCGGTAGGCGAGGGAGGGGGTGTAATGGAGCTGCTCTCCTCGTCGGAGTCGGTGGTTGTGGCAGCGGCATCGCAGTGCCAGTGGTCGCCGTGAGGCTCACAGCCGACGGACTCGGTCGGGGAGGGACCCGGTGTGACGGACTCGTCTTCCTCGTCGACGTTTGTGGCGGCGGCTTCGCAGTGCCAGTGGTCGCCGTGGGGCTCGCAGCCGATGGACTCCGTAGGAGATGGGCCTGGGGTCACCGACGTGTCTTCTTCAGAAGCCTCTGAGGTTGTTGTGACGAGGGTTGATGTGACTGGGGCATCGCAGTGCCTTTGCAATTCTGTTAGTATGAAAGAAAAGGATTAGGAGAGGAGGATGGGAGCTAAGTACCAGTGATCACCGTGAGGCTCACAGCCAATAGACTCGGTGGGGGATGGGCCAGGATCCTCCTGCGCAATGGCAGTGGCCGTAAGGGCAACGAAGGCAAGAAGTGAGAATCTCATTTTGAGTGATCTTGTGTCCTTATTGAATCGAACTGAGGTGATACAGGGAAGATACAGTTGAGGAGTGAGAGGCACGGAAGACAGTCTTGGAGGCTGCGAGGAAGAAAGGCAGCAGCAATTTATAACTGAGCTGCAGCCACTAACAGCAACTCCATTTTCACCTGGCAGGGCATGGCATCCCACGCCACTCTGCGACAAACGTGCTGGGATTTCTGGGCGGAGCAGCTTGGCAGTCCCCAAGGTTCTCACGCTGCCCTGATTCCGATATTGAGGATATACCATGTCTCACTCTACAACACCACCATCGACGGCAAGGTGATTGATTGTCGGTTTAATCACCCACACTTACTTTCTTAAACCCAATCAAATACATAGCGTCAATTTCCGTCAAAATGAAGCCGCCATCGAGGCCTCCATCACAACACGCCAAGACCGAGTGTGGTGGTGCCAAGGATGCTTGAGAACCTTGGTGACTGCCCAGACATCGCAGGCCCACATGGTCTATCCAAGGGTCTTGGGCCCTGAAGGGACTGCGAGCTGTTGGCTGCGCGGGTTTGGTCCCTCTTTTCGAGAACGAATCGCTTTATCGCAGTTGCGCTGCAGCCGGGCCCCATGTGCTGTGCTGCAACCATACGAGATGATGGACCCATCGGTCACGCTATGACGGGGGCGTACTTTGAAGGCTGAAGCTGCAGCCTATATGTCGAGCTTCAGAGGAGTGTTGGATTTCTCGCTAAGCTTGCTGGAAGCCCCGTTGGAGTCCATGCCTGGGTGGGGATCCCTTGAGTCAGGAGTGGAGGCATTGCTTCATTAGGGAATATGTCCTCCGACACAGCCGACAGCGTGGGAGTGTCGTCCAAGCTTGTGTCTAACCTGCTGCAGCTGTGTGCCGCCGTTAGGTCAAGACGTGGCGCTCACGACGTCTGCAAGGTACCATCGGTAACTCCGATGAGCTCGCTTTTGCTCTGTCCAGTCAGCTTTGGATTGGTGATTATGCTCTTAGCCCTTCAACGCGGAAGGCAAGGTCCTACTGGTACCGTTACGGACTGCACAAAAGTTTTATTTGAGATTCTGATCTAAGAACGCATACGATGGCCACACCTAGCACACTCAACGTCATGTGCCATCGATTTTGGCCCGTCACCGCACGAGCAACAAATCCACATCTGTTCCCCTGACGGATGGTCGACAATTTTGCACTCTGGACACCCCAATAATGCGAACAACGCAAATCCTCCGGTAGACATGGTCTCGGTCTCTGGTGTCGCCGCTGTCTGCTCAGGCTCTTGCCTTTCCCAAGCTGATTTCCAGGGCGGTATTTGCTGCCGGTCCTGATATTCTGGCATCCTAGTGAAGTCCCGAGAATCGGTACTGTACCTTAGCATCATTAGCGGCCTATCCGATACCAGGAGATGTTTGGCTTACCTGTCTCGTGCATCCGGGACATTCACGACTTGCGTCATTGGTATGACCGATAGGAGCTCCTTCGCATAAGCTGCCGCCACAGCCGCTGCATAAGGTTGCCACTGCTTATTCTTATGCGAGTCGGCATAGTCACAAATCCCACGGATGACCAGGCAGGGAAAATCACCCATCAATCCTGCAGCTTCCATCTCGAAACAGAGAACCTCCCCACCGAGTTCTTCTGCGATCATGTCACGCGTGGGCGCGTCTCGTATAACTTGGCTTCCCGATGCGATCAGGCCATAATGGATTCGAGGAGATTCCGATCGCCGTGCTCTGCGACGAACCTGGTGTTGCGCATCGCAGTTGCGACATGTCTTATCGTTCGGGTTGACGTGCTGGTAAGCCGGCTCAAACAGAACATCGTGTTCCGAGCCCGGATGTGAGAAGGCATCCATGCTTGGATACTTCTCCAACATGGCCTCAAGCTCACTCGGTATCCTGCTCTGGTTAAGCATGTGATCTGCTTCCAGTCTCGAGATGGCGGCAAGAAGGATCGATGGAGGTCTATTCAAAACGCCGGTACGTTGAAAGCGATGGTTGCCCAAGGCCTTGCCGATGTCATACTGAACAACCCCACCAAAAGTGCTCGTCGGCTTACTGACAACGACATCGCCTAATCGGACATCGGCAGTGAACTGCCCCGGTACCCCTCCGCCGACGCCGACCATGAGACTGAATCGGATACCAGGGAAAGTATTCAGCATTTGGACAGCGACAGTCGAGGCGGACGAGATGCCGTAAACGCCCGATGGAAGGCAGGCAATGACGATGTTATGGCCGTACAGCTCGCCAAGGGTGTATACATTGTGATCGTTTCCACCCTGGGGTAGCGGGGGGTGATACTGGTCGAGCATCGCTTTGGACGCCGCCACTTCCACCGGCAGCGCGCATATCCATCCAATCGTGTAATCCGTGTGCCTCTTCCGTCTGGGCTCGGAATTCACTCGCCGTGGGGGAAATTTACCTCTATTTTCGGGTTCATGGTTATCAACCAACCATCTGGGGTCCATCTTGGTTTGGACGCAGAGGAGACCAGCTTTGTCGCGGTAAGATCAGCGAAGATCAGGCGTCGCACTTTGCGCGGGGTTCTGTGCAACGAAAGAGCACGACAGTAAGGCTGAGTGCGAAAATGCCTGGCACCAACTCCTCTCCCTAATTGGCCCACGTGGTGCTGCGCTCCTCGGCTCGAATCACCCAAAGTGACTGGCGGAGAACAGTTTCACCACCGGGCGCAGCAGCAGGTCTAGGCTTTTCTTGCATATTTGGTGTCACTTTGTGCCTTCAAAAACGACATGAGACAGGATATGAACTGTGCTTATCGCCGCTGGGCTGTCAGCTGCTTCTTTCTTCGCCCAGGCGAAGATGGGTTCCATCCAGCGGGTCGCGGCTTCAGCGGTGCACGCCGTCGCAGAGGCCAACTTCTCTCTTCTTCAAGCCAACGCAGACTTTGCCCTTGTCAAATACGAAATTCCTGCTGAATTACTTCCTCTTGGTGAGCGTCTTTCGAAGCAGCGATGCCAGGTCGCCGAGAAAGGCTCCTTCAACATCTTCGCGCGACGACTGGGATTTCTTTTCGAGGAGATGCTCCCCACCGTAAGTGCCCTCCTCAAGGCGTATGGTACTCGAGCGAGTGAAATTGCCTGTGAAATTGATGCTACCCGAAATGCTCCAAAAAGCATCGTGGACGGTATCTTTGGCCCTCACCTTGGCGTCGATAGCACGAGCATCTGGGCCGCTGCAAACATCGGTACTTCAGCGCTCTTGATGCATCTCTTGGCCTGCATGCTGGCTCGTATCTGGTCTGCTCAAGAAGCGACCGCCATTTGGGCTGAAATCATCGACACGCGACGGCAGAAGATCAAGGATAACGCACCTGAAAACGGAAAAGCGAGCAGCCTCTTCGCTCAACACGCAGCCATTTATGACGTCGAATGGTCGACTATTCAGCTTCTGGCGGAGGGAACCTGTACGACAGTGTTATGCTTAACTTCTGCAACGCCTTATTGACTCTCGATAACCTGATCCTTGGTAAGCCTCAGCGGATTCTCGACGGTGGAGTGCTTCTCGGTCTCACCTCCTGGCATGTCTATCCGGACCTGGTGATTTTAGGACCAAAGGCACAAGACAAGCCCCAGCTGGATCCCCTGGTCGCCCATGGCGGTATCGCAACTCTATCCATTGCATATCAGGAAGACCCGCATGGAAATCAGGACGGTGTCTACTGGTCGCTACCCTTAGCCCACCTTCGGTACTACCGTCCTGTTCAGCGCAAGCGATCGTCTTTGCACGATTCCAAAATCTCCTTCACCGGCTTACAAGCTTTAATACTCGGTGCGTCATTGGACTCTCTAGATACGCTATCGACAGCAGCCGAGATCATCAAATCGCTGTGGCTGTTCAGCTACAACGCATATCAGGATGAGCTTCGCGGCCTTGCAACCAAGTGGAACTTGGAACCAAAGGCGCTTGTCTCCAAATACTTCAGCTGGAACGACTGGAACTCAAGCTCCACCGAAGCCTTGGAGCAGGATCTCCACCAGGTTTCTTTTATGAACCCCGCCAAAGAATCGCAGCTCGGCGATTTTCTCGATGCACTGCATTTGTTGTTTCCCCTTATAGGGGGTGTTGAACTCTTGCTCTCTGATGATCCAGAAGAGCGAAAGCTCGCGTTACAGCTTATACGATATGGTGCAAACGGCGCGAAGGGTTGGATCGGGAACGTGGAGAACTCCCAGTTTCCGTTCTTTGGCCTCACTGATCCTCTACTCCTCGTCCAGGCCATGCAAAAACCTTTCGGTAAAGTGAAGTTGCTTCGTGCTCTCTTCAATCAACAACGCCTAGAGCCTGAAGCCTTCATTATACGTTTCCTCAAACCAGACGGCACGATGGGGTACGCGTCGCTATTGCATGAATCCCTCTCCACCGGTCGAAAGAGAGATAGGACTGAATTTGAGTCTGATGTTGCTGAAGACACTTGCGACCTAGTGCCTCATAAAGGAGAACATTGGCTTTTCTTACCTTCGAAAACAGATCGCCCAAACGACTTTCCTGTTTCGATGGAATATTATGGTCTCACGTCAATGCAACCGGAAGATAATCAACCCGACTCTGTGGACTTCGAGGACTTTGTCATAGAAGACGATGTCGAGGGTGACGAAAAGCAACCGAGAACAATCGTATGGGATCTAGTTATCGGCATACACGACGAGGCTGCCTTGTATCGACGACATGACTCTGACGCACATGATGCCGAATTGCGTGACATTACAGTTCCTCTCACGATTGTGTGTGACCTCGTTACGAGTCGCGCACTTGATTTGGTACAGGTAACCAAGCGTATTAAACACACTCTTAAGACCCATCGCCCCAACCACCACTTCTCACTATTGGCTCTTGGTAGGATAATTGACCACTACAAGCGTCAACTCCCCCATTTGACAATTTCTATGAATATCATAAAGGAATCACCTTGGTTTTGGGCATGGACGGAAAGCGTGGTCAAAGACATACCAGTCCAGGAGATGATGGCCGGGTCGCAGGCTCGTGTTGGACACTTCACCAAATTAATATATCCTTGTCCTCTATCACGCGAACAAGTGTTTGCCTCCGTTCTACAGTTTGAGTCTGGTACGGTGAGTGTGGGTACCGAGGAAATGGACCCGGTCATGGCTATCTCGAGTGGGAACTCGCTTTTCATTGCCCAGCGAATTCTAAATGATCCCATACCTCCAGACGGGCTGCCTTCTTGCGCTGTTGCGCACGTCATTGGCAATGTGGGAAAGCCCGGTATCGCTCTTCTTTTTGCACCAGAAGAGCCCTGGATCAGAGAGCACGACGTCGAAAAATGGCAGGTTGTGAATCACCATCCATTCGACGGAAGCTCAGGCAGAGGCATGTTCGAAGGCTCATCGCTACACATGTCGTTCACCGGCTGGGAGGGTCCCCTCAGAGTCCGTGGGCCTTCTGCTTTCAAAGGCATGGAGGCTTATAATCTCGAAACACGGATTTCCATGTACGACGGGGCGGACTGGGTCGCTGACCTGAATATTCTCAAGTCTCTGAAAGAATCGCCGAATCTTGGCACACTGGGAATTTACACCAAGTCCTGTTCTCACGATCACTCAGTCCAATCGTGTGAGGTTGGCTTTGTCTCTATTGACTGTTGGGAGGAGCTTCTGAGCCCTGCAGAGAAGCCAATGGTACGCCGCTCGGGGTCATCGTGGATGGCACGCTTGACCGCCGTGAGTATCGCGCACTCGAAGGGTTTCAAGTGCTTCCTTCTTCCTACGCATAACGAGTTTTGCTGGACTTGCGTCGTCGAGCAGAGTGATATTCTGAAGTCCCCTGCCCAATGGGTCCTCTTCATTTACTGAACTATGTCGGGTGCGTCTCCTGTTCCTCCAACGGGCTGGCCAGGATCCTTATCTCTTCGCGGGTTGCGTCAGTCCAACTCCACTGATTCCAGACACTTTTCCCTGGCTTCCTTTCATCCATTATCCTCGAATCGTCGTCCTGCAGTAACGATGACAACGGTTTCTCAATTCTCTCATTATCCACTGCTGTATTGCCCGAAGCTCGCAGCGTATACGGAGCTCTATGCGGGGTTGAATGGGGATATTTCAGTTGAGAGGAATGGGTGTTATGTTGTACCCTAGGGCCGTATCCACGATACCTTGAAGGAGGATTTGGTGAAGGCGATGAAGACAGTCGAAGATGGCGGGACGCCCTGGAGGGAGGGCGAAGGGGTTAAGGGTGTTTTGCGAGGAGAGAGTCAAGGAGTATAGGTGACAACACACACTAACTACCACGAATACGGCACGGTTATACTTCTGCCAGTGCTCCTCGCTATCCGCCTCCCCTAAGCTCCCGAATGCTCGCCCACGCCCCCTCAACAGCCCAAGAGGGTAGAAGGGAAAGGGGAATGAAAAGTTCTAGTCACTCTTGGCAATCACATATAGCCTCCAGTGTCTGATAACTTCCTAGAAATTCGACACCAGCAGCAAGCTAAAGCTCTGCTCTGACAGGATGATGACCTGAGGCTTGATTGCGAGATGCAGAGGAGCCTTGGCCCACGCAACTAGCTTTGCCTGAGTGTGAGTGTGGGCTGCCATACTTACAAAGGAGTCACAGTCAAAACGAATCAACCTGACCTAGTCAGCTCCTCTAGTTATTCGTAGTACATATAGGTAAAGAAAATGTTCTATAAATTATCCAGAGAATGGCAGAGGTATCAGACGCCAAATTAGATAGATCCAGAGCCTGTGCCAGAAGAAAGCTCCCCATTGAGAAACCAGATCTAGAAAGCGCACCATACCATATGGTCAGTCAGGATAACGAACCAGTCTTGATGAATCGATGCACAAAATGATCCCTCTTTGCGAATGAAAAATAATATCCCGGTTGTAGAGGCTTTTCAAGAAGCGTCAGAGTCGCTCACACCCGGCATTCGAACAAATTACCTGCATGTTATAGAAACCCTCAAATGCCCCATACTAAACCTGGCGCCACCTCAAATCCTCCGTCGAGATCCCAGCTTAAGTCTCCGACTTCTCTTCCCCAGCCTCAGTATCTTCGGTCTTACTGCCCTTAGGATCTGCAATTGGATTCCACTTGATACCCATTGCCAGAACAAAGGCCAGGGCACACGCAGCAACAGACAGATACTAGGCCACCAGGACTAGTCAGCAGATGACCATAAAAAAGGTGTTCCAAGCATCAGAAGGGGAACAACTCACAAAGACGGTCGTAATAGCCTCATTATAAGCCCCGAGGACATCGCCAACTCTCTCGGGCCAAAGGTCCCTCGCCCTCTCACGGACATTCAATGTCCCGGCCTCGAGTAAGATGGTGACACCAGTCTCATTCAGACCAGCCTTGCTCTCCAATCCGTCGACGAGGCTATTATGGAAGATCGTTCCAGCAATAGTCTGGATAACCGAGGTCCCAAAGTACTGACCGAAGAGGACCGTTGCGATTCCCACGGGGATAACGGCTGGACGAGTCTTAAGCTCGTTTTGCACAGTGAGCAGACCCATCTGACCCGCAAAGCCTGTGCCGAGGCCCTGCAGGATTTGGAAGCCGATCCAGTGGCTGTCCGGCGAGGAGGACGTGAACGTCGTGTAGAGACCGTTGGCTGTGCAGACGAGGGTTGAGCCGAGGAGGAACCAGGGATTGTAGTAGTTGATATGTTTTGCTTTTCGATTGGTTAGCTCAATACTCGCGTGATTATTGCGTTGAACTCTTTGAATGGAGGGACTCACCAAGAACTCCTGATACCATCGCCCCAAAAACCTGCGTGAGCACCGATGGCAGCAGCATAACCCCGCTCCGCATCGGACTGGCTCCTCGCACAATCTGGAACCATTCGGGAAGATAGTATACGGGTACGATGTACCCGCCCATAACGAGGAGCGCGAAGCAAATACTCAGTGCAATTGAGCGGCCCTTTAGCAGTTTGAACGGAATCATGGCGGTGTCACCGCGGTATATTTCCCACGAGATGAAGAGAGCGATGGATAGTCCGAAGCCGATAAACAGACCAATAATTGTCGCCGAAGACCAGGGGTATTCGGACCCTCCCCATTGCAGGGCGAGGAAAAACATCACGATCGAAGGGACGAAGATGGCACAGCCTGGAAGGTCCAGGGAGTTGAGCTTTTGGAGGAGTGACTGTGGTGCTGAGGCGCTGTCGGTGTTCGGCCTGGACTTTGGTGGATGGAAGAAGAGAATGAGGGTTATGACTGTCATTGCGCCGGTGGGGAGGTTGATGAGGAAGCACCACCGCCAGGTCGCATGGCTTGTGAACGCGCCGCCGATGAGCGGGGCGACGACAGTTCCGATAGAGAAGACCGAGACGATGAGGCCTGTGAAGAGTGGACGCTGCTCAATGGGTGTCACGATTGCAATCACGGATAATCCGCCAGATACCACGCCTGAGCCTCCAACACCAGCGATTGCTCGTCCGACAATGAACATTGTTGAGGAGTTGGCGACACCGCAGAGGAGTGAGCCCAGGAGAAAGATCGCAAAGAAGGATAGGTATGCCGTTCGAAGGGGGAAGATAGCCGAGATCTTGCCGGCGAGAGGCTGCAGACTGCATATTGTCAGGGGGTAGGCGGCGGCGTACCAGCCTATGTCGCTTGTTGCGTGGAAGGCACTGGTTATAGCAGGAATTGCCTGAACAATGAGTATGTGCAAGTTTAGAATTGGCGGTAGCTTACGGTCGAGATAATCGAAACATCCAGCGAAATGAGGAAGACCGCGAGCATGATTGCAGACATGATGCTGTACAACTTGATACCGGAGAGGTGCTGGTTTGGCGGTTCCTGAGGCATTTCACTCGGTGTTCCGGCAGCAGGTATTTTTGCTTCGTTTGCGTCCATGATGAGATTTCGTGCGGCAACGCAGAATGAAGAGAATAAACGAACAAAAGGTTGAAAAGAGCGAATACACTTGGTCGAGAGCTACAATTGATGTTGAGCTTGTCTGGTTTTATAGCAGGTCAAGTAGGGCTGATTTTCACCCCATTTGACTCCGACTCCGACTCCCGATTCCGATTCCGACTTTGTCTCCGTCTGTGTTGCTCCGTCTCCCTTCGTCAACCATCCATCAACCATGCATCGCAGACAACCACCTCGTCGATACGCTTGCACAAGATGCGTTCAGCTCAAGGTCAAGTGTGTACTGACCGACACAGGACAGTGCCAGCGCTGCATCCGACTCGGCCACCCGACCTGTGTTTTCCCCAAAGATGTGCGTGGCAACAGTGCATCCAAGCCACCACAAACACCGACTCCACCGATCTCATCACTAAATCGCGAGGAAGAAACCGTATTCCACGAGCAAATCACTCTCCAGCTTGCAGAAGAGCTGCTTGAAAGGTATCGAAAACACAAGATGCCCCAATTCCCCTTCGTCATCATCCCAGAGACAACAGACCTTGCAACACTGCGCCAAGAATCACCATTCCTCCTGCTCTGCATCCTAACCGCATGTCTCGAAGACAATCCGCCACTGCAAGACTCACTCGAGTTTATCGTGCGCAAGGAGATCGCATCGCGCGTGATCGTTGGCGTTGAGCGGAACATGGACCTGCTCCAGGGACTGCTCGTGCACATCGCCTGGCAACACTACCATTGGCGGACGTACCATACGCACATGTACATGCTGCTCCCGATCGCAACTATGATTGTCGTGGACCTTGGGCTTGACAGAGAAGAGAGCTTCAGAATGCAGCCGATTCCCGCAGAGGATAAAGAGCTTGAGCAGGCAGGTGGGGGCGGACAGGTGCAATCTGCTGCTGGGCAGAGGGCGCTGCTGGGGTGTTATTACCAATGCTCGAAGTAGGTCACGGTACTATACAGTTTGATCAGTGCTAATATGAGTCTAGGTCGTCGATATTCCGCCGTCAACTGTACATGCGGCATACGAAGTGGATCGAACACTGCGCCGAATCCCTGGCGCAAAAGGTCGAGTATCCGACGGATGCGCAGCTCAAAGTATACCTTGATGTTCGGTCCTTATCTAGGGAAAGCGACCTTCTTCTTGATGATAAGCAGGGAGCAGATTGTTTCGAAAGCTGGAAACGAATCTTCGACCGGATCTCTCAACAGCAATCGGAAACAGTCTCTCTTTTATCATCTCTTACTTCAGAAAATGACTGTATGGCCCATACTCACCCTTCCCAATGATGAAGCTAAGCATAGCAGGGTCTCTACGTTTCGAGCTCGGCGGATTACCCGCCCTTGTCCTTGGCCACGCCCTCCGGCGAACGAGCAACGTGTTCAGCCTCCGCGACGCGAATCAACTAAGTGTCCTCACAAAATCAGCCCATACTATCGTCGACATGTTCCTGACTATCCCCTCATCCGTCGCCGTCTGCCTTCCGTCCTCTGCGTATGGCACCATCTGGTACTGTTTGCTTATCCTCGCGAAACTGAGCTTGCTATTTCCTCCTGCCGAGGGACGCGTATTTGGTGTGGATTATCCGACGATTCGCACTGCATCACTAGGTGTCAAGGCAAAGGTCGAGGCTTTGAGTATCGGGGACGACGTTTGGCATAATTCTGTTGCTGTACAGGAGAAGATGTTGTCGTGGCTAGAGAGGGCGGGGTCTGATGCGCCTAGTCTCTTTCATTCGCCGAGGAAGCAGTCTGGTTCTGCTGTGCATAAAGCGCCGTCCGTCCCAATTGCGAGATGCTTCAGGGAGTTGTGTGAGGATCATGACGAGCGAAAAGACCCTCCAACGCCGTCAGAAATGCAGGCTGCATCGATCGATACTCTATTCGCTTTGCCGGATGATATGGATTCCAACCTATGGCAGCAGATGCTCCACAACTTTACATGGTTCGGACCTGGAATGGACAATGATCTGAGTTTCATGGACTTTGGGAACCCTATATAACGAACACTCCCCCCCATTAAATGTTGCCTCGTTGAGATAAGGGAAAACAAGAAGCGCATAACACACTGCTGAATTAAAACAAGAAAAAGAAACAAAGAAAATCAGGCAGATGGCTCCTTAACACTGTCTAGCTCCTTATTACCGCCGTCCAGAATTCCTTCCCAATCCCTACCAGCCAGCCACTCCCCAAACGTCTTCGTCCGTGGCCGAACTTTCAGGTCCGCCGCCCCAATCCACTTGTCGATCCCACCCATATACCCGACCTCGTCAATCCACAGCGGCGCCTGCAGCACCTCCCACGGAATCCCAAACTGCTCATGCATATACTCCGCCGTCACAGTCGCCAGCTCCGCCTTCTTCCCCGTCGCCTTGGCCCACGTGTCGACGACTTCATTGATGGTGAGGTAACTATCATACGCGAGCAGCTTCGTCCCTGCGGGCTCGGTCTCAACAAGCGCACGCACGAATGGACCCGTCGAGCTCGGTGTGTCAATGATGGGTATCTTGCTTTCGCCGCGCATGGGAAGGATGAACTTGTAAACTCCCGTTTCAGGATCCGCTTTAGGCATGAAGAGCGGATTCGTCGCGTACACGCCGATGTAGATGATGCTCGTCTTCTTCGACAACTCAGGGTGCTCACTCTCGATGTAATCAACGATACTCGCCTTCGAGTCCCAATGGTACGACTGCGCGTACTTTCCCTTCGAAGCGCGCTTCATCGGTCCCAGAGCTGAATACACGAATCGCTCGAGCGTCGCAACCCTCGACGCCGCGATGGCCGCATTCTTCCCGTGGTTCAACTCCTCATTGAACGCATCGTCACTACTATGTGTCTTTCCAGTCTCGGTCGCACCAGAAAGATACGGACCCCAGAAATCCGTGTTGACAAAGATAGCGTGCGCGCCTTGGAAGGCAGCTTCGAGGGAGGCAATGTCGTTGAGATCGGCTTGGACGAGTTCGGCGCCCGCTGCGGCGAGGGCGAGGGCTTTCGATGAGGAGGGGTTGCGCGTTATGGCGCGCACGTTCCAGGTGAAGTCCTGGAGGAAGGTGTGCGCGACGGAGGAGCCTTGGTTTCCGGTTGCACCGATGATTGTGATTGTTTTCGGCATTTTGAGAGATATCAGTTGGGAATGAGTGGGTGTTTGTTTGGCAGTTGGACGATTGCGTTTGTGAGAATCAGAATGTGATGTTTTGTCGCTGTGGTTGCTGAGCTTGATGATGGCCAGGATTCGAGGGGTATCGACGAGGTATATATACTCCCTCGACCGTGACGCCTATACAGACGATCAACAATGCCAATCTCATGCTCAACACCACGGAGTCCATCGATTGGCCCACGTCCATAATCAGATTCCCGCTCGGATCGATCTGGCTTATTGCGTACGGGGCTTTGATTGGCTGAAAACCCATAAGCCAATGCAAATTTCTGGCGCCATGCAAGTGCCGCACTAGGCAGGATCTGGCCGGCTTGCCCGCTCCGCATCTCCAATTTTCATTTATTTTCTCCAGCTCATACCCTTCTATTGGCTGAGGAGCGAAGAGCTTTGCAAATTTCATTTTTTTTCACCCGCCAAGCTGGACTAGCGGACTCACGCTTGGCGCCCAAGCCGCCGTCGACATGAAGGCGCGGCGTAAGCCAACGTCACCGATTTTCTCTTCTCTCTGCTTCCGTGCGTGATCTATGACACCAGTGGTTGTAAGCCAGTGGTAACCGCTATGCTACAAACTCCGAGCCCCCAGCCACAATCAAAGCCCGCGAGGCCGAAGCGGGTTATCACCGAAGCGAGGAAGCTGCAAAATCGGGAGGCGCAGCGGGCCTATCGTATGTTGTTATCCCGTGATCGTCAGGGAATGCGCTGCGTCCAGCTAACAATTGACCAGGACAACGACAAAAGGAGCGTACTCAGAAAGGTAGATCAGGACTTCAAGAGAAGGGGAAGGGAGGGTCGACTCGATACCAGCAGCTTCAACCCTACCCCTCTACACAAAATGTCCAGCGCGATGTTCCTAGCGTTGAGGCTCTAGACTGGGATGCGCAGGATTATAGACAAGCGTATTCGGGGTTGACTGCGGTATCTAGTATAGCCGGTACGGACCTGTCGGTGTCCACACCCTCTAGTGGGACCTTGCAAGAGACGCAGTCGATCGGCGGGGCGAGTTCGGCGGGTGGTCTCTCCGGTGGGGGAGGGTTTCTAGACCTCTTGTTTCCAACTCCAACTACCACTTCGAGCTCGAGTTTCGTTGTCGACGATTTCCTGATCGGGTCAAGCCATCAAGCCTTCTTGCCGACCCCAGCAGAGGAAGTGGATACAGAAGGCTTAGAGGATTCTCTCTCAAGTACATCATCCTCGACATCAAATTATACATACCCAACTCCCAGACGAGCTACATACCAGCAGAATCAACAACAGCAATATGAGCACCAACGACAAGCCTTCCGCCCAACAGCCTCCTCCCAAACAACGCTTCTCTCAAACCCGTACAAAAACGCCCTTCAAACCCCCAAAACAAACCTCATAACCGCGTGCCTTTCCAACGCCTCCGCGCTCGGAATCTCCATCGAAGAGTTCTTCTCATACAACTGCATGTCGCTCTGCTCCCCCTTCTACAGACAGACGACATCCGCGTCTGTCGACCCAACGACGCTCCTATCTTCCGTAACATCGTGCTACCCGGCTCTCCCAGCCCATTTGAAACCAACGCTCCCGCAAATCCTCATCCCGCACCATCCGCTGTTTGATCTTGTTCCGATTCCCATATTGAGGTCTAGGGCGATTATTCTGTCGGTTACGTTGCCGCATTTGGTCGATATGTTTGAGCTCAAGGGTGATATTGTTGAGGGGGGACTGCTTTGTCTTGGGTCCGGGGCTGGAAGGGATGGGGCGAAGGTGATAGGGAATGGGAGTGGGAGCGTGACTGGGCAACCGTGGGAGGTGGGGAGCTGGGAGATTGCGCCGTGGTTTTTGAAGAAGTGGAAGTTGTTGTTGGATAAGGAGAGTGGGGATCTTTGGGGGTAGGGAGCGGGTTCCTACCTAGTAGAACCTTGCGTCTGCCACGGTGGCTGCGAGTTGTTTGTTTGGCCTTGCTGTATGAGCGTGATTTAGATTTAGCCCTTGGATTGTATGCTGCTCTTACTCGACAGCGAAGAGCGTTTATTCTAATTTCCTTCTTCAAGATATATATAAAGCACTGACCGTTGTCTGCCGTCTTGCAGTACCTGAGAATAGAGTCCATTTCCGCACTGCCATTTATCTCATTCTTTCCCACAATATTCATCTAGAACTTTGTTGGATCCCAAGGCCCCTGCTCCTGACAAAATTCACTGCGCCCCCTCGTAACAAATTTCCCAACCCCCTTCTCCCCCACAACACCCCCATTATCACGATCCCACACAACCTCGCCCCTCAAAAGCGTATACCTCGGCCATTGCGTCAGAGTCCTCCCCTCAAAGGGCGTATAATCCACATTATGATGCAACATCTCGTTCTTCAGCTCAAAGGGCTCGAGGCCACCCTCGGGATACCAGATTACCAGATCCGCATCCGAGACGCCGGGGATTAATGCCCCCTTTTGGGGATAGAGACCGTATAGCTTCGCGGGGTTTGTACTTGTGACCTCGACGAATTTCTGCGGAGATAAGCGCCCTGCACTCAGTACGAGCGGGAGTCGAGTTTCCACGCCGGGACAGCCGTTGGGGATATACCTGAATCGGCCGAGGGGTGCGTCCTCGGTAATGGCTGCTTTTTTCCCTGTTTCGGCATTATCGTATTCAAACGGGCAGTGGTCTGAGCTGAGGATGGTGAATGTGCCGTTCGACAATCCGCGCCAGATGCCCTCGAGGTCTTGGACTCCGTCTCGCGGTGGTGGTGAGCACACGCACTTCGCGCCCTCGTATCCGGGTTTCGCGAGATTATCCCTCGTCAGGAAGAGATACTGCGGACACGTCTCGGCATAGATTGGCAGCCCACTCGTCTGCGCGTCGCGGATGACCCCCGCAGCAAGGGGACTCGAAACATGAACAATAAGAATCGGCGTCTCGATAAGCTGACTCAACGCAATAGCCCTTCCCGTCGCCTCTTTCTCAAGAATCTGCGGCCGCGAGGTCGCATGATACTTCGGCTCCAGCAACCCCCTCGCCTCCAATTGCTCCGTCATCCACGAAAGCATATCCCCGTTCTCCGCATGGATCATCGTCGTCACACCGTCGATGCGCGACTGCAGTAACACATCAAGGATCTGGTTATCGCGGAGCTGCAGGAGTTCATATGTCATGTAGATCTTCACGCTGGAGATTCCGCGGTCGCGGAGGAGCGCAAATTCATCTAGTGCTTCGCGTGTCGGGTTCCCGATGAGGAGGTGGAAAGAGTAGTCGCAGTATGCGACCCCCGCGGCCTTTGAGGCGGTCTCGTCGAGGGCTTTGATGAGCGAGGGCGAGGATTTGTCTTGTGGCGCGAAGGCGATTATTGTTGTTGTGCCGCCGGCGATGGCGGATTTTGTGCCTGTGCCAGTTAGCCATCACTATCACTCTTTCCCCTGCGACTCTAGCCAGGGATAATATACCAGTGCAATAATCGTCAGCTGCTTTCCCCTTCCCAAATAGTTGTGGTTCGGCGAGGTGGACGTGTGCATCGACGCCGCCGGGCATGACATAGGCGCCCTGTGCATCGATGATCCGGGTCGTTGGAGATGGAGGGTCGGCTAGCGAGCCCGCTGGCGCGAGGAGGGCGATCTTTCCATCTTTAATGCCGATGTCGTAGCGGGCTATGTCGGCCGCTGTGACGACGGTGCCGTTGAGGATGATGGTGTCGAGTGGGGTTAGAGGGCGGATTGTCATAGCGAGTGCTGTTGTGTTTCAATCCGTCGCTGGTGTTGGTCTGCTTGGAGGGACCGCGGGGAAGGGGCCAGCATATTAAGAGGGAATTTATTGGACTTCCAAGTTGGAGTCTACGCTCGGCGTCGCGGCTTATCTTCTTCTCGTATAGTCGTTGGGGTGATAAGAAACGGCCGGCGGGCGATAAGAGGAAAAAGATAAGGACCAAATGACCAGGGGAAATAGGCCAGGACTAACCTGAGAGTGTGCCAGTATTGAATGCTATTTATTCCATCATAGCATTGTACCGAGCGTCCAAATGTCCCTTTCAACTTCTTCACCATCCTCAGACTCCTCACGTATGTCACAATCCTCGCGGGTCTCAGGTGGATCCACGGTCTGCTTGATTGCCTCCAAGTCTGAATCAGGCTAGATACGTTGGCTACCAAGAGCAAAGTACGATGTCGCCAGGATTGGCCCCCTTGGATCTCTTTGAATATGTAGGCATCGGGCACATCGCACCTGCCTCCGCTCCTTCTTGCGGGCGAGCTGGGACTAGCCAAGTCTATGTTTGTGAAGACCGTAGCTTTTTATCACCAAGGCACCCGATTGATGGCATCCTCATTACAGTTCTGGCTGATGTCGCAAAATCCTTCAGCATGGATGGGTCTGAAGACTTTGAAGAGGCAAGCTGGGTATCCAGACCTGGAACTATCGCCCTGCTGCTCATTTCGGGACTAGAAACCCAAGGTGACCCAACGAGACTACTTAGTGCTGAGGACTTATTATACGGTTTCAAGATGGACTTCTGTTTACTCACTAATGCCTTCAGCCGGCAGGCTCGTCCTTGACTTACGGCCAAGCCTTAAGTTGGAGGATGCTCTCTATGAAAGGGAAGGGGCTTCCTGTCTCTGGGGTTCCAATGGTTGCCCATCAACTCTCGTTCTCACCATCATCTTTACCGAGTTCTTGATTGCTTAACGATGGAACCTGAAGGCTATTCTTTTGATACTTCGAAGGAGCAACCGGAGGAGAACTTTCCGACACCTCGACACGCCGCCGTTTCTCAAGCGCCTCCACCCTTTTCGCTTGCACCCACTACCCTCTCAGCGATGAACGCCTTCTCTGCCTATGAACCTCCTCGGGAGAACGGTACTGCGCGCTTGAGAAATGATTTCGATGTGGCCCTCGAGGATTTCCATTCCCAGACCTCGGAGATGCTAACACGTCCGGAAGGAGCTTTTACATTCTCCGACCAACCTCACAACAACACATCGGTTCAGGAGTACAGAGACTCCACCTACTCCGCGGCTTTTGCCTCGGCAGGAAATGGTGAGACAGTAACAGGAAATTCCATCGCACCACCCAACGGGATGATGTCTCGTTCGAACACATTGGCCAGCGAGCCCCCGTGCTGCTTTTGCAAAGCTCGAGAGACTCCAGGCGGATCTGGGTATGTATGACCCCTGCCTCTCCGATACCTCCGCCTTCCTCCCTCCCTCCCTGTCAGCCATGATCACGAGTGGGCGACTCACCCAATCCTCCTTGTATAGAGTGAATCCAAATCTGCCCGTTTCCAATGCAAATGGCAAGGCTGCACCGCGCCGACCTCATATACCCTCGAAAATGACCTGGTCCGCCACCTGAGGACAGTCCATATCTCGCCCGATGACTACCGTTGCCCTTTTCATCCATGCCACGAATATTTCCAACAAAAGCAGGAACTCAGGAAGCATAAAAAACAGTGTCACCCTGAAACCAGTTGATCTCTTTGATTATCTCTTGTCGTACTTTGCCAGAGTGGATTTGGCTGTCTCCGGTGTTCGAGGAGTAGCAGGAACTCGAAGAATTATCGTCACTAGGTAGATTAGCTTATAGATTCTAATTCATGTTAGGAGTTCTTCATACAATGTAAACAAAATGGCGAAATGGGTCACCGCTTGCGTTGCTCAAGGGCCCAGGCTTGGTTCGTCAGACGTAGATGGCTCGGACAGGCGAGACTGCTAGAATTCCATGTTACATCGTATATAAAGTAACTGAACAAACACCTAATTTGGAATCGAAACTCGCCGGTCGTCGTGTCCTAGATTGCTTGGTTCCAGGTGAGATTTCGAGATCGATGACACCGTCCAAACCTTGAAACCGGATGGGCTTCCTCAGTCCATGGATTACATAGGTTTATGGTTTTGTTCCTGTGTGGGTTTTGACCCTTCTGGAGTATTTCCTTAGTCAGTGATCAAGGCAGGTTGCACTGGTACAAAGGCATGACTTGATATAAGGTGATGTCTCGACATTCAAATCGTAACCCAAGCCCGAAGGACCCTATTCAAAGTATATTCATCCTAGTATGTTCATTCTGAGAAACAAGTCTTGGGAGATGTGTCTCTACTACACCGTCGCAAAACTCAGTCCCGCCATGGCTTCTTCGAAAGTAGAAATCGAGATCGATCGCATATCTTGCTCTTCTTTTGCCCTTTCAGACACGCAATTCTCTTCCCGGATGTCTTGATTAAGGTAAGAGACCTTTGACCCAAGCTGTTCCAGAAGCCGCACGACATTTCTGTGCTCTCGATCCGCAGCATTTTGAATTGCCGATAGACCCCTGGTTGTTAGTGAATCAATTACTGCACCCTGATGAACTAGGAGCCGCACCAACTCTTCCCAGCCATTGAATGCAGCGATGTGAAGTGGTGTCCATCCACCGTCAAGAAAAATAGCTGGATCTTCCAGGACGTCAAATACCTCACGCCTGAACACCGAGACCATGCTCAGTTGGCTATGCGAGAGACCAAGGGACTTGGATGGCGTGAACTCTATAGTCTCCGCCATCCTGTGTATACTTAAACGGACTGTGTCTGGTAGTTGGGCTTCATCGGCCGCTAAACGGATAACAGCTCTTAGAGATGTCGCCAGCGGTGCGTTTTCCGGTTGAGCCAGTATTCCATTTACCCTGGCGATGATCGCTTTCTGGGCCCGTCCGGCGCTATACGACGGTCCAGCCATGATATCAGCACCGTTCGCGACAAGTATCTGTGCTGAAGTTGTGTTGCCAACCACCGCCGCTAGATGTAAAGGCGTCATATCGGTATCGTCCCGAGCATCCACTTGAGCACCGTCATATATGAGGAATTGCACCGTGTGGTCCTGCTTCTCCTGGACTGCTAGATGTAGTGCAGTCCTGCCAAAAAGATCCTGGAGAGAAGGATCTCCACCAGATCCGAGGAATATCGCAATCTCCATATATCCGCATGCTACACTATGGTGGAACGCCGTGAGTCCATCGCAATCAGGTATGTTAGGGTGTGCCGCATTCCTGACGAGGAGCTGAACCATCTCGGCCTGGCCGCTCTCTGTCGCCAGATGCAGTGGAGTAACGAGGCCCTGCCCGCTGATATTGATATCGGCTCCTCGCTTTATTAGAACCTCGGCCACGGCCAAGTCACCACCTCTGGCAGCATAATGCAAATGTCGCCAACTCATCATCTGCAAAATCATCGATTGCGGCTCCCCGGGTGATGAGTAGATCTGCGATTTCTCCAAGACCACGGCCCGCGGTCATGTGGAGTAGGCTAACTCCATCTTTCTTGACCCTCGTATCAGCGCCCTTGTCAATAAGTAGTTGCACGGTGTGTTCATGCCCCAGCATCATTGCTAGAGATACAGCGGTAAGCCCATTGACATCGCGCGCATTCACATCAGCGCCATTCTCAAGAAGCAAGTCTAATATCTCATTATACCCACCAGCTGCCGCTAAATGTAAGGGTGTCCGTCGATTCCTATGATCGGCCTGTATGGTTGCTCCGTTTGACAGCAACGTCCCCACGACAGGTAGGTTACCCTTCCTAGCTGAGGAATAGAGCGATGTAATACCACCCTCGCTGGCGAAATTCATGTTGGAACCGGCAGAAATCAGTAAATCCACTATATATTTCGCTATCTGACCCCACGTCAAGATTCGTGGCTATAAGTATCGGCGCGAAGCCGAACGGGAGCCGGTGTGCCTGCATCGAGTAGATGCTCTATTGCGTGCTTCTGCTTCCGTGCAATTGCTAGCTGTAGTGCGTACGTATACTCACTCAGGGTAGCTCCACCAAGTTCCTCGTAAGTATATGAGCACTTCAGATCGGGAAATCCTAGTCGAGCAGCCACGTACACACCAGATCGGCACATTTGACGGTGTGATTTGGCACCACAGTCGACTGGACCGTTGTACATCTCCAACGACCTAGAGACCATGCTGATGCGTTGAACCAGTGTAGTATCTTTTGGGAGCATTGTTTCGAAATTATCGATGAGAGAATCTCAAAAACATCTGCGAATAGTGCGAAAGGACTAGTCCACGGAGCAAAGATCCACTTTACCAAGTGCAGGAGCTCGTCTATGGAGCCCTCGCTTCTGCTTGCATGATAGGACCACTGCGTTGCTGCATATGGAAGGAAAGGGAAAGCCTGCAATTTGTCCTTGAATGTCTCGGGGGAGAAACTGGAGTCATTGGGAATTTCCTTGTACAGCAGGTAGTGAAGCCAATGCCTGACAACAGGCAGTCGGAGAGCGAGGCATTGTGACAAAGAGCAGGAAGGGGGTTAAATCTGTTCCTTTTTCGCAGCCTTCGCGGGGCTGATTCAACCTCGGTGCTACCAGGCTGCTCCGATGTGCTTCATTTCAGCCTCAACGCTTACAGCAAGCCCAAAGAGGCTTCAGGATAGTGACCAAGTTTTGCAGAGCAGCGACCGAAAATAAAGTTGTTGAATAGAGATTTCAGGGTCTGAAACATTTCCTATAATCTAAGTACCGACTCCTGATCGCCGACCCACAATAGATTGTTCGTCAAAAATGCTCCAGGCTGCGGGGTGTTGGATGTCGACCCATTTCCACAGGTCGGGATGGCAGCCGTCGCCGAGCGAGGCAGTGCACGGTGATCCAGACAATCAGCCAGCCATTTCGTCACCCATCGGTCCTTTCCCGCAAGGCTCTCCTCTCAAATCAGGAGATTCGTAGCCGAAAGCTCTGCTTGGCAACTTTAACATCGAGCCATGCTGTCATTGACCGATCAGACCCTGACTTTAATCCCGCCTCACCCATGGACATTCTGGCAACAGTCTAACACAGCCACGATCAAAGGGTTAAAAGGGTCCTGTTGCAACAGATGATGTTGTCGTATGATTTCTATCTCCTATATAGATCAAATTTTGTGCAAGATTCTATCATAGATGCTATATCAATATCAACACTATGTCTGAAAAAGACGAAAAAGAGCTCTGGTCCGATGCTCTAGCTCCAGAGCCTCAATATGAAAAGGACTTTCGCGTCTGCAACAACAAATTTGCATTTTCACCCGGGCAACTCAATAAACTATTCAACCCAAAATCCATTGATGCATTTTACGCTCTTGGCGGGTTGAAAGGTCTCGAGTACGGCCTCCAAACAGACCTGAGCACGGGCCTTTCAAATGAAGAAGCACTTCTCCCGCGATCTATAACACTCGACGAAGCCCGCCAAGTTGCCTTTGCAACCAAGGGGGCTCCTTCTCACTCACACATCTCACACACTAATTCGCACACACCACTGAATCCTCAGAAACGAACAAATACTACCCCTTTTGCCGACCGTATTCGCATCTTCGGCACAAACGCCCTTCCCGATGCTCCGAAGAAGACATTCGCCCGGCTGCTCTGGGACGCCTACAACGATAAGATTATCATCCTTCTGACAATTGCGGCTGTTGTCTCGCTATCACTAGGAATCTACGAGGCCGCTGCGGGTCAGTCCCAGGTTGATTGGATAGAAGGCGTCGCAGTTTGTGTTGCAATTGTCATCGTTGTGTCTGTTACTGCTGGCAATGACTGGCAAAAGCAGAGACAATTTGCGAAGCTGAACAAGCGTGTGAGATTCCCCTTCCTACCCTTTGCCCATTTGTTCCACGTCCAAGCTCCCTCAGTCTGGGTACGTGGTGAGCTAACAAGTCTAGAAACTCGACCGCGAAGTCCGTGTTACCCGCTCGGGCCACACAGTCCGCATCCACATCTCCACCCTATTAGTCGGCGATATCGTGCACCTCGAACCCGGAGACTCCGCACCTGCTGACGGAGTCATAATAACAAACCACGAGATAAAATGCGACGAGTCAACGGCAACTGGCGAATCAGACCAGGTCGAGAAGGTCAGCGGGTATGCAGCATGGAATAATCTATTGGAAGGGAAAGGAGGAGAAGCCGACCCGTTCATCATATCAGGGAGTAAGGTGCTTGAGGGACTGGGAACGTATCTCGTCACCAGTGTCGGACCACACTCGACCTATGGTCGCATTATGGTGAGCCTGGGGACGGAGACGGATCCGACGCCTCTACAAGTCAAACTGGCAAGACTAGCAAGCTGGATTGGATGGTTTGGGCTAGGGTATGTTTTCCCCCCTCTGGATTGGCCTAGATGGAGTCTTTGCTAACGAATTGGTGCCGCCTAGATCTGCCTTGCTGTTGTTCTTTGTCCTCTTCATTCGCTTTCTCGTCCAGTTGTCCGGTAGTAATGACACGCCTGCGGAAAAGGGCCAGCATTTTATGGATATCCTGATTGTTGCCGTTACAGTTATTGTTGTTGCTATCCCCGGTACGGATCTCCTGTACCCGTTTAAGTGGACGAATTATACTAACGATCGTTGCAGAAGGTCTCCCCCTAGCTGTGACCCTGGCGCTCGCCTTCGCAACCGGCCGAATGTTGAAAGAGAACAACCTCGTCCGACTCCTCCGCGCCTGCGAAACGATGGGCAACGCCACAGTGATCTGCTCCGATAAGACAGGGACACTAACACAGAACAAAATGTCCGTTGTTGTCGGCTTTTTCAGTTCTCTCGAATCTTTTGGTCGACTTCCATCCGACACATCCGCTGAATCCTCGAGTGTCTCAATTTCAGAGATGATGGGGCGATTCTCGAGCGAGTTTCGGGAGCTGCTTCTGCACACCCTTGCGTTGAATACAACGGCATTCGAAGAGGAGCGTGAAGGGAAGAAGAATTTTGTCGGGAACAAGACCGAGATTGCCCTTCTGCAACTGGCAGCTCAGCATCTGAATATGAACCTCTCGGACATTCAAGACAGCAATCACATTGAGCATGTCTATCCCTTTGACTCCTCCCGCAAGGCGATGGCAGTCGTATACCGCACTGAAAGCGGCTATCGGTTCCTGGTCAAGGGCGCACCGGAGCTCCTTCTCACTGCATCGGCTCGGATAACTCTTCCTGGACCTTCTGACGAGAAGGGAATTGCGACTGCACCAATCTCAGAAGATGAGCGCAACCGTATTTTGAATCGGATAGATTTGTTCGCGCGAGCCTCGTTGCGCACTATTGGAATGGCCTACCGTGATTTCCCCTCTTGGCCGCCTTCGTCCAAGACGGCACACCCGGGATTCGCTGAGATCTTTGAGAACATGACATGGATCGGTGCGTTTGGTATCCACGATCCGCTTCGTCCAGAAGTGTCAGAGGCAATTCAGAAGTGCCATTCGGCCGGGGTGCAAGTCAAGATGGTTACCGGTGAGTCCCTCCTCTCTCCCCTGCCCTGAGTTGGATTTGAGCAATACTAATGCTCGTGTCATATAGGGGACAACATAAGCACTGCCCTCTCGATCGCCGAATCATGCGGAATAAAAACACCTGATGGGCTTGCAATGGAAGGCCCGGAGCTCCGACGCCTTAGTGAAGAGGAACTCGCACATGTCATACCTCGCTTGCAGGTTCTTGCACGATCGTCGCCCAACGACAAGGAGCTCCTCGTGAAACAGCTCAAACGCCTCGGCGAGATTGTTGCGGTGACTGGCGACGGGACAAACGACGGACCGGCACTCAAGGCTGCCGATGTAGGGTTCTCGATGGGATTGAGTGGCACTGAGGTAGCCAGAGAGGCGAGCTCGATTATTCTGCTTGATGATAACTTCCGGTCCATCGTTACGGCAATCGCATGGGGAAGGGCTGTTAATGATGCCGTTGCAAAGTTCTTGCAGGTAAGCTCTTCAACTTCATGAGTATATCGACACAGTTGAGGCTAACATGGGCAGTTCCAAATCACCGTCAATATAACCGCGGTCCTCCTCACAGTCATCACAGCGATCTACAACAGCAACAACGAGAGTGTCTTCAAGGCAGTTCAGTTACTCTGGCTGAACTTGATTATGGATACATTCGCTGCTTTGGCCTTGTAAGTTTTCCTAAGTCCTTCTTGGCTTTGAGTGAGAAACTAATGTTGAATAGGGCAACTGATCCCCCAACGCACGATATCCTATCCCGCCCTCCAACACCCCGCCACGCTCCACTCTTCACGCCAACAATGTGGAAAATGATCCTCGGCCAATCCGTCTACAAACTCACCATCTGTTTCGTTCTCTACTTCGCCGGCCACCGAATTCTCAGCCTCGACCCAGACTCCGAACACGAAACCCTCGTCCGCGACACAATCATCTTTAACACCTTCGTCTGGATGCAGATCTTCAACGAGCTGAACTGTCGGCGCCTCGATAATAAGTTTAATGTCCTCGAGGGCATCCATCGCAACCGCTGGTTTGTCGTCATTAACGTGCTCATGGTTGCAGGACAGATCCTCATTATCTTCGTTGGTGGTGCCGCTTTTGGAGTTACGAGACTGGAGGCGTGGCAGTGGGGAGTCTGTTTGGGGTTCGCGGTTGTGTGTATTCCATGGGCGGCGGTGCTTAAGGTTATGCCGGATCGGTGGCTGGAGGTGTTTATTGGGTGGTGTGGGAGAGGTATGAGGATTCTTATTGTGCCTTTCTTGAAAGGAATGAAGAAGTTCAAGGGTTGCTTTAGACGGAAAAAGGCGACGAGGAGTGGGAAGGGTAGAGTCCCAGACGAGGAGAGTTGTGTATGAATACAGGCGTTGTATACTTTTTTTTAATATACTGTAATATAGAAACCACCTGCATATGCTTTTCTACCACCCATGGGAATGCTCTCCTTCCGATGCAAAAAGGAGATAGCCCTGGGGAATTCATGAAGATGTGCGAAACATGAGCTCCTCTTGCGGCTGCATTCCGCTCCCCGTCCAGAACTTCTGTTCAAATGTCCTGTTTATATTCTTCATCTTTACCTGGGAGGAATGTTTCTAGACTTCTTACATAGCTCGCTTCCATGATATTCCCCCTTCGTGATAAACTGCCATCGAGGAACCCATGCAGTGCTCCTATACCCATTGTCGATTCTGAGTGCCAGCCTCCAATTCCTTGCAGAATCCAGTCTAGAGTAACAGCCAAATGTCCTTTGATTTATATATTCGGCAGCTTGCTGTGCTCGCGTGCTACGACTGATGGAAGTAGAGTTGAAGGGGCCTGATGTGAAGAAATGCGGCATGGTTGAAGTTCCAAATGAGCGAATTTTTTAATTTTTTTTGTCTTTTTTTCCTCACTTCATGTGCTGTTGTGTTATTGGCTTCTATTCTCCTTTGGCGTTTCTTCAGGTTCCTCTCTATGTCTCTTCAACGGATTCTTCAAATTCGTCCGTACGGCCGTCCGTCTTGATTTCCTCTTCTGCGCCACGTCTGCCTATCGTCCTCGTCGCACCGCTTCAGAGATCGCCTAGTGACACAATGACGAGCCAGTTACCATTCGACCTTCTCTGTGAGGTTGCGAGCCATCTTCAAGGAGATAATGACACGTTATTCAACTGCGCCCTTGTGTCCCGACAATGGCAGTGTGCCTTCGAGCGGATCCTTTACCAGAGTATCTACATCATGACCGGCCACCGGCCACCTCGAAGCGGCCACTTTTTGCGGGCTTTTCTTTCTCTCGCTTCCCGTCCGGGTGGCAGAGTTCGAAAAGCCATAACCCGTGAGGTCAGCTTATTCGCGAAATGTCCTGAGTTAAACGACGCCGACGACCTGGATGAACCAGACGATACGACTAACGAAGAATTGGAGTCTCCATGGGACATGACGTCGGAAATTATCAAGAAGTTACTCAAGCGTCTGAAGAGCCCAGCCGATATCCGTGTCGGCCTCGCTATAATGCAATGCACCCCATGTGTTGACCCGAACACGGTGATAGAAGCCATGTCCCTGCGCGAAAAAACCACGGCTGATGGGGCAAAACTGCCGAATCTCGCATCCATTAACAGTCTTTTAATCGTGGACCAAATGCCAATTGAACCTCGGAATCTCCGCGTACCTGAGCATATCATCCTTCGAGTTATTCAGGCATGCACAGCCCTGGCCAGTCTGGGTCATTTAGCTCCAGAACATATGTCAAAGAAGGTGGAATGGGCGTACTCGGCGAAGGCGTAAGCTGCCCAGGCTATCACATATCAGATGCAGTCTGCTGACCAAAGACTATAGTGCTAGCCGATGGTCTCCTTAACTTACCAGTCACTCTGAAGTCTCTTGAACTCAAAGCCCAGAATGAAGGGGATGTGCCAGTTGTATGCCCTTTGCTCGGCACGATTGATGCGTTTTCGACAAATTTATGGCACCTTACCACTCGCTTCGAAGAGCTGCGGCTCGAGAATACGGCCGTTCCCCGAGACTTCTAGTTTCTGCGATTCGACCACGGCAAGCAAGACTCATTAGCCTATTGGCCTAATCTTAGAACTATAACGTGTCAGGATGACCCTTCTCTGGTCCATATCAGAAAGACACCCTCTCGACGTTCGGTATAAGCCGACTAATTGCTTACCGCCCAAATGGAGAATACTATGCTATCGAGCCCATTGTCAGCGTCGCAGGAGGTAACGGAACTTCTTGACGCCTTCCTCGGTTCCCTAGGAAAGGCTGTGAACGTATGCCACGTATAGAAAAAAGCGAATATGAGTCCTCGCAGGATAGTGAGTCAATATTTTGCCTCACTACCGATGCAGATACGCGACGAGCTACTGCACTCTAGTCTTTCGGTACCGACTATCAACCAGCCGAGCGAGTCGCAGCAGCATGGGGATTCCGCGTTGAGGATATACAACCCAATTCGACCAAACCTTCGAAATATTCTGTGCAAATTGCCCGGGTGCCTAGACATTTCTTGCTTTAGACGGCACAGGATAACTACTTAGAGGTGGTTTTGGGAAAGGGGGCCGTCACTTAGTATCGATTGATATAGCCAGTACTAGAAACATATTTTGAGAACCGATCTAGCGCAGTTGGTCTGGAACAATGGACAGAGTTTGTGATTTCGCAGAAAATAACTAGTAAGTAAGGTAATTGATTCGGCACATTCTCAGTACGCCAAGTGCTTTTGATTTACTACGATTAGCTCAACCATCGACTGCTTTTCTCCTACTTTTCTTTTCTAAAATATAGGTTCAGATCTTGGTTTTTGAACCTGCGTTGGGTAGAGTCTTTAATTTCCCCGCTTTTGAACAGCTGCGCATGGAAGCGAACTGAGTGGTTTTCTGAGGCAAGAACTTCTCCGAGGTGAGGTCCCAGTCACGTCCACCTCCTTCCAGAAATGTTCTTTCTCGCCTTCTTCCTCGCCTTCTCACCTCTTCATCTCCTCGCTCATGCATATCTTCATCACTTTCTTTTCTCTCCTTGATCACAATGGCTGATCGGTTGCCCCCGGAGATCCTCTCGCTGATTGCAGACTGCGCCCACGATGAGGCTGAGGACAGCTATCATGGCAAGCCTCTCATAGAACCCGGTGCAACGGATCTAAGAAATGCCGCTGCAGTGTGTTGGAAATGGAAGGCGGCGTTTGATCCTTTTGCGTACAAAAACTTTGATCTCCAATCCACGAACCTCTATCCTTGGGGCCTTCACAAGTCCAACCTCTCTGTCTTTGAAGCCCGTACATCAGGTGCTATCGGTGTTTCACGCCGAATCATGGTCCGGGGCATAGACTACAACATCAAGATCGAATATCGAGTACCAAACAAAGTCACAACTCAAAAGCTAAGCTCAATTCAGACGGAAAACGACCATGCCTACAGATTTTCTGTCGCTGGTCTGTTTGAAGTTCTGAAGACGTGGGACAACTCGTGCCGTGTCGTGCTGGGCCTGCTCACTGAGTATGGATCTCGCCCAAAACAACCGGCCCCAACTGAGTTGGACGCCTCGCAAAGTTACTTCGAGTCTCTAGGCACTATCATAGCCATTCCTGATGTTTACTGCGTTGACACATTGTACCTCGAATCAAACGAAAACATAAAGGACGACCGGCAGCTGTACGCTGTTTCGGCATCAGCATTCTTGGAAGTTGCCCACCATTGCACAGGCCTAAGAACACTTAATGTGCATCTTCGAACTGCATCCTTTCCAGTCTCGGAGCCTAAGCACCACCGTCAAAAACAGCGTTACGGTATGTCCCAGGATATGTTGACTGAAATCGGCCTTTCTGACCTGAAACAGCCATCGCCATAGGTCTTTGTAGCCTTCCGTCCTCCCTTCGCACCTTCAACTTCATTGAACACACCTTTATCTCAGTCGGTTTTCCGCTCGTCCTTTCTCAGAATGAATATCTATTTGCGACGAACTTGAGGTCGATGAGCGTCCAGCTTCGACACCTCGAGCTCTTTTGTGCTCGGCTTCCGCCAGACTTCTTACTACCTCTCGACGGATCTGACAAGCCAATTCAAAACACTCTCCATTGGCCCAATCTAGAATCCGTTAAGATTCACCAAGCTCCCACTTTCACCGGCGCTGGTTAGTTATCCCGCTTGTTGTTTACTCATTACCACGACTAATGGCTGCGCTCGGCAGGCGAAACAGAGCTTGTAGAATCGGAGGTCCTAGACGAGTCGATATCGCCCGATCCTGAATACTTAAAACTTTTTAATCGGGCCTTCATTTCTATTGCCCATGCAGCGAGGGAAATGCCCCGACTCGCCACTTTTGCGTATACCAACATCGATTACTGCTGCCAGTGGGGCCCTCCGGACGACTACCCAATCTTCAGCTTCACGAACGATCGAGCAACCCGAACAATTACCGTACAGTGGATATCAATTACCGGATACAAGCCAGGCAAGAGAGTGGCAAATGCTTGGGGATTCCGACTGTCAGATATGACCGTCAAGTACGACGGCCCCAAGGTAACGTCTAGAATCGAGCTGTCGGTTTGGCCACCGACGAAGACCTGATGTCGAAAAGAAAAATAGTGTTAGGCGATTGCGATGGATCTGGTTTTGTGTGCGGTAACCTGGGGAAAACCGCTGCGGAAGGCTTCCAATTAGTATGTATTGACGTATGTATCTAAGAGTCACACGCATATCCAACCTCATTAATTGAAACTTCAACTGAGTACTTCTCGTCCTTCCATTTTATTGTTTACATTATTTGTTTGCTACAACTTTCAGGCCGCGCAGAGCTCGCCGAGATGCGATCCATGGAACACATTCGGGATCCGCTGGCAGCTCAGGAGGTCGTGCCTGGAGCTGGGCTCGCTTGCACATGGCGAAAAACTGGGTGGCCAGACCGATCTATGTCGACTCCACCAATCAGAACGCCTCGCTGCCGCTTCCCGAAATAACTGGCGCCAGGAACACCACGCTACTTTATTCTCTAGTACGAACTCTGTCTAGCTTCCTGAGGGATCCGGGGTTCTGATTGCTCGTGTTCGTGGGTAATCTTGCCTGATATTGATTTGTCTCACGGGGCTGAATCAGAGGTCCGCCATTGGTGTGATTGCTCGGCTGGCCAGGCTTTGCACGAGCATTAGGATATCAATTTCTCCCTTTTCTGCAAAATAAAAAAAAAAACCGCTGGAATGCCCAGCAGTGCAAGAAAAGCTTTAAAAAGCCATGTTCCTTCTGTGGTGTACGGATACTGAATTCCTTGCTCTTAGTTAGTCGTGATATCCCCAATCGAGTTCTTCGGATCCACACGACGCCATGAAATCCCTCCTCTTTCTCTCACTCGCGCTCAGCGCAACAGCTCACCCCTCCTCAACACACAATGAGGAAGTCCACGCGGCCCACGCAGCCCTCCACGAAGCCCGCGCCCTCCCAACGGCCGGCCTCGAACTCGGTCCCCACAAGTCGCTCCTAACCGGCTACTCCTTAACCTGGCAAGACGAATTCAACTACCCAACGGGTTCGCTGAAACAACCCTCAACCTCAAAATGGATCTACGACACCGGCACGCAATACCCTGGCGGCCCGCCAAACTGGGGAAGCAACGAGCTCCAGACATACACGAACTCCATCAACAACATCTACATCACGCCAGAGGGCTGGCTCCGCATCATTCCCCGGAAAGAAAGTAACGGGAAATGGACAAGCGCGCGGATCGAGACCGTCCGCAAGGACTTCAAAGCCAACCGCGGCGGGAAACTCTTCGTCGAGGCCAAGATCAAGACGGGCTGCGCGTACCCGGAGCTCTCCAAGGGGATCTGGAACGCCTTCTGGGCATTGGGCGCCGACTTCCGCGGGAACTACCAGAACTGGCCATACACATCTGAATGGGATATCCTTGAAGTCATCAACGGGCAGGACACCACCTACAACACACTCCACTGCGGCACGGGCCCTGGCGGCGTCTGCAACGAGCCCTCGGGTCTCTCGAACGGGGGCACGCCGTGGACCAAGTGCGCGTGGCACTATGTTGGCTTCGAGGTTGATCGCACGCAGGTTACGGCGGATGGGGTTGAGCTGTGGAGGAATAATGTGCTCAACTGGTATGTGGATGGGAAGAAGACATTTTCGCTTACAGGGCGCGATGTCAATGATTATGATACGTGGTACAAGGTTGCGTACCAGGGGCATTTCCTTCTGTTGAATGTCGCTGTTGGTGGGGATTGGCCTGGGGCGCCGAATGCTCAGACGAAGGATCTGGCGTCGACGAGGATGATGGTTGATTATGTGCGTGTTTGGAATAAATAAACTGGCTGACTAGAGTTGTCTAGTGGGTTGGGTGATGGACAGCGCCAGTTGCCCCTTTGCTACTTAGCTTGCTGATTCAATGGCTTGAAGCCGTGCTTAACTCTTAATATTCTCTTGTATCTATCATAGAATGGAATAACTTCCTCGACGAGTTGATCTCACACTTGCAAGGATACTGCTTGGACTTCGCTCTGACAAGTTGAACTTGATGAGGTATCTGTTCATCACTTGACCTGTGTGGCGACGGCAACATTCCAATGCTGCGGGTGAGGCTGATCGGCGCCTTCGTCAAGCAAAAGCCCCTTGCTCCATGGCGTCGTGGGCTGGGAAGAGCGGAGAGACAGTAGGCTATTCTTGTGACACCAGAGGTTTTGATAGGCTATAACATATGGACCAGGACAAACAATAACCCATCAAAGGAAGCAGGACAATGTTTCTCGCAGAAGGTAAAAAATTGTCGTGTCGCTCCAGTTCTCCAAGTCGATAGCAAAGGAGTGTTCTCCTATAGAGTTGCGAAAGGGGTAATGGAATGCCGCCATAAGAATGTGAGGCCGCCAGATACTGTAAACAAAACATTCATACAGCGCGTCAGCGGTCTATAAAAATGGCAAAGATGTTGGAGGTTTTGCCCCAACCAAGGTTCATCCACAGACTCCCTTTCCTTTACTTGATTCTCCTCCGTCGTAACGATATAACGAAGCGAGATGAAGTTTTCAATCTTTCTTGCCGGGGTAGCCCTCTTGAGCCCAGTCCTCGCCGACAACACTTTGAACATTGTCGCGCACCCCGACGATGACCTCCTCTTTATCAATCCTGACATCTTACATGACATCGCCAACGGCTTCAATGTTCGCACGGTGTATGTGACCTCGGGTGATGGCGGTAACTCCTGGCCTTTCTGGACGGGCCGACAAGCCGGCGCACTCTCGGCATACGCGCAAATGGCGGGCGTTGAGAGTGTCTGGGACGAGAGCGACATCGGTGTCGAAGGAAAGGACATCCCGCTGTACACACTGCAAGGCAATCCCCGAGTATCACTCGCGTTTATGCACATTCCGGACGGAAGTATGGATGGAAACGGCTTCCCGGCGACGGGACAGGAGAGTCTGGAGAAGCTGTGGAAGGGCGCTATTGCTCGGATCCGCACCGTTGATGAGTCCGGGACGACGTACTCGAAGCAGGAGCTGATTGACACCCTCACTCAGATTATCAACAATTACGCCCCTGACAGCGTCAACTCGCTCGACTATTTGCATGACTATGGTACTGGCGACCACAGTGATCATACCTCTGTCGGCATTTTCACCAACACAGCTGCCATTCAGTCGTGGTTCCCTGGGGATGTCATCGCGTATCGTGGGTATCCGATCAAATACGAGCCCGTGACGATTGGTGGTGAGGATCTTGTGAGGAAGAAGGAGGCCTTCTATACATACGCGGGCTTCGACGAAACGGTCTGCGCGAGCGACGTCGCTTGTCAGGGCACGGAGTATGAACTGTGGCTGCCGAGACTGTACACCTCAAACTGACGTCGTCATGTATCTAACGGAGGTTAAGTGGCTTTGATATACCGTGTTGTTCTCGGAGTTGTGTCTTTATTGACCAGTATAATGCATATTGATTATTCTCACTGCCGCTTAAGCCGGCGCTCGACTCGAATAAGTTTGACCGTCACGGTGACACTGGATGGGAGATTCATTGATTACGCGGCGAGAGAGGAGCCTTGCGATAGTAAATCCAACACGGTCGTATTGTGCAATTCGCTGCGTTTGTTGGATAGCACCAGTGCCAACTAGGCGCGGTATCCGACAGTTTCCTTATCGACGGGCCCTGAGTACCGTGAGACCTAAGAGTAAAAGCGGAGATAGGCCGAGTAGTTCGGCTTTCGGGAGGAGTATCCTTGAAAAAAGACTGCACCTTTATGCAGGTTGAGGTGGTTCATCCATACAGAGCGTGCCGTTGAGCTGAGAAGGCTAGGCAAAATATATAATGCAGGCGCAGCTGGCCATCTGACCACCAGACTTATTGCAGTTTCTTTGTCTACCTGAGAGATTATCAATCAAGCTGGTTGATGACTGTAGCCATAGATGTTGGAGGGGTAATGATTTGGAATCGTGAGCAGGACCCTTTTAGTGACGTGATGACGTGCGTTGAAACGAGGTGTTGCCTTGTCGAGTCGTGTTCCCCGGTGGCGCGTGCAACCAGCGCGAGTCAGCCACGCCACGGAGAGACTTTCGGGTGCCGGGATTACCCCGTCTAAACCTCACAGGCCTGCACGCTTGCTGGGGAAGTCAATGTCAATGACAATCAATCTTGGAAGGGTTCCAATTGCCGAAAACCAAGCATAGTTGAGGCAGAGTGCTACTGCTGCGAGGATGACTGTTGCATGAGTAATTGCGACTGACTCGGAGCTAAAAATGCGAACGGCAGAAAAAGCAAACTGGGCGACTCAAGCGCGAAGCCAAAACAGGCAGTCAACTAGTTCTATATTATTCCGTGACAATTTCGTGTGACAGCGCAGAGCGAGCGTCAAAAGCCTCACTTCTGAGACAAAGAAGGAAGGCAGTGCCCTCTCAGGCTGGTGTCCGACAGCCGGGTCCGCAGGCTAAAGTGTGCCATGATAGCATGCTCGGTATGATTTGTTGGTCTGCTTGTGACGACTGTGGATACCGGACCAATATCGCGAGGAATCGTCCAGAAGCGCTGTTTTCGCCTGAAATTTATGCAAGATATTCTGTTTTGAGCATAGTGCGCTGTCGTCTCCTCCCCGCGAGAGACAAATCCTGAGAAGGATCCAAGGGCCACGCGCTTGTGATTCCGGCTGCAGGAAGGCAGTATGCCATACACTGAGTTGCAGCGAGAGACTGGCCTGCCATACCACTCAAATACCACACGCACCCCGGTGGTTCGGGTCTCGGGCGACTGGAACCCAGAAGCAGAGATAAAAAGCCACGCTGTCGGGAGATGCTACGGCACTGCACTAGTTTACTGGCAACCTGGCCGGATGAGGAAATCTTGATTCTTGCAAGGTTTGGAGCCCAATCAGCCCTGTTCCCGCGCCCGTGTGATTTGCCCAACGGAGCCAATCCGTGCAAAAAGTATATGCTCTTCCCGCTAACCATAGGCTGCGCTCGGACGGAGAGAAACCTCTTGTTGGGTCTGAATCCAGCAGCCGCTCCTCCATAGCTGAGCCACTCTCGCATCAGATTCGCGGCCCTGCACCGGGAAACCAACGTCGACTATGATGACATTGCGTTCACTGATATCGTCTCCCCCACTTGCCCTCCAAGGTAATCACCCAGTCCGGAAGATATCTGTCTTAGATATCTTACCTTGAGCACCCTGCTCCCGGCAGAACAGGTGGTTGCAAGGTCCTTTGGGGGTTTCCAAAGTGACGTTCGAGGTTAGTCGTCCTGTTCCCCGCCTCGGCTGCCCCACGGACACCATATATTAATATAGCTGAAAGCCGATCTAGATCCCTGCCCTATTGGCTGTATTGCCTGCTACCCCGCGTCCATCCTCAACCGGTTAAGCTGTCGAGTTTCGATTTGCAGAAACCCAAAGCACAGTCTGACGACACATGCTGTAAAGGCAGATGTGTAACAACGTTCGGGGGCGTTTTGGTGTCTGTGGCCATGAGGCAACCGTGTACATCGCGAGATGCCGACCGGCCATTCAGAATCGAGTCATCTGTCCCCCAGGACAGCGCATCGATGTTTGGGACTGGCAGGAGGACAAGGACAATGAGAGTTGTCCGTCCTGCAGAGGAGATACACCACCGGAGACTCCGTGACTAGCACATGAGAGGCAAATATCGCTCTTCTGGGAGCCTCAAGAAGGGCCATGAGTGTCGTTTATCAAGCGTCCAGATTGTTTTCGCATTTCAGCGACAAGCTTCTGCTCGAGATTGCCGCCCCATGTATACGACGCCGCGCGGGATTTCGCCTTTTCAGTCCATTTATCGCGTCGGATGAACATCCTATCCGTTGTTAGCGCTGTGGCTTTACCTCTTTAATATAATTCAACCGACCATTCATCGCCTTGGCGGCTGGCGAGATAAACGAGATGGGGCATTCGTGTAACGTCATTGTAAGATAGAGTTTCTCTAACGTTCAGGTCGAATATAAACCACCTTTTGAGGGGGAGGACAGAATCAAAGTCCGGTGGGATGTGGACATGATCGTAGACCGCCGGGTGGAGCGTGGCGTGGAACTTCCGGTTGAGGAGATCCCTGCATACGGCATCTCCAAGGGTGAGATGGCGGCGCTGGGGATTTCCCGGGATGTCAGCGACACAGACATAGATGATGATCCGCGTGGGTTGAGCCATAGCGACTGATGATGGTAGCGACCGGAGTTGGATAGAGAAGAGACGGACGAGAGTCGACCGGCAGACAAAAGGGAAGGGGCCTTTGTTTGCCTCATGGCAAACAGCGAGCGAGGGGGCGGTGGTCCAGGGCGGCCGGAGCTCGGATAATCCCCGAAACCGGGCAGATGTGTCACTTCATCTCTGTCATTCTTCAAAAAATGTCTTTTGCGTCTGTCATTTTGGAGAGTGTGTTTCTGGGCGATATAAATCGCCAATAAACTCCCAGATAACAAGTGATGCGCAGGATTTAAGTACTCAAGCATCCAAGATCTGGGTCCGGGCTTTCCCAGAGATCCCCGGTGGTGCGGTGCCGCTAATCGCTGAGGACCCTCTCTAGTGGGATGCTGAACCTGGACCATGCGTAAAGGATCCGTCAGGGGGCGTCCCACGGCTCAGCTTTCTCAAAAGTACACGTACAAAGTACCAGTACCTTGGCCACCATTGACTTTCAGCTACTCTTCAGGTACATATACTTTGATGCGCCGCACTCGAGAGAAAATGTCGGCTCTTTTTAACGGTCAACTTATCGATATTTTGCGGGCTTTGACGAAAATTTGGCTTCAAAAAGGTACTTTTTCAATACTGCTTATATTATGCTCCATTATTCTGCTATATTATTAATAATACTGTGTAACATAATGAGCGAAAGCTCCCAGAACTAAATTTTTATCGCTCCGAAAATGACTGCGACCTCAGCGCCGTGGATTGTGTCCCATCGCCTTGCCTCTCGGTCCTGCAACAGTTCCCATCAACACTGGACCAACGTTAGCGGCATTCAGCGGCGAAAAGAAGAAACTTACCATCCCAGTACGTGAAAGAGCTCGAATAGTTTCCCCAAAAGTATCGGTGGTGGTCATCGTGCCAGTCCGAGCCGCCCCAGAATGGGAAGATCCGTCTCAGGCTCCAGGGGAAGTCATATCCCGAGTGCGCGTCGATGGCTTGGACCTGGCGCAGCGCCATCCACGACAAGACGGTTATCAAGTGCACATTTCCCGTCACGTATCCGAGAATCAGAGGCGGGCAGATCGTTCCGAGCCCCAGGAAGAATGTCTCCCACGGACTCGCATATTCAGCTGTCAGCCCGAACGGCGCAGCGTACTGGTGGTGGATGCGGTGGATGGCACGATAGAGCGGACCCCAGTGCATCGCACGGTGCAACCAATAGTGATACGTGTCTTCGACAACGAAGAAAAGGGCAATTTGTGCTGCGAGTGTCGAAAACTTTGGAAAGGGCAGAGTCCATTGCAGGCCGCACAGCTCCATCATCGGGTGGAACAGCACGATCAACGGGAGCTCGACGATTATGTGGATGGCGAGGATATATTTGACGCAAGTCCATTGATCGCTAACTGACGGAGGCGCCTTTTGATCTTGGATCTTGAAGCGCTTGAAGACGCTCGGCATGGCGTCGGCGATGATCCAGGGAATGCAACGGCCGAAATAGATGACTTCGTGCGCGAGGAAGGTGATTACTCCTGTCCACCCGGTGTCGTTAGCATGGCTACGCCCGTGTGTTAGGCGTCTTACCCGTCGCGAGGATGTCATTGTCCCAGAAGGCGTAGTGCGCCCACCACAGCTGCTCCGGCCACGAGAGACTAGGGTCCTGTTTGGCCACATCGAAGAGTTCAGGGTATGTCATGGGATGGGACGGGAGCGTGACGTTAGCCATGGTGATACAAGGAGCACGCGGAGCTCGTAAGTATGGCACTTGTATCTGGTACAAAAATTTGCCCCTGTTTGTTATTTGTAGCCGTTGCGGCGTCGGTCAGCTCCAATCCCGTATGGTCTGATCCAAACACACCACCCCGGATCCCGTCCGGAATCCGCTACCTCGCCACGATTCTGGTTTTTAATTTTACAGAAGAAAATCGTAGGTACGAAATCAATGTGGGGATAGCTGGATCAGTTGCGCCTATTGATTGGTCTGTATGGGAGTTTTTGAAGCAGCAGGCACCTGTTCAGACGCGCTAGTCGAGGATCTCCCATAATCGCGCATAGCCTGACTATTGGCGTGGTAGTTCTGTTCGAACATCCTCGTGTCCAATCCTAAACGGATCCATCATCTAGGGCTATCGGTTTGCTGTGTCTGTTCAGGCAGGGGTCGTCATACTATCTCCGCCTTACCCAGGCCATCGGGCTAGAAAATGTCTGGGGTCTCGCCACCTTTTACAGAGCGGACCGATGCCATCAGACAACCCGACGACGCTTTTGATGATGCTCCAGGACCTGAGGTCTCTGGTGTTTTCTTCAATCGACTTCGCTGAAAGAAATTCAGTTGCTTCCACTATCTGAGAACAAAGTGGTATAGTGCCCCAAGTATTGGCTTCGGCCATACAGTTTGCGGGACACACAGCTCATCGCTCCAAAGTGGGCGTATTAATCTCACTCATGAATGAGAGGGACTTTCTGCAATTATCATTGACTACAACATGGTTGTAGTGGTTGTAGTTAAACGACCTGAACATGCCAGTTGAGGAAGAGCATCGCGCCAAGCCGAGCACGACAACCCATCAAGATCGCCGACGAACGACCTCGACAGATCCAACTCCGAATCAGATCCTTCAAGAGCCTCAACGGTCCATACTTCGCGTTATCAATCAGACAAGAAGTCGATTACCTAAGTTCCAGCATGCGAGGCGTGTGACGATAACCTTATCAACTTCCCCGCACGCATCTCGAATCGAACGCAAAGGATTGGCCGCTGATGCTACTCCAACTTCTCTTCTCCTGCGACTTCCCTTCTGGGATCGTTTGGGCTGTCAGACTCCAAATTCCTTATCGTCGCTCGCGCGGAGTATCGATGATTATATCTCGGCGGCTTCCACAACTCCATCGCAGCAGTAAAAGACTCCGTCATCACGTCTCATGATGTTGACCCTCTGGCTAGCAAGCGCTTTTATTATCATCATATTCTTCGTCCAGCCACTTCGTGCGCCCATTGCGAAACTGCCGGGACCATGGTATACCAAGTTTACAAGCTTGGCTCTCAAATACCATGAATTCACCTCAAACAGACGGCTCTATATCCACGGGCTCCATCTGAAGTATGGAAGTGCCGTTCGCATCGCACCAAATGAGGCGTCGTTTGCAGGTTTGGGTGCCATTAAAGAGATCTATGCTTCTGGCGGGAGTGGATATGACAAGACAGAGCTGTATGACCTGTTTCGTCAGTTTGGGATCAAGTATGGCGACCTGGTTCCCCACATGGCGATTCGAGATGAACTAACGGTACTAGGACTATGTTCTCGACTCTTGAGAAATATGATGTGAGCCCTTTCCAACCTCCGCTGCTCATTAGTATGGTCTCTCTGATATTATGCAGCATAGCCAACGCAAGCGAGAGCTCGCGGATCGGTACGCCATGACGAATATTCTGCGCGAGGAGCACGTTGCGGCGATCAAGGACCGGGCGAAGGCCTTCGCGTCTCGATGTGTAGCCTCAACGAAGAGTGTTGACGTCTACGTACGCTTGCTCTATCTCAATCCCTAGATGTTAGGTGATGCTAACTATGTTCCCAGGTTTGGCTCCACTGCTTCGCCCTCGACGGCGTAACAAACTTCATGTTCAGCCCCGGTGGTCTACGCTCGCTCGACTCCGACAAGGACTTTGAAATCATGGAAGAGCTAACCTACCACCAGAGCCTACAGAGTTAGTGCTCGTTTCGCGTCCCTCTATCATTCCCTCTACTAACCATCCGACACAGAAAACCTCCTCCACTACTACCTTCCAGGTCTAGTCCCTTACTTCCCGCAAAGCCTGATCCCCCGTCGCTCGCCACTCACAAACGAGTACGTCCTCAGGATGGCCGCGCAACAATCCCCAACACCACACAGTCTCGTCGGCAAACTCGCACGCAAAGACTCCCCGCTCAACCACGCGCAGATCGCCGCAGAGACCAAAGACCACATGGCCGCGGGCATCGATACAACCGGGGACGGGCTCTGTTTCCTAATGTGGGAGCTTTCGCAACCTCTCAACTACGTGTTCCAAGAGAGGTTGCACGAGGAACTCCGTACTGCGTCTTCAGATGATGACTCTGAGGGTCTTCAGCTCGACCGCCTCCCCTACCTTGATGCTGTAGTTAAGGAAGCCCTCCGTTGTGCGCCTCCGATTCCAATGAGTTTTCCTCGCTATGTGCCAGCCGGTGGAAAGAGTATCGAGGGGTATTTCCTGCCTGAGAAGACGATCGTCAGTTGCCAGCCGTATACTGTCCACAGACTCGATACCGGTGTCTTCCCCGAGCCCGATAAATTTAACCCGGATCGCTGGATGGAGGAGAAAGGCGCAGCGGAGCGGAACAGGTTGTTCTTTGCGTTCTCCACCGGTGGTAGAGGGTGTACCGGTAGGAAGTAAGTTGTTTATCTCCCTTTTCTGTCTCTGGGAGCCATTCCTTTTCCTTTGGTTCTGCTCGGGTTAGATGCTGACTGATTCTGCGTCTAGTCTAGCGATGGTAGAGATGAAGGTTCTATTGAAGGAGGTTTATAGTCGCTTTCGCACGACCGTTGCGCCGGATATGAACGGATGCATGGATATTGATGATCAGATTATTTCCTCGAGGCCAAAGGGGCAGACTTGCCGGTTGGTGTTTAGTGAAAGGTAGATGTAATCTTCGTTGTATTGCAGCCGCTGCTGGATCGCGTGAGGTGAAATAAGTTGCAGACCAGATGTGCCTTTTCCGATTTAGTATGAACTATGAAAGATGGTACAATGCAAATTAGCTTAAATTGTTGTAAGCACCGCCAGCCTATAAAAAATTCTCGTAGATGGTCTTGCTTTCTGGAGCTGAGCGCTATGGCAGAGGCATATTTTGAAAGCATGATATGTCCTGTTTTCAACCAATATCCATGAGTGCAGTATGATTTAAGATTCGCGACTTGTTTGTGGTTTGGGGTCTATGCACTTAGGTTTCTGGTATGTATCTAGTGACTTACGAAAAATCCCAAGGCGTGCGATGTCGATGGCGGGTTTCCGATCCTTCCCCTGTTTTCCCGAAGATGGTTCATATAGATGTAACCTGTGGATTTGCCCAGGCTGGTACAGTATTGGAGTCGTAGATAAGATAGCATTGACAGAACGTAGTAATAATAGCAGATTGTAACTCCAACGAGGAGGTGGGGTTAACTCAACTACCCGGATCTCCGCACTTGCGTTTCGTCTTCCCGACCTCATCGAGTCAATCATCCCGCCGACGCCCTCAAAATGACCAAAAGCCGACTCTCAACAAGAATATCCCTTCGATGGCCTCCCGAGCCTGCATTCGAGAACACAGACACTCTAGTCCTCTCCGTGGACAGCTGGTACGTCGACCTTCGTGTTGACCGGGCCACTGGCGCGATTGACTGGGCGATCGCGGGTGAGAGACTGCAGGATAAAGACTCGAGTACGTAATCCCCCCTTTCCTCTTCTTTTTAATGTCGAGTTGAATCTGACGCAAAAACAGCTGAAGTCCTCTTCACACACGAACTAGACTCAAGAAACTCTTTCGGTGTTGCCGATTGCGGGTCTTTCTCGGCTCTACCCAATGGCGATGACCTGGAAGTCGGCGTTATGCCGCGACATGATCTCCCCGGCTCTCCGGTGCGGGATTACGAGGAGGTATGGAGGGGGCTTCTTTTCCGACGGGCAGACGCTTCGGACGGGGTGTCCTTTGTTCTCGAAGCGGGTGGGGACGTGCAGATGGACGAGGGCGAGGAGAAGGAGATTGTTCGCACTTTCATCGGCGCCATTTGGGGCACGTATATTGTTCTTCGACAGCGACAGACTTTGGCACGACACGTCGGCGAAGCAAAGACGGTTATTCGGAGTGGTGGGGAGGTTAGTGCCAAAAGGGAGGACTTCGTGCGCGGGGTTGGGTTCCAGGTCAAATATTCCATTGGGCCAGAGGCCGATGAGCTGCCGGCACAGAGCGATGTGGAAGGTTTGCTGAAGGATGGTGGCATGGCTCCGGGGAATAAGGTGGTTGTTCGAGGGGAGGAGTATGTTGTTCGAGGACTTGAGGATTTGCGAGGGGAGACTGAGCAGTATTTTGAGCTGTCGACGGATGGGCCTTTTGATGGTTAGCTTGCCGGGCACAGAAAATGCTATGCAAATTTCGTTGAGAATTCTGCCATCATGGGGTCTTAGTCTTGTAGTATCCTGCGTCGTCCGGGAAAGACTTTGTGTATCGGGTACCGAGTGGTATGCAGGTTGGTCGACGGGTCGTTGTGAGAAGGGATAGGAGGCTCTATATTGAAGAGAGCCTAGAGGACTTTGGGCGGCCTTTTGAACTCAGTACCGACGAAAAGCAATGTTCATTCCAGGTGCCTCAAGGAAGTCGAGTTCGACCTGATTGTAGTTTCGCGAAACCACGTAGGCATATAAATGAGCGCTGCCAGAAAATCACAAAGTACACAACTTGGGAAGCTTGCAACGAATGTCAATTGAGGGTGGCAATCCATGTCCTCGTTGGTAGTGGCATGATTTGCCTGTCCAGCTCCCATTTCTTCCTGGCTGTATCTTCCATCTCCCCTCGATTGTGGCTTACTACCTCTGGCGTTGCTAAAAAAAATAACAGTGTCCCTCTTCTTCCTCGCTTACATCATCTCTACCATTTCCAAAAGCAGAATCTTCCTGCATCTCCCATCCATGTTGGTTAGTGGCCCGTGCACAACGGCCCTCTAGGATTTAAACACACTTCCTGCTGTTGCATCTACCCTTGTCATCTCTTTCATCCAGCCCCTTTTATCTCACTCCCAAACCTGGAGACCTGTACGGCCTTTCTCCTTCTCCTACATTTGGCCTCTTATCTTCAAAGCCAACCTTTGCTCTTATTGTCAACGTTCTGTTCCTGGGTCAGGACAATTTCATCGGGCATCTTGATAAAAAACAACATTCTGTCACACAAGATTCTAGTCGAAAAGCCGTTCTCAAAAGGTCAAGCCTCGTTCTTCTTTGTGACCTTCGGTATCTTCAAGGATACTCTTACGTACGTCTTCGAGTCCATTCCCAAACGACCCCATATTCTAAGCTCTTCTGACTGAACCTTCAAGACCAGGACCAATCCTCTTGATCAGCACGAGCGTTGCATTCCGGAACACCGCAGGCACCCAGTGACGGTTCGAGAAGCCTTCTCAAGTGCCAGATCGTTCAGCGGATACATCGTCATTTACAAAACTATCGACAAGAAACCGACCTACCTTGGCCTAATATCACAACCAGTTCCAACCGCGGTCTGAAGGCAACTCTCTGGTCGGGCAGACGGGCTGTCCATATCCAGCCCTGCAAGGAGTTCTATCACACCCATTCCTCTTCTGCCAATCTAAGCAGTATGAAGGTACCTTGCTGCAGAGCCCTTGACTGGACTAACACCGCTGACCTCATCCCAGATTATTTGATGGACCGATGTGCTATCTCATGCCTTCTCTTACGAACACTTTTTGATACCAACATAGTGGTATTGTCTTCGACGACACACTCGGCTTCACAAATAGCTTTTGAAACCTGCGTATTCTGGACGGACCCCTCGGGATTATATCACCTGTGCCCGGCACCCAGGGCCACCATGAGCAGAGAAACAATTACTCATCACCCTTGCCACTTCGAATGGCCGGTCTTTTTGGTCGTCTCCAAGCCACCGCTAGCCTAACTTCAAAACCATATCCAAACCACTACACTTGGTCCACGATGCGTTGACTAAACTCCAGTTGACACATGCCGTACTTCCTCCTATCAGATCTGGACTAGCCTCCGCGGTGCTCCCTTTTGCAGAGCTTACTGGGCTGGGACATCGGGTTCCTAGACTTGATCCACCCGGGGTCCTGTCGTTGTCACCTAGAGCGGGAGCCTATCGAGTTGGTGAAAGCGGGTTGCTAGACTTGATCCATCTAGCGTCCTGCTGCCCGTTACTTTTATGATACAATCTTGAGACTGCTGCTCGTGACATTTTGATTTTGGGGAAGGAATCTCTTTGATGAGCTTTTCGGGAGGGACTGGCTATGGCTCCTGTAGTCTGTATCAGCGTGGAATTGCCCTACTTGATCAATACGCACACCACTTTCAGCTGGACCTATGGCCTTGTTCCTCCTCTCGTCGTTATATCCATGGAAAAGGACAAAGGTATCATCTATGTTTACCATCAAACCAAACTTGATGTCTGATTATTCTCTGTATCATTCGCATGTAATTCGGGCGAGTTTATAGATCTCACAGCTAAATGCACTGTAGTCTATTGTTAGACATCTCTTGAGTTCATCATAACCCAGGCTGCCCTCTTCCCTTAAGTGTCGCCTCTCACCCTCATATATACACATATTCGGCCCGATATCCAGCCCATAGATAGGTTATTCGAACTCTAAAACAACTTCCTCGCATCCGAGCCAGACCCAGCCACCTCAAAGTCTCCCCACTGCGGTCCCTCCGCCACGACAATATACCCATCTTCGCAAACCGAATAGCTCACCTTGGGCAAACTCTCGTAGAACGAATCATACTTCGGACTCAGCGCGTCGCTGAGGCTCTCCACCGAGCCGTCGGGGTGGAGTTCGGCCCATGGCTTGATACATGTGACTCCGGCGCAGGATTTCAGTACGAGGAGGAGGGCGTCGAGGCGATTTAGGAGGGTTTGTGGAGCGGAGGTGTAGATGTTATTCATTTCGTAGGGATCGGTCTGGATAGTTTGTTAGTTCTTGGTTGGTTGAGAAGGGCTAAGGGGGTAGAAAGGAATCAAAGAAAAGAATATACACCTTTAGGTCGTAGAGTTCGTGGTCGTTGTTGCACCAGACTGTGTAGAACAGGTTGTACTGTTCGCTGACGATGCGGGCTGATTTGTAGGTTGTGTTAGGCATGCGGTGGGTGTGTGACGGTGCTGTATACCAATTAGCGTCCTTTAGTCTCTCTGGAGTGGGAGTTGGCGTTAGTTTAGGAACGTACATAGTTTTGCATAGTTACCCTCTAGCACAGCGGTTCCCCAGTATTCAACAGTAACATGTTCATGTGCAACCGCGGAGCTATTCTTCGCAATGCGCATCGGCGTGCCGTCAAAATCATCACGTAGTGGGAGGCCCAGAAGCTCAAAGATTGTAGGGGCAAAATCAACATGCGTCGTCACACGGTTCTCCGTCTGATTTGGTCGGATCCCCGGTCCGCGCACGAAGAATGGGACACGGATATCCTCTTCGTAGGAAGTAGTCTTTCCCGGCGGGAGACGATGGTGCCCAATATGGAAGCCATTGTCGGAGCTGTAGATCACATAGGTGTTGTCAATCTGGCCGCTCTCTTCGAGGCGGGATATGAGTTTGTCGACCAGCTCGTCGACGCCTTGCAGGGAGCGGAGGCGCTGGCGGTAGAAGAAGTCTTCGTAGTCGACAACGCTTTGGTTCTGAAGAGCTAACTCTTTGATCCAGGAGGCGCCAGATTGCTGTGTTCGTTAGCTCGATTATTTAATTTGTTTCTCTCCTCGTTGGGCTGGGTTTTCTTACATGGACTGGGTTAAACGAGGGAACGCGCGGTACGCGAGCATCAGGGAATAGGTGGGCATGTCGCGGCGCAGGGACCGGAGCCTGCGGAGGTGTCCCAGCAGGACGATCAGGCTGTTGGTCAAAATGCGGTGCGATCGGCGCGACTGTGAGGAAAAATGGCCGGCTTGTGTCTTCGAGCGCGTCGTCTAAGAACCCGAGAGCCTTTTCCTCCGTCACGTCCGTGGTGTAGTGGCCTGCATAGCTCTTCGGCGGCTCGTGGTTTCGCTGATAAGTAGAGTTCCAGTAAGAATATGTGAACGGGTCAAGAAGGAAGTCTGATCCGTTGAAGCCTTTGACGAAAGGGTCGTTGTATGTCTCAACACTGTGTGAATTGAACAGTTTCCCAACGTAAAAGGTGTTGTATCCAGCTTCTTGAAGCCACACGGAGAACCAGTCTTCGTTGAAGCCTTGCGAGACAAACTTGGGATATCCACCTGTGGGAACTGTTAGTTTAGTCCTAAATGACGCGAAAGGAGCTCACCAAAAGGTGGGGAGACGTCAGTCACGTTAGTATTATGTGCCTGTCGACCAGTCCATAAAGTTACGCGAGAAGGGCAGCAAAGTGCCGTTGTGACAAAGTGGTTTGTGAAATCAATTCCCTTTTCTCGAATACGGGTACGGACATGAGGCATATACTCGACCGAGTTCATCGTCAAGTCCTGGTCGTCAGTTAATAAGAAGACGAAATTCGGTCTGCGCACAGCCTCCGAGACCGCAGAGAAGGCCGCGAGGGCGGCAATGCTGCTTAACCTCATCGTTGTTGTCGAGTGAAGCTAAGTTATACATCACTCTCGACGCAGCGTGTTCGGTATTTATACTTTGTCGGATAAGGGCTTGACATCAGGGCCGGGCAACAAAAGATCGGCAATGGCGACTCAATAGAGCCGATGACGCGATCGGTCAAGATCCACCTAGGAATGCTGAGTAGTCTTCAGTCGACAAGGCTCGATGACTCGTCCATAGCCGTTCAGAATGTTGATATTTTCTAAGCGAAGATGTGAAATCATCAACACTCATGAGGCTAGCGGACGACTCTCCGAGTCTGAAGGCTCTCACTGCTGGCACAACTCGTAAAAGGAGATTCCTTTGTCTGTGAAACAAGCATGACTCCAACCTGGTAAAGATCTTCATTGACATATTTGCTTCTTCTTGGCTATTCCCGTTGTCAATATCTGAGTCTCTTAATATGACAGGATTATCACCTCATTGCCAAATATCCCGCCTATATATCGACCGAGTCTCGCAACTTACTGGGACTTCCACCTGCCGATTTGCACCTCGTTCCCACGAGACCTGCCCATCTTTCAGGCGAATGTATTTGTACTCGAACTTATGTCCTGCCGTCAGCCTGATCGTGCCATACCACAAGGGCTGTTCTGCTGTGTAGCGGTCAGCATGGAGAGGTAGCCCCCTCGCGGGGTTCCAATTGCCAAGGGCCTCGGTTGATCCGAGTACTCGGATATCCTCGCCCCAAGCTGTTCCCGCAGTGACTTCGAACGTCACGGAAACTGATGCGGGAGGCTGGCATGGCTCGGGAGCCGATGTCGGCAGTCCACCTATGGCTGGCCATGAGGTGATTGTCACGCTGCTGTATGTTCCCGGTACTGCAGTAGCCGAGCACGTTAAAGGGACGCTCGGACTTCCCGAATTACCCCACGGGGGCGGGGCTATTGCGCTTCGACGACGGCTTACGCTAAGAAGAGTTGCGTAAGACCAGGCCAGGTCATTTGCCGAGAGATGTGATCCGTTGTATCGCGAAAATTGCTCTGATAGAGAGCCATTGTTCCAGGCATAATTTTGCTGCATCGATTAACCACTTCAAGTCTCGGGCATATCTCCTCTGAGATGAACTTACCACGATGCGCAAAAACCCATCTGCATACGTTCGAACCGCGTCAACCAGTTGGTGATAGGTTTCCGACGAGGACGAGTAAGTACCAGGGACGGTAGACGAATGTAGAGCTTGAAAGAAGGGAAGCGACACGCTATTTACCTCTATCGAGTCAAGACGACCCCATTGATATAAGGCATCGTAGAGTTGCTCTGCCGCCGCTAGAGTGCAAAGGAACCAAGGGTTTCCTCCGAAATAGACGTCCTCAGGATATCGCCCCACGGCGACAGCTTCGTCCTGACCACGGTCCGCATTGATGTCGTATACATCTCGGAAGGTGTCCATTATTCTGCGATGATTTGCCAATGCACGGGCAGAACACGGCTGGAAGGTGACGTCGTCACACTCAGCAAGAGGATTAAACGTGTGCGTAACCGCTAGCAGAGTGGCCGCATCCTTGCCGCTTCGACTGCTATCCAGGTTGCTGCGAATAAATCTGCCCGTCCAGAAAGACTGCATCAAACAACGAATTTGCGCCGCCTGGGAAACGCATTCGTAGCATGAACGTCCCAGGCTTCCCGCAAAGATGCTTCCTTCAACGAGGGCACGATGAGACACGGCAAGGGTGAAGAATGAGCGGCCTTGAATTTCCTCCCAGATGTCTATTCAAGTTAGCCTGATACTCCAGCACATGGGGAATAATCTTACCAAAGCCTCCAGAGTGGTTCCAGTACTGAGTTACGTAGGACAAATCATTGCGTACAATTGGCCACACCATGGCATTCGCCACCTCATGGTGCCCTTGACTCTACCGAATTTTAGCCAACGAACGCGCATGGATAAGAGTACTTAGCTAGGCAGACGTACCAATAGCCACCATCCAAAATCGATCATCGCAGTCGCCCGCAAAGCAGGTCCGTCCCGCTGCGGGCGACCCCAGGGCCCTGCAAACGGCGTCTCATCAGCCATAAACTTTGGTTCACCTAGTCCACTACCGTCCGCCAATCCCCCGCTCGGGTTCTCGGTCCCTTGTATCCGAGCCTGGGAAGAAATGTAGGCCTCGATCATCGGTAAAAGTTCGGTATCTCCTTCTCTGAGAAATTCCACGAGAGCTTTCATGACGATTCCCGAGTCCCGGGTCCATGTAAAGAAGTCTTTCCCAGATGAAGATCAGGGTCCTATCGGCGATGAGTATGGCGGGCGGATGAACGTACAGTCCGGCTCCGATCGGCTGGGGCTTGCAACCAAAACCCCGGGCGTAGCTCCTTGAGCCCAAGCCCCATGTTCCCCAATCTCATTCAGAATGGCAGTTCGAGCAATAGTCGTTTCGTTTGATAGCCAGCTATCGAGGTTGGACGGATGGAGGGGGCGGGGTCCGTGTGTTACCCATAAACTCAACAATCCAAGAACGAGAAACGGAGCGAAGAATGAAAGCAGTGCCATATCGCAAACTTCAAGGTCACTTGTAATACTATTACAATGGCTCTTGCTTGTAGATTATGATCGTTATGATTATAGGGGGTTGAAAGATGGGACAAAGCTGGAGCTTGGATGAGGTCGAGGAAGCCAAGACATCACCTGCGGGAGGGGGGATCAAGTGACTCTAGGTATGAAGTACATAATTCGTCAAGGTGACCATGAAAGCAGGCTCTAGGAACCTGCGTAGCAACAAGTTCTACTCTAGAAACAAGAAGCCCGTTGAAACCTTGAGAGGTGTGCGGTATTTCCCCAGAATGCACAATCTCGTCAACCACACCCAGATCATAATAGGCTTATGCTGGCCATGGTGGCCGGATGTCAAAAGTTCTATTGTTATTGCCCTGTCCTCGCTGAACATAAAAAAATACCATAGAGCATGCCTGAATTCAACACTTCCGAGCCTGAACCCGAAGTGTGCAAAGAACGCCCTTCAGAAATATCGAGCCCTGACCTAGATACAGGCCTGTTCCGGGACTGGTATGGTTGGAAGGGCTCTGATACTGTCTCCTTGCTCTAGCCCAACTGAACTGCCTACTATGCCACTGCGTGTGGCACCCGGCTTGTGGTGCCAGCAACACTTCTGGTTCTGGTCCAGCGTCAAGCCGCCCGCTTGCAAAGCGCAGCGCCCGGCTTGGGAGCTTCTAGCCTGTGTCAAGAGAGAGCAGCCAAAGAACAAAGTAACAAGGATACAGAAAGACCATTCGAAAGGAGATCGGAAAAGCAGAATAGGATAGTGTAGATAAGGGAAGACTTGAGAGGTGAATGCCCCGATGTCTGTTGTTAGCGCGACGCTCACGCAGCCAGAGTCCGCCCGTGGCAAGTGAATATATTGATGGAGAATATTGAGCGCGAGAAGAGGAAGCAGTAGGTAACGCGCCGCCTTGCCGACTGGCGAACATAATTTATGACGGTGCCTTCACAGGATTAGGATTGTCAAAGAATTCTTCCAAAGATCGTGGACTACCGCAAGAGAAGTTGGAGGCTGTAGCATAGAGTCCAGAGTATTAGATTATTTTCTTGAGACAGCGGAATAGAAGAGAGCGGCGACTTTCCAAGTTAAGCCAGAGTGTGCCATGCCGGAGTCTACATTCGGAGTTGAAGCGCTACTGTGGAAGGGAACATTCTTAAGGATACTTTAAAATTAATCTCTCAGTTTAGGTCCAGAGAAGAACAATTTGGGTATACATGCATCCATAGCAGTTTCATATAGCAACATTCGCCCATCCAACCCTGGGTGGCAACAAACAATTTGGGTATACCTGAGTCGATAGCAGCTTCATACAACAAGAAAAAATAGCTATACAGTCAGAGTAAGGACCGGCATCGGGTTGGGCCCTGGGACTGACCAGGGCCGAACAGGCCGACAGGAGTACAGGATTTCAGTGGAAAGATAAAGGAAAGACAGAAGGAAAAGGAGGTAAAACTGGTGTCTCACCTGCGAGCCTGCTTCGTGGCCCGTTATTCGCTTCTTTTGTTGAGTTTTCTTGGATCGAACTGACACACCAGGAGAAATTGCTGTGGCTCGTCTCGGCTGTTACCACGAATTGCCTCCGGGATGATAAAGGGGCTGCCCGACGATTGAACGGCGTTGATACGAGAGAAGCAGGAGACAAAAGCATCAGGCTCTTGATTCAGAAGCTCATCAACAGTCGATTCAGCTTGGTGACCCTCTACCTCTTCCATAGGCTTGTCCAAGGGTGCTGCATCCCGTGCAGCTCCTCTTCGTATACCATGAGCAGTAAACCTTGTTTTCACGCCATCTCTGCTCGCCATGTCCTTGACGCGGCCTAGGTGTCCAACAACTGACAAAAGCAGATCGTCAGTTGGGGTAAGAGCACGAGGGGACTCGAAGGTGGAGAAAATTGGGCGATCTGGGTATTTGTAAAGGACCTTTCCACCAGGCTGTTGTGAGGTGTGCTGGAGAACCTGTTCAATAGCTGTTCCGTACACCAAGCCTTTTTTCAACGCCCAGATGAGTATCATCTTGATCGGACAAGCGATGTTGAGGGCATTATCGGGAAGCGGCTCTAGGGTGACTGTCCAAGGCTCTGCGGTCGCCATATCCCTGAAAAGAGCTGGTGTATCAGCACAGGGTTTCGAACGAGAAAGGATGGAAAGAAGAAGAGGGCAAAGGAGACATACTTCTCGTCCTTGCAAAACCGGAGATCAATCTGGCAGGCCAAGTCCTGGACGCTCGGTTGTCCAGACCTGGGGCGAACTGGATATGCACATCACGCCAGGACATATACTCGTTGCCCGCGAATCCATCTGATCGACAAATTTCTCCAGAGCGGCACCCCAGCGCACACTGTAAAATCATTCCCAAGGCGAATCAAGGTTTTGTCCCAAGAGATCGTTCCATCCACCAAGGCAAGATGGCACGAGGCTCGCACAATACCGTGAACGGCATATATATCTTTAAAAGGACTATTTCATTACCTCTACATTTGCAGTTTAATTGAAGACGGGGTTATGATCCAATCAACATAAGACTGGCTAGCAGCCACCTTATAAATTCGTACCTGCCCTTCGCGCGTAACTTTGTTCAGTGGTCGACAGGCACATAACACTAACGTGACTGACGTATCCCCACCTTTTGGTGAGCTCCTTTCGCGTTATTAAGGACTAAACTAACAGTTCCCACAGGTGGATATCCCAAGTTTGTCTCGCAAGGCTTCAACGAAGACTGGTTCCCCGTGTGGCTGCAAGAAGCTGGATACACCACCTTTCATCTGGATTTGACAGAACTCCACCTGACTTTCACCTTAGTCAACACACTCATTATTATTAATGCTAGTCATCATTCATAAATACCCGCCACTCATAATTAGGATTAGATATAGAACGATTCAACATTGGCGGTGATAAAATTATACGACTCCGTCCGAAAGTCGTCCTTGAGCAGGGCACCGCGGTTGTTGAAGAACTGCATCATCTGATGATCTTCTCCCCACTGCGGCCATTCCATGAACCCCCCTCGCCGCGAGTTGGGGTCAAGATCGTACACGAAGCTGAAGTAGTACGTGTGGATTGACCTTGATGCATAGTTGGGCAGAATTCCGTAGAATACCTGGGCTTGTGGTTAGCGAATAGGAAGTATTTTGGAGAAAAGGAACTACAACCTGCAGAATATCCCCGCCATGGAAACTCCCCAGTACTGGAGTGAGATAGTTCCACGACGCAAGATAAGACCAGCTAGGAACCTCTGGTGTGAGATCCTCAACAGTCTGGAGCAGTACGCGACGTGTGAGTGTGAATGTAAGATCTCCGAGTATCGCGGCAATGCGCTTGAATTGCGGGTACCAGTTGTTAAGAAGACCAGTGCGGAACGGAGATCCATGCGTAGTAATGTCGGGGTATGTTGCTACCAGCTCTTCCATTTGGTCGAGAGTTGCCCCATGAAAGAAGTATTTTGAAAGATAATCGGCAACCCCCTGCTTGGTGGTGATGTTCGCCTGGAAAAGTGCAAAGATTGTTCCTTCATCCTCCATATTACCACTGATGAACGGCACACGCGCGTATCTCCCTGTCTTGGCTAGGATATCTGGGCTATCAGTAAGCGCGGTACCGTCCGGACGAGGCAGATATGAGAGAGCGACAGAGTGGTAGCTCAGGACGCCGGGTACGGAGTTTGCCGCATTCAAGAAGGAATCGTAATCCAAATCCCTTAGACACTCAAGAGTATCGGGTGCGGATGAGCATCCAGCTTCAGAAACAACTGCATCGTAGACCGCCTGACCTTTGGCGCTGTCAACAGGGTCTGCTGGTACAATGCCGCCTGAGTTCATAATCGCGCCCCTGAAAAGTTTCTTGCCCTTGTAGGTATTGTCTCCATCATAGAGAAGCATTTGGTCGAATACAGAGATCGCACCAGCCGATTCGCCCCAGATGGTCACTTTCTCTGGGTCCCCTCCAAATGCAGCTATATTATCAGCCACCCACTCGAGGGCAAGGCGTTGATCGAGTAGGCCAAGATTGCCAGCGCCATCAGCTAGAATCTCCTTCCCGGGAAGAAACCCGAAGCCGCCGACGCGATAGTTCATTGCAACATGAATAATTGGCATATCAAGTGATACAGAGCTCTTCACCAGCGGGGTAGCTTCATACATGGCGGTACCGCCAAGCTCAAATGCTCCACCAAAGATCCAAACAAGCACCGGTAGCTTATCGTCTGCTGTCGTGCCAGCAGGCCGGCGGATATCCAAGGTCAGGCAGTCCTCGCCCGCATTGGTGATTGTCTGAAAGAGTGGGTGGTTGGTCAGGTCTCCGAGAATGGAGATAGGCCAGTCCTCGTCGTTCGTAGAGAAGAAAAACTGCGGACAGGCTTTAGGGAAAGCTGTAGCATCGACGGTTCCCAATGGGTCCGTCAAGGGCTGCGGAGGCTTGAGACGCAAAGAGCCCGTCGGTGGTTTGGCGAACGGAATGGCATTGAAAACATCCACCCCAAGGCTCGTTTTCCCGACTATGGTGGCTGCAGGGGAGGCAATCGTTGCAGTGGGCGCCGCTCTTTTGACATGAGCTGGAGCTGCCACGACAGAAGACGTCCAAAGAAGAGGGAGAAGAGCGATGGGGAACTTCATCTTTGCAAACGAGGCCTGCTGGGTGAACACACGATCAACGACTTAGGGAGGAAATTGGCCCTATATATGTGTACCCACATCGCATCTAGTTTGACATGGAAACTTTCATATCCGTCCTCCTCCGGCTTGCTTGTGATTTCCAACAGCACTTAGAGCTTTTACCATACCATATGCTCGGCTGACGCAAATGAGCGGGTTGGAAGCCGCACGCCAGGATAGGTGTAGCGTGAAAGATTTGGACAGCTGAGCATATTCAAGTCCGGGAATCAAGAAACAAACCCCTGCCGCAGAGAAGCCTCTGGAGGACGCCCCACGTGGAGCTGAACCACATTGGGAATAAGCTCCGTCCAGCATCTGGGGCGGACGAAATCCTTTCGGGGGGGTATACACATGAACCGAGGCCAGCAGCATTCTTCAGGCCGTCTGGGCGATCTGGGGAGTTGTTAGCCGACCGTAACCATAAAATCTGCGAAGATGGCTGGAAGAAAAATGACTTTTGTTGGCTGTTGCAGACGCCTGCTTCACCCCGCAGTCGCACAGTGGTCCAAAGCTGGGGATGGTGGGGTGAACTTTTGCTGAGGTGGATTCGTATTGCTCAAGCGATTGGCAAAAACGGAGAGGATCGACTCGGGGATTGACGGTCGCCCAATAGTCTGCATCGGCAGTTGAAGTTAATTGGTGTAAACCGGAGCTAGGCAATAAAACATCTTGGCTCAGCCAGAAGCCGGTTCGTATCGTGGTGGCTTTGACTGACTCAGTTGCCCACTTTTTTTCTTCCGGCGGGAGAATGACCTCATGTGATGTGCCAATTAATCTATTGTGTCCAATCGGCTCACATTTCCAGAGACTGGGGAAAGTGTGCAGAATGTCGGTGGAGGGTGCCTTGGATGCTCTGAACCTTTCCACGCATATCCGCCAAATCCTCGAGAAGCGGTCGACGACGACCTCTCAAAGGGATTCTCTTCAAGATATGGATATCATCCACCTTCCTAAGTCCCCGTATTCCTGTCGTGCCGGTCTGGTATCCTCTTTTGGTAGGGTGTACATATCACGACTGTCGACCAGATTCCACGTGTCGAAGCCTGTCACCTCATGCCGCTCAACGTGAGTATTCCACAGTCAGCTATGGAGCAACGATTTGAGTGATCAAGTCCGTCGGCCCGGGGTAACTCGCTTGCCGACTTGAAAGTCGCATGCATGACTTCGAGAAAAATGTTTCTTCCGCATCTCTTCGCTCAGAAAACTCGTCCGCTCAAAGAGTGCCGCGATTCTGCAAGGATATCGAGTGTTCGTTTGAAGGTAAAAGAAGCCCATGATTGTCTCTCCAAGTTCTTGCAAGATCAACCTTCTATCAAGCTGCTAATGATCGGCTGTTTGAACCAGGTGTTTCTAGCTTTCTTGGACGTGTCTGCGACGAGAAGGTCAGTGCCAGATACTCTTCGGGGGCGAACAAAGGTATGATCACATTTCACTCACACCAAATGCTTTCGTTGGGAAGCCTCTGGCTTGCAGAGGTCAACTCTGAAGCTCGAAGCACATTGAATCTGACAAGCCTATTCGTCCACAGATCGGGACTGTTATTCATTGGCAGGGGACAGAGGTCAACTGAAAGCAATGGGCCATTTGTGCGGGAGAGTTGGTGTGAGTGAGACGACACAATTGTCTCTGATGTCTCAGCGGACTCTTCTCTCCTGCTTCTCGATACGCACGTGACCATACCTTTTGCAAGGTGCACTGACTCGGTGTGCGAATAACTAGCAGTCGAGAGCTGAGACTTGGGGCGAACTTGGAGGCACTTTCAGACCAATCTAGGCATTTCCGAGCGTGAGTGCTTGGCGAGGCCGTGAATTGCCGCCAGCACATGCCACCCGCTGCGAGATAAGTTCCTGATAAGTGATAACCTCTGAGGAAGTAAGACATCGCAGGGGTCAGCATCCTTTTGACATGGAGGAGACCACGCCAGGGTAAAGATGGAACTCTACAATCACACCTCGGGCGCTCCGAGAGGCCTCCCCTTGCTTGGAAGCTTATCTCAAGCGCTGCGCTGCGTTTCTCCTGATCGCGATCATGATATCTGAGCTGGTCAACCTGGGCTGTTGGCATGTCCCTTGTGAGCAATCCGCGAATTATTACCCAGGTACTGCGACTGGTGTGCCGCTGTCCAGCTATGGAAATAACTGCTAATGAGCTGTGGTGCCACACAGGATCCTTGGGCCCCCAATGCTATCTCGCAATACTAGCCGATAATGAGGAAGCACAAGAAACCCGCTCATTTTGCCTCGGAAAGTCCCTTGGACGAAAAATGAATTCCATTATCAAAGAGAAACAGTATTTCTTCCTTGATGGTGCTTGGCGGCTGGCCAGGACTTGGTTTGCCCAGACATTAGTGTTATTCACGGCTGGTGCTGGACAGTTGGAGAGGGTAACAGGCTTCTCCAGAGTGCAGCAGACAAAGAACTTTGCGTGGTCGCGATAGGAATCTGACTCTGGGGTCAGCCCGTTCAGCAATCTGGCCCTAGCGCATGTTATTGCATATTGAGTTTCATATCCCTGCCAGGATCAGGTTGCATCCAAAATCCCTTGCCTTATCCATTGGCTTTGCCAAGGCTTTGGGTTACACTCGCGGCCACCTGCCAAGCAGCGTGCTTATTTCCGCCACTGCGCGGGAACCAATGGAGCGGGTGAGGAACTCCTCCCGCCAAGTCAGGTGGCCTTCGCCTCTGCTCTTATCACTCCCTCCGACCTCGAGCAAGTCCAGTGAAGCCTTCCGTGGCAGGTACCAAGACCTTATAGACCTTCCAGAATCTACCTAGACGTCTCTTGGTGGCACATTGGCAGCGCTCTGGAGGTCGGTTACAGCCGGTCGGAAGGCTGGGCATTGATATGGATAGATTTTTCCAACCAATTCAGCAGTTTCTCCGACATGGTGCCATTGAAAACTGTTAATCATAGAGAAAATTCGGCCGCTCGTTGGTAGCGATGCTAACCCCAGCTGTCGCACACGCGATAACCTTCTTTTGGGTTGATGTTCGTTCTCATATTATTTGTTTTTTCCTGTGCCACCCTGTTCCTCACACCTTAAAAGCCGCCTTGCTTCCCCGCCGCCTCTTTCCCTTCTTCTTTCTCCCTCGTGGGACTCCTCTTTCTTGAACAACACGTCTTTTGTGTTCAACCTCCCATAGCTAGTCGCCATGAACGTCGCAGACTCTGCTGAGATCGGCGCTGTCGTCGCTGCGCAGACCGATGTCCCCGATTCCAATATCGAGAAGAAGCCTCTCAGCAAATCTCCTAGCATTGAGGAGCTTCCCGCCACGAAGAACGAATATCATGTGACCGAGGAAAATGAAGTCCTTCACAAGCTCCATCCTACCAAGGAGGAGATGCAAACCCTTCGCCGTGTTGCTGGTCCTTTGAACTGGATCTCGTTTAGTGTAGCATTTGTGGAATTATGCGAGAGATTCTCTTATTATGGAACCACAGCTGTTTGTATGTTTCAGGTTGATCATGGCAGAAGTGAAGCGGTTACTGACACGCAATTCTACAGTCGTCAACTTTATTCAGCACCCCCTTCCGCCCGGTTCCTCTACTGGCGCTCTCGTCAACGGCGAATCCAATATTCCTGGTGCCTTGGGCATGGGCCAGCGCGCGTCTACCGGTCTGACTTTGTTCAATTCGTTCTGGTCGTACATCATGCCGCTTGCCGGTGCCTTCATGGCTGATCAATACTGGGGTCGTTTCCGTACCATTATGTTCTCCATCGCTGCCGCACTAGTTGGTCACTTGATTCTCATCATATCCGCTCTGCCTCCCGTCATTAGCAACCCCAATGGTGCTATTGGCTGTTTTTCAATCGGCCTCATCATCATGGGTATCGGAACTGGTGGTTTCAAGTCCAACATTTCTGCCCTGATCGCGGAGCAGTACCCAGACGATGCACCGATCATCAAGACACTGCCGTCTGGTGAACGCGTCATTGTGGACCCTGCTGCTACGGTCGCCCGTGTTTATCTCTACTTTTACCTGATGATCAACATCGGTGCCTTGACTGGTCAGATTAGCATGGTTTACGCTGAGCGTGAGATTGGTTTCTGGTTGTCCTACCTTCTTCCCACAATCATGTTCCTCTTCTGCCCCCTTGTCCTCTTTTTCTGCAAGAGACACTATACTCTGGTGCCTCCCACCGGCTCAGTGTACACCCAGGCTTACCGTCTGATCCGCGAGGCTTGCCGGAAGCACTGGACCCTCTCCACCGTCAAGGTGGCCGGCATTCCCTTCAAGTCGTACAAGAAAACCGGGACCGATTTCTGGGGCGCTGTCAAGCCTAGCACCTATGGATCTGACCGTCCCAACTGGATGGTCTTTGACGACGAATGGGTTGACGAGGTCGCCCGTGGACTCAAGGCGTGCAGGGTGTTCTTGTGGTATCCCTTGTTCTGGCTTGCCTACAACCAAATGCTCAACAACCTGACCTCCCAGGCCGCTACCATGCGCTTAGGTGGTGTTCCCAACGATATCATTAACAACCTGAACCCCTTCGCCTTGATCATCTTCATCCCCATCTTCGACCATGTGCTCTTCCCGTTCCTGCGCCGCATGGGTATCAACTTCACTCCACTCAAGCGTATCACAGCCGGCTTCTTCTGTGCTGGTACATCCATGATCGCCGCAACTGTTACCCAGCACTACATCTACAAGCTCAGCGACTGTGGCAAGCACGCCAATGACTGCCTCGCGGACGGCAAGCATTCCAACATCACCGTCTGGGTGCAGGCCATCACTTATATTTTGGGTGGTATTTCCGAGATCCTGGCCTCGGTCACTTCCCTCGAGTATGCCTTCACCAAGGCGCCCAAGAACATGCGTTCGCTCGTGCAGGCCGTCGCGCTCTTCATGAACGCCTTCTCCTCGGCCATTGGTCAGGCCTTTGTCGGTCTCTCTGAGGACCCTTTACTTGAGTGGAACTACGCTGTGGTCGCTATCCTGGCCTTCGTTGGAGGAGCTGGGTTCTGGGCAACGAATTATAAGCTTGATAGACAGGAGGACGAGCTCAACACCCTCGTACAGTCACGCTATGAGGGTACAGGACTGAAGGGAGATGAGGAGGCCCGGGCTTGATTTTCCTCTATCTTTTTCTTGCTCGTGACATGATCATCTCTTATCATGATACAAAACATGAGAGCTAAACGATTCATGTAGCTAATCCAGGCTAGTCAAAAACTATACCTAGCTTATCTAGTCCTTCTAGTCTTTTTGTTGCTCCGTAGTTTCCAGTGACACTTTTACGGTCCATGTGCGAAATAGAGTAAGAACCAATATCTGAGATATCCCATGTCCCCAAATGATCACCATGTTCTATGACCAGCGAGATATGGTGCATACCTGTCCCAAGAAATTCTATCTATGCTTGGAATAATAGATCAGCGTCATGAACGGGGGATTGGGTCTCGTAGACGCTAAACTATTTCTAGATTCCCTGTCCACCATCAACAGAATATCTAGAGACATTCATTCTAAGATTCCGAAGCCATGCACAATTAAGACACTGAGGTTATCTCAAGGTACTGCTTGGGACGATACTTTCTTCGGTCGAATGACGGTACACATGTTCTACTCTGTTCGTCAATGGCTGTCCACTAATATACATTCTGCCAAGCCAGAATACCTACCCTGCGAGCACCCGAATGCATGCGGCGTCCCAGTGGTGCAATCACAGCGTCACGGACACAGAGGCAATTCTAGTTGGCAGCGGTCGTCTCGCCCTTGTCGTGAAAGCGGCCCATATCCGTAGTGAATGTAGGGAATCAAGGAAGGCCAGGGAGACTGAGACTGGGGGTTGGGGGCAGGATCCAATACTAGATGAGGAAGCCTGCTGAGCCCGGTACGCATAACGGGCGAAACAGGGTAGAAGTATCATGTTTGCTTCCTGGGCTCAAAGGTCGACCAGGAAGTGATGTCTGAAACACCCCATCCTCGAAACGGGAAGATCTGTCAGTGCTCGAGGGTACAGTGCAATATACTTGGGGCGTACTCGTGGTCGAGATCACCGCTAGGTTTGAGTTGTGCGACCTTGTGGTACATGAGAGCACAGAGTATCTGCAAGGACAAGGGGGATACCTGCGTCGCGGTACAGATGTTTCGCGACTCCGGCCACCATAGAGCTTGCAGATATGTGGCTAAGCGCTGAAGTGGTTATTGCCTCGGTGTATCCCATCCAGCTTATAGCATCAAAGCATCATTTCAACTGATCGTATTAGTCGAAACATATCCCAACAGAAAAATGCCGGTCGCTGCCAGCCACGACGTATTCGTCCTCTGGGTATCCTTGCCTCTGGTATCCTTCCATTATCGCTGGATGAATGCTGACAAACCCTTCTTCTTCAAAGCAAATGGGCCTCGCAAACGATTATCGCCTTCTTGTTGTTGGCGTGTCTTCTGCGTGCCCGACGGGGGGATATTTATTGAGTTCTCTGTCGTGGCTGCTTCATCGAACTAGCCTTCTATTTCGCTGAGAACGAAACCTTGCGATGGCGTGGACCGTGGTTATGGAATCGGGTTAACCTTCCTGAATCTATGTCTAAGCCTACTTACCCATTCGCTAGATTAGCCCTAATTCCGCAACAGGCGCCTCATGTACAGGAACGCCTCTTGGACATCAAAGCAATCTACCGGCGGCCAAACATATAGGTGCTTTTAGGCCTCGAAAGGCTCAGACATATGAGCAGTGGTGGATTAAATCAGGGATAGGAACCCGGATATCCTGTACCACGAAGCATTACTCTTGTCCTTCCTCACCCGAGTATCTGCAAATCATGTTACAACAATGGCCTCCGATGTTGTACAAATTCTCGCCGATGAGCTCGATTTCAATGTTATTAATCTTTCCGTGGACTTAATAGCCATAGGTGATATGTTCACATCTTGTATTTTTGAGCTCATATCAAGAATACGGGCTGATGTGTACAACATATATTCCTTCGAGCCTCGCGATTCCGCTTTAAGCGATTCAAGGCGAAAGAGTGTTTTTGAGGTCGTAGCTTTAATTATGACCGTTGACGAGATATCTACATATATATATGCCGGCCTTGTACATTCCTAGTTATACCCTCGACCCCTTTCTTCTTCTGATCATGGATAAGTGTTCGCTTTTCTACCTTTGGACCAACACCAGTAGATCCTCGTCACGGTTTCGAATGTCCAGGTGTCCAGACTCACCTCCACATTTATTGACGAATTTTCTCCAATCTCTTCTACCCATGTTCTCGGTCGCAAATTCGAGTCCATGGTATGTGTTGTGAACTGCAGGTGCGATTGGTGGAATTCCAGCCTCCTCCACGACGGAAAAATAAAGCTCAGGAGCAGCCGAGCGAAGATCATCGCCAGTTCGATCCGGGGGAAGATCTTCCTCCTCTCCACAGTCTGTGCAGCAATTGCCGTGATTTCATCTGCCATTGTCTGATGCAAATTGACCAACCCCTCACGCATCATACAGTCAAACCTCCGCCGGAGCTCACAATGCCACCTCACAGGCGGAGAAATTTGGAACGCCGCAGCGACCTTGTAAGGCTGATGTATTTCTTGTTCTCTTTTGGAGAGTATATAAATAAGCCTTTGACTGCACTTGGCAGTTCCGTCTCTACCGTGCACGGCCAAGGGGAACTGCCTTGATCTCGAAACGGATTCGAAACGATGAAGCTCCTTCCTCTCTTTGCGCTCTGCGCAACCGCTGTGAGCGGACTTGTCTATGACAATCTCGGGCATACTCCTCCAGGTGCACAAGTCTACTCTGCTGGTGATACAGCTGCGCTGAGGAGAATCGGCGCGCACCATCCAGGCCACCACGACAGGCGAACGGTGACGATTCGCTCCTCGCGCAACGACCACGACGATGTCTCCGCTGATTTCCTCTGGGGAATCAAACGCGCCAACCACGGTGGCAGACTCCTTCTCAAGAAAGGGAAGAAATACGTCATTGGCAAGAAACTGGATTTGACCTTCTTGGATAATGTTGAAGTGCAATTGGACGGCGAGCTCAAGGTATCACCTCCTCTTTTTCCTCTTCCGTCCTCTCTCCGGATGCTAACCCGTGCACTGGCATAGTTCACCGACGACGTTCCGTACTGGCAAGAAAACCACTTCTACTACGACTTTCAAAAATCAATCACCTTCTGGCGCTGGGGCGGCCGCGATATCCGCATCTTCGGCAAGGGTCTATTGAACGGCAATGGCCAGCGGTGGTACAACGAGTTCGCAGGACAGGAGATCCTCGACCCGGATAACACATACTACCGGCCCATCCTCTTCGTCGCGGAGAATGCAACGCGGCTCTCTGTCGAGGGAATTACTGAGCTCAACTCGCCTTGCTGGACAAACTTCTTCGTCAACAGCAAGGATATCTCGTTTGATGACGTCTATATCAATGCGTTCTCTACGAATGCTTCTGTGTGTCCCCTTTCTCCGCCAACGCGGGGCCATAAACTAACCAGACTTCGTCTACGATGTAGGCCGAACCCAAGAACACCGACGGCTTCGACTCCCTTAACGTCAACGGCCTCTCCGTAACAAACACCCGCATCGATATCGGCGACGACTGCTTCTCTCCGAAGCCCAACACATCCAACATCTTCGTCCAGAACCTCTGGTGCAACAACACCCACGGTGTCTCAATGGGCAGTATCGGGCAGTACCCGGGCGTCCTGGATATCATTGAGCACGCGTACATTGAGAATGTTACGCTGCTTAATGGAGAGGTAAGCACTTATCTTTTCTGACTTCAAGCTTGAGACTTGCTAATCAAGTTTTGTTTTTGAACAACAGAACGGCGCCCGCCTAAAAGCTTGGGCCGGCGAAGGTGTCGGCTACGGCCGGATCAACAACATTACATACAAGAACATCCGCGTCGAAAACACTGATTACCCCATTGTCCTCGACCAGTGCTACTTCAACATCCCCAGCGAAGAGTGCGCGGCATACCCGTCGCAAGTGAACGTGACAAACGTCGTTTTCGAAAACATTTACGGGACATCGTCGGGCGCGGAGGGCGATGTCGTTGCTGAGCTGATCTGCTCGCCGAACGCGGTTTGCGAAGGAATCCGCTTGAAGGATATTGATATTGAGACGCCGGAGGGGGAGCAGGGGGTTGTTGTTTGTGATGGGATTCCAGGAGGTGTCGGGGTTGATTGTGTTGAGTCTACTTCTGCTTGACTGATCTCCCGTTGAATTCGGTATTGTTACGTAGCGATAGTTGGAATTGGTTAATATTTAGTCTATGCCTTGAGAGGCTAGGTAGAAAGTCTATCTTACTCTATGTACATGCAAATGCAAATTTTGTGTGACGCAGATCTATCTATGCGCGCCGCCAGAATGGCTTCATGACGGACCGGACGTAAACCAACAGGTAAACCATCAGATAGTTCGAAATCACAAACGCCAAAAAGATGCCAAAGTAAGGCCAGATCTTGGATGAATCGAGGCCGATTCCCGAGAGGTACTAGCGGGCAAAGTCAGTATAATCATGACAGAGAAAACGAAGAGAAACGGAACGGAAAGGGACAACTTACATCATCCCCATAACTATACTCGCAGTAGCCACACTCGCCCATACCGTCAGGGTTGGAGAGGTATCCGACGCCCTTCTCCAATAGCCAGGGCCCCGCGTATTGGCCACAGGTCATGTTGGGCGGGCTTTGGAAGAGGGTTAATTCGCTCTCGGCACAGACGACGGGCATTCCGCGAAGGACAGAGGTCAGGACTCCACCGATCCAGTATGTGAATGGGGTGGCGTAGTACATGGTGTAAGCCCAGAATGCTGGCATGTTGTCGTGAGGTTGAAGGACTCCGTTGAAGAGCTCGCACATGATGACGAAGAACGGCATGAGGGTCGCAGCGACCAGGGAGTCGGCACTGTAGAGGGTCAGAGTTAGTTCCTTGGAAGATTGAAGAGAGGTGGGAAATGAAATACCTTAAAGCTGCAATCCACTGGCCCCAGGACGTTGCGAACAGGAAGAAGAGGAAGAACATAAGAAAGCTGTAGCCTGCCGCAAATCCGAGAGGAAGGCCGACGGTGAAATAGTACAAGACAAAGAATATGACGGCGCTGACGATGGCGTAGGGTATCTCTGACACGATTTGCGCTGTGCAAAAGGCAATCCATCCGTATATTCCGCTGGGACCTTCTCTTGCCTTCCACAGGTCGCGGTTCATGATGAATCGCATAGAGATGGCGTTGATAAACTCCGGTACGAGCATGAGAACCAAGAAGCACGAGAAGGCCTTCGACTGCAGGTCCGTAGTGCTGTTTCCAATCTGAAGGTAGGTGAGACCGTTGATCAATGCGTGAAAGAAGGAAGCATAAATCCGAGAGTACGGGTACTCAGGGCTTCTCCAGAATTGACGCAGAGTTCTTTGAGTGAGAAGGAAGATCTGGCGGGAAAGTGGAGGCATGCTTTGCCGTGTGGCGCCAGATTCTGTAGCATTTTCCCTCTTACATCTGATGTTGGCAATTTCCTCTTGGACTTTCCGGGCCTCGTTAGAATGAGTCCATATGCTGGCCCAGTCGCGGCAGTTGGTGCTGCTTTTCATCCCACCAACAACCACCTCGATAAGAAAATCGGCGGCGTTGGTGACGTTCTCCGGCTTTTCGTTATGCTTTGTAAAGTACTCGAATATGGCGCTTCCAGACTCTCCTACCTCTCCGAAATAATAGGTCTTGCCACCGGGGCTAAGAGCCAACACTCGGTCAAACTGTTCAAACTGCTCCTGATTCGCTTGGTGGATGGTGCACAGAATAGCCAACCCCTGATCAGCCAGCCGACGGAGTAGAGCGCACGTGTTTGACGCAGCCTGAGAATCCAAGCCAGACGTTGGCTCATCCAAAAACAAGAGCATCTCAGGTCTTGCGCAAAGCTCGACGCCGATGGTAACGCGCTTCTTCTTCTCAATGTCCAAAGAGCCAATAACAGCATCCTGCAGGTCGACCAGGTCTAGAGTCATCAAAACGGTCCTCGCATAGGCCAGCTTTTCCTCGTCAGGCACATCGGGTGCTTGGCGAAGCAATGCTGAAAACTCAAAAGCCTCACGGACAGTGCTACTCTCGTCGTGGATGTCCATTTGCTGGCAGTAGCCGATCCGGCGGTTGAACGATTCATCAATGGGTTTCCCGTCGACATACATCGTGCCGGTCAATTCTCCAGAGCTCTGTCTCTGGGTAAGGGCAGTCAACACTAAAAAAAAAAAAAAAAAAAGTTAGAATAGTCAACGTAAGAGAGGACATCGCACATACATGTGGACTTTCCAGCACCAGAAGCGCCAACCAGGGCAGTGAGAGATCCCGGTTTGCAATAGCCACTCACGCTATCCAATAGCTTGCGATTCTCCTTCCCGACTTGTACAAAAAGCTCCAGGTTATCCCAAGTAAAAGTCGAACTTGTAGCGGTAAGAGCCTGGCCCTCCTGAAGTTCTGACGATGCTAGGGAGCTTTCGTTGGTTTGCACAGGTCCACCCTCCTCATCGTTGATTCTCGGGTTCTTCGTTTGCTTGCGAGACTTCTTGTATTGGATTGGCCCAGCACTGCCAGGCTCCCATTCCATGACCTCACTAAGCCAGCAAGTACCAACAACATAAGCGACTGTGAACAGGCATAGGATGCCAAAATTGCGCCAGACATTGCTGAAGTAGAATCCGTATTTCTCTGCAAGGTAATCATCACCGTTTACAACTGTGGTGCCCATCTGGCTTCCCGTATAGGCGCATGTCTGATATGCGACGTCGATGTAACCGGGACCGGAGGGGACAACGGAGCCTTGAGAGCAGGTAAAGTTTGTGTTGTGGAATTCTGCTGCCATCGTCGCCTCGTACGTGTACAGTGCTGGTGTCGTATACTGACGATATGTTAGCGTGTTTGACACAAGACCACAAGCTGTACTTACTGCTATCCATCCCACCCAGGGAACATCTGCCATCATTTTGTCTACAGAGAGAACGTAGCCTCCGAAGACGATTGCGAAGAGAACAATTAGTCCGCAGTAACGTAGCGCCACTTCGAAGTTGGATGATGCCGCGGCGAACAAGCGGAACAACGCAGTCAAGCAAATCGTACACATATAAATGAACAAGAAGTCGATGAAGAAAGATCCAGCCTGTGCCAAGTTAGCATTCAATCGTAATATAACCTTCAAAAAACTCACGTCTGCTTTCAATCCAGCGAGGAAGTAGACCACAATCAAGTAAAGGAACGTAAGGACGGCAGCGACCAAGATATCTGCAATCACCCGAGCAAGACACACAGCACTAGGTCGTACAAATGCAAACTTCTTCTGACGACTTAGAATGTCTCGTCCCTGCATTGCGTCCTCCAATTCAGACATCTGAAGCCAGGCCAGTAAGATGGACGAGTAGAAAAGTACACCTCCTCGGGAATACATGCCATCCGTCGTCTGAGGCTGGTCGTAGAACATGGATCCAACAAGAAGTCCATATACAATACAAGAGATCAATTTGATATAGAGTGGTGCCATGTGACCTTTGATCTGCCAGATCTGCCGTTTGGCGGACAGAACCACTTGCCGGGGAAAACTGATAGTGTACGAGGACTTCGGTGACACAAACCGTGATTTATTGCTTTGGAAGGCCTGTTTGAATTCCTCCAAACTTCCATAATCTGTATCAGCTTGCGATGGAGCGCCGCTTTTTCCACCGAAGCCTTGGTTGTCATAAGTCTCCACTTGCTTTTCGATCCTTCCGAAGGCACTGCTCTTCCTGAAGGCTTCTTCTAGCTCAATGGGTCCTTTGGGTGCACGGTGTTCCCAGCCCGGTCGAAATTTCCTTCTCTCTGGGACGGTGATGCTGGTTAGAAAATCCGAAGTAGTCTGCATTTTTCCACATTCGTATCCCAGGTCTTCGAAATAAGCCTTCGCCTCATGCGCGGCACCTTGGAAGAGCATCCTCCCTTCATCGATAAGAAGTACCTTGTCGACTAGGTCATAGATTGCGTCAGATGCTTGATATAGAGTCATCAAAGTGGCCTTGCCGCAAGTGTCGGTCATGATCCGCAGGCTTCGCGCGTAATCAAGAGCAGTTGTTGCATCTAAGCCTCGAGATGAATTGTCCCAACAAGTGACTGACGAGCCCGTGGCCAAGGACTCAATGATGGAGATTCGCTTACGTTCGCCTCCTGATACTCCCCGGATATACTCGTTGCCAACCAAGGTGCCCATAGTGTGGGACATGCCAAAGACTCTGCCGTAGATCTCGAGATACTGGGGTATTTTGTCGTGGTATCTTCTGGGCGTTTTACTCTGAAGTGCGAATTCTAGAGTCTGTCGAACGTTCAAGGTGGGAAAGTGGACATCGTCTTCCGGGACGTACACAACTTCGCCGCGGTAGTGTTTCTTGACTTCTTCTAGGCTGAGACCTGAGTAGTCGATGGAACCTGTGACACCGAGGAAAGAGGAATGGTGGCCAGCAACCGTTCTGAGAAAAGTCGAACATCCGGCTCCGGGTCGTCCAAGGATACTGCGGATGTGAGTTGTTTGTTATCTTATTATGGGCAGGTGCACATACAGCATAATCTCACCACTTCGAACAACACCCGTAAAATCTCGAATAAGTTGGCGTCCACTCTGAGGTTCCGGCTTCGAAAGCCAGGGCTTGATGGTCCATTCGTAGACATCCTGGAAGGTGAGGGTACGCCATAATGCAGTTCCTAGAGTCTTGACGTTGGCGTGTTCCCCGCCTGCACCCCACGTTGAGAGGGACTGGAAGCAAACACCAAGGTTGGGCTTCTTTCTCCCGGCTTGCAACTCTGCCTCCAAGAATTTGTCGAATGAAGAATGGGGCTCGGAATAATCGTATGCCTTACTGCTCGTAAGGGTACGGTGAATCTCAGCAATGGCATCTTCATCCTCATAGGTCAAGTGAACTTGCGGAGACGATGGTCTGTCTGTTTGACCTTCGCCCTCCGAGGGAGCGATGGTAGAATTGCCTTGTGGGCGATGCTGAAGACGGGCAGGCATCTCGCCTTACTGGTCCAGGTGAACTCTCAACGACTCAATGATGTATTCTTGACCAACCATGACAGAGAGACTGCTTGGAGGGCAATTGCCAGCTTATATACCTGTTACTACACGTTAACCGCTTCACAGGCAGCTGATAGATCCTATCCACTAGATGAAATAGGAAGCCAAGAAGCAGAGAGTCGAATCAGAGTGTGGAGTGACTCAACCTAGGGCCACTTATCGATAATAAATCGTAATCAAAAGACCTGCAATGATGTCTGTCTTAATAACACTGTCTGTACAGTGGAGACGCCACTTGGGCGAGAATTTTGCTGAAGGCCCATGCTGAGCGCTCCCAACAAGACTGTCCCCGATTGGCCCTGGGAAGCAAACAGTGACAGAAGAAATGCAGCGCGTTTGGCGTGTCATTTTCCAACTGCGGCAGGTCGCCTGAGAAGTCTCTGGAGTCTGGAGCTTGGATCCCCTTAGCGTACCAAGGAAGCCTGGAAGAGGCGGAGATCCGAAGTGCAGAGTGAAGAGCTTGGGAATAGGTGATGTGGGAGGGCCGGCCGGCTAGCGAACGAATGTGAGATTTCTGATTGGCGTCGGGTGGCCACTCAGAGACCACATTTGCCCCACCTCAGCCTGGGGGTTTCCCTGTCTTTACTCTTTCCATGGTCATATCTTTTGAGAGGAGGGTTGTGAGCGAACGAAGTATAATACACTGACAGGTGTATTTGGAACACGGGCTATCAATTAACTAGCTTCCGTTCTGTTATCAGTGGTTCAGGACAGAGATAAAATCTCCGGGGTGCAGATGAGACTTGGAGGGGCTAAGAACGCATCATCGGGGAAAATGTAGATGGGCAGTGGATTTCTCTTTTTTTCGTTTACGCGATTGGCGCGTCCACAGCGCCAAACCCAAATAAGTCAAAGAATCGCCGAAGGTTCTCTCGATTTCTTGGGCTCGATCAAAAAGGCAGTTGAGCGAAGGGTGGACCTGTTTTTACAGTGGTGGTTCCAAGTTTCGGGGCTCGGGGAGCGGCGAGCCATTCACAGGCCACCATGCTTTTTCTTCGCTCTCCGCGGGCACCGCCAGATACTATCACTCGTGGTACGCCTGCCTAGAGATCGAAATCAATCAACTATCCGAACTAGATGATATAGATCGGTTTCTTACCTGTAAAAAATGTACAACGTAGGTGAGAGTACCAGTCTGTTGTAGTTTGCCATGCTCTGTGGCTCCTGTTCGCTTTATCGCTCTAGAAGAGACATCACAACCTTGATGATAGAAGTTGAAGTCGAAACAGTGATAAAGACGGCGCATTTCAAGTATAGGAAATAGGGTATAATACTTTTTGACACCTGCAAGTCGCTCCCATAAGCTAGAGTAGGATACAGATTTGAAATAGTAGAGATGATCGCCGTTTGCCGCTCCCAAGACGCCTTGCTAATGTGGTTGATACTCGTATAGAGGTCCAGGAGCGAATAAGCACTCCAACGGTTTGCTGTCAGCAGTCTGAGGATACCGTTTAGACTGAAAGAAAGTTGGGATCCCAAAGCTCCGGCATTCGGTAATACGATGCGTCAAAGATGTTGTTAAAATCGAGGGGCTAAGCTATAGTTAGCAGCATTACTTTAGACCGGAGGGGATATCTTACTGAAACGTCATTAGGATTTGTAGATAGAAAAGATATAGGGTCGAATGAGAAATCGGATGTGGAAGAGCCGAACTCTGGAGTGTGTGTAGATGACTGGCAGCAGGTATTAGCAGATGAGTATTGAATAATAGAGAAAGCGCATACTTGTCCGAAATCAGAGGGCTCACTATCGGTCTGTGTTTGCAATTCGTCATAGGGTGTGCCACTCATGATGTGTTGGCACACTTTGACCGCTCGCAATGCAGCCTGCTCGATTCTCTTCAGGGGGTCTTCCCCGTTGAGCCTTGCTTTGACAGCAGCCACAGACATGCTGAGAAAGACGAAAGCCTTGCATCCACTGCCTTTTGGAGATATCCGGCTGCGGAAGGTGTCTTGCGTCCGCTCGAGAACCCTGAACAAACAATCCTGTTGTGATCGGACTAGATCGTTCAGACCACTCGGAGCGGTAGGTGCTGAGTTCGAGCCGGATTCAGTAATCTGCAGCGATAATTCCAAGCAAAGCGTTATTGCAGCATGTGAACACTCGTCACGAAACATGCCTCCGCCAATGTGTCCAAGAGAAGGAATCCGAGTTGTCTGAAAGCTAGGAAACGGTATTTCAAACTGGGATAACAGTTCCAACGCGGTCTCCAGACAGACTTTGCGAGAGTAGGAGTATTTGGGTGACAGGGAAACACTCTGTGAGTAGGGGCGGTGTAAGATAAGGAGAGAGCGTTGCATCAAGAAGAGCATGAATGACCTGGCGAAAGATGGATTGCCGGGATTTGATGCTGGTGTAGGAAAAGGAACCAGAGCCTCGTTCATATAACGCATGAGGTCCTCACTAAGTCGCAATGCTTCATCATATGGCAAGTTGAACTTTAAGCTATTAGTAGCTTTTGCGATACGTACTCGTATCGGTAAAGAACGAGCAAGCATGGTCTGAAAGCTGGTTTGGGTGAGGATGACGCTATCCTTGTTCACCGGGCCATTTAGCATATCCTCGGTGAGGTCTTCGTCATCACAGTTTGACGGCGGATCACAGTCATATTGGTCTGGATCAATCGTTGGCGCCACCCCAATGTCGACAGATGCTTGCAAGTCCAACTCAAGGATAGTTGCCCATAGTCGGCGACGCATCTCGGCCCAGAATGGAGTCATTTTACTGAAACGTAGAGGATCTCGGTGCATTCCCATGATCATGGCTGAATGAACAAGCGAACCTGAAGTGACCCATACAACGTCTCCATCGATAGCAAGCGCCTGGCGCGCTATCATAAGAAGGCAATGAATCTGCAGTGTATCGATTCTAGCCGTGGCGCTCACGAGAAGAGACGCAACCCACGACTGAACACCCAGGATCCACCCGATTGCAACATCGTGCAAAGTATCCTTTTCGTTGACTGTTGCTGTAGGGCTAATGAAGCAGCTCGCTGCCGCCATCAGCGACAGGAGCTTTGCTATGAAGAACATATCAGCAGCCCCGGGATTAGCCCAATATGCGTCGTACTCCTTTCGAAAACTGGGAACGTGTAGAATCCTGTATGTTGTCTCAAAGGTCGACATATATAGATTGAGCAGTTCATCAGCGATGGTCCGAGGTGGAAGCATCTCCCTCATGGAGTCGGGTCTTTTTTGGTCCACGAGCTCCTGTTCCTTCAATTCTTTGGCTCTTACTTCGCACCTGAAATGCTTCATCTTCCGGAATTCCGAGCCCTCGGCTTTGAGGTCTTTTTTCCGGCCTTGCAGGAAGGCTACCACATCATTGAGCTAAATTTGTTAGCTTCATAGCACCTAGCAGCCTCGAGGGATTTAGCTTACGAATCTGAATGATAATTCCCAGGTCGACCGGCCCCGAAAACGTGTCCGGCCATTCTTACCCCGGAAGCACGCTATATCAGGCAGGTTCCTGACTTTGTTTGAGACAGGGTCTGAGATTCGGAGCTCCGAAGCAGAATCGTATCCCGAACTTTCTGGAGTCTGCACAGGTTCGCTCCTCGCCAGCGCCCGCTCAAGAGTTTGCACGCGATGGCGCAGTTCTTGGAGCTCATCTGGCCGTCCGCGAGGTTTGGCGATGCGGTTCTTTGAGTCAAACACGTACAAGCCGTTTCCTACTAAACTAGCGGCATCACTTGGGGCGTCTCTGTGCTCTGAGGGCGAACTTGTTGACAGGGAGGTCGGTACTCCAAGTGCTTTGTGCGACGATTTGGGGGCCGAGTAAACGCATTGATCAAGTGTCTTCGACTTGACGCATTGTCCACATGGAAGCGATCGGTCGCATTTCAGCTTCCGGCGCCTGCACACCGTACAGGATAGTGCTGGTCTTCTTCGACGAGTAATTGACGACTGAGAGTGATCTACCTCCATTTCACACCAATGCTGAACTAATGTGGGGATGAATGGCGTGGAAAAGGCCAATTCCGCTCGACAACAAGAAGGACTCAGTTTGGGAAGAAAGAGAAAGCCAGGAATGTCACCCGGGCGCCATGACGAATATTAACTTTATCAATCTGCGACTCCAGCAGCGCGCCAGCGCGTTTTCGTGGAGGTTAAGACGGAGATACGCAAAGGGCGTGGTGGTTGCCTGCCGTTGTCCGAGAAGGCCGAGTCGGAGTTACCGCATTCGGCGTCCGGCTCGGCGATAAAATGATGAGCCATAATTTGCGGCGAAATATAACTGGTCACCAAAACCCCTCTGGCTTCCATATCATCCATGATGGTGCGCTCAGCATGGGGCAGTCAGCCTGTCAGGACCTCAATGACTGAGGTACAATAATTATTCATGCGCACGTGGGTCCTCGCCCAATGACAGCATCCAAAATGATATCATCGCGAGACTGTGGATGGATGGTGGCGATGAATAAATAAACTGACGAGTCTCGGGCCGCGGAGGCATAATGTCTGACGAACAGAGAAACACTGCCATTCTCACATGAATCAATTCAGCTAACTCGACCTAAACAATTCACCGTCCGTCATGAATCTTCTTCTCTCCATTTTACTATCACTTGATTTTGCGCCTGGGAGAGAATGACCACCATCCTCCTCGTCGGCACATTGCTCTTCGCCGATGAAAAGATCCCCGCTGTCTCCCTCTCTGAAAAGAACCGTTTATGTGACAGCGATAACATCCAGCGTAATAGCATCGGCGCTCTACCCACCAACGTCGCTGATAATACTCAACTATGCGAATGCCTTTCTTTCGGTTGCGTATGCGCTCCGCGCCATCGAGCTGCTTCTCGTCGACAATCCGCGTCGCTTATATCGGCTGGTAAAGGTGAACGACTCTGCGCCTGCAGAATATGTGTGGAAACCCCTCCCTCCGGGAATGACACTTGGACGACTCCTCTCCGTCTGCGATCTACTCCTCAACCCCCGCGGTATCGGCTGGGCGCATGGCTCGAAGAGATATCTTCCAGAGCTGAAGAGGACGAATATGACTTCCCAGGACGGATTCCAGCAAAAAGCAGAGAAGCATCAAGAAGAAGAACGGTTCACTCTTAATGTGGCTACGCAAAATCGCCTCTCTTTCCTGGCCAAGGAAGCTTTGAAACTATTCATTGCCTACCTCGTCTACGACGCATACTGCGTCGTTTTCGGGCGTAACTATGCCGCTCTCTGCTCCAATTTCCACTCATTCCTCAACGGACCCCATTTACTCCAGTTCGAGCTTCAATACTTTGGCCACCAGCTCCGCCCCTCGCCAGAGGCAAGCGCGAAACTTGTCCGGCGGTTCCTCCTCCCACCAGCCTGCTGGGCGGCCTGCTACGCCTTCATCGATGGAATCCATGCAGCGGTTGCGCTGATTGATGTTGGCATGCTTTACCTAGTTGCACCCACACGGGCTTCAGATCCGTGGATGTATCCGCCTGTATTCGGGTCGTGGCGATATATGTTTTGGCCTAGACTGAAAGGTACCGATACTCCCCGCAGATCTCGCATTCCCATCGTTTAGATGAAAACCGAAGTAACTGGGGAATAGACATCTGGGGCAAGCTATGGCACGACCTGTGCCGGCGCACACTTATTAGCAGTTCCTCCGCCCTCATCCCGCGTCGGATTCCCGTGTCGCTCGGTAGATTTCTTGTTGGGTTCCTGTCCTTCGTTATATCAGGGGTTGTACATGCTGCAGGAACGTACGCCGTTTCAAAAGACCTTCACGCGGTACTCATGATGACGGTCTTCTTCATTCTCCTACCGTTCTTCGTCGCGCTGCAAGAAGCCGTCTCCGTCCAGATCTTGGAGCAATTTTTGCCTGACTGGTATATCACTAGAATTCTGATATGGGCCACGGATGTCACGTATGTTATCTGGTGGGGATATCGAACCGCACCGTCCTTTTTTAGCTACAGTATGATTCCTGAGTCGTTGGCGTCTGCCCCATTGCCTGAGAGCTGGAGCATTTGTGAACGTTTTTAACCATGATCTATCCGAGCGGCGAGTCAAGCAAGAGTAGAGTACAGACATCATTGGTATATGCGTTGTTCATAAATCATATACATAAATGGTTTGAAATGCAGTCAAATGTCGCAGGTTTACCACCCTTCAACTGCTCGCATCTTCAGATGCATACCCTCGACCGGCTTCGTCGTCACCGCACCCGCAATGTGAATCTCCTGCTTCGGATTTTCCATTTCAAATGCGAATTTTGCAACCACCCCCGCAACCGCGCAGCGCAGCTCCGCCCTCGCGAAATCTTTTCCAATACAAGATCGCTGCCCGTGCAAAAAGGTAATCTGAGCAAAATTTGTCGATGCGCCTCCAGTATGGTTAACTGACTGCTCACCCGATGCTGGATCCGTATCAATCCAGCGCTCAGGACGGAACTCGTCCCCATACACCCAGAATTCTGGCGAGCGGTTGATTGCGTAGGGGCACAGGAGGATCTTCGTTCCTTTGGGAATGTGCTTGCCGGCAATCGTGGAGTCGCGGACAGCTTCGCGGATTGTGGTAGGGACGGTGGGATAGAGGCGGAGCACTTCCTGGCACACGCCATTCAGCAGAGGCAACGATTCCAGATCAGCGCTAGTAATGGGGTGCGTAGCTGAAGGGATGGCTGCGCGGATTTCAGCGCGGAGACGCTCTTGGATATCTGGATGGAGGGTCAGGAGGTAGCAAGTCCAAGTGAGAGCGCTGGCAGTCGTTTCGTGCTGTTTCGTATCAGTATGTGGCTGTGAAAGAGGACGGGGGAGTACGTACGCCGGCAGCTAGGAATGTCAGCATCTGGTCGACGAGCTCGTCATCTGTAAAATCTCCACCCAGCATCATCGAGCCGAGAATGTCGGCTTCTAGCTCCGTGGCTGTGGCCTTGGTGGCGGTGATGGCGATTCTCTTCTCATGGACGATTTCCTTGCAGATACTGCGCAGGTAGCCAACTTCATCGTCGACGACCTTGTTTAACCGCCAGGGAAGGCGCTTGGCGAACCACTGGGGCAGAATAAAGTTGACGGCCAGGAAGGCCATCTTCTCCTTCGTAGGTTCCAGGATGGCCATGAAGCTGTCTGCGACCTTGTTCTCGGTGTTTTGGATCGTGCGGAAGTCTCGGCCCATGGCTGCAGGCCCAATGATGTCCAGAGTCAGACGACTAGTCGGTTAGCTTTTGGCTAATTGTCAGGAGTGGAGGATATACCTAGCCCAGACGCTCATTTCCACCTTTCCCCAGCCACTGTCTGGGCTGGTGCCTTCCATCGGATGGAGACGGATTTCCTCGTCAAGAGCCTCCAGCAGCTGATTGGTCTTATCCCACATCAGCGTGTACAAAGCACGAATGTTCTTCATATGGAACGAGGGGGTCAACGCACGGCGCTGCTTCTTGTGTACAGCACCTTCAGAAAGAATCAGACCGAACCCGATGATCCGCGCCAGGAACTCGCGGGCCCGCCAGGGTTTCTCAAAATCATAAGTATTGGTGCTCATGATATCAAGCAGAGCCTGGTGGTTCGTCGCCAAGAGCTGACTCCGGTTCAAAAAGTCCCTGAAATGGATGAGACCATCGTTGGGGATGGTCTTGATCCACTCGAGGGGCAGGCGGCCGCGGGGATTGTCGAAGATAACGCGGCCTGCATTGAAGCTGCCCTGCTTCTGGTCAGTAAGCGCTCTCTAGTGTTCAGATGGAGCTTACCGGAGCCTTGGGTAAGTGACGCAGCGGATTCAAGAAGAACGGCCAGATAAAAAGGTTATAGATCACGAGAATGATCAGGTTGACGGTGGCTGAACCCAACGCAACGGTCCGAAATGGAGCATCAATCAAGACCGTGCGCTGTAGGAGGATCGCCTCCACGATACTGAGTCCAAGAACAATGGGAATCATTTTCACTCAGTCACTTCTTCTTGAGTCTGTGGATGCTGAGGCAACCTCGGCAGATATATGAAAGGACCGCAGGCTGCAGGATAACGACAGGATGATGCAAGCCATGATGGACGAACGTGAAGAGGCAGAGTGTCACGAGTTGTGGAGGGCGATTTTCCATGTGAAGAGCAGCGCCGATCACCCCTGGCCAAGTCACGTGCCTCGCGACTGTTTCCGTATCGGGAAAGTGGCTTCCCCAGTTTTCGATTGTTGGAATCACCTCAACCACGTCCTCCAAACCCTGCTCCATAAATTGGGCCTCATGTGCGTGCCTCGGTCTCGCAGGAAGGTTGGCCTGGATCTAGATATATAATAATAACCGCGCAATGTCCGATCATGCCATCTGATTATTCCTAGTCCATTTCACGCCTGCCCCAGTTTTTACTATGTCATTCTCTCTCGATCACCTCTCGTTAGTCCTTGGACAATGGCTGCAGCCTATCATTCAGCGGCTGCCGCCTCAAGTGCAGGATGTGTTGGGACATCCACTTGCTCCTAAAGCTATCCTTGTGTTGTTGGCGCTGGCCCTCGTGCGCCAAACGAACCGTTACTTGACGAACCGGTCATTGAACAACGGAGTACCTCTCGAGAAATGGGAGCCCGACCGCGAACTGGTGCTGGTTACCGGTGGCTGCAGCGGCATTGGCAAGCAAATGGTGCTTGATCTAGCCACGACTGGCGTTCGCGTGGTGATTCTCGACATTCAGGAACCGACATTCTCTCTACGTATGTGATATCACAGCCGGAATCGGGATCTCTACTAATCGCTTGAGTAGCGTCGCGAGTTACGTTCTACAAAGCCGACATTACCTCTTCGGCCAGCATTGCCGAAGTCGCGGAGAAGATCCGGGCCAAGCTCGGCGATCCCACGGTTCTCATCAACAATGCGGGCGTTGGCCATGACGGCACGATTTTGCAGAAGCCAGAGGCCAAGATCAGGCAGACATTCGAAGTAAACACGGTCTCTCACTTCCTTATGGTGCGCGAATTCATGCCGAGCATGATTGAAAAGAACCACGGGCATATCATCACCATTGCCAGTATGGCCAGCTTCATCGGTCTGGGAGATATGGTCGAGTACAGCTGCACCAAGGCCAGTGCGCTTGCTTTCCACGAAGGTCTGCGCCAGGAGTTGCGTTTGTGGTACAAGGCGCCCAGAGTTCGGACTTCGTATGTGTTCTCCTCACCTTTTCCCATTGGGACTCTAAGCTAATTTTTTTGGTAGAATTGTCCATCCCCTCTGGGTTCGCACGCCAATGATCAAGGTCCTAACCGACGCTGGCTCGGAATTCAAGCAGCCAATCCTCACACCGGAGATGGTTTCCGCCGCAGTGGTCAAGCAGGTCGTCAAGCAGAGCAGCGGACAGATTATCCTTCCCTCATACTATACCCCGCTTAGCATGCTGCGCGCGCTGCCGAATTGGTTCCAGGAGTTTGCCCGTGGAGTTGGATCTCGGGACTTTATTAAACTCCGCGAGTGGCAGGCAAAGCAGCTCAAGGAGCAGTAAATGAGACGCTATGACTGAATTTATACCCTGTTTGAATATTGTCCGAACTTTTCATACAACATTTGAGTTTGAACTATGCTGTGTAACCATTATATTTCCGGGCGATCCCTCGGAGCATAATACTTGTGTAACAACGCTCGATTACTCCGTAGAGTAAACCGATCTCAGATTTAGGGGCCCCAGCACTGACAGAAGTACAAATAAGCGTCTTACTAGTCACATGTACTTAGCGCTAAGTGCAGACGCTCATGTCCTCTTCGTACACCAAAGATCTCGACTCGGGTAAAATTTATACACATGTTCATATCCATCCATAAAGCATATTCCTTACACTCTCATTCTAGCATTAGCAGTCTACATCTTCTCCAACAGCTCGCGGATAAATGCCTTCGCCTTGGCCCCCTGCTGCGTCTCCCGCTTATCCCCAAGGTACAGATTATAAACAGGCGCAACATGCCCCTCGCCCTTGCCAATACAGAATTCAACATCCCCTTTGAATCCCTGGCGCAGCTTCTCCACGAAGTCTTCAATCACAGGGAAAAGGATCTCGCGCTCGCCACCACAGACTAGAATCCTACGAATGGGGAAGTTAGCATACCAATCGATCGGTGCGTTCGACAGATCAGTATAAAAGTCATTTGGTGCACCACCAAGGTACCCTGGTCCCCAAATCTCCCCGACACGGGGGGTAATCAGGTCGCCGCGGGAGTCGACGACGCGGCCGCTCATGTCGGGTTGAAGAAGAGTCCAGGGGGCGATCATCACTGCGCCTGCGAGGCGGTCGTCGAGTTTGAGTTTGATGGGATCGATTGCCGGGTGTGGGTGTGCGAGGTGCGAGAGGACGCCGCCGACTAGGTTGCCGCCTGCGGAGTCGCCACCAAGCATGACGTTGCTTGCTGGGTGGCGTTTCTCGAAGAGAATGTAGCGCAGCGCTTCCACTGCTTGACGCAACTGCGTGGGATATGTGGCTACTGGGGCGAGAGTATACGTTAACGCGAAAATGGCGAGCGGATGGCCGTGGCGCTCAGCATCAGCGACGAGCTGGGCGAAGAACTTAAAATACCCGATGTTTGCGGGGAGCGCAAAGCCGCCACCTGCATTTTTGTTAGAAATATTGATGGTGAATATGGTTCGACGCACCGTGATACCAAACCAGGATATTCTTGGAGTTTGGGTCGCCAATCCAATGGCCCATCGCGCCATGGTCGAGTTTCAGGGTCAGGGGCTTCTGTCGCACAGAGCGAATCCACGCATTGTACACCAAATTCGTGCTTGGTAACACATATCTTCAAACCATCAACAAACTGGTAACACAGATCAATTTTCCGAGTACATACTGCATCTGAAGCGCCGAAAAACGCGCTGTGCTTTTTCTAAACACAGAGTACCCGATATGGAGCAGCCAGTGGGTGGGATATTGAGGGGCACGCCAGGCAACGGTCAACACTGCCCACACAAAGGTGAGCGCGACTGATAAGGCAGCCGGAATATAGTCGAGCTTCTGCGCGATGGTGAGCATGATGTCGTACGTTGTCGTGGCCTGATCTGATGCGTGTTCTTCCTAATTTCCCTCGATATATGTATTGCACCCTGAGTCCGGGGAGGCAGGAGTTGCGCACTACTCCGAGGAAGGAGACATCACTGCATGTGAGCCGCAACGAAAGTCGCAAGCGTTACTGCTTGCAGTTTGGGGTCAGAAGCGATCGATCGCGAACCGAGAAATTCAAAGTTCCCAACAGAATCCGGGGTTGCGCCAAAGAACAAGATCCCGAGGCTGGTCCGCGCGGTCTCGCTGCTCTGCCTCTGCTCGCTACTCTTTCCGCTTTGGGACAAGCCTCGGCACTCGTGGCAGATACTTCAACAACCAACTTTAAAGCTTCATGTCCGCTTCACATACACCTTTCTTTTTCTTCTCAGTGTCTTGCATTAACGGCCTTCGTGTGATACCTTAATAAGAGCCCGACCATTTCTTTTCTTGCCTTTCATCAACACACACAAACATGACGGATTATGACGTCGTCATTGTTGGGGCTGGTATATCCGGCATCAACAGCGCATACAGAATCCAGACCCAGCTTCCACACCTTCGCTATACAATCTTAGAAGCTAGAGACAACCTTGGGGGCACTTGGGATTTGTTCAAGTACCCCGGAATCCGCAGCGATAGTGATTTATACACGTTCGGATTCTCCTGGAAGCCCTGGGATCGAGATGTTGCCATTGCAGAGGGAGGCGCCATAGTCGACTACCTCAAGAGCACGACTGAGCAGTTCGGTATTGCGGACCGCATTCAATATAAGCAGCGTTTGCGTGGCGCCGACTGGTCATCCACCGACAACACCTGGTCATTGTCCGTGGAAAACACGGCCGACGAGCAGATGAGAGTCATCTCAGCCCGCTTCATCATCTTCGGCACAGGCTACTACGACTACCACACGCCCCTCAAGGCCGATATTCCCGGGCTGGACCAGTTCACCGGTCAAATTGTGCACCCCCAGTTCTGGCCGGAAGACTTGGACTACTCAAACAAGCGCATTGTCATCGTTGGAAGCGGTGCCACGGCAATTACTCTGCTTCCAAATCTTGTCGAAAAGGCCCAACATGTCACTATGCTTCAGCGCAGTCCTACATACATTCTTCCCTTGCCCAACCGCAAACCTCTTCTCAGCTACCTCCTGCCGGCGTTCATTGCGCGTCCCCTAATCCGCATCAGCTGGATGCTTTCGTCTCGATTCTTCTTCCTTTTCTGTCAGGCCTTCCCCTGGATTGCTCGTTTGATCCTCCGTCTTGCTGCAACCCATCGTCTCCCCAAGAGCGTACCATGGGATCCCCATTTCCGGCCGAGCTACAACCCGTGGGACCAGCGGCTTTGCGTTTCTCCCGATGGTGACTTCTACAAGAGCTTCCACACGGGCAAAGCATCCGTGAAAACAGACACGATTGCAAACGTCACTCCAAAGGGTATCCAGCTCAACTCTGGCGAGTTTCTTAACGCAGACATGATTGTTCCCGCGACTGGTCTGCGTCTCAGGATCGCAGGCGGTGCCTCTGTCACCGTTGATGGCGTTCCTGTGCAGGTCAGCGAGAAGTACATCTGGCACGGCATGATGCTCCAGGATATCCCCAACGCCGGCTTCATCATCGGCTACACAAACGCCTCCTGGACGCTTGGTGCAGATGCCACGGCTCTCACTCTGTGCCGACTCCTCAAGGGTCTCGAGAAACGCGGATACTCAGCCGTCGTACCCCGCCTTGCGCCTGCCATGGCAGCAAACATCCAGCCTCGCCGCCTCCTCAACCTCTCCTCTACATATGTCACCAAGGCAGAGAAGGATCTGCCAAAGGCTGCGGACCGTGGTCCTTGGGTGCCGAGAGATAACTACTTGAGTGACCTGTGGTTTGCGAAATACGGCAACCTGGACGAGGGAATGGAGTACCTGGGAGAGAAGAAGACGCAATGATTCTATGCCTTTTTTTTCTTGTATAACTTTGATTTGTTTCTGTATGCAATGATACCGCTTCTTTTAGATACGAGCAATGCACTTATGATTCGAGTTTTATAGTTTCCTGATTAAATTAGGGCACGGGTAAATTCTCCGTCGGATCAGTGCGTAGACCGGATGCTGTACGATATGGTATATACCCACTAAACACCAAAACACACCAGATTTACACAATGGAGGGCCACACTAACCCCCTCTCAACTTCCCTGCACAAACGAACTCGTCCTCTTAACCGGCAACCCACACTTCTCATACGCCATATCCACCATCCTCGCCTGCGCAAGGCTATACTCGCCACCAACCCAATCAACCCCCTTCTTCCCATTCACGCGGTTGACAAACTGCTCAAGCTGATACCGGAACGAACTCCAATGCGCCTCTCCCGGCTCATCAATCCCCGCATCCCGGAATGTATAGACCTTCCGGGACTCCTTCTTCGTCCACCGCTTGACGACCCGCTCAGCCTGCCGGATAATATATTCGTCCTGGATATCGAGCCTGTGCCATGCTGCCGCCATCATGAAGTTACTTAGCGTGACGCGTCGGATGCGGTGAAGTTTCTGGCCGGGTGCCAGTTTGGGTCCGCCTGTAGCATTCGAGTCGTCGATGGGGACCTCGACTTCCTTGTGTAAAACTGTGATGTTGAAGGATGGGAAGGAGAGTGGGCGGCCGCTGATATCAGAGACGATTTCGCCCTTTCTTCCATTCGAAAAGGAGAATGTTGCCTCGGCGCTCTCATCGATCTGCTCGTTTGGCGACGGAGCGCGCTTCACAATGCACCGCGTACATTCCTCCGGCTCGGCGCCCATGACTTCCCGGAGAACACTCATAGGATACATACCTATATTGAGCAGTGATCCACCTCCCGTCTCATATTGTCGCTGACTGCTCCCCTTGGGAACAACGTACGCGGGAACCTTTGCGACCGAAACCACCCGTTCAACATTCGGTTTGTCGACGAAGGTGAGGAAGACGCGCCAGGCTGGCTGGAAGATATAGTGCAGGGACTCGAGGACGATAGGTGCATTGGGAGACTTGAGGAGCGGTGAGTTGAAGAGGGCCTCTGCTTCTGTGGCGTTTGCGACTGAGGGTTTCTCGACGAGGACGTGTTTTCTTTTCGAAATTGCTTTGACGGTCCATTCGTAGTGGTGGCTTACAGGGAGGGGGATGTAGATTGCGTTTATGGCGGGGTCGTTGAGCATGGCTATACTCAGTTAGTCTGCTGCTCAAAAAGTGAAATACCTAGATGGACGGAAAGGGAGGGGGGCTACTACCTTCGTAGCTATCATGCACCTGGGGTATACTGTGTAGCTTGGCGTACTCTGTCGCCCTTTGCTTGTCGCGTGCTGCAACGCTCTGGACAATAACGCCTGGGTGTGTCTTTGCTGGTTTGATCAAAACAGTCTCTCTGCTGAGGGTCAGCATCGGAGACTCCAGGGTATAAGCGAAAAGAGAAGGCCGACTCACGCGATATTGGCCGCACCCAGAATGCCAAACTTCAGGGCGTCTCGCGACTTGGGAAGCTCAGTAGGCGAGTAGATCTGCCAGTTGCGGGCAATAAAGGAGAATAGCGAAGCCATGACCAACTTTTCCCTGCTCTTGATTTACTTAGGGCTGTGTTGAATGGGTTCGCAGGGCGCTGCGATGGCTTTATAAAGACCATCCCGAAGATAAGCTGGAATAGCCAGACTTACAATCTTTCCATTTCGATTCAAGCCCCTACCCAAGATCCACTTGTAGTATACTCCATCTCGGACGAATTACATTTCTGCCCTTTTCGCAAAGTGGCGGTGCTAGTGCATCCTGGGGCGATTACATTTTTGCCGGTTTAGGGCTAGTTTGCAGCCTAATCTCGCCTCGAAGGGATTGCGTCAGCACTATCAACCTGCAACTCTCCAAGGACTATCTCCGGCATCTCCTGGGTAATTCCTTATTCCAATTCATTGGTAAGGCGAGCAATGGAAGACGCTCGAGCTGCAGAGAAGAGGCAGCGAAAGAGGATCCAGAATCGGATCAACCAACGGGCGTTCAGTACGTGTGCCTTTTGAACCCCATACTTTGAACACAGCTAACGATCATAGGAGCCCGCCATCAGGGCAAAATTCCTGGCTCGAGCAATTCAAAGAAACAGGGCCAATATCACGTCTCGAGCTGGCGTCTCGACGAGCAACAGACCACTACTGGTCTTATCACCTCTGCAACCGCGGAAACAAGCTACTCTCCTCTCCCGCAGGACCACAGGCTGCTCCACCTTGTGAAATGGAACGTGTTTCGCGGCTTATCCCAGAATAAGGTCCTTCTCAATCGGCTCACAACGCAATACCGGCTCTCGGATACGGCCCTGGCCGAGCCGTTCAAATACTACGAGACATCAAATTTCCCGGAGTATTCGGTCATCGTTCCGGTGACGACAGGGGGCCGGCCTTTCTGTGACTCGCTCACGCCCACGAGCACGCAAATGAATGTCGTCCACTCGTCGTGGATAAACTTCATTCCTTTTCCGCGGATGAGGGAGAATTTAATCAAGTTCGAGTTTGAGTTTAGCCACTCGGATCTTGTTAGGGATCTTGTTGGCGATTTGATTAATCTGAATCTGTTTGTGACGAATGCACTATCGTCGTCGCCTCCGGGACTGGATCCAACACTTACTGACAAACAAACGGCTTTGCCGGAAGGGGAGTCTGGTCTCATCGTATGGGGCGAACCATATAGAGCGGAGAGTTGGGAGGCGACGCCGGAGTTTCTGAGGAAATGGGCATGGGCTGTGGCAGGATGTCAGGACTTGATTGATTCGACTAACCATTGGAGGAGAGCGAGGGGTGAGGATCCGGTGCAGCTGATCCCTGGCCATACGCGTGTTACCTGTTCTCATAGCGAGTCCGAGTAATCATGGATTGTAATAACTGCGTTGACATAAAGCTTTGAGAGGCTATTGATTTATTCACGGCCTGAGGGCTGCTGGGGAGTAAGCCATGAGGGTGGGCGATAAAATCTGGGCGCGGCTGCAAGCTGGAGTTGAGGACGGTTTTGTACTGTGATAATTCAACAGGTGTTCGTACTGGAGCTGAAATGCCTGTTTGTCCCTGGTGTAACGTTTACACGACAGTCCGGAAATCGGAAGGACATCAGTTGATAGGCGCGTGTCCGTCATGGACCGGAGCCTAGAAAAGATCAGCATAAGGTCAAGTGGCCTGCAGTACACTTGGGGTTTTATATCCCAGCAGCTGCTATACGTCCGTCTCACGTGTAACTTTCTGGAATCCGTTAACCTGAGGTTGCTCAGGGTGCCCAGCTGAGTTGTTCGAGATCAAACCCAGAACGTCGCAATTAGGGTGAGAAGATTCAAGGCAACCAAGAACCTGGAGAACCTGCACGTCAGCTCTCCGCAAACACCACCCGGACTACATGGTTACTCCGTTTTGCATGCAGTGACGTCTTTACAGGCACTTTCGCCTTAATGGTGTTGGTGCATAAGGACCGTGTAACCAATGTGCGGGGATCAACCAACCCTAGCGAGCAAGCAAAAGAAGCAAAGATGTAGACAGCCGTCAGAGTATCCATATAACCTGATAGCAGAGTAGTCTTGCATGCATGCATTGCAAAGGAGAATTTCACTGAGCGTAAGTATTAGAGATCTTAAGAGGATCAGGCTTTCTGCCCATATCCCCGCTCATTGCAATACAGCCCTCCCTCAGTTACACGTGGCGAAGCCCACGGAGTCAAAACATGGGCTTCCTATCCCGTCTCTTCATCACAGCATTGGCAGTCACCTGCGTGGCCACGGACACCTATCTTGACGCGGTGTGTGGTACAGCCAGATCCAGCGAGCTGACCACCTTCCAGCAGCCTGACGGCCACAATGCAACTAATGATCCATGACGTGGGCTCGCTTGGGGAGAGGTCAACTTTCTTCATACTACCGATACCCATGGGTGGTTGGAAGGCCATTTGAACGAGGTAGACTATGGCGCGGACTGGGGTGACTATGTCTCCTTTGTGAAGCGAATGCGTGACAGGGCTGACCAGCTAAATGTGGATCTTCTTGTGGTCGATACTGGTATGATCTCTTTCTTTCTTCTTTGCCGTGGTCCACTAAAGTGCTCACATCGGCTGGAGGGGACCTGGTTACTGGCAACGGTCTCAGCGACAGCACAAAGCCGTACGGTCGAGTGTCCCGCGGTCTCTTCGAAAACCTAGAACTCGACCCACTGACCGTCGGAAACAACGATCTTTATCAAAAGGACGTCAGCAGAGATATCCATGAAAGCTTCTACCGGATATACGGAGACAGATTTGTCACGAGCAATGTCGAAATAGAACTCGATAATCGAACTATTGTGGGTCTGGGCCAGCAGTATCGCTACTTCACAACCAAGCACGGTCTGCGAGTTATGGTCTTTGGATTCACTCTACTTGATTTCAAACTGGACATGACTGCAACCGCCACTTATGTCCGAGGGCACAACTACACTATCAATCAGCAGTGGTTCAAAGAGGCTCTAGAAAAGGAGGTTGACCTTTATATCTTGCTTGGGCACGCGGGACTACGCGATAATTGTACTTTCAAGGGAACATACGCCAACGAGAATCCGCTCGTCTGCTTCGAGGCGTACCTGCGACAGCACAAACCAGACATCCCAATCCAAGTGTTCGGCGGCCATACTCATCAACGAGACTTTAAGTGCTTTGATTCCCGGTCCTCCGGGCTTGAGTCAGGGCGATATAGCGACACAGTTGGTTGGGTGGCCCTACGCGGCGTGGTTTCCAACAATACTGCATGGAATGCGACCACGACCCTACCTGCTGGAGTTAGCACTCCTACTAAAACATGCACACCAGCAAAGACCATCGCCGCAATGTCTCTGGCCTACTATATCGATCGCCGATATCTTGACTTCAATCACCGAACATTTGCCTATCATGCCATTGGGGCTCAAGACGGGGATGTGCCCGCTGATTTCGATACGCCTTTGGGTCGAAAGGTCTCGGACGATATCTTGAAGGCCCGAGAAGATTTGAATCTCACGGTAGTGCTCGGATGTGCGTCTAGATCTTACTATCTGTGGGTCTGTCCTCCGGGAACACCAGGAAACATATATACCCTATTGAAGGATGCCCTAAACGAGACCGTCAAACATGAGACCTCCATAAATCCGCGGGTGATTCTCATGAATAACGGCTCCGTCCGGTACGATCTGTACCGGGGCAATTTTACTGTCGGCGACGCATTGACAATCTTGCCTTTCAACGATGACTTCTTGTACATCCCCAACGTGAAGGGTAACGTCGCACTGTCTGCGCTTGGGTGTCTCTCGAAACTGAAGTCGAAGAGGCCCACAGGTACTGTGCAGGATATACTGTTGCCCTTGATCGATGCGGGAAATTCCGTGCAGCACACTCTTCACGCGCGTCGTTACTTTCTGCCCAATGATCCAAACCCGGGTCACGTCACACACGACGATTTTGGCAACTGCACGGGGAAAGTACCGGACTCCGAAGCCTGCGGTGACGACACTATCCATTGGGAATTGAAAGAACAATATGCCAATCCGACCTACTTTCAGTACCAGGATATCGAGGTCAGTGAGCAGACCAGCAAAGTCGACCTGGTGTTCATCAGTCACTTCAAGGACTCGATATTGAAGTGCCCGGGTATCAACGGAACGTATATAGGGAAAGACGTCCAGCCATATATGAATAAGGGGATCACAACAAGGACTTTTCTTCAGGAGTATGCGAAGAAGAAATGGAATAGCTCAGGTGCTTGCCAGATCGGGAAGTAGTCACGACTCCGAGGCCGTGAAAGAGCATGCACGAGCAGGTTCCGACGGCTCGTATCGCAAGTTGACTAGGAGATGAGATAGTAAGTGGTTTCGGTGGCAGGCAGTAGTCGAATTTGTGGTTGTTTTCGGGAGTCTCAAATTGCCAAGTGCAGAATGAAATAGTTGCCTGTACTTCAGGTTCCACGTCCTTTCAGCGCTCGTAGCTATCTTGGTATTCAACCGATTCTAGGGGCTTAGGATTTCCTGGTCTCCTTTGTAACACGAGTAACACGTTGACCATATTGGTGCCCTTTTCTCGAAACGGGAATGTAAAAACGAAGGACTCTAAGGCGAATGACATGATCAGCCGAAATTGTAGCCGGACAAATGAAGAGTGTTGGGGCAGAAGAAAAGATGATGATGTTGGTATAGAGAAAGCAACATGGCCTGGCATTTGTGTCTGTTCGTAGCCACCATGGATGCCTCGGTACGCAGAGAGACATGACTAAGGGCCCATGGGCTGAAGCAGTAAAGCCAGGAAAGGAGGGAAGAGCCTTCGAGACTTAAGATCCCCACGACGGTCACATGCACAGGGATGATGGGAGGTAACACGGTAGATGCATCACAAATAAGAGGCAATGCGTGGACATCCAACGGGGCTGTGAGACAAAACTCGCTCACTGTGCGACCAGGAGGATATACGCAAGCTTCACATCTGCCCATTGGCCCATGAATCACACCGCAACTCATACTGTGGAGAGATACCCCCTATACTGCAGTCCAAAAACACAGAGGTGACGTACATGTAGGACTGAATAAGCAAATATTCCATAAATATGCAAGGGCCACTGTTCCTTGCGAGACGCATCGCGCAGGGTCGTTTTGGCTCATTTTCTCGCCTAGAAAAGTGTGCGAGGCAGATCAATGGGTAGTAATAATCATCGAGTGGCATGCAAGGGGGTCGAAATGACCATGCGGGGATTCCCAAGCTCTGATATTCGCAGCGCATCGTTCATGAATCGGGGTGCTCAACTTAAACAATGAGAGAGTAGATCAGACCTGGAGAAAAAGGATTGTATGTTTACCGTACTTCGACGTGTGAAGCGAAGCAGGGACTGTCCACGATTCAGCCTAGTATACACTAGACCTACTTTCCTTTCCCTAATAATACCTACAGCGCTAGGGCTTTAGTGTATTCGGTTTCATTCTCGAAGACTCGGAGGTTATTATGCCAAGCTGATACCAAGCAGAATGGAGCGATCAAGACAGTGTAGGATTGGCCAAGGCTTCCGCCTGGCTGGTGTCAGAGCGTCGGAGCACATCAAATCCGTCCGCTGTAGACAGTTTCGTGCGAGGCCCGCCCGGTCGAAGCTCAGGATACAGGCGATTTAGAGGGATAAGCAAAAATAACCGCTACTGGACAAGGTTAGTTCAGGTCTAAGGGGCTGAGAGTACCTAGGAAGACAATTACTCGAGCTTGGCCCCAGTCTTGAGCTGGATGTGGTCAGCGTTCAGGAGATGGATGGATAGTAGGCTACGCCGACCCCTCAAGCATCCATTTCCCAAGAGTAGAATGAGGGGTGTGTCGCCAGGATTCTCGAGAATGCATGGAGAATGCATGGAGAATGTGTAATGGCAACCAAGCAGGAGCAGTCAGTCCAACCACCATACAGCTATTAGGTATCAATGTTATAGAGTTAGACTCTATGCAGCTTCCTTGCCGATTTGGCCAACGGCTGCCGGAATTAACGTTGGCTCTGCACTGGCAATTTGGCAAACGGCTCGGCGAGTCAACAAAGGAACAGAATCCCGGTCACAAAGGTTTCGTCACCTCGAGGCGCAGATCGCACCGTGGCGGTGTTTCGGATTTCTTGTCATTGTTTGCTTCAAAGGGAATGCTTGGCTTTGAGTCGCCTGGGAATATAAGATAATGCCCGACCTAATCCTACTCCCAGTCGATAATTCCCGAGTTCCATCTTAAACAATTAGTCAAGCAACGCATCGTATTTAGGTACGACAATCCACAATGAAGTGCCAGTCACTCCTCACCAGAGCGGCCGCTTTGGGACTTTGTAGGTCTTCCGAAATCTTTTCACATCGTGTGTTCTTTGTTCCCAAGGACTGACCCTGGCAGGTTCTCTCGCATTGGCCCAAATTGATACCTTTTCGCCGGAAAGCCAGAGGGATGTCTACTACAGCATCACGACAGCGTCCTCAAGATCAGGCCCCGTTTTCTTCCAGATTCGCGCTCCCACGACCTTCCAATGGGTCGCGCTAGGCCAAGGAACAAGAATGGCCGGCGCAGACATGTTCGTTCTGTACGCGGCATCCTCGCAGAATGTGACCTTCTCCCCACGCTCAGGGACTGGGCATGTCCCGCCGCAGTATAATCCCCAGGCCGACGTTTCCCTCCTCAATGGCAGCGGCATCGAAGATGGCGTGATGACAGCCAACGTGCGCTGCGACTCATGTAACTATTCGCCCAGCTCCTCATGGATATTCGCGTACAAAGGCGGCCGGCCACTCAACTCCGACAGCCTGGAAGCAGACATCGGCTTCCACGATGACTTTGGCGGAACAACCGTTGACTTATCAAGGGCCGTCTCGACCACCGAGAACCCGTTCTTGAACTATGATCCCAGCTCGCCCGCAGACCAGCCCAGCGAGGTCGGCGGAGGCACAAGAGACAACTCGACTACCCTGATCGCCCACGGGTTTGTTATGGCAATCACATTCGTGCTTCTCTTTCCCTCTTTCGGGCTTCTAACTGCCCTGTCGATTCGCGGCATCATCGTCAAGGCGCATGCGCCACTGCAAATCATCGCCTTATTCATGGCAATCGCAGGCACAGGATTAGGAATCAAACTCGCACTAGACAGCGACATCTTGGATGACGTCCACGCAGTGCTTGGTCTTCTTGTGGTTGGCCTGCTAGTCCTGTTCCAGCCCGCAATGGGCCTCCTTCAGCACCTCCATTTCCGCCGCACAGGCAGGAAGAGTATCTTCAGTTCCTCCCACCGCTGGCTGGGCCGCGTAATAATCATTGTCGGAGTTCTAAATGGAGGGCTTGGCTTCCGCTTGGCAGGTATCGGCAACCCCAATACACCAAAAAGCGCCGTCATCGCTTACTCGGTGATCGCGGGAGCAATGGGACTGGTCTATGTTGCCGTAAGAGCATTTGTGAGGCGGGATCGCCAGACTGGTCCGAAGAGATCAGTGGGCAATGAGAGTAATAGCCAGCAAATGACTTGAAACGAGGTCTCTGCAGATTGGTACAAATCGAATGTTAGATGATCGGCGTCTTTAGCGAAAGGATCCCACGTAGTAAGCATGCATCTCGTGTCATTGGCCCCGTAGATAATGAGGGACGTGGCCGTGGTGGCTGAGTCGACACAGAAAAGCCACTTTTGCGCTGGTGACGATGTTGAAGGAATCTCCACCCTGTAGGCGTACACAGAAGAGTTTTAGGGGTCTTGTGGAGAAGCTGCGAAAGATCGAAGTCAGCTAGGCTGCCAGAAATTCCAATCTTATAATGCAAACCACTGCAAAGATGTTGGAGAAACCAATCCCTTGAGTGGAAAACAAACTTTACTACCGGGATTGCTCAGCCTACCCTAACCCCACGCTTCTTGTCATTTGACATAGGACAGTTTTCCTCGATGTGGGAAAGCTCAGTAAAGGGGATGCGCACTTTAGGAAGACTTACAAAAGGAGCTATTAGAAATCACGTCATCGCAAGTGTCATATCCCGGAGTCAAAAGCTACGGAGAGAGTTCGCCTCGTACAACGGTCGACAGTCGCTCAAGATGCCGGTTCACTCTCCATTCTCCCGCTGTCTCTCATTTCTCTGCAAGCTGGGTCACCACCTACAGCGACACAGCTCTTTCGAGGCTCCAGAGCATGAATGTCTTCGAGGCAGATTGAGCGATGTCTGCAACAAGACCTGGAATCTTGGTCTCACGTCCTTTGGCGGTTTAGCAGTCCACTTCCAGACACTCCATTCAAAGTTTGTCGAGGGAGAATACGAGCAGGGTGGCTAGGTTGATGAACAGACGGTTGGTTAGGGACGCTATAGGATCCTTGGGTATCAATACTCATTGGTGTAGTATCAAGAGCTATCCGCTATCTGCCAGGCGCTTCCTGGCCCTGCGAGCACAAAAATGCTCTTCTGCATAGTATTGCTGCATTCTGGTTTTCTCCCTGCAGTACTAGCGTTGGTCCTGTGGTGGTAGGTTGTCTCACGCAACATGGAATCTCGATTGACTCCTGGACAGTCTTCCAGGGGCTGTCAGCATGTAAGGCCTGTCTATCGGTGTACAGAACGTGGATGAGAGACTTCCTGGGCCTGTCTATGCACTTCTTTCTGGCCTAAATGCATCTACCGTGGGAATCGTCGCGTTATCGGCTGCGCAACTTGCAGAAAAGGTGATACGAGACAAGCTCACACGCCTATTGGTTATCTTCGGCGGGTGTGCTGGACTCTGTTATAGTGCGCTGTGGTATTTTCCGGTGTCGATGGTTGCCGGTGGTTTAGTCACTGTGGCATGGGATGGCTGGGTAAGTCGGCTGTTTCGCAGGACAAGAATAACGTGGAGGCATAGAAACGCCTCTCCAGAGAATGCACAGGCCGAGGGTCTCGGATTAGGTGAAGCCGAGCTTCAAGGGCAGTCGACCTATGGTCCGCAGGGCTCTGCCGCTCCAAGTGAGGCAGTCCGCTCGAGGATAGTACGCAAATCCGGTGGGAATCTTCCAGGAGATGAGTTTGAGGCGGAAACACCAGTGCAAATTCAGGCGCAAACGGATAGTTCTCAGGCCTACCTTCATCACATCGTCTCGATTAGAGCGGGCCTTCTGTTATGTGCCTGCTTCTTTGCGTCCTTCGTGGGGGTTATTGTTACTCGAGGAGTACTGAAATCCCCACCACTAGCCCTCGACCTATTCGCCAATATGTACCTGGCAGGTGCAATAATCTTCGGCGGTGGCCCCGTCGTGATCCCCCTTCTGAGCTCATACGTTGTTGATCCAGGGTGGGTTTCTGGTCGTGATTTCTTGATCGGCCTGGCTCTCATACGAGCTTTTCCGGGCCCAAACTTCAACTTTGCCGTCTTTCTTGGTGCACTTGCTATCGGCAACTCAGAGATCCACTCCCTAGTCGGTGCGATTCTCGGACTTCTTGGGATATATCTGCCCGGGATAGTGCTGGCAGTGTCCGTGCAAAGCTTTTGGAGAGTCCTCCGGCAGAGAAAGTGGGTAGTAGACTTCTCAGGGGAGTCAATGCCACTGCCATTGGGCTGATCTTCACAGCTGTCTATAGGCTCTGGGAAGTTGGGTATTTGACTGCTGGCGCTGGAAATGGTCAGCGCCTTGCGAACGAACCATGGTGGGTAGTCGTTGCCGCTGTGGCATATGCAGAAAATACCTGGTTTAGAGTACCGCCAGCTTTTGCAATCATCTCAGGAGCCATCCTTGGGCTTGTCCGGTATGGAGTGGTTGGCAGAGATATGCTCTGAAAATCAAGTGTGAACAAGTGGGCCTAGCACTCTTGGTAGCCGGTTGTTGGTCCTGTGACATCGTATTAAATTCAAGCTTGTAAGAGTTGGGCTAAACATGATTTCTATAGGTCCAGATAAAGTAGGCGTCGTGCGAAATGTGTTCTTCTCAGATGGTTGATTGAGAGTTGCTTCCCAACGGCTAAAGGTGACGTAGCCAAGTTCAAAACTTCGTAAACAAACACACTTCACCACACCACATCTCAACTCAACCTCCCTATCAGACACTCCCACCTACCACAACACCCACCACGGAGAATGATACTCCGGTAAATTACAGACAATGGTATACAACGCGTTAATCCGCACCCACCACATTACCTCGCGAAAGAAAGTATCCGCGCTGAAACAGGCAGCTCACAATCTCAACTGTTTCGTCCTGTTGCGCTCCGGCGGTTGTCCCGGTATCATGTACGTCGAAGCACAAGAGAAAGATGCTGTTGAATCCTGGGTCAATACTGTCCGGGGTTTACGGTATAAGGATTTTCAGCTCGTGAATCGGCCTGCGGCGGCCATGGTGGAGGGGGTAGATGACAAGGGGGGCAGTGCTCCGAATAATGGTGGGCAAAAGGGTAACGCGGAGGGCCAGATTAAGGCCGGGCTGGCGGAAATTGATACCGTGAAGGAGTTCGGAAGTGTGATGGAACAACGAGGGGTTTGGATGTGGTGGAGGAAGGGGATGGGGTATGTGAGCTGAAAGCCCATCGACGTCCTACCTGGAATGGACAATCACAATACCGAGTCGAACGTGGAAGTATAACCGGCCATGCTCTACGAATCCAAGATCACTGAGGAACGCCACACATTAAAGCGAGTTCGATGGCTATATGGCAACGTCGACCTTGTTCCTCCGAGCAGACTCTCAACGGGTCAAACTCGATTTGCGGGTGCGGCAAGGCTCCTCCTAGGCTCTGGTTCTCTGCACTAGGAGTACCAGACTCGCGCTGCTATACGGAAACGTTGAAATCGACAGAGCTCAACCCCCAAGGGGCGAGATGCCAGAGCGGTGGCGGTTGTGCGTAGGTCGTCAATCGCGGAATCTCTTTTATGGAAAGTTGAGACTAAGGAGCCGGGTATTTATCAGATTCCATCGCCGGGTCCTCTCACGCATACGAACTTCCATCACCGGCGCACTCTAATTAATGTGCAACGTTATCGAATATATACAGGCAACGAAACAAATGCCCTGCCTAATGGACTTGCTCCGGACTACCAGGCAGTATTGGTATAGGCTTATTTGCGCCTAACTCATCTCTCGGGGCCGGAACTTCTGGTTCCAGTGGTAACGGAGTCAAAGGCCTCTTCTGGGCCTTGGTGATTGAGCACTCTGGGGACCTCAGCCACTCCTCGCCCGTACATGTCTCAAGCGCCCGCTGTAGGGCTTGTTGGTCCGTCCATCCGTTGATGAAATCGCCGTGCAGGCTGTATCCGACGAAATCATTGGTTGCATACACCCAATTCTCGTAATCGGGAAAAGGTGCCGTATTGAAGAGGAATTCCACGAATAATGAAAAGATGGCGATTGGGTGTGACTTCGGACAGACTCCCACGTTATAGTCTCCAATTGCAGGATACGCCATCTGTGGAACGAGGTCAGATTTTGGCGACATCCTCATATTTTGGGGACATACATGACTCTTATGATCTGGACTGTCCAGGTTCTTCCCGTCCCAGCACGAAGGGAAGAATACTTGCGATCTCAACTTCGAGCATGAAGTCCGAGGAAGATGCTTTGTCTCCTTCGATGTCCCATTCTGCTGAAGGCACATGTGCGAGATAGCCCGCTGCGAGAAATCCGAATCATTGTACGTCCTGTGGACAGTCAGCGCCACCTATCCAGTCTTAGCGAGTATCTCACGTACTCGAGTTTTGGATCCCCAGCAATGACGCGCAGTCCAGCCGGCGGAGCTAGTGGATACGATCCCTCCCCACATGTCGTAGCGCCGAGGGTATGATTACATGCTCGATTGAGGTAGTAAATCGCCTAGTGATCACCTCGTTAGCCACAAAATCTCATCTATCAGCCACACGCCCACGCGCGTGTCAATCAGTACATACACTCCACTCATACTCAATCATCTCAAAACTACCCTCCCGCGACGCATCTGAAATAGAACTCGCATTCGCATTTGCATGGTAAAGCGCGGGAATCCAATAATTGCTTCTATCGATCGCGACCTCACATGTCGTTTCGTCTGCGCTCCGAGCCGTCTCGGGCCCCATACGCCTCTGGAATGCGGTGCCCCCTGTCACGACGTGCGTGTGGGACGACTGTTGACCCGGTGAAACGATCGGATCTGAGAGTTGCGTGGTTAGAGGGAGGCAGCTGAAGCTGAATTCATCAGTGATTATGAAGTTTGTAGTATTCGTATCTGATGAGATTCCTGTTGCTGCTGCACATGTTTGGGCCAGGAAAGGGGATAGCAGTGTCGTTGTGAGTGAAATCCTACGAGCCCCCATTGTATTTCGCGTTTTGATGGAGACTGGGTTGTAAAGCTGTAGAGAGATTGGATGACCACCATCATGTCAGGTGGATTGTTTTCTCTTATAGCCCTTTTGGTTTGTAGTTTGGGTGTTTACATCGATCAACATAGCTACATGCCTCATCTTCTCCCATCCTACCAATTGTCGTATCTGCCCTTCCGGAGAAGAAATCCCTATCCAGCAAATGGACCGTGTGGAATGTTGGTGGATGAAGGAAATCCGAGATGACCGAAGGTTTCTGTTTACACCACTGAGGTACGGTTATTGAAGACCTACTAAGTAGTCTGTAAGTGTTGGTTAGAAGAAGGGATTGGTAGCCCAAACAGGAAACCCAGATTTTATTCCCTTGTATATGCCATACCATAAGTCTATATGCACAAAATCAAACCACCAACGCCTACAGTTATCCAGCGCCAGTAAAGGATGCTACGCTTCCGGCTTGCTATCCAGGGGTTCTTCCTTTGGGGAGGAATCGCTTCCAGGAGGCCAGTTGGGAGCAGGGTAACTCAAAAGTTTACAGACATCCTATAACCGCTCATTAGCATGGGGACGTGCTTCTCTAGAAGAATTCTCAGATCGTCTTACCCGCCGTTTAACCCGGAAATCGTCATACAGCTGCATCCAGACTGTTCTATCGCGGCAGCCACTCTCGCGCAGGGTGCCCGGATTATTCTTGCATTTCGGCAGGATATCCCCGAGCATCTGATGCGGCCACATAACCCAGGGTTTCGGCAGGGGCCAATCCGAAAAGTGTACGAATTTAGCCTCTGCGAGAACCTTGTCGGGATCCCAGACTTCGTCCTCGCCTCCGAAGAACGCAGTGTGGTTCTCCGATCGGAACTCGCCTGAAATTAACCCATACTGTCGGTGTGGCAGGACCAGCGCGGAATCTCCGTAGAATTCGTTGAGGAGTTCCATGTCATATTTGACGCGTGCGCTCTCATGCTCGGTTCCGCCGCTGCTGGCTTGGATGCCGAGCGCCGCATCCAGAAGGGTTTTGTATCGACGATATGAAGGTTCGATGACGATGAGGAGGGAGGAGAGAATTTTTCGCTCTGGGAGAAGCCAGTACGCACGGGGCATGGCGACGGGTGTATGCGGAAGGAAGAACAGTTCGTCCATATTCTGGAGAAGGAGGATATCAGAATCGAGATGGATGACCCGCTCGTACTCAATCTCGCCAAAAGCGAGCAGCTTCGAGATGCTCTTCTCCCATGGTTCACCGGGACCTATCAATACAAAAAATTAGCGTCTTGCCTTCGATGGAAAGCAATCTCTCACATACCTGCGTCTGGTTTGATCATCTCCACCTCTATCGGTATTAGGAGTGCCTTGTATTTCTCCTGTGCTAACCGCAGCAACTGGCTGTCCCGACGATGGTCGCTCTCCACAATCACGTCCCAATCCTTCGGATAAAATAGAACTCGTTGCGCTCGACTTCCGAGTCGCTCTAGGGCATCAAAGACCATAACTGCATTGCACAGGTACGGGCTAGAGGTCGCATATTGACTATACGCGTAACGAGACCAATCCACCAGGTCGTAATTGATGTGAGGGAGGGCTGGAGAGGGAGGAGATTCTCGTCGGAGAAAGAGGATAAAGAGGACGAATACAAAAATGGTTATCCAGGTCCGGATCCGTCTCAGTTGCCGTTTGACTATCGCAAATATAGGCTCGTCGGGGATATCGAAGAAGTCGGCCTCGGAGGCTCCAGAGCCTTTCCGTGGGTTGCCGGCCATATTTCGCTTAAGTTGTCGACTGTCGATATATCAGAGAAATGGGTGAATGTCCCATTTTTGGTGTTGACGCGTGACGTTTTCTGATAAGAGGACCGTTGACAATGCGCTCCGGACGAACCTGAAGTGCTTTTGGAAGCTTCTTGGCACGTGATCCTCCATCAGTAGATCCAAATCTTAGAACAGCTTTTTCTTTCATAATTCATGCTATTTATACGAGATTGTTCTATACTACGGGGACCAGCTACTGAGCGCTGTCAAAACGCGCCTTGATCGTCCTCTCATCAAAGGGCCCATTTTCACCAACATAGTTGCGGAGTGCCTCCAGAGTCATGAGTCGCCGCGGCGCTTTCCGTCCAGTCAATAACTCGAACTGCGCAATGGCCTGCTCGGCAACATTGTCAAGTCCGTCTACCAGAACCCATGGACGTCCGGTTTCGCTTCTAAAGCGACGCATCTGGCGGAGCAACGGGGTGTCTAGTGGTTTATATGCGAACTATCCTGGGTTAGTACGGTTGAACGTGAGGCAGATTAGAGACATACCTCTAAAACTACTCCGCCGGTTGGGCTTCCCAACCACTGCATCGGCATCTCAAAATTGGCTGGAGGCTCATCTCTGTCCGGGTCCGCGGGGACGCAGGATGCCACCATGCACGGAGGGCAGGCATCCGCCGGCCAGTCGTCTTGCAGTGACCGAAGTACATATACAACTTCGGTCGATCCAACCTGTGAGGCGGCCCATGAGTTGAAGTGACGAGCAACACTCTCCGCGCGAGACAACGTCCGGTTGTAGATGAAAATCTTGCGGCATCCCAGCCGCAGCATCGCATATATCGCGGCACGCGCCATACCACCCGCTCCAATCACTAATGCTGTCGTCTTCATCGGACTAATCGCATTCCGCGGTGATAGATTGCGGCTAATGCATGTCATTATACCAACCCAGTCGGTATTCTCGCCGTACCATCCCAACACCGGACCGGCCAGGTGACGACGGCTAGCTTGCTCTTGGAGCGGAAACATTGTCCCATCTGATCGACCACGTAGCGGCATAATGGTATTGATCGCTCCAATAGCTTCAGCATGGCGACTCTTTGCAGCGAGCTTCTGAAAAACCTGCACCCTCCAGGGCTGTACAACACTGGCGCCTCCAAAGTGCGAATCCCGGCCCAGCCGGTCTAGGGCTGCGAGTGTTGGTTTTTCAGGAATACTGTAGGTGTGCTCCATGCCACAGTGGCGAAAGGCGGCGTTGTACATTGCGGGAGACAAACTGTACGCTACGCTGCCACCAAGAATATAGAATTGCAACGGATCTAACACGTAGCTCTGGAACAGGGCCTGAACTGCGTCACAGGAAGTAATCTGAGGGTCCCGTTCATTTCTGGAGAGACGGTCGATACCGGAATGAGAGACAGGGGTGAGAATCGAGTTGAACACCTGAGACGTACGCCCAAGACTTCCGATGTTGTAGGCTATAATAGGCGGATGGCTACCAGGCAACGAATCGATTTTAGCAGTGAACTTGGCGATTGCTGCATTATCCTCGCGCTCAGTTGCTACACGGAGAATTCGAACTAGCTGGCACTCGAGGCATGCCGCATCTAGGTAACTCGATAGACACTCCTCATCATCCCAAGTTACCGCGGACGATGGCTCGAAAATGCGTTGACCGATAATCTTCGTTGCGCCCCGGTTTCGGATAGCCTCGGTGATAGAAGCATGATCCTGATCCAGATCCATAACCAAGTACTCCACAGCAAGCCTCAACCCATGCTCCACGATTTCCGAATACGCTTTGGTCGTTTTTATTGCCCGAGAATCGATGGACAAGATGATAGGCGTGTGTGTGTTCCTCCTGAGCACGGATACTTGCTTGCTGACTGTCATCGCCATCTCTGGGCTCCAATGGTCGACACAGAGCTCGATCGCATCACCACCAGACTCAAGTTCGGACAACTTGACTCTGTTGTCAAGCAAATCGGACGAGCGTACGAAGATAGCATAAGTGTAAGACCGTAGCTCAGGAGGAGTTTCCAAGAGGACAAATGGGGAATCGTAGCTGGAATGGCCGACATCGGTACCCGTCACAAATCGGACAAATCGCGTGAAGTCTTCTTTTGCCTCTTTCAGCTTGAAAGAGTAGCCCATTGATCGCCGATCCTGTGTTTCCTCATCGAGCTGTGCGGATGAGCTCGAGCGGTCCTCGATGTTATAGTATTCGAAATTAGAGCAGGTCCGGTGGAGTGCATCACCATCACCGAGCAACTTGACTGCCTGATCCTCCAGGCCTAGTAGACTCTGTATTCGATGCATGTCGCGAACTATATGCACGACCGGGTTCGTCTCGCGATAGCGCCGTAGGTGTTCTTGGATCGGTCGAGTCAAGCTCCCCAGCCCGCATTCGATAACGCATCCTGAGCGGTGGTTGTCCAACATCTTCTTGAGGACTTCAATGTCACGCTGCTGAAATTCCTGACTTCCGTGTTGTTTCAAGTACTCATGGCGCGAAAGTCCGGTAACCTCCTTGAAGTAGTGATCCTCTGTGATAAAGCGTCGCTTCAACGCAGTCGCCGCGACGAAGCCTAACGACCGTTTCCCACATCCGCGGATCCCAATCAAGACGAGGGAGGCCTCGGGGTCAACCTTTCGGTATACATCGATGCCGGAACGGTGAGGCATCCTGGTATAGATACCAGGAGGCCGACAGATTTTCTTCCTGGGAGGGGAAGCTTGCCGATTCGCGTAGTCAGCCACGGTGAATGATTGCTTTGGGAGTCGATCTCGGTATCGCGAAGCAAAGAATTATGTGTCGAGCTTCATCGCTAATATGTCCATAGCCTGAAAGAACTGTCGATAGAAAGGAAGGGATTGCGACGAGGATAATGGTGTTGGAGGGACGGGGCGGTAGGGCAGGTCGCAGCTGTCATGCTGCAGAGGTGGTCGCAAAGCGGAAAGGCGCTCTGGAAGACATGGGGAAGAGCATATAACCCCAGACAGAGTGGGCAAGGCGTTGATCGTTTTCGGCTGGCGACCAGGCTGGTGGACTGGTCTGGGAGGGGCCAAGCTTAGGTCGCTGCTGTGGGAGAACCGCCTTTGCTGGGAGTTGTTCCACGCACTAGTTGACTACACACACATCTCTATGACCCAACTTATGCAGAGAATGCCTTGTATAAATATCCATTAGCTCTGTACCGTCTTTTTTGATACTTATATATCTGTCCCTAACCAGGCTATTTCAAACTTGAAATAGGCTCTTATCAAGTTGCATTAAGCGTATGCTAACCAGTCCTAAGCTACGATACTTCCCCTAGCCACTATAAGCCCTCTAAGTGTAAGAGAATATGCCCTGTTTTATGGTACTTCACAGGCTTGCAAATTTGGCTTAGAGGGACGTGAGTTTAGTCAACTGTGTCAGTGTCGAAACTCCACCTTTTGCCCGGAAAATGTCATTACCGCCGCAACTCTTTCGAGTCCCGAGTGTGGTTCACTGACCTGTCGAACAGCGCCATGCCACTCTCACCCGAGATCTGACTACCGACTCGGGATGCCGATTATCGTCTTAGTAAGATGAACATGCGTCCAAAAGCCCATGGAGTTTTCCGTGTTGAATGTTTTTACTTCAGGGATAGGGTCGTTTGGCAAAGTTATATCCTTGACAGCATACAAATGCCCCTGACTGAGCCCTGCCTTCAGTGATGTGTGGGATCGAGTCTGGACTCTAGAATCTGGACTGCACTGCTCCGTCGAAAGGGACATGGGGTTTGAGTTTCGGAGTATCTTCGTCCGAAATGAGGAGAAACCACCGAAAATCGGCGGTTTGGGCCTTTGAATTCCGCGGCTGATGATTCGCAGCAATTATTATCATGCTATCGGAGTGTTCCAGGAGTTTTTCCCCCGGAATCAACCCGAAGATGGAGCAAGTGCCGGGGAGAATCCAGCTCCGATACTGGAGTTTCCAAAGCAGTATGAGCTCTTTTTGAGTCAGTAAATACGAGGTAGGATATGAGATACTTTGAATCAAGATGCTTGCACGGAGTACTCCGGTGTCAACTCCCACATTATTATTCTCAAGCGTGGAACCTGTTCTGCGGATTGTGGAGAGCAAGTAATAATGTGGGGTCCAGGAAAGTCATCCGACGCCGACGGAATTATTCTTCTGTCACAGCATCTGCCGTCCCAGCTTCCCCCTCTGCCTGACTCGGGATGGGCCTAGGCTTCTAGCCAATATCTTCCAGCTGTGCACTGATGTCCGATGAGCGAACGAGGTTTGTCATTATTGGGCCGTTTACCTCAGCGCTCAGTTGCATATCCTGAGTTGCGTAATTTCACCTATTTTTCCGGTTGTATCCAAGGACAGTTCTGAGTTCTCTCTGCTCTTGTTTCAGTCTCTTCATGACTTTTCTGAAATGAACCACTGCTCTCGCGCAACCTATCTTCTCGCAGCCCAATATATCTGCATTTGCTCGTGAATTGCGACCAGTTTCTCCATCAGCCAGGCCTGAATGGCTTCTCCCTCCTTTAGCAAGTAAATCCCTCAATGGAAGAGGCTTCAGATCCCAAAGCGCCTCGGCGCAAAAGGGTCTCTAGAGCCTGCGATAGGTGTCGAAGCAAAAAGGTGAGTTACTGTGTGTCTTTTCAGGTACTGCCAGTTAAAGCTGATTTCAGAGTCGTTTACCAGGACAAATGCGACGGCGTCCGTCCTTCCTGCTCCGCCTGTCTGGCTTCCGGCCAGACGTGCTCCTACGACCCTCACGCCAAAAAACGTGGCTTGCCTGAAGGATATGTTCGTGGCCTAGAGAAGCTCTGGGCCCTCGCCATATGCAACATCGATGGCTTCGAGGACGCTATGCTTTCGCTCCTTGGCACGACAGCCGAGTCGACCGGCCGGAGGAAGAGGCTCATGGCCCTCTGGGGCGATGATGGAGCGTCGGAAACACTGCATGAGTCCTGGAAGACATGTCGCCTCTACCACGCACTCGAAAAGATGTTATCATCTAACTCAGAGTCTTCAAGCCCCAACGGTTTGGGGAAACGCTCGCGAGACGAATACAACCGGCTTTCGAGTGATCCAGGCAACGAGTGGGGGTTTCGTATAGATCGAAGCTCGACCCCCTTGTCGCAAGATGCGCCGCGTGTGGTCGAACCTACTACGCCTCTCACGAAACGGCCGCGTTTATCCATGTCAGCGGATAGCCAACAACCCCCTGTAACTGCATCCAGCAGCGCGCAACCGCTGCAAATCCCGCCTCAAACCTCTCAAATATTGGATACGTACTTTGCCACGACGCATTCCTGGTTTCCAATTGTTGCTAAACACAACATCCTGCGTGCATCTTATCTCTACGCAAATTCGCCCTCGGTATCCATTGCAAGACTTTCACCAGGGTCTGGCGATCATGCTGCGTTGTGGGCCCTCCTTAGTTACACGATTTCCGTGTCCCCCTTTGGCTCGCAGGACGAGCCATCAAGGGTTATATCGAAAGCAAGAGACTACTACGCCGTTGCTCGAAGTCTGGTGCCTTCGGAAACAGAGCACTACGAACTCGGGCATGTGCAAGCGCTACTTTTGTTGACACTTGTCAACATTGGCTTCGAGGACTGGACTGCTGCTTGGATGCTCAGCGGCCAGGCAGTCCGCATGGTCATCTCTATGGATATTACCGACACCCGCAGGTCGGATGAGATGAGGCAGGCAAAGGCAGTTTATCTGGGTTGCTTTGTTGTCGACTCTCTATTATCGTTCCGACTATCACGAAGGCCCAGCATGCATCCACGAGATTTAATGACTGTTGGCTTGTTAGAAGAAGATGGCTTGGAGGAATGGAACTCTTGGGCCGACGTGCTGCCTCCAACCCGCGGCTCCCAGGGCAAGAATCCGCCCCGTCGAGGGCCCTTACTAGCCCTCAGCTGTTTCAATCGTCTAGTCGAATTGGCCAGCGTACTGAACAAGATTGCTCGTGACTCTGTTTCAGGGCCCAATGCTCATCTATTCGCGCAACAGTTGGTTTCGGAGCTCAAACAATGGGATGATCGTTTGCCATTGGGCTGCCGACTCATTGGTCCTGAGAGCATATACCCAGAACGGCACTCTGCGTTACTACCACATCAAACATACTTGGGTCTGACATATGTCGCTACGCTCTTATGGCTATACCTCCGAATCGCTCCTCAGGAACTCGGCCTACACCGATCCCACCGACCCGCCACTGAGGGAGCAAAGAAACTCCTCTACCGAGCTCTCCCTATGATCTCTCAACACCTCGATAACTTTAATATCTGCAGCCTGCCTCCTATATTCGAACTATCTCTACGTACCATCGCCGAGCAGGCGTTCACCCTCCGAAACAAAATCGAAAGCGACCTATTTCCCTTTGGACGGTGGGCCGAAGCCCTCGTCCAGCGAACAACCGATTTAAGCGCAACATGGCCTGTCTATCGCACTTTGACAACCAACATCGAGCAGTGGTACCGCTCTCGCAGTTTCTCCGGATCTCCTTCCCAAAATACTGCCAATCTCCCTACAAGAGGAATGAACAAGCCTCCAAACTACAGTCCTTTCCAGCAAAACAGCGTCCTGTCCATGACAGCAACCGAGCATCGCGGACTCAATGGCGATACTCCGACCCAAGTCCATGATAGAATAAATTCATCAGAAGTACCTGTACCTGATACCGATTTCACCTCGTCCATCATGGGTATCACCATCCCAGTCGACGGGCAATACATGACCCCCAAGGACACATTTATGGAGAACACCGATAATACACCCTTCCAACCGCCCCATATGGACAGACTCCCGTCGTCCATGATGGACAAATCAGACCCGGCAGCTGATCTAGACGCAATGCTTGCGCCGCCCTCCTCCAATCGACACCCTCCAACACCAGAGTCCTCCGCGTCAAACTCCATAATGATGCCAGTAGCATCAACCTCTGCCGCAGCCGACAACACCACATCACAAATCCAATCCTCAGACAACCCCAGTCTCGATGCCATTTTCAAGGACCTAGCGTACCTCGATACAACGGAATGGGCGAACAGCCGCGAAGCAGGGCTCAAGGACTTTGGATTCATTGACGATTCTACGTTCCAGGCCTTTTGTCATGACCCTGACCGTCTTGCGGGCTCGCAGCCGCTAGTACATCCGCCCTCGATCGCGGATATCTGGCCGCCGCCGGGCTTCTTCCCGGAGACGTTCCAGGACTCTACGGAGGCGATGGAGACTTAGTATTGTGGCTTATCGTATATATCTTTTTTTGGGTCCTTGCGTTGGTTGTTATGATACCCACTTGCGAGAGTTGGAGATCGGAGTTGTTCTCGAGAACGTGTCCATATTGTGTACTTCGCGGTCCGACTAAGAAATACAAGTAACTATAAGTGTCGGCTAATGTTTCAGTAGCACATTTCCTGAACTCATTGTTGAAATATTCAACAGCTCCCCGCATCTGCTCAAGCAATCTAGCCAACGTTCCGAAAGTGATCCAACATGTGCATGTATGCTGCCTCTACCCTATGGTTATGTGGTGACGAATCCTACCTTGGAACATTTTGGTGTGTTCTTCAAGAGCGCTTTAACGCGAGACGTCATCCATCCTGAGCTGTATCCTAGTCGACGGATGCCTCCGACAACTCTAGTAGATGTCAAACATCCTTTGCCAGAGAAGGAGAACTGGAGACAGTCGGTTATCAGAGAGCATTTCCGTGCACAGTCGTCAAAAGTCGCTGGCAAATCGCTGTGACTCGATTCCGACTCATTGTCCGAGGAAAAATTGTCCCAATTGTCCTTTTCCGATGTAATTGCATCGTAAGCATACCACTGAAAGACATCCCTGTGCAGCAGGACGGAATCCCTCTTCTCCAGGCAGGAGCAAGTCAGTATTCTGGCACAGTATATCGAGACCATCAAGCAACTTACGAGTCTGAACCACTGCTGCTCAAAAAGCCACATATCCTGAATGTCCTGGGGAGACATGTGATGATATGAAACGACAGGATAGCACCACGGATTGCAGCCATTCACCATAGCGAAGAACCCAAACTCCCACACGCGTACCGGCACCAGCAGTGGCCACGAATGCACAAGTGGCACACCAGTGTCTTTGATTACCATACCAAGAACGTGGTCTCCTGCCCAGCCACCCGCAGTCAGGCGTTCAATATTCGGAAAGTTGTCGGCGCGGTACTGAGACACCAGCTGCATGGCAGGGTTCGAGAGCACTATTCCAGCGCCACCATAGGCGAAGACTTCACCCCCCATCTGCATCGGAGCACCAAGGTAAAGAGGCTTCTCCGCGTCGAGCCGTGACAGCCACTGGACCATGTTCCGCCAGATGACATATGAATCCGCCTCGATGAAGACATACCACTGTGCGTCGCCCTTGACGAGGAGCGCCTCGTCTATCATTGGCAAAAACTTCCACTTATCGAGCTTCCACCCTGGATTCCCAGGTTTTCCGTATGGCCCATTCTCATCATCCGCCCAGTCACCCGGCGTGAGACCCTCCCGACCATAAACCCGCAGCCGGTTGTATATTCCAAAATCAGGATTCGTCTGTCTCGTTTCCTCACTAACACTGCCCAGGGTATCCCGTGTACGAACTCCGGCAACGTCTTCTTCATAATCTGAGAATATGGCATAGTGTGGTGCACACCGGAGGGTGGTGTCGAGGTGTATAGGGACCTTTTCGAGAGCTTCTGTAGCGCCAGTTTTCAGGATAACGAGTATCTTGTCCATTCCATCAAAGTGTGCACATCCGGTGGCATTCGTTTCGCCGGAATCAGAGACAATGCTTGCTGTTCGCCATTGCGCGATATCATGCTCCTCTCGGTGAGAGACCCAGTTCATGCGAGTGACGAAATACACCACGGCCACACCCAGCACGGTGAGAACTACAGACAGCCAGTAGCGTAAGCATCGGCGTGGAAACTGTATAGAAGGCATGGCTGCAACCACCAAGTAATGATATCAAAGTAGAAAAGCTCCTTTGATAAATCTACATGTCGATACTAGCACAAAGTAGTTGACTTGAAGGGTAAGCGCGACCAGGGTTGAGGGAGCATATGAACTGACTATAGGTATGAGCATGAACCAGGGAGCTAGAGCGGAAGATACACGTGGGTTTCATGATATGACTTTCGGATTTCTAGTCACCAAAAAAAGGGCTCGCAATGGAACCTAACGTATCTCCAACGCTCACTGACAAAGCACAATGCAGATACAACTCCAGAGCCCGCAGGCTCAACGAAACCAGATTGCCTCCCATTAGATAGACCCGACTATGATAAGCATATACCCTCAAACGCCTGACATGCAATATATGCATCATTGACCCATTAATTATAAGTTCGTAAGCATGGCGCCGTCATGCAATGCTGGAGAGAAGTTCATCCCCGCCAGCCAACGTTCCAAATAACATGTGCGATATCCCTTGCGGTGTTGACAGTATCCACCATTCTGTCAAAGAGAACATCGGCATTGGACGGAGTTCCGTCTTCATTAGATAATAATCCCAGAGACGCAAGATAGAAATTCTGGGCGGCCTCGTCTTCCTCCGCAGGATCCACAAACCAGGAACGGTTTGAAGAGTTCTCATCTTGCGGCAGGTTCCAGTCACTGTCGGATGCAAGAGTTTCTGCAGCTGGGGTACTGCCCGAAGACCATTGGGATTGTCGCAGAGCTTCCACCAGGGAAGACCTGGGTCCAGAAAAATACTTTGCCCAGGACCAACGACTGGCAATCGAGGAAGGCTGAGGCTCGGGTGTATCGGAGCGGTATTTGAGCGTCGTCGGAGGGAGGGGAGCAATTGTCTTGTTTTCACCGTTGGAGCCCCCTCGTGGCGTCGAACTTCCACTGGGGGACGTAGGTTTCACCATTACAGAATCATCCCAGCACGAGTCGCCCCCAAACTCTAACCACTCTTCCTCTTCCTCCTCTTTTGCCTCCACGGCAATACACTGTAAGACTTCTTTATTGAAGTGAATGTGCCGCTTATCGCTCGGGGAGGCAGCACCAGAAGGCGAAGTGGTGGAAGCGAATCGAGCGCGAGGGGTGTCAAACCCCCGTGCGAATGACTGGCTCGTAATCTTCTCAAACGCTGCCAGTTGTGCATTGAATCCTGGGCGACTTCGAGCATGCTCTGCCTCTTGTGCCTTTAGGATAGCCCCGGCGTGCTGTAAGAGAGTGTGCTGGGAGAGCGAGCGTTGCAGGATAGCCTCAGACGCAGTCCGCTTCTTGAGAATGGACTTTCGGTCATGGCAAAGAGGCGATTCGGAACAGCTCGGTGGAGGAGAGATATTTGAGACCTCCCGTGTATGAGAGGCTATAAGCGGACCGTACAACCAGGTTACGTCGCAATCTTTGAGCCTAGCATATTGTCAGCAAAGAAAAACTCTCATACTGGAGGCAAATGTGTATCCTTACCAATTGAGCGCCTCTGGAGAGATTGTGCCGATATTCCCTTTTAGCTTTGCCCAAGTTCGCCATGAGGCATTCTCCAGTCTCAGGCTGTTCTCATATACACCTCTGCGAGCAACGATGTGACGCCATGATGTCCAGATGTCCTCCTCCTTCCATTCATGTGAGAGGTAGTCGACATGTCTCGATGGCTCTTCCTCTAGCGAACTATCATCGGCGGCCGGAATTCGTGAGCCCGGACGATGCGAGTCTACTGGCGATTGCACGGGTGGCTCGATAACAGGCTCAGTAGGAGTATCTGGCTCCTCATCGAAGAATGCACTGTCGTAGGATGGCAGCAACAAGTCGTCTTGATCATCAGGTTCTGGGAATGATATTGAGCTTGTGGGAGTAGGCGGGAGATTTTGGAAGGCGTTTGGTGGGAGGTTCGGAGATGGAGGCGTGGAAGAAGCTGCGGAGGATGCAATAGGACTTGGGTAGTCGGACGGATAAGTAGGAGGGATGGTTTTGTTCATCGCATCCTCGGGATTCTCCAGGAAATATCTTTGCGGAATGGGCAGCCGCACAGGGTCTGAGGAGAAGGACGAACGGCTTTCCATCGGAGCCGGTAGCACAGCGGTCATCTCCGACGAGATATCTTATTCATCTATGCCGAATAATCGGAAAATACTCTCGCTGACGGCGTGTTGGGAGATAATGTGCGGGAGGTAATCAAGGCAAGGGGTAGGCGAGCTGCAGGAGGCGAGCGGCGAGCAAGAGATTGTGGGAACCTGATAGTGTTTGAGCGTCGGAAGGGATCGATGCGATGGCAGGGTAAGGAGGACAGCACGGCTCCAGGCCAGAAAGATGCCGAAGGTTTTATAAACGAAATTCCCTTTCCGGCTGGGCGGATGGCAGGTTCTAGACGAAATCTGCGACGCGAAAAGAATTATGGGGGATAGCCTGCGCTAGAGGCCGGAGAGGGATGGGCGGGTGGAGATCGACCACGGATTAGCTTTTTTCTTTCTCGAGAGCACAGACGCCGGGAAAGGAAGGAGAGCAGAGAAGCGAGAATGCGCGCATGCGAGACGGCCCGTCTTATCCTAGCAAAAGTTCCATGTAGATACAGTGCAGGAGATAAAGGAGCCAGTCCCGGAAGGTCGGATGATCGACCTGATATGGTGTTGTTACAACTTGTTTGTGGAGGTGGATAAGGACGCTCGAGCTCCGTTGCCACTAGTGCCCTGGGCCTAAAACGTATTAATGATGTTGGTGGGGGAGTCTCATTGGCGCGCAGCACACCTGCATCGAGTGAACTGCCCAGGCCTTGAGCTCCAGATTCCAGAACCCAGATGCAGACACGAGTCTTGATCCAAGAACGGAATTCCGAATGGTTTCGAATCTGCTATTTATCAGACATCACCAGCCGAGCAGACGTCAGCTAACGCCATCACCATGGGTGCTTGCTGTGTGCGGAGCTTTCCAAATATGCGGCTTTGGATCCCCGCCTCTCGTTGGCGTTCTCCTTCCCTGTTGATTCCCTGATCCTTTGTTTCTTCGAAACCTTCCCCTCTTCTCAACGCTTGGTGCTGGTCCCACAGTATGTGGTGGTCTGTCTGGTCGGCGGGAGTCCAGATCTTGGGCCGTGAGAAGACCAATAACGATGCCCGCACGGGCTTGTTGCTCAACAATCATAAAGTCTATTACTCGATGGCTTCTTCCTGACAGGTTGAACGACATTCGAACAACCTTTGAGCGATCCTCGAAGTTCCGCTGTTTCCTACGAGATAAAAGTCACTTCGGGATAAGTCGGAGTCGGTTCCAACAAGTGGCGACCTCATCAGGATATCAGTTTTACGCAACATTGAATCTTTCCGCTCAGGTCCCTTGCGACGCCCAATGCACGGACGTTGATTTTCCACATCATCATGCAGGGCTTAGCGCAACCGGTGCTACGACTTTGTTCTTTTATACGCCTCACTTGAGGTGTGCACAAGGTGATCCGAGTCGACCTAGTCTGGAACTATAGTCCGATGCGATGTCAATGTTTCATGTCAACGTCTAGAATCTTTCTGTCCGAGCCTGTCGATGAGATAACAATGACCCGGACCACAGGCTCGAGGCAGATACTGCGAGAAATTGACTTTCTTAGACTGTACTAGGATTCGTGTACATCCGGGCCCTTTGCGTTGGAGGTTCTCAGACTTAGAGCCCCCAGTCAGAGATCGGAGCGTTCAGGACGCTCTCCACCACAAGTCTGCCAGAACTCTGTCAGAAGACGTTAGCCAAGTTTGTATACTTGATCATTGTTGGTATTCTGCTCCATTTCCGCATATCAGAATATCTAAAAGCCTCGCTATTCCTGAATCATGTCGACATCAGAGGGAGACTGTGCAACAATGTTTCTGTGCAGACAGGTCGACATGCATATGCTTGACATGGTGGCATCATAATACGCCGTACTTTGCGCCTTGACGCTCATCGAGCGCCTTTCTCGCCTCTTCGGCGCAACGGACTGCAATGTGGCTTGGTGGGACCAACGGCCTATGTTGCAACTTGCAGGGGTCGTGACACGATGTCAATTGCGCCTTTTGCATCACTTACCTTGGGCGCCAATCGTTCTCGCACCAGTCACAAGAGGAGACATAAAGCTGTTTAATATCCTTCAATAGCCGGAGCTTCCATTTCCGCTTCCTAGCAGTTACATCTTATTCTTGAAACAGAGTCCTTGAGTCAAGAGGAATCGTGTCCGAGCGTTAACGCGACAGTAAGCAAGGAAAGGACGAGACGCTTTTAGCTCTCCCGCCGTGCAAAGCCATGTAAAGCATCGATCGTTCCTTTGCTTCTGGGCAAGCCTTCGGGCGTATCATTCTCCTATCAGAAGCCGCGCGTATAGCACATTCCGAGGAGCGTCGAAGCCAAAACCAGGGATTGTCTCCGCAGTATATGAGGTGCTCTAGATTCTCGTTGAATCTAGACGGCGTCAGTGGCGGTACGTAATCAGCAAGACTGGACTCGGTCTATTCTTAGCTTGCGTTCAACGGGCTGTCCGTTTGATAATCTTCCAGCGTGGAGCTTCCGGTCAACTTGACTTGCGGGAGTAAACCTGTCAGGAGAAAAGCTCCGAGGCTCAGACCCCACTACGCTTAATTGACGTCCGTGCACTGCATCTGCAAATCTTGGACGGTGGCAGGGTACAAGTCCTCATTGGATGCAGAGCTATCAGTACAACAGTTCAAAGCTAAGAAAACATGTGGACCTTGGAGGACAGCGACGCGAAAACAAGATTGCGACCACCGATGTTCGGATGAAACAATGTCACCTTTCTATCACAAAGCTCCCGTCTTTGACAGTGCATACGGAGTCCTATCTGCCGGCACGCAGCGCACGGGGCGGATTGCCCATGAATGCAGATAACGGACTTCCCGAGGACGGGCCATATGGCAGAACTAGATACCGTCCGTGCTCGTTGTCTCCTTCAAGTTGAAGATATATCCGAAGTTATCATCAAATTAAAGCGGGCAACATCAACATGATGGTTTGCTAAACCTCAAGCCCTAAAGTTAATGATTTCGCTTGGGCATACTGTACCCATCTTCTAGTCCTGGCCACCGTCGAAGACATTCAGCATATACCTACAATTGCTATATCCAAAGGATCTAGCCGCTCGAGCCATCAAGACATGGATCGGAAGGATGTGTCTTGCATAACAACCAAGAGCAGAACCCGGTCTCGTCAGTGGAATAGTAGAGAACCGTTATATTAATAATAGCCGCGCCGCCAGCCATGAAAAACAAAGTACAGTGCTTATCATTTTGGTAGGGGTCGAGGTCGAGCCCGAGTTCGCGGGATTTATCATGCTTGGGCAGGGGAGTATCCGAAGATTTGTTTTCGGTTTAGCTCAGGTACTTCTGTCAATATCGCTCATGTTTAGGTCGTACATCAAGTATTTCAGCTCACTTTGCTGTAAGGGCTGAAATGAGAAACGGCTTGATATCATCCTGTGCCTCGGAGGCCAATCTACGCCCATAATGTGCACAATAGGTATGACTAATTATGTATGGGTACAGCTCTCAAAATAGACTAGCTTGAGATCCTCGAGTCCCTCCAAGCACCCCGCGCCTCTGAAAGCTCGGTCGAGTAGATACTCAAACAAAACCATTTCTATTGCTACAGCTCATCTGCAAGCACCCATAGGAAGAAAACTGCAAGTACGCCGAAAAGCACAAAACATGGCAGAGGTCGCGCAACCACCAGCTGAACCCCAAGCTAGACGTCTCACATACTGCGGAGGTGAGTTCGATAGAGTTATACCGAAATCAAGCTTGCTTAGCGCTATGTGAATTATTGAAGCTAATACTTTGAGTTGAATAGTATGCACATTACCCCCAGAGGTATGAAAATCACCCTTTCCTACTCCGACAAATCATGCCTTTTCCTCCCAGGTTACCCCGCGACGTCACCGTGCACATTTGCAGAGGCCGCTGTTCTGTTCAGTTTTGTTCGGTTTTTTTGACTAAAGACAGTACTGCGAATTCGGCGGTACAGCAAAGAAGTGTCAGGATTGGTTGAAGGATAACCACGCCGATCTGTATCAGCGACTATACTCCGAAGGTACCCTACATCTTGACGAATTCTGCCTAAGGCTATCCAGTGCAGTTTCTTGGCTAACTATCATCTCGCGTGTATAGACGCTATCAGTGCCAACCTCTCGACCCTGTCTGTATCCGTCCAAGAGCGTGTGGCAAAGGACGCAGCGAAAAAGGAAGCAAAAGCTGCTGCAGCGGAGGCGCGAGATGCGGAGCGGCGAGCGACGTCAAAGGTCCAGATCAAGCGGGTTGAGCGAAACAAGCGCAAGCATGTCAGTGTTGTTACAGGACTCGAGGTCTACGGACTAGAGAATAAGAAGGTGGCCAAGGAGCTTGGAAAGAAATTTGCAACTGGTTCTTCTGTTACCAAGTCGGCTGCTGGGATTGAGGAGATTACAGTGCAGGGCGACGTCAGTGAGGAGATCAAGGAATGGCTCCTGGAGATACATGGGAAGCAAATCTCCGAGTCCAACATTGAAATTGTTGAGGATAAAAAGAAGAAAAAGGGGGCGGCTGAGCCGTGATTTGGGACAATTATATTTCGTTATGATAATGAATGCGCTAAGATGATTGTCGAAGACGGGGTATCGAACTCAAAAACACCAATGCTTGTGCTCATAGCTCGTCGAACATTCGTAACGGGTCATGATCTGTAGGCCGCGCAGCTTCATCAGCTTCAAGGGAGGTAGGTGTAGTCGCCAGAGGGGTACTGAGACTGATATTATGAGCCAGAACGGATGGATCTAGAGACCACGCGTGATCATTTTTCACCTCTGGCGCAGAGGCACCTTGTTTCTTTGGCAGGGGAACGCGAGAGGGTAAGTTTGGAAGCTTCAGTGCCTTTGGAATGGTCCTGAATCCTGGCGATGCTTCCTCGCCTGGCCAGTGCTGGATGACGATAGCGGCCAAGATCGCTAATATGACAGCAGTGACAAACCCCCAGAATATGCGTAGTCGTTGGTTCGTCCGCATCTGCCAGTCCATCTCTTTCTTATCCCATTTCTCGATTTCGGTTCGCATCGCCTCCAACCTATATCCGAGGGTTTTGGCCCTTGTCTTGCTGACTCTCATTCGCTCCTCGAGCGCTTCAATCTTTTGCATCTGGGGATGGAACTCGTTCAGGTCCGCAACTTGCTTCTGGATGTCTTGCTGTAGGCCCGTTGTCTCTCGCTGGAAGTCATCGAATAATTTGGACGTCGAGCCCGATAGCTCTTGAAATGAGGCGATTGTCACGTTGAGTGCTGCGACCTTTTCCAACAGTCCGTAGTAGGTGTAATCCAGCCTGCGTGTAATGTCTGTCGCAAGCGTCCCAATCACTGACAGTGCAGAACGTAGATACCTATCCCTGGGTCAGTCGAGGCGACCTAAAAGCAACCCATCTGATACTGACTCTTCTCCTTTATTCCGCTGGTCCCTGACCCGCTGCAAATCGCCCATCGAGCGTATCTCCTCTGGGCGCTTGATGGCACCGAGCCGCATATCCTTATCGATACCATCAAGCACGCTTCCTCTTCTGCTTCCTGGCCCTATTCCTGTCGACTCGGAGCCCCATCGCGATCGAGTGGTCTCACGGGTTATCGGCCGAAGCAAGCCGTCGTCGTCGCTTTCTTGTTCTCGGTACGTTGATAATGAGCCCCTGCCGCCTACCTTCGAGGGAATATGATGCATTCTGTGTCGGAAAATGCCGTCGCGCGATTTGCCTTTGCCGTCCCTATGACGTCGCCGAGTTCGTTTGTCTGTTTTACGATAAAATCAGCGATGATGTTTATTGAGACTTCGAAACACTCACCTGCTACATTCTCCCTTGAGAACGAGATCCCGGAGGTGGCGGGAGGAGCTGTCTGCGGACCCCTTGCGATGGGCGATCCATGGTTGCGTTGCACCTTTTCGGATGACGGAATTGAAACAAACAGAGTCGGTCTTAATGAAGGGTCCATACTGAACTCCATAGATATAGATGCTATAGATTGTAGTATCAAATGTAGAAGGAAGCTGCTCAATCACCCCCTGGAAGCTTGAAGGAGTCAGGAGACTCCTGGAGCTTGTTGGCCTGCAGAAACTCCCCGGATGGATCTGCAGGCAGCCACGGCCTGGACTACGAGGACGACTCGGGAATCCTTTCCATCCAAACTCCACCACCGAAACTCGCTGCCCCAATCATCGAGATAATTGCCCACAAACTCCGTTATTGGCACAATTTGACGAGTCCAAGCTTAACTCTTTTGAAGCCCAGATTTCGACGAAGATCAGCACCATCTTGAGACCTACACATCCAGGCAAAGGCCCATACGGAGTAGTCTACAGGTATCGCGCTACATCGTATAGTTGATCCACACACTTATGTAACATTTTGCAATCATATAGTTATCGGAGCTATACAAGGAGGACACCTACCCCCACGTGGTTAGCCCCTCGCCGTGGCGCAACCCTTTCAGTAGCGCCATTCCGTCAATTCTGTTAGATCAGAGATATTAAAATTGAAGGTTATGCTCTTTCGATGAACTCCTCGCTATCGCCGTGGCGAGTCACATTCTTCCAAGGATGCGAATGAGCGTCCTTTGATTAGTGGTATGGTCATGACCCAGGAGAGTATCAACAGTCCGCATAAGTGAGAGCTAATAAACGGCAAAGCATAAGAACAATCCAGTAGACCCAGATACCCAACTCCTAAGACGCCGACCATGGGCTGCTTTTTCGCGGAATCATGCAGCGACATTTTCAGAAAGCACATGGCTTGTGCTAAACGCCAACAAAGCTCTCGGGGACCAGAAGAATTCGCTGTATCATGAATTGAGCAGCTTGTTGCGCTTCTCCCGTCTCTTGAGTCGCTCAACCCGTTTGCGGTGCATCTTCTCAGCCATCTTCTCGTAGCGCTCCTTTTCTTCCTTTGCGGCCCTTCGGTCCTTGATTCTCTGGATATGTGCCTGAACGGCCATCAGTATGTAGGAAGCAGATGTGTGTACAATATATGCAGAGTCCCTTACTTGTCGTTCAGCCTCCTTTTCTTCCCTCAGTTCTTTTTCGTGCTCTTTGACAGCTTCTTGTTGTTTCCGTGCTTCTAGTCTCTTCGCGTACGAGGTCAAGCCCGCATTAGGGCGAAATGCTTTTTTTGTCGTATGCCAATTCTTCCCTGCGGGTCCGAAACGGTGCAAGGTTAGCCAGGACAAAAAGGAAAGGTTGACGGAAAAAAAGTGGGGGTAACCGGGTGCCTACCATTCTTGCGTACTGATTTTACGGTGGTGGTAGACGGGGCAGCGGCCGTGGACGACATGGCGGCGGTCCAGCGCTATATGGTGAGAAACGAAAAGGGAGCAATGAAAGGATGTCAAAAGCGCCAGACGAGAAGTCGGAGGTTCTGCCTTGGCGGGATTCGAAATTTTGAGGAAAAAGTTATCTTAGCAGCATCAGATAAACGGATCTCGGCGGAAGTGCTGTCCCGGTCCCACACACTTGCGCCCAAAGGTCGAATGCGGCCGGATGACTCGTCGGCGAGGATTGTTGGGTTCCTTCGCTGAAAAGAATTGTCGCATCCTCCCCCCCACTGTCCTCAATATCCCGCGTCCCGGCCCTCTACCCTGCAACTTGCAAGCGATGCTTTCTTGCTTCTGAGTCTTCACCCGAAGGTACCACGCGTGGATTGGGCAAACGCCAAACCCCTCGTCGGTACACCGCCCCTCACCAGCTGCCCAGTGCCCTCTTTTATCACGTCGACTTTTCCCCTCTCATACGATGCTATCTCGATAAAACCCATTATTATCCTTCTCTCTCCTCGCTTTCGTCATTCGCTCGGGGCTTTCCAGCTCACCGTAATACCCTATGGCGGCTACTGAAAATGCCTTGACCCTCAACAATGAAATCTCAATGGAGCTCCCTGCCCTCCCTCCAAACCAAGGCCTGGAGGCCTTCAAGGACATTGCCTTTGGATCTGTAAGTTGGCTGTTCCGCATATACACAGATTCGTCTTCTAATCGCGTCAGTTTGCGGGGATGGTGGGCAAAATCATTGAATATCCGTTTGACACGGTCAAAGTACGGCTTCAGTCACAACCGGACCACCTTCCTCTTCGCTACAATGGACCCCTGGACTGCTTCCGCCAGTCGTTCCATGCTGAGGGTCTCCGAGGTCTCTACCGCGGGATCAGTGCGCCAATGGCCGGGGCTGCTGTTGAGAACAGCTGCTTGTTCTTCAGCTACCGTGTGGTCCAGGACATACTTCGTGCGACAGTCTACTCCTCGACGGAGCCGTTACCCTACTCCGCTTTGCTGCTGAGCGGTGCCGCCTCCGGATCCGTGACTTCTCTTGCCTTGACCCCCATCGAGCTCATCAAATGCAAGATGCAAGTACCATCGGACATTCCCGGTGCTAGACAGCCCGGGCCGTTGAAGCTCATGATATCTGTGTTCCGACAAAACGGCATACTGGGGTTCTGGCGGGGCCAAACAGGCACCCTGATCCGTGAGACGGGCGGGGGGGCTGCTTGGTTTGGAGCCTACGAGGGGGTGACCGCCCTATTTCGCGGAAACCAGCATACCCTCCCGCCGATCGGTTCCGTTGAACGAGAGCCTATCCCCCTTCCCGTCTACCAGCAAATGATTGCCGGTGCAGCGGCCGGTATCAGCTATAATTTCATTTTCTACCCCGCCGACACCATCAAATCACGGCTGCAGACGGAGGAAATAACAACCTCGTCATTCTCCAAGAGGCAAACTTTCCTGGGCGTTGGTAAAAGTCTGTGGCAGCAGCAGGGCCTGAGAGGCTTGTATCGAGGCTGCGGCATCACCTGTGCGCGTTCGGCCCCGAGTTCAGCGTTCATTTTTACAGTTTTTGAGGGGCTCCGGAGTTACTTTGGATAGACGACTCTCTTCATGATTAGAGCTCTTTTGTTCGCCGACGACGCTTTCTGACCTTCGATTTTCAAGCTTTTCAAGATACCTATGGCCTGTTTAGATTTAGATTCTCATCGTGTTTTGCTTGTTGGGCCAATCTGGAATTGGGTCGCAAACAAAAGTTCGGTTTATCCTAAGTACATACACTTATATACACTTTGATCTATTTGCAGCTGTATAGGATCTTTCTCTCAGGATTTTCCTCATTTCAAGCTCAGTACTGGATAAGTCTTGCACCCCAGATCCTCCTTTCAATAATGAAACCAAAGAAACCTGTAGTCTTCAAATCTATGAGCGTGTACATATCAAGAAAACGGTGCTGTCAACGCGCAAGTGGGGTAGATAGACTGTCGCTTTATCGCGGGTGTTGTTCCCTGATGCAACCGCGCTCCGCATTATATATATCCTTCTGTCAACCCCCCTTTCTACCAACGTACAATTGTAAACCACCACCATGGCCACACTTACCCCCCAGGAAGTCGAAACACTATCCTCAAAAGCCGAAGCAGCAAAGGCAGCAGCCTACTGTAAGTCCATCGCTTTGCCTTCGAAACCACACTTCAACATGGTGCGGGGTCTGGATCAAATCACTCACCTAGGTACACGCGCGTCATACATCTGGACATCTAAAAAGCTGATATGAGCGATTATTACAATTGATCACAGGCCCTTACTCAAAATTTCGCGTCGGCGCTTGCCTCCTCACCGAGACTGGTGAGTACATTGCAGGGGCGAATGTCGAAAATGCCTCATACCCTGTCGGCACATGTGCTGAGCGAGTGGCGTTTGGCACTGCTGTTGTACGTTTGCCCTTTTCCATTTCGTCCCTGTCCGAGGTTCGCCTCCCTTCTCCCAAGGGATATCCAATCTGCACGGTTATTTTTAGGTTGGTTGAGGGTAGCTGGCTAACCATGCATTTATACATAGGTCGCCGGCCAGCGAAGATTCAAGGCGATCGCCGTGGCGACCGATATCAGTCCTCCAGCCTCGCCATGCGGAATGTGTAGACAATTGTGCGCAACTTGACAGCGATTGGTAATCCTTGCTAACAGTGGGTATCATTCTAGTATGAGCGAGTTCACGTCGCCCTCTTTCCCAGTCTACATGTATGACAAGGACATGAATTGCACTATCACCACGATTGGTCAGGTATGTGTAGTATGGAAATCCTACTCCGTCCCCCTTTCTCGTGGCAGTCAAATGCTTACTTGTGGTCTAGCTGCTTCCGAGCTCCTTTGGACCGGATGACTTCAATAATATTTGAGAAGCTGTGTGCCTGGCCGCGCCCGGGAGTTCTAGCATATGTGCTTACATTTATAGGGAGAGTATGGGTAGTGTTGAAAGCGATCTTATATATTCGAAATGAGAAACATCTGAAATCATGGGTCCGAATTGGGACATCTAAAACAGAATCATGCAACTGATGCTGCAGGTCAAGGCGCCCTCGAACTGGGTTACCCAGGCTCGAGAAGATAGGTATCCAGAATGCAGCGCTCGTAGTCATACATGAACATTCATGGCGCATATAAAACTTCAAAAAGATCGAGAGAGAAAAGGCTGGCCAAGAGCCATTATAACTCATCCTCGTCAGCATCCCCTTCCTCAACACCCAAAAGTTCGTCTTCATCATCAATGACACTACTATAGTCACCTCGACGGGCCGCGAAAGAAGCTCGCGAGGCATACGGGCGTGGATAGCCCCTGTTCTGTCCAAGGCGAACATAGCCACTCGCGCTGCGCCATAGACTTGAAGCGAGAAGTGGAAACGCCTTTGCGACCGCCACAATGCCAGCAATGATGGTAATTGGGACCGTGATAAGCAGGGAGTCGCGCGACAGTAACCCTTCTGATCCACCAGCAGTTTCTCCAAGGCGTATCTGGCCAAATTTGCCGTCCCACCTTGTGTAGACGAAATACCCAACGAGTCCTGCCGCGGCGATTGGTGTAATAATGGCGAAGAATAGCCCGACACCACTTATGCCGTGCTTTTTCTCATACTGATCCTCTTTTCCGGGGCAAGGCAACGTATCGATACCGTCCAGAATCTTGCCGCCTTGACACGTTGTCTGGGGTATGCGACGGTACGCCGTGCTCTGAAAGTACTCGATTGCGTCGGGATTGGCTTTGCAGTAGCCCACCGGGTCTTCTGGTTGAAGCCCAGGAACCAGAGCACAGCCGCCATCGGGTGTAGGCTGGAAGTTGTAGGCACTATATAATTAGCTGGGGCAGATTTAGGGTCGGGAAATATCTTACCATTCATAGTCAGCCCTTGTGCAGCTGCAATTACTTTCAATGCTGTGCAAATGAGGACCGCGCCAGTTGTTCCAACAATCAGCCGACAACTTTCTGCGACGGTATTGCTCAACGTGTCCAAATAAGCAGTTCTCTTCCTGGAATGGATGTGATGGCTTCCAAAGGTAATAGTCCTCGCTGATTTGCCCGTCCTTGTCAAACACGCAGTCTCTACCATAGAGTCCGCTGAAATCAACATTGACTGAGATGGGCCTATTTTTGGAGTCAGTGCCCCAAAGAAGGAAGCTCCTTGAAGTATCAGAGGGCACAGTCGAGATATCAGATACTTTCATCTCTTCTTCTGAAAACTCGTAATCCTTCCAGGATTTGCCCTCGTCAGTGGAATAATGAAGAACCTTGGTTGACTCAACCTCTGAGACGATCACAAGCACTGAACCAGAGTCGCCGAACTCCCACATGTATCTACCCTTTTTGACGAATTTCCAGGAAATCCCGCCATCCGAAGTCATGAAGGTATCGGCTTCGTCTTTCTTGGTCAGATGGCCACCAACGTTGCCCTGAGCTATCATTAGACCAATCGCGGATCCCGAAGAGAATGTATCCCGAAAATCAGCGCGTTCCGTGTATCCATGAAGGTGGAGAGCGCATTCGGGAGTCCCCTCACCGGGCTTGACTGAGCAAGAGAATTTCTCACCATTGGCGTCGTCCTTTGCTGGAGGAGCCAGGAGTGTCCATTTCCCACCATCGTTGTGAGTGATGACCGTCCGAAGCTTCTTGGGGGCTCCGCTTGACAATTCGTCCACGTTACTAACAACGTTTGCCAGTATTACTCCTTCCAAAGCTTGTGTTCTTTCAAAATCGACATTCCCATTTTTATCCTGGTCCACCGAATCGAGGCTGAGTACATAGGTCGTGCCGTTGCTATTGCTTTTCACTATTGAACCGTACTCGGCATTAGTATTGTTGCTGGTTTGGACGTATAGAAAAATGGCGTGTTCAGAAGCGTCAAGGACGGTATAAAGATTTTGCTCTGGCGAGATGTTGGCGGGGAAGTTCAGATCGGCAAACGTAAATCCATCGACACTAACGCTAGCCTTTAGGGCTCCAGTTTCATTGTTCCGCGAGGCGACGATGATGTACTCTGACCTTGTAGCGTAGGCCACAAGATCATCATAGGTCGTATTCCAGACATCAAAGCTTTCGTCAACAGTGGACATGAGCTGCAGGCGGTTGCTTGGGTTCTCATTCTCATATTGTTCGCAGAAAATGAGACGCTCGCTGCCTGGATGGTTCTCTTTGTACTCGAATTCGCATTTCTTAGCGTATCGCAGCATGAGTTTCCAGTTGTCTCCTCGGTCGTTGCTGAAATAGGCGTTCGAATGGCAGTTTCCGGACTTGCAATCGGCTTCACCAACCCAAAGCAGCCAATCCTTTTTGGACGGATGAAATCTCAGAGTCGGGCTATTTTCACGGTTAGGAGGGGTCTTTGTCTTGAATGACTGGAATGTTTCTCCGCGGTTGATAGTGTAGAATCCCTCAAGACCGCTGGTCAAAACGTAAGCGGTGTCACTATTATACTGATGACGGACTATCGCAATAATGTCCGACTGGTCTTCAAGCACCTGTTTCCAGGTCCGTCCATGGTCGTGAGATACGAATACCTCTCCATGGTGGCTAAGCATCAGGACAGTCTCGTCTGCTCCGGTACTGGAGATTTGGCGTTCCAGATAATAGTAATTGGACACCTTCGAGTCAAACGACGTGGGAGTAGAAGTGATTTCCCCACTGTTCGGCTTCCCACCGGCATCCTCACATGGTATTTCAGTGTCCTTATCCAGTTCTTTTCCACCTTCGCGAATGCAAGTGTCGCCTGGAATCAACCTCCACCCAGATGGACCCTTGAACGTGTCAGTCGGATTCTTGCATTCCCCCTCTGGTGGAGTAATGGACGTCGATGGAACACAGCTTTTGCCATCCTTGGTTCGCTTATACTTGCACTCGAAATCTTCAGCAGTGCATTTGCATGGGACGAACTTCGACAATGAAGTGTGAAATGGCTCAGCCACGAAGCAGTCTGCGTTGGCCTTTCTGCGGCGAAAGAATTGCTTCCGCCCCATTAAGCAATCAGGATCTCCGTTCTCATCTAACCGGGCAGGCCAATCGGTATCAAAATCATCTTCTTCGCATTTGCGTTCATGCATGTCGTTGAAGTCGATGCCGAACACAACGAACTCGTCTTTGGAAGAGTAGCCTATAAGAATGAATCGTAGACTTGACGAGTCGGGAGTCGTCGTGATTGTCGTGGTCCTTGAGTCAACCTCGTGGGGAAGATCAATTGACTTCCATTCTTTCCCGTGGTCTAGAGAATATTGAAGCTTTTTCACTTTGCCCTCATCACTGATTGCAGTCACAACCCCTCCCTGGTCACCAAACTCGTACTTATGTGGCCCTTTGAGAGCGAGGCGCCAAGTGCGACCTGCGTCATCCGATATATAGAGGTTCCCATCCGAATAGTCACCAAGATGGTCGCCAGTATTACCAACTCCCATTACCAAGCCGGGGGCAGGACTTGAGAAGACGCGTCCAATATTCGTGACAGAATTCACAGAGTGCAAGTGGAGGTTTTCACCACCAATCTCGAGAGGCTGAAATGTCTTGCCATCATCGAAAGTTATCTTGCTGGTAATCTGTTTGCCGGACCCAGTTGCCGACTCCTTCGTATTGTTAACCGTGTTCACCAAATAGATACCTTGGATAGCGGCTAACTTCTCAAAATCGACATAGCCCCTTGAGCCACGATTTGTATGTTCAATGTTGCGTTCGAAATATGTACCATCGGAGTTGGAAGTGAAGAGAACTCCGACACCGCGGTGCGGATCCGTCAGGACATCGACCTGAATACTATAGTTTGTACTCTCCAACACAGTATAAGCGTCCTCTTCTATGCGATGGTCCCCGAATTCCGCCCGGTGCCAATTTTCAGTATCGACTGTCACATACAGAGCGCGCTCAGTCGTACCCTCAGACTCAACAGCCGCAACGATGAATCGCTTGACTTGTGCAATGCTGGTGACGCCGGATACTGGTCGGCCATCCTGAAGCTTGGCCTCAATCCCCTGGCTTGCGAAGAAGTCGTTGGAGTAGACCAGGCGGAAAGCGAATCTGGATCCTGTCTTTAGACCTGGGACCACACAGAGTGTGCGCTCGTCCATGTTTTTCGCATTTTCGCCAAATTGAGGATCACCAATCGCCCAATAGCATCCCACGGCGCTTTCAGTCAAAACATTTATCGTCTCGAAATCGTCCGTAGTGTAGTATGACCTTAGCGCGCATGACAGGCAGGGCCTCGTCTCGAAGATGACTTTGCCGGAGTCCCGCCCGTGGAAAGACAAAGGCCCAGTTTGTGGGCTCTTGTAGAATGGAACATCAGAGATCTTAAAGGACTTCCAAGTCTTTCCTTGATCTGTCGTGATCCAATGTTTTCCGTCTTCACTTAGCGCATATGCCTTGTTCTCGTCGTAAGAATGCTGGAAGATGGATACGACTGCGTGCTTCATGCCATCATCCTCAATTGCCTCCCAATTTTCGCCGGCATCGAATGAGCGTAAAAGTGACCTATCCTCCAAGGTCATCAAGACGGTATCGGATCTCTCAAAGTAGAATATAGATAGCGGCTTTTCGTCGAGTTTGTACGAGCTTATGCTGGGCTTAGCCTTCTTCGCGGCACTCAGTGGTGTCAAGAGCGCCACCATTAGGCAGCCCAGAAGCTGAAGCCATCGGGATATCATGGCCGGCGATATTCAAACATCGAGGGGACGAGGTAACTGTAAGCCTACGGCCCAGCGATACCGCGCGTGATATGGCCGCTCGAAGCGCTGGAGAGGTCGAGGGTGAGGGTAGGGCCGTGCCGTATTCGATATTTAAGACAAGAAAGTTGCAGCGGATACCGGACTCAATATGAAAATAAGAGCTAGCTGACCTATGAGTTAAGAACGTTGATGAAATGACCAGAGCTCCCACTCTTCCACCACGTCAAGGTGGCCTTGAGAGCTCTTCGATCACGTGCATCTGCCTAGTTCATGCTACTCAACACTGGGTCGAGACCGAAGCGGCTCTTACGCCCCAGTGCCGAGGACGATTCCCAGCCCAGAGTTCAACAATTGTCAGAACCGTTTTTGATTTGGCCAAATGTTACCATCGCCTTAACCCATGGCAACGAAGGCTGGTTTCGCAATCATGGATGAATCTTTTCTCCTTCCCGAGAATCGATAGTCGAGGATCGTTAAACGCCCAACTGGATACGATGAGTTATAGCGCGGTCGCAAGTTATCTATAGTATGTAAGTAATCTACGGAGTCCCCTGGAAACACGGTCACCGCCAATAATTTAGCCGATGTTTATGGCAAAACTCGCCAGCCTCGCTAACAGAATACAGAATCATTTTAAATGGAGACGTATCGGGGTATATTTAATCTCGCTGAGAATCGTGCTTGAAACAAAAAATAAATCTCGGGTTCACTCCTTCCGCCTGCGGAACTTGCGCCACATCTTCTTCATCAGGCTTTGGTCATCCGAATCTTGTTCCCAGAAATCAGAGTTATCGTCGACCAGCGACAAAGGGAGTGAACCTGAAGGATCGGTGGTCGATGTTGGGGTAGGACACGAGCCATCTCGAAGATCCGGTCTTGTCAAAGTCATCCGCAGCGTCATTTCGCGTGAATGTTTTGGCACCGATAGGGGCGTTTTTATTGGTGTTGAACTCATCGTCGTCGGATCTTCTGACGGCAGAGGCGCCTCCATAACGTAAGAAAGCCGCGAAATGCTTGAGAGTGACTCCTTCTTTTCGCCCCGTATTGACATATCATCATCGGCATCCAGAAATGTTCCAGTAAAGCCTTTTATCAGGGGACTCCGGTCAGGGTGAGGGGACTTTGGAGTACTTTGCCCATTGTCCAGAGCAGGGAACCCGAACTCAATGGCTTCGTCGAATTTCTGCGGGGATGCGAGGTAGACCCGTAGCTTAAGGCGGGCTTCGGGGTCATGAAAGTACTGTGCGGAGGGGTCAATGCTCGAGGTAGAGGACTGAGATGTATGACGGGGCTTGTTTCTAGTCGAAGGTCGAGAAACAGAGGAACGTCTGCTGATGATGTTTCCGAGGGCGGACGGGGATTCGAGTGGCAGGCTCGAGGTTGGATTTCTTCCGTGTGGTGCCAATAATATTGACTTGCGAGACAGATTGACCGAGTTGAAAGACAAAGTTCTTCGAAAAGATGGTCTCCGTCTGGATGTTAGGCATGACGGTGAGCTCGGCGCCTGCTGCTGATAGTTGTCTAGACTTAGGTCGAGATCCGTATCTTCGTCTAACCACCGGAAACTATCATAGAGCGAGCCGTCCATGTTGAAAGTAAGATGACGAGGTGGGCATGCTCACAATCACAGCGAATTGACCGAGGTAGGTGAGATAATAAGAGCGACCTGGAGCCAGATCCTTCCGTTGGCTGAGAGGGAGATGTTATTTGCGTTGGCTCAGCGTGGGCGGAGGGGAACAGAAGGAAAAAAAGGCACAGTACACCAAAGGCCAACGCGGATTGGCTGTTGAAATAAATCAAGCCATCTGTTGGGAGCAATCACCTCGTGCCAAGGCACGCGTCAGCTTGAAGAGCTTCGAGAAAAGGCGAAAAGGGGAGCGCTGATGCAACGGGCATGGCTGTGAGTGGTGCTCAAGGGAAACTCCAAAGTCAAGAGCACGGTGGCAGTGGAGAATCCTCAAATGCTAAATGGTCCCAGGGCCAGAAGAGTCAAGAGTAATAATGCCAACTCACGCTATGCATGATAGTTGCGAGTTCGAGTGCAGTAGTTCAGCGATTAGTGGGAATAATCAACAAATCATTCATCAATAGATCAGGGGTTGCGGGATTCGTGGGCCCCAGAACTCCACTGATTCTTGAGGGCCATTATTTAGTCTCTCTCTATGATTCCGTCTCTGTATGTACTCATTTTTGGCCGAGAGCCTGATTCTTTGTTCACTGATCAAACTTAGAAGAGCAGGCTGCTAGTTGCCGTCGAGGTGCGTAGATGATGAATCAAGTTATCTGTTTCTGAGTTTGTGTCAGCTTATGCCTCGTACAGTAAATTGTCGTGTCTGGGATGTGTGGAACGCAGGGTGGGGAGCTTGCTTCGGGCAGTTGGTACCGACGAACTGCTTTCCAGAAGAAAGAGATGGGGTGTGAGTTCAATAAAGATCAAAGTGAGGCTACGCATCGACAAATTCCTCATGGTTGGCGCTGGATAGAAGACGGACTAGCGGAGATGGCTTGCTTCCGCTGCCCATTTGACGCTCCGGCTGTATATATATGACAGAAACTCATAAGACATTAAGGATCTGCTGCATCGCAGACGTATTCGAATCTTCCCTGCGGGAAACATAGGCTCTGACCTCATGCGCACCAAGGCCAACCTCAGTGCCACGCCCCGACGCCCCAGCATTCCTTCTACTGGTAATATTATCAGGCCCGCGTACCCTCTCCCGCAAAGCCTCCGTACCGATGACAAAGAGGCTACCGACTTCAAGCAACACGTCCAGCATCCCACTCGGGCCCTTAATCTGGTCATCTATATCCCACGACTTGAGTAGATTGGTGTATTGCGTCATGTCCTTGGTGACCATGAGCCCACCAGGGCCATTCACCACGAACCGTTTGAAATGCTCTAGGAGTAGACTGCGAGTCCCCAGAGCGATTTCCGAAAGTAGTTGGCGCACATTGGTGCCGCTGACCGGGAGCGAGTTGACAGCGCTATCATGGGCACGAGTCAAGAAAGCACAGAGTGTTGCACATGTCTACTTTTGTTAGCGAAATCTTGCCTGCGATCGAACTTGCAATTAGACGACGTACCGGCGTCTGCAGCTTTTCTAACCAAGCTGTGCTGTCACCCTCCTTGGGTCTGAAATCATTCTTCTTCTGGCCAGACAGAATCTTGTTCACCCACATCAGAGTGATGTCGATGACCTTTTGCTCTGTGGTGTTGATTTTTTCTTCTATGCGAACGGTTGCCAGATTTGTCTTTTTCTCCATTTCGCGACGGATGGTAACACTGTTTGCCGCCAAGGGAATGAGCAGAGTATTGATGCACATAACCATTAGATTAGCAATGCTAATCGAGTCACGGACCGCAGGAAGATAGGAGAAATCGGGTTCACTCTTCCCTGATTCTTGCGCTGTCGCCGCTTCCAGAGCGGCATCGAGACAGACCTCGAGGTAACCCTCTCCCATAAGGGATTGAAGTAGATTCAACAAGGTAAGCATGTCTTTGGGTGTTTCGCTGCTCACGCTGAGCTCCAATCCTCTACCGACTGCTTCTGCAAGCCATTTCAGCATTCGTTTAGCATATGAGATGCTGGGCAGGCCGTCTTCCTCGCTTAACTTGATGTCGCTGGGTTTTGCAAGATCGTTGGATTCTTTGAGGCCTGCAACCTGAAGTAGGACACTTTTCTGGGTCGAAGAGAATTCAGAAGACTCCAACCGGTTTATATAGGCGTCTCGAGCGGATGCCAAAAGTTCACTACCGGATTTTGACAGCGACGCCATGAAAGTCGTAGTCGCTTTCTTTCTCCGGGCATGAAATGTGGTGAATTTGAACAGTAGCGAGGTATACAACTCCTCAAGTGTCCTCTTTTCCCTCTCAATGTAGGATGAGCCGACAAAGTAAGGCACGAACAGATCTTCCAACTGTTGATCAAGAACAAGTGAAGTCTGAGAGGAAATAGCCTCGGGGTGCTCGGTCAACCCATGTGCTTTCAATTCATCTACCAGGGTGCTGATGGAGCTGCGCGAACTCTGCAAGGACCGAAGAAAAGCTAGCGATGAAACACTATTCGCCTTCTCTAGAACCATTTCGAGCCTCTGTTGGATTGATTGCTGAAATACCCGTTGTAAAAATTTCCCAAGGACCTGCTCGAAGTTGGGAAAGGCTCGTTTGATAACGGCAGACTCTTCCTGCACCACAACCCTGACCTCATCGATCAACGATTGAAGGCTTGGTTCAACGCCCGTTGGCTCAGCATCGGGGTCGGCGAGGCTCTCCCATGTTTCCGGATCCCCTCCGACTTCTTCTGTAACCAGTTGACTTCGGTCAATAAAGAACTGATGTTGGTTAACGAACAAGGCAACAACACTCGCGCCGCCATTGAAATCTTGAAGTACAGTGGCGCAGTCCTTCATGCCTTCAAAGTTCGCCTTGCGGTAAAAGTCGTCAAATTGCTTTAGCAGGTCCTTTTCGAGCGTTTCGGAGAATTTCTCAATTATTTCGCGCGTGTTCCATCTGAATCCGGTACCGTTCGGTGTAGCTTCGTTCGGCGTCGTAGCTCCGTTGCTACCTTCGTTCTGAAGCGACCCGCTCCAGCTCTTCGGATCCAGCCTCTGGCTTATCCGTAGCAATTGTCGCGCGATATGCGCTGACCGTACTTTTGCTTCGCCAGAGCCAGACCGCCGCAAATTTTCCAAAAGTGTGATTTCCCCTCTGTTGCTCACTCCATCCCAGCATTGGAGCAGAAAATGTGCGTCGAGCGCGCGGCGTCTCTGCCGGTCCAATTCTTCAAGTTTCCTCCCCGTTTCCACAGCCATGTTCCCAGTCGAGCCTGCCAGCTCTGGGGTATTACTGTGGAGCGATGTGTCCAGCTGTTGGAATGACTCGATGGCTTGCTTCAGCTTTTTGCCCAAGGTATTAAGGTTTTGTGAATGCTGGGCTTCCGCCCTTCGAACAGCCGCCGACAACTCATTTTCCTTAATTTCTAGATCACCGGAGAGTTCGCCTAGGCGTCGCTGTGCATGTTCGAAAGTCCGGATGAGGGGTTTGGGATCAAAAGGCTGGTTTCCGGCGGCAGGGCCAAGCGTGGAGCGGCGGTTTGAGGTTGCTGAATCAGAAAGGGCTTCAATAAACTCTTTGACTATGTAGTCGCGACTTGAAAAATCTTCAAGTGTAAAGCTCGGGCCTTTGGGGAATACCGATCGGGAAGGGGTGTGCGAATGGAACGACATGATCGGAGTATAGTTGCGCACGAAGCGAGCAAGCCGAAGGCGTAGCGAGCGGAGCAAGTTAGGGACATGGGGTTAGACTTGGCAAGAAGAACAGCGAGCTCCAATCGCGTGTCAAAGCAGACGAGTATTAGCCGTCCAGCCTGCCGCGCATTTTCACGCGGGTGTTATCGACAAGCATGAATCTCAAGTCAGTGGTCCCATGATTTGATGCGGGCGTGGTGAATGTAATAGCTTCGGGATATAGCTTTCTCCGTCCCGTCGTTGGATGCCGCAGGGTATCCAGCTTACTACGTGTATCTCTGGGTAACGATATTATTATTGATTGATGTCATTTATAGCGTGACTCTCTGGCGCGGCTCGGGAAAGCTATAGCGCGGAGCTCGATCTATGTTGTCCCCGTACACATGATAGACTACTAGGTATTATGGCACTGGATCGTTTCAGGCCTGCTGGTTAGAATACGATAATGTAAACGTTATATCAAGAGAGATCAAATGCAATGAGCACCCCCTCAGAGCGGACAAGGTGATCGTTTATTCCATGAAAATAGAAACCTGCTGCCTGTTTCAATGCGTTTCCGTCATGGCCGAGGATCCAGAAAAAAACGCCGCACCGAAGGCGGAGCTGCATCTGATCGAAATCCAACGCCTTCCACCCATATAATCGCCATCCGTCACCCTTTTTAGTCGGCAGGATTTTCGTTCACTGCAACACTCGAATGTCAGCAATCGCACGTCTGGCACCCGAATATCAAGATGGTGTCAAAACACGATAGAGAACTGCTACGGGATAATATTCGCTCTCGGAGCTCCAAGTTGAGTGCCACGGATCGAGAGAACATTGTGAAGCCATATCTTCCAGACCCCTCTGAACTTCCACGCTGGCCACCCCAACGGCGCAAGAAGCTGCCGCGGAAAAAGCCAATTCGGACCTTTCTCAAGTCACAGTTACACCTGATAACGTATGCCTTTCTTCACATCTTCTTTGGTATCGCCGTGCGACTCGTGCAGAGCTACCATGCTGTGGTCGACAGAATCCTGGCTATCGTCTACTACCATCACCGGACGCCAGAGTTGATTCGCAAGGATGTCAAAGGATTAGACCGTTTGCCTGAACATCTGAGTGTTATATTATCGCTTCGAAAAGAAGACGATGCTCTACCAATCCTAATGGACGAAGTCGCAGAACTCGTGTCTTGGACTGCTAGTGCTGGTATCCCAGTACTAAGTGTATATGAAAAAACTGGTGAGTGCAGGTAATCAGATTGCGTCGAGTATGCTCATGACAACCCTGTTTAGGTGCCCTCAAATCCTGCATTCCCATACTACATCAAGCGATTACGAACAAACTCTCGTCTTACTTTGGCTCGTCTCAGCAGCCTACACTTCAACTTTTCGCACCTCATCACCCCATCTATCAACAGAAGAGCTCCCAAAACTCACTCGTCGTGCTTCTCTTGTCAGCAACAGATGGCCAGGAAACATTTGTTGACTTGACGAAAACTCTCGCTGAGATGGCCCAGAACGGAAAGCTATCGCCAGAGGACATTACCATGGAGTTGGTAGACGCAGAGATTAGCGAGATCACCACCCAGCCATCCCAAGATGTCGAGCGGCGCGATCAGCGCTTGCCATCAGTTAAGCCAGAGCCAGACCTTTTACTAGTCTTTGGGCCGTCTCTGAAACTTGACGGTTATCCACCGTGGCATATCCGCCTCACGGAGATGTACTACACAGGTGTGAATAGCGATGGAATGGCCGGTTGCAGCGATACAGTGGAGTATCAAGGCTTCCTCCGTGGTCTCTGGCACTTTGCCGGGGCGCAAATGAGGTTTGGGCGTTGAGGACCGAGTACTGAAGGGTGAGATCCAGAGAATCGTCTTCGAGGTACGTTTAGTGGTGGAAACACCACTAGTTTTTCGTGCTGTGTGCTTTCCCTAGAATACTCTGCTCGTAACAAGATCAGCATTCCTTTGCTGGATACGCATGGTCCACGCCTGAAGCACAGTGCATTGGTCACCACTCCTTGGTTCTGACTGAACATACGAGAGTCATTGTTGAGCTGTAGCAGAAGACTAAATACAATTATAATTATTTCACGACCAATTATCCGGCAGTATTATAGTTTAGTCTCAGGTATAGGATATGACTTCAACCGAGGTTGAAGCAGCACGACCTTTATTTCATACAGGCGAGACATCGCACCACCTCGATTCCGGTTTCAGTGAGTCCTTCCACTGCACAGCAGGAGCATACCCTCCGTGGCCGCCTATATTGTAACCCACTCGCCGTTATATCCAACTGTGCATTGTTTGATGTATTCTCAATCTGCCGTTCTTGAGCACCTGGGCCACAGCAATTGATGGCGTCGCACTGGCGCAGGCAAACAAAACAAGCACGTTCGCCGCACAGATCACAGTCAGCATACGCTTCAAGGAGCGCTCTGGTGGTCGGTCTTCGGTGGCATATGTGGCAGGGGTGTAGCAACGGCACGAATGCGCAATTGGTTTGTTGTGGGAACTTTGGCATTACTATGGTTTTGGGAGAGATGGGCGGCGATGAATCAGCGGAAGGGACGCATATTGTTGGAGATAAGGGTCTATTTTGGGTGGTATTGGCGTGCAAATGGTGAGACTGTTGTTGGCAGTACAAAGATGACTGCTGTAGCGCTCGTCTTTTGCGGGGCATACATTGTAGACGGGTATGCCGCGGCGGATCGGTATATGCCAAGTGATACGGAGTGTTGAGAGCATGTAGGTGGGACGGGATGATGTTGATGCTGATTGAGAGATTTCAAAGTCAGTACGAGTCAAACAAATTCAACAAATTCCAATATCAGAACAGTAGCGCCTTAGCACTCACTTGTTGAATACGTGAGGGAGTTCCGCCTGAGACAAGTCTCTCTTCCTTTTCTTTAAGCCCGAGGTTTGCAGGAGTATGTCATCCTGCTGAGGCCACATCGTTGGCTTTGTGAATAGGGAAGATTGATCCCGTGGCGTCGACTCAAATAGCGGCAAAGTCAGACAATGAAACGGGTCTAAGACGCAAACAAGTACTAAGATTTGCAGTTATGTACCAGTCAGCGGCCTGTATGATAAATGATTGGAAAGGTGGTATCTCAGATCTGAGCCTTCATTCGAGTTGGATACTTGACATCCTCAGGAGCAACTTGAAGTTATTGCGAAAGTGGTCTCGATGGACCCGCTCGCAGACTCCGATTGGCCAATTCTAACTCTTTAAGCTCTCGCTCCACCCGCCATAGAACTTAATGTCAGTCCCCTGGCTCACTTGGTCCCCTGGCTCGTCCCCAGCCCGCATTTGAATTTCGCACTCTCTCCGACTGCCATTTCCCCAATATCGCATCGCTTGGCATGGGCCAACGGCTACATGATCAGATACATTCAGGTAGAGCTTGACCACCGCCTGCGCCCTTCGAGTCCTAGCCGCCATGGACAATAACGTTTCCGAGCTAGTCGAGAGACTAGGGAGCGAGGAGGATGCGGTGCGCAAAATGGCCGTGTTCAAATTGCAGAGCAGCATCGGCGACCCTTCGTTCGCAGATATCTTTATCGCCGAAGATGGGCTCACCAGACTCCGCTATCTCACTCTCCATGCGAGTGGAAATACGTTGGCCTACAGTCTAACCAGCTTCGCCAGGCTATTGGAAGTTGACAAGGGGTGGGAATGTGTGGATCAAGAATTGGTTGAGAGAGTATGTTCTCTTCATCGATCCGGTTTTGTGCTGCTACTAAATTGTACCTTTTGGTATAGGTTGTTGAACTTATAGTCACACACCCCCTTGTCAACATCCTCAGGGGGGCCATGTCCATTCTCGTCTCTGTCGTGTCGCATCCTTACTCGGGCGGCCGTTTGTCGCAAAGTGGCTCTTTTGGATTCCGTGCCCTGAAACCTGCAATCGCTCTATACCCACAATTTCTGGAAATGCTTGTTAGTCGACTTTCTTCGGCGGACCACGCACTCTGTGCCAATGCCCTCCAATTGATCAATTCATTAATGCGTGACTCTATAACCAACGATACAGAGCTGGAATGGCCTAAATTCATCCAAAAGCTTCAGGATCTTGGGGTGATTAAGGCTGTCTACTCGTTGATGCAAGGCACCGCGTTACAAGACCACGCACATCCTCTGATAGAGTTTCAGTCTCTCACAAAAGTCCTCCTGCGCAAATGGCGCGATATCCCGTTAGATCTTGAAAAGCCAGAGCACCGGAGAGCCCTCAAAGGTATTCACCTAGCCAGCAGCACTCGGGAGAGGGAAGACAGCGACGTACGCCGATCAAGAAGACACAACCCGGATAAGTGGCGACGACTTGGATTCGAGACCGAGAGCCCTGTGATCCAATTCGAAGAAATGGGATTCCTGGGGATGATGGACTTGGCGGATTTTGTGCGAAACCATCAGGATGGATTTCAGAAAATGCTGCTGGAACAGTCGACGAAACCCGCACAACAGCGGTGCCCTATTGCCCGTGCTTCTCTGTCTGTCACTTCAATTCTATATGACCACTTTGAGGTTGACAAATCAGAGGTTGAAGACAGCAAGAGCTATCTACTACTGGAGTCTCGCTCTAATCTAGACAAAGTTTTCAAACCTCTTTTACTTCACTGGACTCGCTTGCATGTGGCAGGGTTGCACGCCTTCTTTCGGCTGTGGAAGTCGACCAGTGCAGAGGTCGAGGACTATGACAAGATTGTGGAGTTGGTTCGCATATTAATCGAGTCTGTCGTGGGTGGCGCTGCCCGAACAAAAGATGTGCAAGACGTGGAGGAAGAACTTGCCGATTTTGAGTACGGCCGCCTACGCAGCCTACAGATGGAGCTGCTAGAGCTTACGTATGAGGATGTCTGGGGACAACATTTGCGACAAGTACGTGAAGAGTTACAGCACGAGGCCCTTCAGTTTGTCAAGGAGCAGAGGATACGGTGCCTGCTGCAAGGTGCTTGGTTCCCAAATGATGGAAGCCCAAAAGTAGAAGGGAAGCAGGCAATATCAAAATGGAGATATGTTCAACTGTCCCACAATCGAAGGTTTCTCCATTTCGGAGATTTTGAGAGGATGGACGAGACCAAGCGTCCAGAGCTTGATGTGCTTGGAAAGAGTGAGCTCCCGTTCCCCAATTGGACTTCTCAATTAATTAACAATTCAGTCGATCTATCCACCGTTTCTTCCGTTGTCTCAAATGTTTCTGCCTCACCCGACAACTCATCTTCTTCCACGGTCAAGAGCATGTCGCAGCAACGTGTTTCGTCGACGAAAATCACCATCCATGGCTACGTTGCGGCTTCTAGCGAGGCGCAGAAGACTAACGGCCATTCTCGTTCCGGTAGTAGAGCTACCCAACGAGAGGCAACCCTTTTGACACTTCGCCCAGAGTCCCCCAGCATTGCTTCCGAGTGGCTCGATGGCCTGCTTATGCTTTTGAATCAGCAGCCAATCACCGCCGAGACTAGCAAGTTGATCAAGCTCATCAGTGACTATGGGCTGAAAATCCGACTGCTGAATGTTCGATTTGACGACGCGGTCTTTGCAGGTGAAGCTCCAGCCGTTCCCTCACGGGAGGGACTCACTGATGATTACTATTATGATATCTTTGGGGGTTCGTAGCAAACCCGCACTAATACTTGTATATGTACACTATTATACCACTTTGAAGGACGCTGTACCTTACATTCCCATATAATCACCGGCTTTTTGCTTGCCAATGGAGGATACGACATGTAGTGATAGTACATACTACCCTCGTCGTTCAAAGTGCAGTCGTAAGATCTGTCAATCTTGGTCGTGTATGACGAAACTTAGATACGAAGTGTAGGTATGAGGTAGGTTCGCAATACGGAGGAGTTGGCCGCTGGACTGATGATCCTAGTAGATCCACCCGCTGGGCGGAGACGGGGACTTCTAAATGTTCTTCCGCACAACCCAAACAAACGGTGCCACCTCTCATGCAAGACGATTATCAACCTCGACTGTCAAACATTTCAATATCACATGAACCATCCCGAGCGTCAATTGGTTGTCGAGCCTCAAGCTTGGACGATTCGAAACCGCAATGGCCTTCCAGCGAGGCATTGGCGACAAATAGCCCAAGACCAGCCGGCAAAGACATGGATGACAGCGAAGACTTGATCGAGGATGATTACGATTCGTATGACGAATTGTTTACCCAACACTTTACTAATGATGATATCTCGCTACTTGACGGCACGGGGGCGACGTCCATTGCGAGGAATACGCAAAGCCAGCAGATCCAAAAGCCCGTGAGCGCCACCAAACGCTTTCTTTTGCCGTCAAAGTCGTCTCCGCATCCTGGCTCCTCAGCCCCTCCCAAGCCGACCAAGGAGGATTTGCCCTGGGCACAGAGATATGCTCCGCTAGACTTAGAGGAGCTGGCAGTCCACAAACGCAAGGTGCGGGATGTAGAGCAGTGGCTGGACGATGCGCTTGCAGGACGGCCTCATAGGGTATGACAAAAATATCCATTATCAATTCTGTCTGACATATTTAGGGCATTCTCGTCCTCAAAGGACCATCGGGCAGTGGGAAAACAACTACCATAAAATTGTTGGCGGACAAGCTAAAGTACAACATATTAGAATGGAGAATCCCAGCAGTCTCCGAATATGCGACCAAAGGCTATGTTTCTCTGGGAGCCCAGTTTGATGACTTTTTAAACCGTGGCCATACTTTCGGTAGCCTTGATCTGGATGGTTTCGATGGCACCGAACCCTCCCAGAGTCCCAGAGGGCAGGAGTCTTCGCGGCGTATAATTCTCATTGAAGAATTCCCTACATTGACAGGTCGGAACGCCTCTGTTCTAGCCGCTTTCAGATTGTCCCTATTGCGACATATCTCTGATGCGCGACGGAATTCGAACAGGGAGATTGGGGTACCGCCTATCGTGATCGTCGTCTCCGAGACATTTTCCAATACAGATTTCTCATTTGATAGCCTCACAGTCCACCGGCTACTCGGACGGGAAATCTGCCATCATCCCAGCACGAGGATCATCGAGTTCAATAGCATTGCGCCGACTATCATGCACAAAGCTCTAGGGCTAGTTGTTAAGAAGAGCGCCCGCAACGCCAAGGCATTGGCGTCTACCTTGGAAAGTCTCTCCCAAACAGGGGATATCCGGAACGCAATCGCCTCCTTGGAATTTGTTCTAGGTAGTGGGAACCAAGGATCTCATCAAGGATTTCAAACAAAGACCTCAAGTCGAATGCACAGAAAGGCAAACACGTCTGTCAGTGACACACAAATCTCCCAAAGAGAAAGCAGCCTTGGTTTATTCCATGCAGTCGGGAAAATTGTGTACAACAAAAGAAGCCAGCGGCCTGATACCAAGCAGTCGCGGTTGCATCTCCTGGAACTTGACCGACCCGAGGTTTCTGAAGTCCATGTCAATAAACTGTTTGAGGAGACCGGAACGGACATTCAATCTTTCATCAGTGCCCTGCACGAGAACTATGTCCCATCCTGCAACGGCCCTTCGTTTACAGAGTCTTTGGACAACTGCATAGATGCGTTATCGGACAGCGACCTGCTTTGTACGGACCGCAAAGGTGTCAATAGGTCCCGGACTGGTTTCGGTGTCAGTTTTGTCAAACTTGGGTCAGGCGTTGACATCCTACGGCAGGAGGAGCTAAGTTATCAAGTGGCTGCTCGTGGCTTACTCTTCTCGCTTCCTTTTCCTGTAAGGCGGCATCAACAGGACTCAAAGGGGGCAAGCTTGCCGCACAAACTATCATTCCCCCCCGTTTATAGACTCCAACGTCATATGGAAGAGGCGCAAGCTGCTCTAGACCAGTGCATTGGCGCCTTGATGGCCTCGTCCGCCCGGCCTACGGTCTCGAGTCGCGCAGAGAGTAGTAGTTTTGATGACGACGCGACGGCAATGACCATGTCATCTCGCAACGACCTGTTGCTTTACCAACTACCATTCATGTCAATGATTTCTTGTGCCGGCGCATATCCAGAGGGCCTCGAAAGAATTACTACTTTTTCCACATTGAAGGATGGAAATGCAGGCCCAAGCTCTCAGAATGACGAACCTTCGGCTTGGGGGTCCCTTTCGAAGTCTAAACGTGATCCTCTGAGCTTGGGCGACGAGCAGCTTATTCTCAGCGATGACGAGATAGTAGACGATGGCCCATGATTTATAGATATCAATCTCTGTGCATTTTGTCTAAGCAGGCCAGAAACAGTAGAATACCTACCTAGGTACTAGGTACGCTATGGAGGCAAGCTTGTATAAAAACCGCGATTGATTGGTACAGCGCGCTTATATAATCTTAGATCAATGTAGTCACATGATAGCGTAATGCGCTCGGCATCAACAACGTGGAAGCAGCCGCAAGGACCAACTGGCTGGGTGACGAAATTCCCTTTTTTTCATGTTGACTATCCCACCCCATGCCAGAGCGTTGAGACAAAGAACGGTTCATTCGTCTGTTTAACCCTTTGTCGTGCGGTGAAACCGCAGCCTCCAATCGTCTCAAATTTTGATCTCCCGCCACGTCCTATATCTTGAAATCTCCAACGCGCCCAACACCCGAATCTTGACCATGGCGGCATTGGGGGAAGATCTGTTGGGTACCGTCAACAAGTTGCAAGACTTAGTCTTCAACACCATTGGGAATGACTCGCTCGATCTGCCGCAGATTGTAAGGATGCCGAAATCGATCACGATCCATCGCTAACCTTGCGACCAGGTAGTAGTTGGCTCCCAGTCTTCCGGGAAATCGTCTGTCCTTGAGAACATAGTCGGGAGGGATTTTCTACCCAGGGGCAGCGGGATTGTGACCCGAAGGCCATTGATCTTGCAACTTATCAACATCCCTAGTGAGCGGCACGACAGGCCCGAGAGCGACGAGGTTCACATCCCGCATACAGCTGCTAGCGTCGCAGGACAACATGAATGGGCAGAGTTCCATCACCTTCCAGGGCGCAAATTTGACGACTTTGCGCTCGTCAAGCAAGAAATTGAGGCTGAGACGGCCAGGATAGCTGGCAGCAACAAAGGCATCAACCGACAGCCGATCAACCTGAAGATTTTCTCACCGCACGTGCTCAACCTCACCATGGTCGATCTACCGGGTCTCACCAAAGTACCAATTGGGGATCAGCCGTCCGATATCGAAAAGCAAACTCGCGCGCTGATCCTAGAATACATCGCGAAGCCGAACAGTATCATCCTCGCCGTTTCACCGGCGAACGTTGATCTGGTCAACTCTGAAGCCCTCAAACTTGCTCGCCAGGTGGACCCTATGGGTCGAAGGACAATTGGTGTCCTGACAAAACTGGATCTCATGGATCACGGAACCAATGCCATGGACATCTTATCTGGCCGCGTATACCCGCTAAAGCTCGGTTTCATTGGCGTGGTCAACAGATCGCAACAAGACATCCAGTCTGGTAAGTCCTTGTCGGATGCGCTACAGGCCGAACTTGACTTCTTTCGACACCACCCGGCCTATCGGAACATGGCGAATCGATGTGGTACGCAGTTTCTTGCCAAAACGCTCAACACGACGTTAATGTCCCACATAAGGGATCGTCTACCGGATATCAAGGCTCGTCTCAACACACTCATGGGTCAAACACAGCAGGAACTCGCTAGTTATGGCAACAAGCAGTTCAGTGGGAAAGAACACAGAGGATCCCTTATCTTACAACTTATGACGCGATTCGCCTCTTCGTTTATATCTTCTATTGATGGAACTTCGTCGGAAATCTCTACCAAAGAGTTGTGTGGAGGAGCTAGGATATACTATATATTCAACTCTGTCTTTGGCAACTCTCTCGAGACCGTTGACCCGACCCAGAACCTTTCAGTGTCGGATATCAGGACAGCTATTCGAAACTCAACTGGGCCACGCCCAAGCCTTTTCGTTCCCGAACTTGCTTTTGATCTTCTCGTCAAACCTCAGATAAAGCTGCTTGAACCTCCCAGCCAAAGATGTGTCGAACTTGTGTATGAAGAACTCATCAAAATATGCCACACTTGCGGCTCGCAGGAACTTTTGCGGTTTCCACGTCTCCAGGCAAAACTCATCGAAGTTGTCTCTGATCTGCTCCGCGAGAGGTTGGGCCCTTGTTCTACCTATGTGGAATCATTGATTTCTATCCAAAGGGCTTATATTAACACAAATCACCCGAATTTCCTTGGTGCAGCAGCGGCAATGTCGTCCATCATCCAAAGCAAACAGGAGCAAGAACGAAAGACCGCCCTAGCGGAGGACCGGCGCAAGCGAGAGAAGAGGCGGTTGAGAGATATCCCCAATGTCAACACCTACGCGGAAGATGAGGAGGATCATTCGGAGGCCAAACTCCCCATCAGAACGCAATCTAGCAAAGGGGGTGCTAGGAGTATGTCTCCCAACGTTGCCAAGGCTCAGGAGAGTGGGATTGCCGCAACCCTGAATGGCGCACACACGAATCATCACACTGCCTTTGGGGGTGGTGCAAATACCGCGCGAGATTCGTTCTTGAACTACTTTTTTGGCAAAGATGGTGTCCAGCCATCGGCATCGGCCTCGGCGACCCTGGCGCAGGGACAGTCAGTTCAAGTCAGGCAGCCGGCCCATGAGGTCAATGTTAGCCGCCGCACGGAGGTTCTTTCCCCAGTATCAAATTCAGAGGAATACTCGGCGGTCTCTGATTATAATGATGTGAACTCTCTGGTAAGTCTAGTCCTCAATCATGATACCCGGCATTAACCCTTGTTCCCATAGTTGAAAGATGATTCCGAGCCAGCCATTTCTGATCGAGAGCTCATGGAAACGGAATTGATCCGTCGGTTGATCTCGTCATATTTTGCCATTGTTAGAGAGACGATCGCCGACCAGGTTCCTAAAGCAATCATGCACCTTCTCGTCAACCACAGTAAAGAAGTTGTGCAGAATCGGCTTGTTAGTGAGCTCTACAAGGAAGAGTTTTTCGCAGAGCTGCTCTACGAGGACGATGGCATCAAAGCCGAGAGAGAAAAGTGCGAAAGGTTGCTGGAGACCTACAAGGCAGCGGCCAAGATTGTAGGTGAGGTTCTGTAGGCTTCTTTGACCTGCTTGTCCTTCCTGGCATCCTGGCCTTTTTGCCCATCGCATTCTATCAGGTCTTGCAACCTTGTAGTTCTAGTTTTATTCCTCGGGGTTGGGTATATCTCCGATGTATGTCGATACGAACAGCAGCCCGCCATCAACCTTATTATGTACACTAGAAAATAAACTACATATATAAACAATGGCAGATCTAGTGAGTCATGTAAAAGTAGACATGGTAAGAATCAAACATCCTAGCATTAGGGATGAAGAAAAACCCAATAAGCTCTGGTTAATCCCTCTTGACTGGCGTTCTTCGTAACCGCGCGCCTTCAAAGCCGTATATGGCTCCGCCCACAAAGACAAGTACAGCACCTGCGAGAACACCATGTGACAAAGAGTTCCCGAAGAGACGTATGGATAACAGAAGGGAAACAAGTTTTCTGATATTCAATACGATTGTAACAGTCAAGGATGACGACTTGGCGGAAAGAAGGTGCACCCCACGAATGCACCAATATTGAGTCAGGGCATTTAGCAGAAGATAAAACACTTGGACTGGAATACCAGTTACGATAGGCCGAAGTCGATCGTGATCGTGCAGGGCGTCGAGTATATGGAGGACGGGTTGGATTAGAGTATGTTGCAAGGATGTCCCACACGACTCCCCTACAACAGCTGTGTGGTCGCAGGAGAGTTGATCTAATCCCACGCGACCGGCCAGAGCTTTGCTATGGGAAAATAAGGACGGTGAGGAGTTCAACGCGCGCCACTGGCCCCAGATCTGTGGGAACGTTGGGAGAAAGAGTGGCAGTGACAGCATATGGGAGTAGAAGAGGGCCTCTTTCCAGTGATTCCTCCCATATGTTTCATACAATCGATCCGCGTATATTCCCTGAAAGGCAGAGAGTATCATTGCCAGGGCAAGGATAGCGAATCCAGTAACAGTTCGGGATATGGTAGAGTCCTTGTCGATTCCAATCTGGATCGACTGACCCTTGGCCTGCGCATCTGCCAGTGCCGAAGTGACGACTCCAAAGGTGAGCAAAGTTACTGCCAGGATCTGGCCCCGTGAGTATCTTTTCCCCGAGTAAATATAGCCAACGACCATTGAGGCGACGGGGCCTCCAGACCGCAAAATTATATGCAGAGGCACCGAGATTCGGTACGCAAATGCCCAGTTGTTCAGCAGGTTGACCGATATAAAAAATGCCGTATAAACAAACCATGATCTCAGTGGAATGCAGCGCTTGTTGACAAAAAAAGACCCAAAACCCGCGGACAGGGAAAGAAAGTTCGGTAACATAAAGAGCGCAGTTAAAATGAACTGGGCAAATGTTATCAATGGCCCTTGTAAATGATTTCGTCAGAACAGCACAGTACAGGAGTAGAATCAGATGAGTACCTGCACTTGGTCGATCCCTACAAAATGAGAAATAAGTACATATATCACTTTGGTTGTCCTGGGCGTCTACTTGAACTTACTTGATTATAGCCTCGAGTGCGAAAACCTTGTATTAAAAATCAGTGACACAGCTCGCCGCAAAGTGACCATCTATCCACCCACGTTCGCACAGCATCCTCCAAAAATCAACGATATCATCAGAAACACATTCGTCCAATGCCCAAGCGTAGCCTGGACTGCCGTGGCTGCAATGCTTGCAATACTGTGGACACAGCTATCCGATGACTCCTTTCGTCCATTCATTTCTGCCGTGGTGGCTTTCGGTTTTCGTAAAGGCGACGGCGCAGTTGACCTGGACAAATCCGAGTGCGACTCTAGCTTAGCGCCATGGTTTGCTGGGTTGCCCTTTGACTGAATGCCCGTCATAGTGGAGGGCAACAAGTATTGACTGCTCGCAGGCGGAGAGGACGAGCAGTAAAGACCAGAGAGGTAGTACTCCGTAGTACTCGGTAGAAGTTGAGACCTGTCGGATGATTAGTCATGTTACAGCCAACTAACTAAGGTAACTAGCTGGCTAAATACCCTAACTGAGCGCGGCAGGTGAAGGTTCCGAGTTACCGTAAGAACTAGTTAACTTATAGACTGCTAGGTTTCGAGAACGGAATGCGCGGGACCATGATTACAGAGAAGCAGCTTCAGACGTCAAGTAAATATGTGCCTGACTGGACATTTAATATGCAAGAAAGAGTAACTTATGTTGCTTGCTGTACAGAAATGGACTCAGTCGCAAAGGACCTTCACTGCCTGCATGCCTGGCTTCTACAGCAGATCGAGCGCAAAACTCTGTGGAATGATGACTCCTAATTGTTGAGCTGTACATAGTTTGCTGGGAACAGCCCTGTCTTGCCACGATATTCACCAAACCACCAATCATCGTCCGGAAATTCCTAGTGTAGAAAGAGCAGTGAGTGGCTGGATGAAAAAAAAAAAAAAAAAAAAAAAAAAAAAAAGGAGACGCGTCGTATAAAGCTCAGATATCTCGGGACTTACAATGTTCTTGATCTCGGCACCATCGGGGAAGCTGAGTTCATTGTCCTCGGCGGCTTCATAATCATAAAGAGCTTTGGCGGTGGGCTTGTTACGGGATTCGGCAGGCGAGGCAGACTCGGAAACTGGCTCCGGAACAGGCTCGGGCGCAACGGCGGTGGCTGCATGTGTCTGGGTATCAGGTTCGGCATGGCTTTGCTCGTCATCTTCGACAATCTCGACATAGTTACTCGGGAAGAGGCCCCTCTCCCCGCGCGCATTGACACCTAACCACCAATCTTTGTCCACCATGTCGATTTCTGTCACGTATTCCCCTTCCCTCAAATCTACCTCATTATCCTCCGCCTTTTCATAATCATACTGCACGAGGGCTCGTAACTTGCCAGACTCGGAAACATCATCATGCGTGGTGGCTTCAGCAGATATATCAGCGGCATGATGGATGTCGTCATCTTGGTGTAAGCCCTGCTGAGGGCTCTGGAGATGTTCTGGAGCAGGATCTGGGATCTGATCTTCTTCAGTATCCGCAGCTCCCTTACCAACCGGCATAGCAACTCGAATGGGTGAACTCTCACGCTCCAAGATTTCCGGCGTTGGGGATCTGGGGGGCTGGGGTGGGGGAGGGCTAGGGCTGCGCGGGCGGTGTTCCTCTTGCTCACGGGTCGCTTCAAACGCCGCTGCTGCATTTGCTGCCCCGTCGGAAGAAGGCAAAGGCTTGACCGCATAGGCAAAGCTTGGAGCGTCATTCGGTGGCCCTTGCGTAAGCTGGTCGCGAATGGCGGCAACGCCTTGTTGCGAAACCGGAGGTTCAGGAGATGGCTCTTCAGCCGTGGCAAGTCCTGTGGGCTCGTTGGAAGCGCTCCGAGCCGATTTTCCAGTATGTGTGGTCTGGACAGGTGCCCAAGTCTTTCCACTATAGGAACTTTTCCATTCCCCTCCGCCACTATTCTGGCTCTGGATAGCGGCTGGTAAGTCATTCGAAGGAGTTACAACAGCAGCAGGCTCATGGCCCCGCTCCCTAGCCTTCTTTTCGGCCCAGAGTTGTGCGGGTGTCTTGCCTCCTTGGTCAGCAAACGTTCGACTGGCGCTACCAATTGGAGCTGGTGGTGCGGCCTTTGGCGTGCTACCAACAGGGACGGGGGGCTTTGTCCCTATAAACGCGGAACCACCACCAAATCTATTTGAGACTTTGGGTTTGGGCAGTGTAGTCAGTCGGCCCGTTTCATCAGAAGCAGGTTCTGCAGAAGCATTTTCAGATGGGGTATGGCCACTCTTTGGGGGTGCGGGAACAGTGTCCGACTTTTGAGCTTTCGCGCGGATTGCAGCAATGTCGACCTTCCCCACTGGCTCATATGCTCCTTTCACCGTTTCCGGTCTCTCTTCTTTGAAGTCACCCGCTTCGCGGGCTTGTCTCCGAATGGCAGCAATATCCACCTTTCCAATAGGTTGATATCCACCTTTCACCACGTCACCTGCCTGGATTCTCGTGGTTTCGAGGCCACGGGACGGCTCGGTTTGCTTTCCCGACTTGAGTTCTTGTATATTGACCTTGGTCGGTTGATAGGCTGACTGGACCTTTTCTAGATTCGTCCTCGTTACGGGTGGCGCATCAGCGCCCCAGCCGTCATCATCGTTTGACTTGATGCGGACTGGAAGCGGCTTCGCAGCGACTGCGCTCGTCGCGTTAATTCCGCCAGTCCGAAGAGGGGTAAACACGGGTTTGCTGGAAACAGGAGGTTTGGGGCCGGGATCAGGAGTTCGGTCAGGCGCCGGAGTGTATTTGGCGCCGGACGCATCGCTGACTTTCTGCACGATACCCTCGACCGTCAAATCTGCATCCGAACGAGCCGTGATCTGGACGTGATAGCCCTAATGAATTGACGTCAGACCACGTTTCAAGGCCCCCTTCAATAAACGGGTAACTAACATGTAAGAATTTGGAGACTGCCGAGAGGTGGCTAGTGAAATACCCCTTTGTCCGCTCAGGAACTCCTTCTCCACACCAGGCAATAAGGACGCTCTTCGGCAGCCCCGTATTGATATCGGTCACCTTGACAAAAGCAAACTGGATTTTCCCTTCCGAAAACTCTTCAATGAGATCGGCCAATTCGCCCTCTTGGGAGACGAGTTAGCACACTCCGGCGGTGTATTTTGGGGGTACAAAGAGCCTACCTCCGCTGTCCTGAACCTTGAGGACGCTTTCTTTACTACCAGCATCTTGCTGAAAAGAGCTCACCAGGGGGGTGGTAACGGAGAAGATGGCCCATTTGGCAAAGGTCGGAGAGCCCCGTGCGGACTCTGAAACAGGGTAGTCGACTACAGACTGGTAGCTCTTCGATATCGAGGGACCGTTGGCCGACAGGTTAAGTGACGCCATATTGACAGGCCAAGCGGAGCGTGTAGGATTGGACTTTAGGAAGTTTTCAGGGGCAATCAATGACTGTGTAGCAAAGAAAACAAAATGTCAGCTACCGCCGGCTTGGGAAAGATATAGCATACCCAAACAACAGCCAGAACCAGGGAATGAGTTGATGGTCCCCCACCTTCCGCTTGTTTGGGCAACGAGAGCAAGGCGAATCAAGTGGCCTTTATTTAGGGCCAATTGTCAGCGTATATTTGACGCTTGAAATGAGAATGTAGAGTCAACAACTTAGACTCGGCGTAGGACTATTATCGTGTGTTTGTTCTCAGTTGTTGCCTAGCAGGAAGACGATCCGAGTCGTTGCTTGGTTCGGCCAGTACGTCACACTAGTACGCGGAACCCGGAGAAACCAATTGTCGCCCGACAATCCTTTTGATACGAGCTCCAAGCCCCAACGACCGACTCCGTACTATGTACTCCTACTCCGTCGTACTACTAGTACTGGGATAGTACTAGTGCAAATGCCGAGAATCCCATTCCCTGGCTTTCATGTTCCTCTGAGAAGCAGGGTGCATTATGTACATCGTAATAGTAGTAGTCCGAAATCCATTTGTAACATGTACCGAAGTGTATGGACACTTTTAGTTAATACCAGATTGTGTTGTCAGGGGCACACAATCACATGACAACTAACCAACTACTTTTTCTGAATTGTTCCGCAAACCTCGTGGTATAATCTCACATTTTCCATCCATTTATCGTCGTCCGCCAATATTCGAGGCTCTACACTCTATATTCATCCTTCGGCTAGAGGTCGTAAGTCATACGCCTACGGGTCAGATTTCATCCCCGTCCCGATCGAGCAGTTTCTTACACACGGGGAGGGCTCTTTTTTGACCGCATCGCCTCGTAGAGACAAATCTGAACGAGAGGTCATCATTATGGACGAGAATCAACCTAATGACCACAGACTCGATGAAGGGACAAAAGACATCCTGCCTAGGGACAGGCAGTTAAGGACTCCGACGTACGACTATGCTTACGAAAAGTCCATGAGTCATGCAGAAGCGAAACTTTTCTATCAGCAGCAGTCCAATGTCCCAACGACTAATCATCAAGCTCCTGGCATGAACCCAGTGCATTTTCCGGTTTCCGACGGCTATGAACATGATGCATCGGCTGAAGAGGCGCAATATGGTGGTGACATGTTGGGGGCTGCCCGTGCCATGATGAACATGGGCTCCGATAGCAATGCAGTTACATCCGAGTTGAATGCCATTTGTCGCAAGATACGGGGCTTGTTGGATCTCCGAACCAAATACATTCGGCTATCCCTCCAGACCCTCGGAGACAACCCAAATAATCGCCCAGACTGGAAGGTCTACCCACCTCCACCTGAGCCAGCTTGGGGCGAGGACAGAGAGACCGCCAAACTCAATGATCACTCCCAACCGGAACAAAGAAGAAGAAAGATGGGCGAAAACATTGGTGAAGATTTTGACCTGGCTGACTGCATGCCACTTCCGGGACAATCTGACTGGGTGTTCAAGCTAGATGAGAGTAGCGTTTACCAGGTTTACGAAAATGAAGTTGCTGCAAACTTGGGTCAGCCTGCTGTTAAGATCCCTTCTTTGAGGGATTTTTACATGGACCTAGATGCAGTGATCGATGTTTCGACGGATGGGCCCGCAAAGAGCTTCTCCTTTAAGCGACTCTCCTATCTAGAAGGGAAATTTCAGCTCTACTCACTATTGAATGAGTATCAGGAGATAGCAGATAGCAAGAAAGTTCCCCACAGGGATTTCTATAACGTTCGAAAAGTTGACACCCACGTCCATCATTCAGCGTGCATGAACCAGAAGCATCTCCTTCGTTTTATCAAAAGCAAAATGAAGAAGTCCCCAGATGAGGTTGTTCTCTTCAGGGACGGTAAACACCTAACGTTGAAGGAGGTCTTTGAGAGTATCAATCTTACAGCTTACGACCTAAGCATCGACACTCTGGATATGCACGTAAGTTCTGCCAAGCTCTGCTGCTTCCTGCCTATGTACATTCGCCACTGATAGACTCACAGGCACATACGGATTCTTTCCATCGCTTCGACAAGTTCAATTTGAAGTACAACCCTGTTGGGGAATCCCGACTCCGCGAAATCTTCTTGAAGACGGATAACTACATCAAGGGCCGATACCTGGCAGAGATTACAAAAGAAGTCATTTCTGACCTGGAGTCCAGCAAATATCAGATGGTTGAGTGGCGCATTTCGATCTACGGAAGGTCGATCCAAGAATGGGACAAGCTCGCTGCTTGGGTAGTCGACAACAAACTATTTTCGCCCAATGTCCGCTGGCTAATCCAGGTGCCTCGACTCTATGATGTTTACAAGTCGAGCGGCATGATGCAGAACTTTGAACAGGTGATCACTAATGTGTTCCAGCCGCTTTTTGAAGTGACAAAGGATCCAAGCAGCCACCCGAAACTCCATATCTTCTTGCAACGTGTGGTTGGGTTCGACAGCGTTGATGATGAGAGCAAGGCTGAGCGTCGCCTGTATAGGAAGTATCCAATTCCTCGAGAGTGGAATACGAAGCAGAACCCGCCCTACACGTATTGGATCTACTTCATGTTCGCTAACATGGCTTCCCTCAACTGTTGGCGACAGCGGCGGGGCATGAATACTTTCGTCCTGAGACCTCACTGCGGCGAGGCGGGTGATCCTGACCATCTTGCCGTAGGATTCCTTTGCTGCCACAGTATCAGCCACGGGATCTTGCTTCGAAAAGTCCCATTGCTACAATATCTGTTCTATCTTGAGCAAATTGGCATTGCAATGTCACCTCTCAGCAACAATGCCTTATTCTTGACCTACGACAAGAATCCATGCGCCCATTTCTTCAGAAAAGGGCTTAATGTGTCTTTATCCACCGATGATCCGCTGCAATTCGCCTTCACAAAAGAACCACTGATTGAAGAATATTCTGTTGCAGCACAGATCTACAAGTTCAGTGCTGTAGACATGTGTGAGCTTGCCAAGCACTCTGTCGAACAATGTGGCTTTGAACTCTCATTGAAGGAAAGATGGCTGGGATCGGACTGCTCCTTGGCCGGAGTTGCAGGTAATAATGTTGCAAAAAGCAATGTTCCGGACATTCGCGAAGCCTTTCGGCATGAAACACTAGTCGGAGAATTAGCCTTGTACGTCTGCGGTTTCCTCACTCTTTGGCTCACCTTTCCCTGAAATTCGAGTTGTATACAAAGCACTGCCTACAAAAGTGTGGAAAGGGTCTGGCAAACATCGCTAACAGCATCAGAATCGAACGCTACTCCACGCACAATTCCGAACAGCTTAACGGACTATCCTCTGTAGGTAGCCATAATCCGCCTTGTCTTTCCTCTCCGGAAACCAGGACTTGTAAGTCTGGAGTACCATGTCGTCTGCTATTATACTCAGCACTCATTCGATCTGCAGGTCCACGCGAGAACGCGAATCAGTCAACCGCTGACACGAGACAGTCAGCTACTGGTACCCCAAACTCCGCATCGCCATATAACCTCGTGGGCCGAGGCGAAGCTGGTGGCTCAGATAGTCTGGGGCCGCAAACGGCATCCGTTGAGACAGTTATATCAGTATGCGACAGTGCATCCAATACACTCTCTGCTTCAGGGCCAGACGGGCTGCCAGAACAGAAGATATTTCCTGGTATTGTTCACGAGAGAGCCCAGCGTGGAAATGTCTTGGAGCAACCGATTGGAGAGGAACAGATGGGGGATATCTGACGTGGTTACCGAACACTTTCAAGGTACATCACATCGACACGGTCAGAGTTTATATGATTGGTAGTCACTTCTGGATTCGGCACTTATATATGACTGTCATATGTTGGAAGACAATTCACATCTAATTACATTGGATATACTACGTATGCCCTTCTTTCACAGGGCGAGCAGCCGCCTGATGTGTATGCGTGGCGCTCACACTGCCCAGCTCCCCTTACGCTCGCGTACACCCCATGTTTCATGGTATGGGTCTGCTTCAGACATTTGAGGTTGCTGGCGCGCCCATTCCCGGATGTAAAGGCGAAGCGCCGTCCATCGCATACATGCCCCATTAGCGGAACCTTTTTTCGGGGAATCATGCACAGCGACATGGCCTTTGGCGTCGGTGTTCAAATCATCGGCTCTGAGTGCTGCCACTGGGACACCTGAAACTTTACTGAGTTCATAGTCATAGTAGCGCGCAACGCTAGGGTACCCCAACGACAAGTAATTGTAGATCTGCGTAACAAATCCGTCGTTGAATTCCTGATTGGTCTCATCGCTGGGCTCGTTGAGATTGTGGACTGCGGGGCGTGAGACTTGCTGGCCTACAGGGACCCCAGTCATAGGCGTTTCATCACTGGTGCCCTTCCGCGTAGCTGGTTCGGCGCCATATCTCGGGGTGACGAGGCCGGGTATCAAGGCTTCATTGCCATATGTACTCTGCCTGCCCACTTTACAGGTTCCGTTCCAGAGGCCATTGCATTCTTCCTGTGCGGGGACGTGTGGATTTGCATTCCAGAGTCCGGAAAATGCCGAAAATATATGCTGAATGTCATTAGAACTATGCGTCCGGGAGTCTTCGGATATAGTGGTCGCTGGTGTCAGACTCTGCGGGAAAACAAGATCTCGTCCCAGCATCGGTGGGCTGGCAGCCTGCCTGAGCTGGGCCAATGGACGATCCTTCTCCCGCGCCTCCTCCGGCTGACCACGAGCTACAGCTCTATCAACTCCTTTCGAGGATCGACGATTCAGTTGAGAGAGGCGCCCTCCTCGTGTGGTAAAGTAATGACGTCTATTCATCCCCGCTTCTTCCTTATGCCTCCGCAGGTATTCCAGTTCGAATTGTAGATCTGCAGATGACGTCCGTCTGTTTATCCTGTGTTGAAGCCCGGGGTCACGTAGATGGCATTCCGCGTCGTAGGGAGGCTCTTCTTCCTCCCTATCGATAGCGAAGTGGTCTACTGGCTGGTAAACTTGTTCGTTGGGAAAGGCCGCCAAAGCTTGCTCTTTTAATTGAGTCTCCGACGGCTGGAGTGAAAAGGGGAGTAAATACTGTAGGAACTGCTCCTCCAGGCCATCTCCTGATTGTTTTACAGTATCAGGGGGGATTGCTGCTCGTCTGCCAGGGGGGGCCGATGGTGACCGAGGCAATGAGGGCGATACCGAGTCTTTGGATTCCTCACTGCAGCTGGAAGGGATAGCAGGTAAGTCTGGGACGCGAAATGAGTGCCTTCTTGCCTCATGGCGACGCAGGAGGCTGGAGTATGAGAATCGAGACTCCTGCGTTGCTGCAGCCGATTCAATTGGTTTGGTGTCAACGACTATGTCCATGTCATTGGAGCTTCGTGATTCTAGCCGTGATAAACTATCCGGTTGGGATGATTGCTTCTTCCCTGGCCGCACAGAGTGCCTAGCGGTTTCCATCAACTGCGGGGCGAACTTCCTTGGACCCCGTTGCTTTCTGTCGGAATTCAACGCTCCAATTTGCAATGTATGGTCTGCGCCATTTGTCTCGTTCGAAAGTGATTCGGGGGTGGCATGTATTTGAGTTGTGTGTAGGCGCTCAGTGGATAGGCCGCTGTCCTTCTTTTTGGAACTGCGGGAGGATATCTCAATAGGTTCAGGTAGGAACTTCCGCGGTTTTCTAGGTGTTGAGTCTGCGGGCCGAGACATGTCCTCTGCTTGCCTACAAGATCCAAGCCCCTATACCTGCGTAGACTATGATTGTCAGCAGGTCTCTAAAAACGGTCGGATCGCGGGCATGATATCCTCGCCATCTTTGAACGCATTGTCCGGGAGCCCCATGCCCGGCGGAGGAGGGTCTGCGAAGCAGGAAGCGCCAGATGGTTTGTTGACCTGAGTGCACTACGCATACCATGGCAATCACAGTTCCAAGGGGATGATTCAGCATACCTTCAAGAGGTAAGAAACTATGGCTCAAGTGCCACAATCGTCCAACTCATAACCTACTTTACCTCTAATTCCGTGATCTGCTGATGCTCCGAAGGGTATCCTGTCGCCAGTGTTTCGATAACACCGATTTCTATGTAGCAGAGAGAATTGATGAGTGTTCCTGACCGAGTTATGGAAGGTGGGAAATAAGGATATTAAACGTGAGCAATCCCATCCACGTCATGGTTGTGGCGTTATCTGCTTGCATTAGAGCTACACCGTACACCTGGGCATGCGAGGAGTAATGGTGTCTCCGGTGTCCCAGTTGTGAGGGTGGGGCAGATCCTATGCGATTAGGGAAGCTCACCTAATTCCTTATCCTGCTTATTGTAAGATATTAGTCTGATACCAAATTTATGATTGGTCAGTATTGTATGCTTGTGTTAGACCCCGTAACGGAATTACCCACCCCAATTAATCTGCCCAGCCTTTTCACTATATAAATGTCAGAGAGCCGCGCTAAGAGATGGGAGGTTGTTAGCCAATGGATCTGTGCTGATAGATAGTGGTATGATGTGCTATTATGTTAATAAGCTAGGCTAGTAGATGTTCTAGTTAGGCTAGCTAGGAATAAGATACTAGGATAAAATAGGACTATAATTATAGCTATTAGGATCATGAACTATAAAGGCTATAATAGATATAATAGATACTTAGTATTTAAGGATACTTATTAATACTTATAATTAGTTTTAGTTATTATTTATTATTTTTAGAATTAAAGCTATTTTATTTTTTAAAACCTAGTTTATCTTTTTAATTTATTAAGTAGTTCTTTTTATATTATTATAAAAATATTTTAAGCCCTTCTAGGTCTTAAGTAGAATTAATTAAACTTATCTAATAATAATAAACCCTTATTTTAATTAAGAAGAGAATATATCTACTATTATTATAAATAATAATAAAGGTAAAGTAGTATAGTTTACTTTAGGCTTTAAAAAAAACTCTTAACCCCTACTTTTATTAATATAGAGAAGATTATTTAGCTTAAATAAGCTATTAATTATTTACTTATAAAAACCTATTAGCTTAAAATATTTAAAGGGATTAAAATAAATAAAATTAAAATATTTAAAGATAAGTATTTAACTCTTAAAAATTATCTAACCTTTATAAATGTCAGATAAGTCCAACCTATCCTGCTTAAGGCCTGGAAGGGCTTAAGGTATTCTTATATTAATGTGAGAAGACTACTTCTTAACGAACTAAGAAGGTAAACTGGGTTTCTGAAAGGTAGGGTAGCTTTAATTCTAAAAGTAATAGATAGTAGCTAGAACTAATTACATATAATAATAAGTATCCTTAAATACTAAGCTTCTATTAGACTCAGGGTCTGATTAGGTTAGATTACTAGTCCACCAAGGGTCATTACATAGGGTTAGCATTAGATCCATGATCTAATCATAGTCTTAAACTAGTCTAGCATTAGACTCTTAGTCTATTTAGTTAGAACATCCTAGATTCTGGTTCCTGACGTGATATCTTATTAATAACGTGATATCCTATTATCCTATAATCTTACTAGGTAGATCTATTAGTTGATATTATTCTATCTCTTAGCACGGCTCTCTAATAATCCCCCTCTTTTAAGGTCTTTGTTCTAAAGATATAAGTAGCGTAGTATTCTTAGGTAAGTTAAGTTCCTAATACCTAATCTTCTTTTTCTCTATACTCGTCAGGCACTAACTTCCTTCATAATAGTAGATTCCTCTAGGATAAAGAAAACCCTCTAAAAGTAGATTATTAAGGATGGTTTTATAATGGTGTTCTCTTACACGTGATGTGCTTGTCTTAAGAAAACTTATATTAAATCTAATCTATCTAGTTATTATAGTAAGTGTGTTCATGCGAAGAGTTATAAATATATTAATTTAAATTTAATATTTACTAATAATAAGTGGCGTAAGCTAGTCACAGCTTAAAATAAAATTAAGGAAGATAAGGAGTAGTTACTTAATAAATTAATTTATCTTTAAAAGTAAAAGTAATTGCTAAAATAGCATGCTAGTAACTTTATTACTTATGATTATAAAGAGATTATAGATCTTAAGAGGCTTGAGGAGGAGGAGTAGAAATAAAAGGAAATCTTAGAAGTAGAAAAGAGTTAGTTAGTTACTATATTAAATAGTGAAAGTTCCTTATAGGTAGCCTTTAATATAGAAGCTACTAAGGCCTTTATATTACCTTCTTTATTAGACCCTTTCTTTAACTATCTCCATGCTAAAATTCCTAAATCTTATTAGGATAGTTTAAATACTTAATAGGTTCTTATAAATTATTCTCTAGTATATAACCTTTCTATCTAATAAGGTACTAAACCTAACCTTTTATTATATATTAGTCTAGGATCTTTTTAACTTTAAACTCCTTATTAATATTAGTTGCTTTATCTTTAGTGTTTTCTAGATTTAGTATTAGTTTAAGTAATAAGATATAGAATACTAGGTAAACTTATATTCTTACTAGTAGTATTAAGTAATAATTATTATTTATAAGTTTCTTTTTAATTTTAAATAGTCTATATTTTATAGTATTAAGTTTATTACTTAGTTATTTACTCTTAATATTAAAATCTTTCCTTCTAATTATTTATTATAATAGGTAAACTCTCTCTCTCTTCTTTAAGTAAGGCGTGTTCCCACGCTTTAAATTATAATAGTATTTTATTTTTTCTTTAGCCTACCTAATATCTTTTGTAATTAAGTTATATAATATACTTAAGTACTAAACCTATATTAGTACTACTAGTGGTCTTTTATCTAATAGTAAGATTATCTATAATATTCTTAGATTTCTTCCTAGATTTGTGAAATGAGGTGTGTAATTTATAGTTATATTTCTTATATTATTAATTATAAACTATACTATAGGTAAAAGTTTAACCTAATTATCTTAATTCTAATTAAGGTAGTATTATAGATATTATTTAACTAACTAAATTATCCTTTCTAATTATCTATTAGTTTACTAGTAGTGCGTAGTAGATATATCTTAACTTATTCTACTAGTATCTATAATTATTTTCTAAAACTTTAATGTAAATAACTTGTCTCTATTAGATATAAAATATTTTAGTAGTCCTATCTAAATAAATACTTCTTATAATATTAGTAGCGCTAGCTACTTAGTAGTAAGGTTTACTAGTATTAGTCTAATAATTATATATTTTATTATTTTATATATAATAATAATTATATTAGTATAGGTAATTCCTGTAATTAAATCCCTTGATGGTAGTAATCTTATAATAAAATTAATAGTAATACTTTCCTATAGTTTTATTAGTATCTTAGGTATCCTTATCTTTCTAAATAGTTAGTATTAAGATGGCTTATTCCTATTATATTTATTATATTATATAATATAGTTCTAAACCTATTAGTATATTTATAGAAAGTAGTATACTTATTAGATTTTCTCTATTATCCTATTAATCCCTTAGTATCTTTTAGTTAGTAGGTTATAATACACTTTAATTACTTCTTCTACTATTAAATCTAGTACTATAATTAATTTATTCTAAAGTAAAATCCTATTACTTTCTTCCTTATATATAGCTCTAAAGTTCTATCTCTAAAGATACTTATTATTATATTATTCTTTCTTAAGGCGTACTAAGAACTTGTAGTTATTAATTATATAAGCTACTATAAGCTTAGCTTCTTAGTTAAATCTAAGAACTTCTCTATCCTTATAAAGTAGGTTTATTTTAGGGTTTTTAACTTTAACTATATAGTCTAGTCTTTAGCTTAGCGTGTTAGTAGTAATATTCTTTTTCCTATTAATATACTTAATCCTAAATTAGTATTATAAAAGTTCCTAAGCCTATCTAATCTATTATCTCTTAAGTTCCTTTATTATTATAAAGTATGTTAAATTCTTATAATTAGTCTAAATAATAACTTTATGCTTTACTCCTTTAAGGTAGTATCTCTACTTCTTAAAACTCTCTATAATTACTAAGGCTTCCTAGTTATAAGTATTATACCTTTATTTAGTATTAGTTATTTATTAAGAGTAGAAAGCTATAGGTTATAGTTTCCTATCTTCTCTCTTCTACTTAAGGACTATTCTAATTACTCCTCCTAAGGCGTCTATTTTTATATAGTATTATAGTTCTAGGTTAGTAGGTAATAGAATTAGTACTTCTTTTATACTTTATTTAATCTTCTTAAAGGCGTCCTGCTGCTTGGTTCCCTATATAAATAGTTTATTATCTCGTAGTAATCTTATTATAGGTCATGTAGTTTTAGTATATTAATAGAGATACTTCCTAATATATCCTATAATTCCTAAGAATCCTTTAACTTAAGTCTTATTAGTTAGCATGGGCTATTTAAGGATCTTATTAACTTTCTCTTATAGTATCTTCTATCTATCTTATATAAAGATTATTCTAAGGTACTTAACCTCTATTATATTAAATATATACTTTTAGATACTTATTATAAGTCTAGCTTCTATTATTATTTATATAATTTTATATATATGTGTTTCGTGCTCCTTAGGATCTCTAGAGAAGATAATAATATTATTAAAGTAGATAGTGACTATCTTATTAAGATATTTCCATAGGATATGTGTCATGAATTTAGTAAACTTAGTAGGTAATTATATAAGTCTTATAGGTACTATAACCTATTTATATAATCCTAAGTCTATAAGAAATGCTATTAACTACTAATCTTCTTTCTTTAATAGGAGGTTGTAATAACCCT